GCTTTTGCGTCAGTTGATGCATGTAAATATGTAGCAGTGTACGTAAATCAGCCTTGATATTACAATCTCCCCGATTCTTCCTGTGATCCGCAGACCCCGGATTTTCCATATATCAAATTTCGCTTCCCCACAATTTCCCTCACACCTTCATACATCTGAGATCGTCTATTTTGTCCCCACTATTTTGGTAGAAAGTGCACACCTCCCTTTACGAAAGAAAGAAAGAACAGCCACGGTCATGAAAATCAACATCCATGAAAGAAAAGAAACAAGTTGACAAGCCAAAGCGAAAGAAAGAAGAAATATACGTTCCGCTAAAGATAGAGACAAGCCGGGAGAAATGTGTTAAACTAGGGGAAAGGAAAGTTTAAAGGATGTTACCGCACGGCTGATACATACATTTTGCTTTCGCGATACGAGATTGATTATGTACGATATAATACAGGCGCCGGAAAACCCGGAATCGCACATTAACAAAAAATAATGTCAAAGCTCCCTTTTTCTTATGTAAACTTTTTTATTTCCCTTTTCGCAAAAGAAAGTTTCGTTAACGTTAAACCTTCTTTGGTTTTTGTTTTTTGTGAGGTGTTTTATGACAACTACGAGCGGTGCCGAACCGGCCAAGCGAAAGCCGCACTGGCCTCAACAGCTTGACATTCCGGTATTCGGGCGGCGAATGGACCTCTTTGTGCTCAGGCACAATGCAATGATTCCTCCCGAGAATACGGGACAGATACGACAGAAATGAAACGGAATCCTGAGAAAAGAGAAATACCAAAAAAAACACCGAAATGGATTTTTCCTGTGGTAGATTTCGTAACAAGTTTGTTTATCAAAAAGCAAATACTAATATAACACCACTCCATATTTAATCAGATCCGTGGTTTCGCTCCACGGGAAGAGATAGCTGCGCCGGGATTTTCTGGGAGGGGGCCCCACTTGGAATCGTAATCGTAAACTTTTTTGAGGCTTGCACTATGTATGGGGATCGAAAAGTAGAATGTAAGGGAAAAAAGGAGAGGAGTGATGTTATCCGACGGATATGGATTCCATGATGACCCGAAGATGGTGTATTTCTTTGGTAATGATTGACGTTACATATTGGCTAATACTGTGGCTTGAAACATGGCGATTGCGAGCGCGATCGAGAATCGAGAAAGAGAGAAAAAAAAAGGTTGAGATACTTGTTCGTAACATTGTTTTTCAAAGTCGTCTTGAATTTTCACATGTAAGGAATACTTGAGTTACTTATTTCTTGGAAAATACTATGCTCAGACCACTAAGCCTGCATAAGTCCGAGATGTCACCCTAGACTTATGCAGTATAAACCAACAAAAGCTAGTAAGAAGCACGTCGCTAGAAATCGGTTAGTAAATTAGAGATCCCAACCGACGTCGATGCATTCAAAAAAAAAAAAAAAAAAGATCTGGCGATCGAAAAAATACCTAGAAAGTACCATAACATCATAATGCCCGAATTGCAAAGATGAGACGGAAACATTATTGAACGCGGCATGCCGCATAAATCAGATATGCACACTCCTCTTTCCCCTCCCTCTCCTTATCTCCATTCTCATACCTCATAGTTATGTAGCGGTACCACCCCTCATAACGCCCCAGCTATCCCCAAGGCAGCTGGGAAACTCCCACATCAGCTCATAAACCCCTAGGCGCTTTCAGCTCCTCCCCTTCTCCTCTTACGCCATGTCCGCCTAGAAGACAGCTCAGGTCAGCCAAATCGCCTAAACTCACCAAGGGAAGAGGGTTAAGATGTTGGATATTAGTCCGACTAGTCCAAATCCGTCGAACTTGATCGAGGGCAATGGGTCCATGAAGGAGGGAGGGCAAAGCAAAGCACGGCTCGACCTGTCTCGGCTGGAGTCTAGTTGCCGTTCCTTGCCTCTCGGAAACCTCTTGTGCGAGAAGGGCGTCGGTTTGTCGGCTTCATTACGATACATGATCGTCAACAGGAGGTGAAGCTAGGCTGGCGCCGAGAGATTTGGAGGATGATTTCGGAGCGGAAGACGGAGATCTCCTGAGATTATGTTGGATTTTCTTGGTTTAATGTTGAGATGCATGCGCGCATGTTGGAGAGATTGAAGGATGAGTATATTCAGATGTAGATGTACATGAAATTATGCATACTCGTTACCCTCGAGCTCGATCGAGCTCTGTTGGCTTATAGGAGACCACTTTTTTTGATATATCATATTCGAACCAATAGAGCTCTGTCCTATTAATTACATCAATGTTTGTCTTAAACTAGACCTCGTATCAACGTCAACGGAATTGATTTCCGTTATAATTTGTGACACCGAGGTCCTGCATGCAGACGTTTAACGTTCGTGCTCCTGGAACATCGTTCATCCGCTATAATCACAATAATACCACAAATTTAAAGACTAATCATCTCTTCTTCAGAAAACAAAACTTTGTATTCTTGTGCTAGAGTATACGAAACTCATAACAAACAAATCCAACAATTATGCACGCACGGAATGATTATGTTCGACATTTCATATCCAACGTAACATGTAACCAGAGAGAAATAAGGAAGGAGGGGAACAGAAAATATGACACGGCTGATTCGATGACAAGGTAATTGTAAACGAGAGATAAACTAGAGCTATAGCTATATTTGGACCTGTCAATGGTCATGAGGGATCATGTCTTAGCTAGTTAGCTAGAAATACAACGTCTCTCGGTTCCATGAATTCATGAAAATTAATGGAGCTCTATGTCTTTGCATTGTCAAAGCAATCGTATGCATAAGGCTCAAATAGCCCCCCAGTACGTGTAAAATATCTAAAAAAGTTGACAGATGTAGTATAATTACTACTTCATCGATGCATAGTCCAACTGCATGTTAGACTGTACACGTCCTTCACGCATAAGAAAGTACTTTTTGATCTTATGAATAACCCTGAACCTAGTGGTTCCAGCATCAGGCCTAAACGAAAAAAAAAAGAGACAGTGCTACGACCACCCTGCAGCGGGAATGTCTGTAAATCTGCGCATGATATCAGTGTACGTCTTCGATACGCACAGATACTATGGAAAACACCGATCTACAGGGATAGGGAACGAAAAGTCCACATCAGGCGTACCGGCATTCGCCAAGCAGCGAGAAAAAACCGGTCAACTCGACCTATATTCGCAATTTCAATATAAAACGTTTTCATAAAAGAAAAATCACAAATGATGTATCTGTAGACGGCGGTACATACAAAAGCGTGCTAACTAAGAAGCTTTCGATAGCTCCATGGATCCACGCTTGGTCCCTCATGACAGGTCCGATATGTTTCAAGGATGATACCTGCAAAGTGGAGAAAACCTTCTTTCATGGCTAACGAAAGACCTCCAGCTTCACCGAAAACCCCTCTTTTTTGATTGCAAATCGAACTAGGATTATACTGATCTTCCGCTACTTCAAGTTCTTATTTGCCTTGGAAAGGAAGAGAAAGAGAAAAAAAAAAAACTCTGTCGCGCCTTTCCGACCACAGGGAAGCTCGTGTTCACTGAATTTCATATGGTACACCGGTACTTCTTTTGTTTGTAGACACCAAATCCTTGTCCACAGACATGGAACATCCTATTCGTTCGTCCTTCCTTTCCCCTCTATCGATCGACGTCAGGGTCATAAGATGTACACCCACCACCACCATAATTACTCTCCGCATACATCATTTACCGCAAGAAATTCCAACAAATCCGTTGAGAAGCGAACAAGAAAGTGCTTTCTAACCGCTTTGTAACTTGACCCGACTGGTTCCGTTGTTTGCGCTCATAACCCCTCCAAACATACAGCAGGAAACTGCGAACCCAGCGGGCCAAGGGTTAGTGGGGTAAACTAAATAAGCTAGAACGCGGTAAACGGCACATAGTTAACCCTAGATAGCCACCTTTACCGTCGATCGATATACCAAGAGTCCAAAGTGAGGGGTGGCCCAAGCCTCGAACTATTATGAATCTATTCCTTTGCAAGCCGGCAATCTGTGGTAATTGATTGATAAGAATTCGCAACTCATTATGAAGGAAGCTGTCACGAAGTTCACGCACGATATGCAATCGAGTTCTATTCCAGAGGTACCCGATAGCTCCGGCCGGTTCGTCGGATATAGGGAACTCCCCAAAAACAAAAAAACCATTTGGCAAAAAAAAAAACGGCTTCCAATAATATCCGCCTTCCATGTCGTGTGACGGCAGCACTCCCGTTCCGCTGCGAACCTTAAAAGAAAAATGCAACAAAAACTCAGTAAACTTCCCACCCCATGCATCTTTACACGGCTTTGCCGCTGCGTGCCTGCTTTGGATTATTCATCGAAACAAGATCAAGGGTGCCGATATACCGGGTGGTTTCCACGTTTTCGAACCTCCGTCGCTTTATTCTCATGCTTATGGTATTGATGCAGTTTGATCTTCATCTAGCCCGCACATGTCCCTGCAGCCTTCCTCGTGGCCTTTGAACGTGAACATGCTGGCGTTCTTATCTGATAACTGATAACGAGCAAACTCGAGCTCGGTGTGATCAAAATAATATAATGAGCGATGCGATGCATCGATATCTATGATGTAGTAATCAGAATGCTGCACCTGCACAGACGGATACTCCCCTATGAGCTCAAGAGCTCACTCCTTGAAAACAACAGAAAACAAGACTAGGAAACATTGAAACAAAACTGGATGAAGCCTTGAACTATTGAAAATAAACACAATAACACCCATTAAGAGGAAAACTCGCCCAGCAGAGGATAAAGGAAGACCAACCCGACAATGAAACCAAATTTGTCATTTTTAGCAAGAAAAGCAGAATAATCAAAAAAAAAGCACCCATTTGAAGCCAAGTATGCATATACTAGGGCTGATAAACCATGAAAATGAAACCCTTATTCCTTCACTGCCTATATCCGATAGGCGTTTGTATGAGAACTCCATGAAAAAAAAAAAAAACGAATGCATGATGATTAGAACAGAAGAAAAGACCCATGAGACAAAGACAGTCTACAAGAACATTGCAGGTCCGTCAGCCTCGTCACTGGAGGCCTTCATATTCTCGTCATTAACGTAGTGATACTCCATTTCATTGACAAACGGTTTTGCAGTGGCTCTTAGCTTCGTCACACCTCGTGATGTCGTGACATTAATTGGGGCATTGCAATCGATGGCAGGTCCCGGTGCCTGAGGGACTCCTGATGGGGGGCTGCATGGTGGGATGGGGAACTTAGCAATGGTCATCGCCATACTCTCCTCCCTAGCTTCTTCCTCGGGCTCTTCCATGATACTGTCGAGGTAGATTGGTCGACCGCCAGGGCCCAACGAAAGGTAACCGCCGTTAGAAGCACCATCAGTGAAAATAATGTGCTCGCCGTTTGCATGAGTGACACCATTGACTTCGTCAATTAGGCTGTCGTCAGACCCGGCCGAGGCGTCCTCCAGTCGTCCATTCATCATCTTCTCGGCTCGGTCTTCATCGTTACGGAGGTGCTCATTCTCATTGTTGATCACTTCCTCGGTCTCATCGAAAGCCATTTCGTCGAAACGGAGGGAAACGGCGTATCGCAATGACTCCTCAAGGATCTCAATGGTTTCTTTAAGATCGTCGACCTCTTTCTCGAGTCCTCCAAGTTTCTTACTATGCTCACTGGACATTTTAACTTTCTCTTGAGCCTGGATATCGAGTGCACGGGAAAGTTTCTCGATTCTCGCGGTCAGTTCAGCTTCCTGTTCCTTGCTCATATTTCCAGCGTCGCTCCCATTATTTGATTGGAGAGCCTTAATCTCCTCTTGGAGCCCTTCCTCGTTTTTTTTGAGCTCTTCGTTATTCTTCATAGCTCTCTGGACCGCTGTTTGGAGCATGTTAACGGATGCCGTCAAGGTCTGAATCTTGCGGTCTTTTTCGACGAGCTGTCCGGACAAGAACGTGATAAGGTTCTGGTTGAACTCGCAATTGGCACCAAGTTGGTGGATTGCAGCTTGAGCTCCGTTGAACATACTGTAGATATGAAGGAGGAGGTTTCGTGTGTGGTAAGCTTGCTGAGTCGTCGGTGGGAAGACGAGGCTTGGGAAGCCATTTGATTGGGACGGGAGGCTGAAACCACTCGTAGTGCCAGCGGTAGCCTGTGAGCTAATACCGGCTAGGGACGATGCAGTTGTAGAGGTCTTGAGGCCGGATCGTTCCTGAGACTCAATCGGAGTACCAATGAGCTGACCCTTTAGACTGATAGGTGAAGTCGGAGTCGGAGGAAGGGGTATCTTGCTAGGCGTGGAAGGAGGAGCTAGACCTGGAGTCCCAAATGGTTGGCGAGAGATATCTGGATTGACCGACTTACTCATGATATGGGCCATATGAAAGGAATTACTCGGTATAGTTGCTCCAGAGGCCATCCCGATAAATTCCTCACGATGCCAACTCGCAACTGAGAAATGAAACAATAAAATTTAACTCGAACGAAACATTCAACGGCGACCAGCGCTAAAGAGGAGACCACGAGCGGGACAAAGACGGGTGGAGAAGCGGACAATGGAAGAAGAATACGAATAAGACGAGGGGGGCGAGGAGAACTTGTAGGACAAAAGGGACTTAATCATAATGATAATAATAAAGGGAATTAGAATATTGGGTCATTTCGAGGGCCTGCCAACAGCACGGAAACCGTGTTGTGAGCTATAAAATGCAACAATTTGATTCATATTTGAAGCGCTGAAAGAGGACTGATATGATGTCTGTGACGTCGGCATCCTTATTGCAAATGCGCGAACTAGAAGCCCATAAATAGTATTAGCTCCTAGGCTCTCTGACTTCACTTATAGGAAAGTCACTTGCCTTTTTGAAGAAATGGAAAAGAAGGAAGGAAAGGGGGAAGGACGGAAGGAAGGGCGAGTCATGGTCAAGAGAAGCCAAAAACCGGAAGACTGTGTATGCGCCGTCCTTCATTAAGTTTCTTTATTTGTCTTCTTCTCTTCTAAAACCGGGACCCAGTCCTCGGTCAGTTCTTCCCATCCAAAGTCGCCCGCATTGGCTGCGATTCTTGCTAGAATCGCCGTGCAGGTGTCGTTCTCGCGATCTTCTTCGAGTCGTAGACGTGCTAACACAGTTAGGTATGAGGGGTTAGCCATACGCATATTCTAGTCAAGACCGGTCCCAATACTACAAAACAAAGCAGAGTGAAATATTTTGGTGTCTTCGAAGGGTGTATATATAACTCACACTCTTCGGCTTGCTGGTTACATGGCGAGCAACGGCCGTGGATCACGCGTTCCGTGATACGCCTCATAATCTGTTCCTTACTGTCGAAGGAAATCTTCACGGGGTCAATGCGGCGGCAACAGCACTTGTTGGCGTTGATCCCCTCTCCCTTTGTGAAGATATAGTTACTGAAGCAATGCCCACAGATACTATACTTGACACTGTGCAAATGGGGAACAACCATTCGCGCGAACTTCGGTCGGGTATACGGACGTTTAGCTTTAAAGCGGGTGAGAGTACGGTTTTCGGACATTTTTCTTTTGGATGTTTAAAGGAGCTAGCTATTGATATTACGAACTTTGGAGGGTTAAAGCAAGGTGGGATGGTGGTAAGGTTGTGAAAACAGGATTGTGGTAGAGCTGCGAGGGCGGTTGTGGGTGTATACCTTAGACATTCATTCAGCACATGGAGCAATATACGGGGACCAGAGCACAACATTAAGCCCTTGGTCTAGCGGGTACCTCGCTGTCAACTCTCAATCATATAACTGCACAACCCACCTTGTGTGCTTGAGTGTTACTATGAAGCCACCGCTTTGGAATGACTACCGCAGCTTCTCATTGTCTACAGAAACAGGTGCAGCCAAGTGGTATAATGGCACGGAATTATATAAAGAACGATTCCTGGCTGTAAAATCGGCTGGGAATTGATTACATTGATATGCTATTGGTATTTAGCTATCTTATCTTAGAAAGCGAGCGTTGTTGACCTGAAGAGACCCAGCTAGTCGGTTTAGTATATCTCTGCTAGGCGGATTCGAAATAAAGAACCCGGACATTCGCTCCTCGATTGCGTCGACTGACAACTTCACAACTTCCTCGATCTATCATTTGATTTATTCAACAACTCGCTAACCAAGCCTTTGCCTTTTCGATGGACTGCCGGGCAACAGATTACTATCCCGATCGACATCCATTGTATTTTCGTCCTCTGGGACATGAGCTAAATACGCAGTATACTCCTCAATCGTCATCTTAGGTCGAAGGCTACAGTCATCACATTTTGCCGGTATCTCTCGACGTTGCTGCGTGTAGTTGACCTTCCCGGAGAACGAGAGACTGATCTTAAATTCGTCGGTTCGGCTGCAGACGCAACGGGCAGCATTTTTAGGGTCGGGTAGAAAGACGTATCTCGGATCTGTATGGCCACACTCCCCGAAGTGGATAGTATGGGTGTGAGGCTCGCCGAATGCCATGGCCGCTTTGGGTTTGTGTGTTCTCTGAAGTTTTTTAGTTTTTCCTTTGGGGGTTGATAGGGTGCTAACGCGTACCATCTTGACGAAAGGAGAATTTGAACAATTTCTAAGGATGGGAATTTATGTTCGCTTTCAAGAGTTAGTATTCTTGAGGTTAAGGGGATGATGGAATTAATCGGACGTACAAGTTCGTCGTGGAGAGTCGTCGGTGCGGTGATCTCGAGCTTGCAGCGGTGCTGTTTCACTCCTTTTCTGAAAGATATATCGATATGTTGGTAGACATTTCAAAGGGAAAGAAGGGAAGATATTCTCGGCGGTCTAAATCGTCATCGATTCACTGGAATATTTAACCACCACATCTCCGGACACTATTTTCAACTTATAGTCCCGGGCCTGGAGAGATCAGCTGTCGAAGGGTATCATGTATTGATGTATTCCTAGAGTTAAAAAAAATATTTACAATAGGGTAGGTTTCCGAAGCCCAAGGGCATAAGAGAATTAATAAGCTAGGACTTAGATACTGAACATTTGGATCTAGGACACATTGATATTGTGACGTGTAATTAGGTCTCAGAAGCTTGACCATTGAGTTCCAAAGCAATTTAAAGCCCTGGAGACTTTTCAGGTATAAGGTAAACAAAGGCCCATTGACTGGTTTAGGAATGTTTATCTTTGAGAAAAAGTCCTAGAGCTTTGTTGTCATATCAAAGCCAACAATGTAATCCCAATCTTTTTTAAAGAATACATCTTCCTCCTGTCACATATGAGATTTCGGCGCTGATAATTTATGGTATAAATTCGAATTGCCTCAATCACTGCTCCTCCTAATAACCCTCGCTTCCTCTTCAAATCGCGGCCTCTCCGCAAAAGTCTTAAATAAACCCTAGAAAAAATCAAAATGAGCGAGGCTCAGATAAGCCTGGCTTCAGAATCCGAAGATGAACCATGTTCTTCTTACACGCCGACATCAGACCCACCTATGGTAGATCTACATATTCATCACGTCCGTTTCTTGGATTGCCAACATGTCAACCTACGGCACGTCTTCTGGCCTAGCCCTGAGAACCCCAACCGATGCATTTGTACTCACAGGGAAGAGATATGCTTCCCATATGCAGTTCCGGTCAAAGGCGACAATGGTATTATTGAGTATCAACCAGTGGACGGACTTCATCCTCACGGCATAATTCTACTTCCTAGGTTTAAAGTGAGGGATTTAGACGGGTTGTGTGATGTTTGCCTTGAGAAAAAATGGAGTGGATATCGAAGTATCTATTCGCTCGTGTGAATTCCCAGGTGGTAATCCTAATGGCATTACATAGAGGAAAGCTGTTGGATTTTGTATGGAGTTGCGTTGGGTCGAAGTGTGTCGGTGATGTGCGGCAGACTGGCTGGATCCAGCTAAACCGTCGGTGGAACTGCAAAGGAGCAGTGTTACACAAGCCTCGAGGGACCCGAAGGTCTTAGAAGATCTTAAGACCTTGCAACACGTAACATTCACACAAAGACCTACCAAATTTAGTGTACATACCATGATCCTTTGAGATATTATCAACATCAATCTTGAAATGTGTATTACAAATTGCGCCGCACAAACATGGCAACTTAGTCATTCTGGAGAACATTCGAATATCGGAATTCCGGCTAGCGTAGGGATGGATCAAAATGGGTATAACCAAGCAACGTGGAGACCCACAGATTTTATACATGACAGCCATGGCGCCACCCCACATCCCTAACATATTAGTAACCAAAAGGTTAGCAGTTTTGGCTGTGAAACTGAGACTGCTCCCTGCAGCAGACGAACACTCTCATGTGTTGGAGGTGATGTTAGAAGGAGAAAGCAAAAGGAGAAACGTTTAAACAACGGTGGCTACAATTCAAAGTTTTTCCAAACATGCCTTCTCGAACAATGACTAGCCCTGCTTAACGCGCGACATAAAATCTAAAATATATTAATCGCGACGGAAAGAAGGGAGGAAGTTTGCTGAAACCCGGCGCATGCTTGGGTGAGGGATCAAATTTATCTGAATCAAGGCGGAGACTCGTCGCACTAGCACCCTCTTTTTTGCTCTTATTTCACTATCACAGTCGTATAAATGGGATCATCTGCTCTTTTAATCTCCCGCCTGATAACGAGGTAGCTTTTTCGTATTTCTTGCCCCTCTGGCCCTCTGTTTCTTTGATTCGATTCGAATCCAGTCATCTTCAAAATCGCCATTCCCGACTACAAATTAGCCTGTCGGCCCTTTTTTAAAAAATAATCATTCGGTGAATTTAGGCCGGCCGAGAGGTTTTTGGAACTGGGGCATCGAGCCGAATTCCTCGCCAGTTCCATGCCCCCTTGTCCTTGGGTGCGGAGACACCATTGACCCAGGCTTAAGTAACACTGAGGTTCGAGCCCAACCTTTACTGTTTGCAGCTTGCATTTCGCTACAACCTCAGCTCTTATCCCTATGTAATCTGGGTGGAGGCATCCATCTCACCTCATTATCTTACGCCCTTTCGCTCTCCCCCAATCATTTTGCGTTTTTTTGTGAGGACTGTGCTTTAATTTCATCTAGTTATCGGGAATTCAGGTTTGGATACCAGAAGGACGAAACCAAATACCGAATTCCAAAAGATACAAAGTAATCCCCTCCGTTCTTCTCGACTTGGGGGCATTTTATTTGCGACTTTCGGGATTGGACCGCTACAACCTTTCAGCCCTCTTCGCCGCTACCTTTTACTCACATCATCATCGTCATAACTATTACTCCCTAAATCTAGCCCGCTTGGAACAAATACGAGCTTGAGGCCGTAAAATCTTCTTTTCAAGAATAATACACCGTCTGGTACGACCCATCATAAATTACCGACCATGTCGCTCGAAAAACCGCTCCCCGGAGCTCCATCCCCGGTAGACCGAACTGTCGAAAGAGTCGCCGAGCGCCTCGCAGTCCCGATCAGGAGAGCACGCGCGATATCGAACCCCCCAGAAATGGCACCCGCCCCTTTACCAGAGATGCCTACCTACGACCCAAAACTTGCACAATTGGCGGCTAGGGTTCTGTACAGATCAGGGATTGACTCGCTCGGAAATCCACTATTGGTACTATCCGCGGCTGCATTTCCAGATTCGAGAGAGGTAGACTACAATGCTTTATTACCCTATGTATTGGCGATATTACCAGGGGAGAACGAAATCGATGCTTTGGACTCACATGGCGAGAAAGGAAGTGGTGGTTACTCGGTTATTTTCTTTTCTGGAGGGAGTGGCAGTAGGGATAGAGACGCAAAATCGCGGCCGACATGGAGTTGGTTTATGCAGGCTTATTCTTTGGTAGGTTAAATAAGTTAAAGTTTCAATAGCATATGGGTCAATTCGTTGACGGCCGGCCAAAATAGCTAGGAAGAGCCGTTAGGAAGCGCATCAAGAAGCTATGGATTGTCCACGAGCGAGCTTGGGTGCGCATCATGCTGGAGATGTTATCCGGCGTTGTATCCCAGAAATTCAGAAGAAAAGTTCTGCATGGTAAGGGACCAAACTGATAAACGAGCATTTCAAATGATGATGTCTAACAAGCGTACACAGTCTCAAGCCTGACGGAACTTGCCCTTGAAATCGATATCACGAAACTAAACATCCCTCCTGCCGTTTACTTGCACGATAAGCGAGTATCCGAATCCATACAACTCCCCGGTTTCCCTCCAGTACCACAATTCGGAAAGATGCCATTCACACCCGATTCGCCAGTTGATGCCCCCTTACCTCATGTTCTCACAGATGCATCCCGCTATATCAGACTGCATTGTCTTCCATACGAAGGGTTGTTCAGAAAGGTCCCCAGCACTGACCTTTTGGAAGTTGCAAGGGAAGCATACGACAGACGACAATATCTCCACCTTTCTGACTACGGCCCGAATATAGCTGGGGGGTTGATTAAATTATATTACCGAACGCTACCAGAACCCATTATCCCTACATATTGCTACGACGAAATCGAAGAGAACTTTGGGGATAACTCTAAAACTGAGGATGTTGTTTCAGCTGCCAGGAGTATACTGACCCAGAGCTTACCGAAAGTTTCTTGTAGACTACTCTTAAGACATCTTCTCCCACTGTTGGCTCTTGTGGCTTCACATAGCGAAGTTAATAAGATGACAGCTTCAAACTTGGCGATCTGCTTTGCGCCTTCATTATTACGATCCGAGGATATCATGCTGGACGCAAAGATGTCTCGAGGCGGAGTCGCCAAGTTACTCGAATGCTTAATTACGAACATTGAACAGTTTGCTCCAAAGATGCCAGACCGACAGCCAAAACCTGCTTCATTGACTGGCGAGAAGTACCTATCCATTTCATCCATCAAGAGGAGTGCGGCCACTGCATCAACGACAAGAAAGCAAATGATTCCTAAGATCAACGGAGATAGCCCAACATCAAGATACGCCGATGATGATCTTCTAACTAGCTCACCGATTCAAAGGAAAATGTCATGGACCCCTATTATGCAGACTATAATGAATAGCGACCCGATTCCACTGACTACAAGGTCGATGTCGGATGGCGAGATAATATCCAAAACTCCTAAGTCCACAGCCCCAGCACCGAAAACTTCGACAACGTTAACTTCGACGACGACGGCATCCGCGGTGCCAGTCCCTACAGCTAGCGCAGATACAACTACAACGTCAAGAGTTACAAATGGCGGTATCCCATCCCCGCCCCCTTCGCCAACTAAAGAACCAGCTACACTTTCTACACCATCGAAAGCGACTGCCTCGACCTCCCCACAGCTTAAGCCTGCCGCATCGCCGCCATCCAACTCCAATGAATCCTCTGCCCGTCGCTCATCCTCGCCGTCTGCTTCCAAACTCTCAACATCACCCTCAAGTCAACCTAATCTTCAGATTCGCGGTCTAATGCGCGCGACATCGTCTCCTCTCCCACCTCGGGATTTCAGAGCAACCCTTACCCCCGCTGGTAATAGAGATGGAAATGCAAATACCAGTAACACCACTGCCAAACAACTAAATAGCAAGCCCTCTTTCCCAACTCTGCGTAAAGTCCCCTCTGATGCAGCCCTAAACTGGCAGAGAGCTAGTGTTAAAGTGAAGGTGGCTGGTACTATGGTCAATGAACTCAAGGCACTGTATGAAGAGCGAGCTAAGGGAGCCGAGATATTGGTCAAAACAGCGAGCAGGAGAGGCAGGAATCCGAGCAATGCGGGTGTGAATTGACTAGCTGTAGTAGTCATAATTATTTGGGCCATCGAGATGATGATTTTAGTGAATAACTGGGAAGTAATCCGTCGATTGAAATGATATCGACGTAATTTCCAATTGTGGAACTGGGTTTCAAGGTTTGTATGCATGTATGGTCAGCCATATAGGATTTGGGCACAGGATCGGCATTCATCCCCCTATCGACTTCCAGATAGCTGAAGAAATGTAAACGGGACTCGGATGTATACATGTACCGTTATTTTCTTAAATCTTTGATTTGTTATCTTCTTTTCTATTTTTTTCTTTGGATTTCATATTACTCTTCGGCATATTGGAAGCTGGTCATGGTCTTCATACATTTTGGTTTTTTCTTTTTTCTTTTTTCTTTTCTTTTACCTCCTATTTCGAACCAATTTTCTTTTGTAATATTATTTCTTTTGTAGGGAACAAGCATTACATTTTCCTTATTACAGAACCGACTCTTTGAAACGGTATGTAAGTTGAGCTCAGTGATAGCGGGCTCCAGGCACGATTCGACTTTTGTACCTGAGGCCGGGAAGGTTAATTGAAATTACCACAAAACGCACCGGAACAACGCGCTGCAGCCTTTTGGTCAACCACAAGGCTCACAGAACTTGAGGTATCGTCCCAACAAGTGCAATGCAATGCAATGTACGCTGTCTATCTAGCCCGGGATACCAATGCATTGGCACTGCCCGCCTTGGCTGCATAGCAAGTCAGAACAAATCTAAAGCCTTGCGGGCAGGCCAGCTGGCTCTCTAGTCGAATAAAATGTCTTATAAGCCAGCCTCTGGTCATGACGGTTGCTCAATTTCTAGTACCGATTTACAAACTTCAATTCAAGTACATAGAAGCCAGAGCCCTCGTCTCTCCCTAAAAGTTTACAAGCAGTTCGGCCCTCAGTTGATACCTCCCCCAAGATGGCGGAGGTAGCAGGTCTCGTTCTTGGCTCCGTGGCTCTTCTACCGCTGATTAAGAATGTCCGTCACCTATGCGACTCGATCAAGGATGCCCCCAAAACTCTTCAGCAGTACCAAATCTCCATATCACGCCTTCTTGATACCCTCGAGGTTATCCATACTGCCTCCAAAACCTACAATGTTTTCCCCGAAAACTCGCGCCCTTGGTTAGCCTTCCACGGTTATCTAGCCGACATCAACAACTCGTGTATGGAGCTAGAAAATCTTCTGAGGGAAAAGATGAACGCCAAAGGGAAACAAATTGGGACTTGTAAAAGGGTCTTATGGGCACTTTTAGGTCGGGACGAGAAAGCTAAAGAATTAATGAACAAAATCGACGGAACTGCACGATCCCTTCATTTGCTGTTTAGCGCGATGACGTCGTGAGTACAATATGATGAGGATGAAGTTGATTCCGCTGAATACCAAGCGCCCTTCGTTTATTTCTAGCTAGACATATGTCCCACTTCGACGTGTGTGCTAATATCTAACACTCCCATAGAATATTTAATTCTACGATGCACGATGCCCACACAGCACAACTAACCATTTCTGCCAATACATGGATCACTTCGGGTGAGAATATTGCTAGCATCCTAGACGAAGTTGCAACAATTAAAACAATACTCGAAGAGGTTCGCGCAGACACTATGGTACGGGGTACGACAACAGTCGCAGAGACGACGCAAGGAATTGATTCGGATGCTCCAACCGAGGATGACGTTTTAAGTCCACCTGAGGGAGGTTCTAGTACGATCATCTACCAGCGGCGGGATTACCAACCAATCGAGAAGAAATCAGGGTATTATATAGGGGGCAGAACATTTTTAGGGCGTGAGAAACTGACAGCCTTCATTTTAAAGACTCAATCAACTGGACGCCAATCTGGAGTCATAATAAAATCAAAATACGAAATCAAAGTCAAGTTATCCTCCGGTTTGCTTGGATACGACTTTCACATCAACGTCGGTCTAAATATAGGCGCTAGGAGCCTATGTCCTAAATTCGGACTCTATTGTCAAAGAGTCATACCAGAAGGCGATCTTCAGCACTATTATGTGAAAAATCACATGTTCGAAGAATTTAGGGATCTTGTGGTACAACACCGAGCAAGCGTCCATGATCTCTACGAGGACCGAAGTATTTTCAAACTTCTTAACTTCCGCTTTACTCTACCCGTAGGCAAATCTTAAAAATTTCCCGATATTCGAGGTCCATTCATTGATGCATGACTATCTCTAGGTTATTAATTTTCTCTGCTTTGTAACTAAAACTCGGATTGGTCCGGGAGAAAGGGTCAAAATATCTAGAATATATGACTTTCTAAAGTTTGTGTTACAAGAAGGGTACAAACCGAGTAGGTAAGATATGACTTAATCTTGTAAATTCGTGTCTGGGTCGATTTAACTCAGCATTGTTCTATTCAATTCTTATCCAATGCTTAATATTCTATTATTGATGACGACTGATTTTCCTTGGCTCTTCTGTGAGTTCGCAGGGATGAGGTTGATTTTCTAATAAACCTTCGAGAGTTATCAAGCGTTAGGCTTTTGATATCCGAAGGTTATTATGAATGGATGCCAAAGCATCTGTTCTTTATATATGTAGTACATGCCAATGGTACTCGCGATAAACTGCTAGCCCCTTCGTTTCCGAACCTCAATTCGTCAAATTGGGCATTCTTGTGGAGCTCGGAATATATGATTGAATCGGAGCTCGCGGGTTCAATTTACCTGGTTGGGATGTTTAAAGCTGACATGTCCCCACCAGCCCAAATGGTAAAGGCAACGCTCAAAATAGATGGGGTCTGGAACTCCGACAATTTTACCTTTGGCACCCTTTGCAATATTTTATGTCATACCAACGAACAAACGGCTCTTGAATTTTTAGAGAGAATCTTACCGAGGATTGAAAGGCAATCTCAATGGGATGATAGAAAACGCTACTCTATTCTTCTTGCCGCCTTATTTTGCGGGGCTTTTAATATTTTGGTATTTTTACTCCATCGTGGATACCCGTTTAGAGAGACCGCCGAATTTTGCCACTACGCCCACTCTCCAAGAAAATGGTATGGGAAATGGTATGAACGGGGTAAAGAGTGTGAGCATATTAGTGATATACTCGCGATACCTTCAGCTGCTGTGATAGCAACCGCTTTAGGGGGGCGACAAAAAACAGTATGGGAAAAATCCCTCAAGGCAGTCTTCCCAGAGGTAGAGGTGGAAAAGATATTTGCGGAAGATTTTCAGAAATTACCAGTTAAGGTCCGGTTACTATATGCAGTTTGCTGGAACTGTAAATTTCGGAGGTCCTTCCGCCCCTTATATGGGTTTTGCGAGAAAAAAGGTAGGATTAGTTTCAGGCCATATAAACCCCGCGGTCTACATGATTCAAGGTATACCAAGGCGATACCAAATCAGTGTGATGGCTGCGATTTTGGTACGATCGAATGTCCAAATTGTGGGGAAATTCCTTGTAAGTCTGAAATTCAAACATTTCCACTACGGTCCATGAGCTTGGGAGTTTTATACACACATATCACCTGATTTAATATCTAGTGGGACTAATATACTTATCAATCGGGATTATAGTGGAACTTCAAGAAGAGGAGTTTAGTGAATCGACTTCAGACGAGGATGACCAACTTCCCATCCCCGATTCAACAGTATACCTCGTCTCCTCTGGTCCTCAAATTGAGGGCCTGAGCCCGAAACTATTAGCGTGGCCTAGATTCTACCTACAGCACCTCGGGATCTCGGGGATATTGATAACGGTTCTATCAGCGGTAGTATCATATCTGCTCTACAAGTTGAAACAATCAGAGAATATGCGGCATAGTATGTTAGCCTACAACAAAGAGCTGGGTCCTGAAGAGTAGGATGCATGCTACCTTCGCATTTAAGGAACTCTATGGAAATTGTGCTACTGTTTTTTTTCTGCTTCAGAAATGTTGCTTCCTAACTGTCAATGTCTTGTGAACTAAGTTAACTTGCTTAGGGGCAATCTGTCGGATCCCATTCTGTTCGTTGGAATCATAGTTAGTACGCAGTCATTCAAAGAGCATATTTGATAAACTTACCAGTAACCAAATGTTCATCCAACCCTCCCAACTTAGCCATATCCTCCTCCTCCAACCCCCATCCTTCACTCCCCTTCAAATTCCCCACAATCCTACTCTTCGTCACACTCTTTGGCAAACTCACAAAGCCCTCTTGTAACCCCCACTTAATCATAACCTCCGCGCTCCCCTTTCCCTCATATCGTCCCGCAGCCTCCTTCAAAACCTCATTCTCAAACCTCCCACTCTTCGCAAGCGGCGTATACGCCTGCAACACAATATTATGTTGTCTACAAAACTCCACAATATGTGATTGTGTATTAAACGGGTTGAGTTCGATTTGATTCACCAGCGGTGGATAATCTGGGAACTTATCAAGGATCTCTTGAAGATGTCTTATGCCGTAGTTACTTACCCCCCATCCTTTTACTTCACCATCTTTTACGGCGTCGACTACGGCGCGGTAGATTTCTTCGCGGATCATGGGTCCACCGTATGGGGCGTGAATGAGGTAGAGGTCTATGTATCCTAGATTGCATTCTTTGAGGCTGCGTTTTATGGCGGAGCGGGTTTCGGAGTAGGATACATTGTTGCGGAGTTTGGTTGTGAAGAAGATGGAAGATCGGGGTGTCGAAGTTGCGGTTAGGTATTCGTTGATGGCTCGGCCGCAGATGGCTTCGTTTTCGTACCATTCTGCTGAGTCGATTCTGTATTTTCGTGGTAAGGTTTTTGTTACTTAAGTGTTTAAGTTGGAATCGAGGGCCATTGGACGAGTTTTCAGTCGGGTTCGCTATGTATATGTAAACATACCCTCGATAACCAGCCTAGTACATTGATTAATTTTTAGTTCATATTAAAGCCTAACAGAGCTATAAGCTCCCTAACCGATCTTAAACGGTACGTTAGGTTGATCAATTGAGATACGGTGAAGTTTTACCTCTAAAGCCCACTTGACAGCATTATAACACTCTTCATCATAAGACTCCCACACACCGAGTTGTATTTGTGGTATTTTTTGCCCATTCGAAAGCTAAACCAATTAACCCCGAATTCCAAGAATTGAGAGATCCAGAGAAGACCGCCTCACCGTAAGGCATGTGTTCGCCGTAAATGCTTTTTGGACTTCTTTCGATGACATGGTTTCTCTGTATTCGGAATCTATAACCCTCTCTCTCTCTCTTCTTCTTTTATTTTTAGTTCGCTGCACTGTAGGTGTTTGAAGAAAGCTGCCGGGGCTTTTTGGAATGCCTTTTCGTTAATTATTTGCTAAGCCTTAACCCAGCTCCCGGTTTTTTGAATTCTTGCACCATTTTGATGACATAATCTTTATGGGAATGTGACAAGGGCAGCAAAGCTAACTCAGCAAGTGTTGAATGAAAACCCTTCAATTCAGGAGGCATAACATTATAAATAGCACTATCTCCGTGCTTGTTGATGTATTCCAGTTGAGACAATCGACTAATATATGGTATGCATTACTAATTCACATTTTCATAAGCAATAGCCACCATATCATAGCTTTCAAATTCTGGTGGATCCAAATTTCTCGTATTCAGCTATAGCCTACAATACAAACTTGAACACCTCGTATCAAATAACCCCATCTCTATCGTATAGTCGTATAATATGCTTAAAGGTCAAGAAGAAAAAAGATGCTGAGAAATCGGAAAGTCGAAAAACACATGAAATTCGTACACGCGAAGAAAAAATGGCGGAAAATTAAATGATAGTAGTAAGATCCAAACTCCAAAAGAAATGCTCGCTCGCTATTGTGTGGTCCAGGGCCTTGATCGTGTGTCCGTCGTAGATCTGAGATCTTGCATGACAAGTTGGCAAACAAAAGTCAAAAAAATCGCAGGGGTGAAAGTAGTAGCATGCTAGTTATCGACGCCATTCGAGATAAAAAAGAAATCATGCTCAGAATTTCATAGAACGAACGGAAAATCAGAGATATGGTCGGTAAAGAAAAAGGCAAGATATCAAAATGCTTTTCTTAGTCTGTCGTAGATTTAGCCAACCCAGTCATAATCTGTTGCATCTCCGTTTCCTGAGATGTTCGAGATACCAGTCCTGGCTGAAGCATTCGCGATAGATGCGGCAGCGATGGCGTGGAATTGTAGGAGTTCCCTGAATTTAGCTTGCTTCTCGCTCTCTCCCTCGACCTGTTCACCCTTCGAGCTTGTCCATGGAATGTCAGTTTGACTCCTGACGAGGGTTCGCCTGAGTGGTGGTGATGTAGGTGTTGGTGGAGCTGGAGCTTGGAACCCACGTGAGGGAGCAGTGGCGGTGAAGGTCGACGATCTCAGGGGTGTTGCGGGTGGTGTAGCGACTGCGGGTGCAGGTGTGGGAGATGCCGAACGTTTTTCAGATGCAGAAGCTAATTCTTTGGATTCCTCCAAAGCAGCAATATAGGCAGCGTGTTCCATCTCCTCGCGAACGTGGCGTGGGATCTGACGCTCAAAGTCATCGCATTGCGAAGCAATGATAGCCGCCATGATCATGTTTTGCTCTTCCTCAGAGATCAAGTCTTGCGTTTCGGTAAAGGTAGGGGTCTTATGTTGTGCACTAGCAGTGCTGCTGCCACGAAGGAGAGTCATTGAGCCGGTATGATTTGGAGAAATAGGAGGAGTTACGGGGAGGCAGCAAGTTTCGTAGGATTGGGCAATAGGTTCTTTGGGTCTTCGTTCGACAGAGACTTGGAGGACGACTTTTTGATCGGACTTGGCTGATTCGCGAAAGGAAAAGGCCCAATCGTATGAATTAAAGTTAAGGAAGCTGGCAGCCGTGGACTGTTTCCTCTTAACCGAATTGTATTTCGTATCTTGCTTCTCGTCGTATTCGTAAATATCAAAGTCGAGGTCCCTATATTCGTCTGGTTGATCGTTGGGGGGGTGGTCGGTCTTTATAGGCGAAGAGAAGAGCATGTCGGACAAACTTCGACTGAGTAGGCCCATCATCTTTTCTAAACCATTCCTGTATTTCTCTTATGCCATACAGCTAATTGTTATTCGTTTCGTTTACCCTGCTTTTATACTAATTGTATCTCCGGAGAAAGGAAAAAAAAGGAGCTCGGAATCAATCACTTCGTTTGGTATCCCTGTAGGTGAGAAGAATGTGCTTTAGCAGACAGATCTTGCGCCAAACAAGACGGTCTCGAAAATGAATGATTCGGTGCGGATTATTATATGCTTCGCCTTATTCTCCACGAAAAGAGCCATCTATCTACTACCGTATAGTATCCCGACAAAACGGCAGAAAAGGCTGGCTATGAAAGAACTCACTCTCCTGCAAGGTCGTGTTTACATGCCATTTGTAGGTGTGTCACAAATATCCGCCGTTTCTAGCAGTTTACTGTCACATTATCATCACGGAAACGGACGGGGGAAGCTTGAAGCTGCGTGAATATGCTTGCCGGGGGGCCAAGAAGCTGTCTCACAGGCCCAATCAGGGGCTGGCTTGGCTGCACCGTAACGTTCTGAGCGGCTTGCAGGCGGATTTTCCAACTTTTTCTTGCATGTAACTAAGTATTTGCTCTTGGGGAGTGCTTTTCACACGCACGGGCGAAAGTTTAAGGCAAAGCGGTTTAGAAGGTTTGGAACGGGGATGGCCCCAAAGCGAAGCGGAGTTCTTTGTCCTTCAGTGGGGAAGTTTAGTGATGTGAAAGGCTGTAGTTATAATAGGCAGTTGGTGCTGCAAGATGTGCTGTCCACATGGAAAGGGCATGTTCGACCAACCACAGGCTGCCAGAACGGACATCATCAGAAATTTCTGGGCATCCCCGACATTTCCATATCTTGGGGAATATTTGATTTCATGAGGGGAATAGCGGGATCGGTGACGATAGATTTATGTCAATGAGGATGAGGTGGTGGGATTTTTGGTGGGACATGAGGGAAGAGCAATCCACTCGAAGGCCTGGTTTTGACAATATCCATGCCATGATCGTATCAAGCGAACTGCAATTGCTGATGCTGCCGTGTATTACGGTATGCAAGATAGAGGAGCCATCGATGAAGACTAAAAGCCTTTCTGATAGGACCTACGCAATCGAGAAGATGCCTTCGGGTTGACCTGTCGTTCGTGGAAGTCCTGCAGCTAAACGAGCCGGAATCCCGTCTCTTCTCCAGTCAATCGATATTAAGAATCATATCATCTGTCTGGATCTGGACTGACGATGTCGGCTGTGGCTGGTGACCGACGCCGCCTCGAATGTATCCTGAAAGTCATCATTCCGGGCGAGGCGAGTGTACGTGGATGTTAACGTATGTTCAGGACGTTCGATCTCGCCTAGTTTCAATTTGGCATCGGTGGACTGACTATACGGCTATGAGCTCCGTTTGTATCGAGTAATTATAATGACAGCGTTCCCGGTGGACCATGTCATCCCTCGTGACCTGCTTTTCGAGGCAAGAATCGACGAATAAAGCTATGGATGCAGCTTGCAGCTATGCTCCGGTTAGTGTCAATTGTTAGTGGCCAAGACATCTCAAGGTGGCTGAAAGGTGGCTGAGCTAAAGAGGCGCACCATTGGAAAAAGAGCTTGAGAAAGACACAAGGACAACACGAGGACAACACAAGTCCACCCGATATCCTCACGGGATTGGTATCTCCAGCGCTTCGACCTCTAGGAAGAGAATAAAAAATCTGAGGTATGTATAAATTGGGTAGAAACAAAAAATTAAAATATACTGAGGATCTATCGATATCTCTGATCGGGGTACAAGGTGCAAAAGTTGCAGGCTTTTGGCAGGCTTTTGGCAGGCTTTTGGCAGGCTTTCGAACTGACCTAGCATGCCGGAACACATTCGTTGATTTCTTTTGGTTGAACTAACCCATGTCAGCTATAGAAAGTTGAAATCCGGCTTTGCAAGTTTACCGGGCATCGCTGTGTCCTTAGTTTGTATGTGCGATTGAGGTCCTATTAGGGACGCACAGGGACTGGCTTTGCACCCAGACGAGCTGATTTAGTCTCGCATGAAGCCAGGCGTAAGGCAAGGTGCTTGCGCAACACGGAACATTAGAAAAGTGGTACGTATACTCAAGATAAATGTGCTTCGTCGGAATAACATTCCAGCTCGCCTCGAGGCTAGACAAGCTACCTGCATATTCCCGCACTAAAGGACTAGAGCATAGACATTTGGGGCAAACTACTTCAGAATGTGCACATGCTGTAACTTTTAGCTCATGATTAATTTAGGGTGTTTATCCTTATTATCATCAACGAACCCGGCTGTAGTGCTTCCTTAGTCTAGTTGTTAGGTGTTTCCCCTGCATTGGTTACGAATCCGAAAATTTTGGAGTTTTCACGATGGAATTAGCAGATATCAAAGAAAATGCTAGTGTTTTGATATGTTTGCGATCTCTGCGCACTTTGAAGTTTGTTATGATCTGATCAAAAGCTATAGCAGATAAATCTTACCCCTCTCCTATTTATAGCTTGAAGGGAAAGAGACAAGAAGGAAGGAAGGCACCAAGCCTTATACATGTGATTCTATCGGGGCTTGGTACCCGACACCGACGTCATAAGAGGAGTGATTATCAGATTGAGACCTCTCCCGGAGTCGATGCTCAAAATAATGAGGGCTAATTGTCGTGGTCGCTGGCCAGTTCTCCTTTTCTTGTTCAGTTTCCTCGTTCCAGATTGTAGTGCGGCGTTGAAGGTATGTAGCCGCGATCATAGCTATTTTTGAAAGAAATCAAGTTTTATATTAGTAGAGAGTCTTAATCCCTTGTGGCAGCAAGTTAAACGAGGCCTCTATCGGGGAGGGGTAACTCCTTACCAGCTTCTTTTGGTTTTTGCAAAGGGACTAAATGTCCACACTTTGGAATAAAGTGTACCTCGCAAGGTTGTGGCGTATTGAGAATCATTAATTCATTCTTATTACCCCAGTTTACAATACTATCCTCCCCTTGGATGTAACAGACTGGAGGCTTCATATCTTTGAGACGAGAAAATACTTCTTTTGGTTCAGTTCTATCTTGTATACGAGTTCTCCAGAATGTGAAAACCTCTTGATGCTTAGTAGTACAAAGAGTCACAGAATCCGGTCCGAATTTAGTAACATCTGAATACAGAGCCGTTGGAACTTTCCGAAGCCCATATTTCATGTGGATTTCAAGAACTTTGGGATCCCACTCCCGGTAAAAAGGTCGAGATTTGAAGTATTTGACTGCCTCTTCGTAAGATGGCCAGATATCACGTCGTTTGGCGGACAACGTTGCAGGGTTACCAGGACTAGTGCCAGGCAGAATTGGGAGTGGAGAGATTGCAGGATCAAGGCCTATAACACAGCTGAATAGAGTTGGGTGCATAAGGGAAAGATTAAAGAGCTGGGCACCACCCATAGAATGACCAATTGCAGCTATCGGCCGGGGGAAATCACTCTGGAGATGCATGACCAAGGAAAGAAGGTCCCAAGAGTGATCGTACCAACTTACTAACACAATTGTCAATGACTCGGTTATGATTATAGTCTAGAGTTTCGTTATGCATACCATCTCCACCCAGTTTTCTTTCGTTTAATACACCGGATTCTCCTTGATTATGGAAATCTGCGATCCAGATGCTTCGGATTTGACTTCCTTTCCTTTGATACTCCTCCACCAAAGATTCAAAGAATGGCTCATATAGTTCCTAACATAGGATAGAGTGTTCATGTTAGTTCAAGCATCTCACATCTATTAAACTCAAACCTTATTCTAGTTTTGATATGCTGGTTTGAAGGTTCATACCTTGTGAAAGCCATTCCCATGTGCGGCGAGTATCGTCAGATCTCCAGGCTTGGGATTCAAGTTGCTCAGAGGCCTGTAGCAATTCGCAACGAGTTCAAGTTTCTCGTTCTCAGTTCGAACTCCACGTACTAGCTCTCGAATCGGAAATGCAGGAAAAATGTGTTTTTCGGCTCTTAAGAGGCCACCATCTGTTATATAGGGCCTCTTGTCAATTGGATCTGAGGTGATAGGAACTGCGCTGATGGTCGCAAAGCCCATATAATTTCCTTGGTTTCTTGAATTACGAGAGGCTCTATACTTTAGTATAGGACTCCCAGCAGTATTTTGCTTTGCGAAGTTAAAGAACTGAGATATTAAATTTGCCTGAGGACGGCATCGGATCAAAGGATTGGCACAAATCCGGAACATTTTGAATGAAAATAAGAGCAGCTGACGGCTGGATAGTATCGCTGATAGATGCACGAGCTCGAGATCGCTGGTGTAGCATTGAAAACACAAAACAGCTTGACCTATTGCAACACTAGGTACTCCTCTTTCCCTGGGAGGTTTCTTCTATTGACCTATAAGAAGAGGGAACCGTAAACTGAAAAATTCATTTAGGCTCGTTATTCAAGATGATTTATTCAAATATTCAACGTACTCCAGATCGTTCTTGTTAACATTTAGCTACGAATTAGTCTCGTTTCCAGGCCATGAATATAATTTATGTCGACACAGAACCGTTCTCAATTCCGCTCCTACCCGGTTTCTATCACAATAATCGATTACAACTCTATTATTTGAACGGGTCGAACCGGATAAAGGTCGGCAGCAATTCTATCTGTAGAAATTGACGCTCGTATGATAAGTATTTGATGCTGATGATAATATACGGCACTCAAACATAATTTAGAATTTCACTTTTCTTCGTTTCTCCTAATAAAAACGACATGGAATATAACTGGATTTTGCAAAATAAAGAAGGAAACAATCTTATTGTTAATAGATAATGGGATTTATTTTAAAATTTTGTTGGTGTAGATAAAATAATGAAGTTTGAGATAGCTATATATAGTTTGGTCATGTAAACCATTGCCTAGTGACCCCATGTGTATAGGTACATCTCAATTTCTTCATGTATATACGAGCTACATAAATGAAGGCACCTAAAACTTTCATGCAAGGCAATTTTGCCCCTTAACGTTTGTAATTTTATAGTTTATTACTTTAATTGGTGGATGAGCGTCTGGCCGGCCGGCTCCGAGACTAGTTTATGATATCATGATAATGCAATGCAATGCACATATTAACGATCACCCATACCCCCAGAAGTGTGGGGTTGGCTTTTCCAGTGAATCTGAAGCAGGGAAGACCGAAAGACCTTTCTAAATTTAACCAGCTGCGGATCAGAAAAAAGGGTTAGATATATATGGGAAAGGCACAAATAAATTTTGATGTTTGTCGTAACGCCGGACGTGGACGGTCTCCTGGGTTACCATTCGTACTATCAGAATCGCTGCATTACTACTTATATACATTATTTCTAAACTGTAATTATAAACGGTACTATCCATAGCCTCGAAGAGAGCTTGTACTCGATGCCACATCGCACTGCGTATGTTTATCTGCCCCTAGCCATGGGGCTAGTGTCTAATCACGATTTTATGTGACTATCATGTATCATATAACAATATTTTATCTGGTCTATCGTTTGATATGGCTAGCTTTTACTACTATATGATAATACCTGAAAGGATCAAATTTGTGTACACGTGGAAGTAAAGAAAGACATGTGCCGTACTAGTGCAACTTGTAATCAGGCCGGTCCTGACATCTAACCAGACTAGAAGTGTTATCAATCGTCCCACTTTGGTAACTAAGAAATGCTCCCTCAGACTCTTCTAAGCCTAGTGTACATCATGGGCATTACGGAGCCTCCTATATCTTCCTCCGCAAGGAGGTCCCTTGCATTATCTCTCAATTTCTTGAAAAGCCCATCAACCCTCTCTGTTTCGACTCCAGACTCCAGCCACCAGCTCTTTACCATATCCCCAATGACTGCGAGAATCCAGTCTACCATAGTTCCAGCGTACTCTTTGGTCGCAGCCTTTTTCTTGTCCTGATCCGCACCTTCGCATGCTTCGAGGAACCTGTAGTAGGCTGGATGGGGAATAATCTTGCGTTCATATTTCTCCATAGCCCACGTATCACTAAACTCCGCAACTCCGGAAAGAAAATCTTCTTCTGTTCGATCATGCATGGGTATAAAAATCTTTTCCATCGCCTTCTGGGGGATTTTTCCTTCATTAGCGAGCTTTTCAGCAGCTCGGAATATGACTCTGTGGCGTATGGCAGTAGCATCGTTGTACTGATTAGCCAGCTCCTCCTTAGTACAAGCACCAAGACAACCAATGATAAGATAACCTCCGCGTTTGATCTCGTGACCGCGAAAAGCTAGGAACTCTCGCAAGTCCTCTTTTGCAGCGGGGGCATTGGCATCAGGACGTTTCTGATAATATTCAAGAACTGTCTCTCCCGATGGTTTGGGCGCCGGCAACCGTTTAAGCCAGTGAATGGTACAGGACGTAAATCCAATATCTACAGTTCCTGGAGCAACCACAGATTCATAGAATGACTTGGGGATTAGAGAGGGATAAATCTTTAAAGTTGGGTTGGAGTCATATAATTGCGGAAGGAGTTTGATAAGACTTGAGAACTCATTGGAGGGGAGATCTTCAAAGATTAGAGAGGCAGTAGATGAAGGAGGCAAGCGGTCAAGAGCATACTGCATCATCATCAATCTATTGAACCGTAAGCCATTAGTTAAATGCATGAAATTTCGAAGTTAAAATCGTAGCAGGAAAAACAATCTGGAGTAACATACGAATTCACGCCTTGAGAGCAACCATAATCAGCAATCGTAACGTTTGTGCCTAAGAATTAATATTCTAAGGGTTAGCTAACGCCCAAACTATATCTGTGATCACACGGAGTGGCCAGTGGCTGATCGATTGCTAACCAAATTTAATGTCATCAAACAAGGGCAATGCGGCAACCAAAACAGCGGCCTGTTGCTGACAATTCTCGTTGTAGGTGTTTCCACCAGCCATGGCAATAGAGTTGCACAGAGTCATCTTAGAAGAGGTCTTTTAAGCTGTTGTGCTGGGAGTTTGTTTAGAGCTTGAGGAAGCTATTCGGAGGCGGTGAAAGCTAGGGCTGGTATCTTTCGAGACGTATCTTATCTGATTTTGTGAGAGCGTTCTTCAAATTAATTTTGGCTAATTTGCTGTGTAGTTCGATCAGTAATTTATTTCATGGCTCCGTGATCCGATGGTTTATATATTATTCTCTGTGTTCGCGGATACTGGTAGGAAGTTAAATAGATCTAGATCCCTAGGCGGACTTTTCTTCCGAAGGCCTAACTTTCTACCAAGGATGGATCGGCCGATTCCATTGCATATTGGCAACATGATATCGGTCGATTCAATTGTAGAATTCCGAAATTTAACGACATAGACGAAATTTAACGAATCAAGTTATAGATGGTCGAGCTCTTGTGGATACGGCTGGGGCCGCACATGCATATGTGTCGCTGCCTTAACCCTTTCGCGATGAATTTCAAACATCGTGATATTGTTCCGATGGTTGAGTCGATTTGCAAGATTTGGCTGCAACGTGAAATTCATATCATAGCTTAAATGACCGTACTGCGGACCCCTCAGGTCTTCCTTCTCCTCGGAGTTGGGACGGATATATAGCTAGTAGCCGCACAATTGGCCGATTAAATTCAAACAATACTTAAAGATCGGATTTATTGGCGCCGGTCGGGGCCTCCGATAAGAAGATGTATGCATATAATGTCATAATCTGATCTTGCGCAGTTGCAGAAATAGTTTCTAAACTATGTTCAGTTAAATTAAAGTTAACTTGCCGGGCGCAGGAGGTTGCACACTTTATCAATCGGTATCAGGGCTCATTCCTTGGCTGATTAATCCCGAACACTCCCGTTCGACAAGCACAATTAGCTGCACGAGGCCTACCTACGCATTAGAGTGAATGAATAGATTTATTTTTTACTTCCAGAGCCGGGCTCCGCCAGCACAGTCTCGTTCCTAAGACTCCGCCTTTGTGATAGCCCAACGCTGCTAGCTATAATATATAGTTTAACGTTGGATAATATTGTACGTCATCAATTCCAGCTGCAGAATGATTCCGAAAATGCGCACCCGCAATCGATCGATCCTCGCAGTAGCTCCCAATTAGTGGTCCTAGCTAGGGCTCTCCGTGCATACTTGTAGCTTCCGGTAACCTTGGTACCGTTCAGCCTTGCAACCAAACTGCGCTTTTAAATTATGAATTTTCTGATCGATCCGACGGTATACAACACAATATACCTATACTTACCTAGATGGGTATACGAATTGCGAATATTGCGTAGCCTACATGCGACAAATTCTGGTGTCAGGAGAGACTAGCTACTTGGGATTATCTAGCATGATCTTGGTGCTTACTCAAGTACTTACATACCTAAAATAGGTGATACTACTGTGTCAAAGAACGAGGATTAATAGTTATTATTTAATTGAGTCTGCCTATGTTAATTAATGCAATTAGAATTATATTATGCGGCTGTGGCATATATGGCCGGTGCCAGCTGGTATGCTTAGCGCCATGGAAGACTAAGACTAACTAACGTACGTATATGCAAGGTATCTATGCTAGAAGAGGGGTACCCGGGTGTTTATTATCTTGATACAGCATCAATTCCGGCCAGGCGTTCTTCCATAATACGATACTACGACACATCGACGATTCGGGTGAGAACGGCATCAAAGACGAAAACTGGCTATAGTAGCTATCGACCAAACTTAATTATGTATTACTTGAAGTGTATGCTCTCGCAAATTTGCTGGTCTAACGACAGCAGCTAATCTGAAATCTCTCGCAGGGTGCGATGGTGCTGCCACGCAATCCCAGTCCCGAAAACGAAAGTCCTCTTTCTTCCATACCGGCATATCGGTAATATACCTGTCGACATAAACTTCAAGCTTTGCAGCATCAGCTTGACGACAGCCCCAGCCGACAAGCATAGATGCTAAACCTTTCCCTTGATGGCCAATGCCCACCGCTAAATATTCACATCCTATTTTTGAATATCCGTCAGCGATGCAATCTCCCCACGTGCCCATAATGACGAAATAGCGAAACAACGAAAAAAGAAACGATCTCATAAGTTTAATCAAACAAATTGAAATTATTATTTTGGCTTTCAAAATAGAATTATTATCTGCAATCAGGTAGCTTACCCCAATGAAGCCTGTTGCCCATAATATTCTCTCTATTCCGTGAATTGTTGCTGAAGAGTGCCTCCGTAAATTCAACCCCCCGCTCATCTGGGAAATCTGGTATCGGGACTTCTTTCCGAGCTTTTCGTGGTTGTGGCACATTCCATCTAGAGAATGCGACAATATTATTGTCTTTGTCCTCGACAACAAAGGTCTTAACAACGTCTCGGCCGGCCTGGATCCCTAGTTTCCAGACGTCGTCCCACCATTGAGAAGTTTTGGTATCGGGCTTGAAAACTAAATTGCGTGAAGAGAACCACAATCGTGTAAGCTCTTTTGCATCGCTGTATTTGGCCTCTCGGACGACGAAGCCAGGTGGAGTTCTGTGATAGATATCCTGGTTGTAAAATCGATAATCATTAATCACAGGTAAGTTATTTGTTATAGATTGATTGAGAGGGTCGAAGCTATGGAATTCTGAATATAAGTAGAGGGTCTCATAAATTTGATATTTGAGGAAGGGCTTTTTACGGCAAAGAAGCTGCAGTGGCGAGTTTCCGAGTTCCCTGCCTTTTTGAGCCTTCAATCCAAGTGACCATTGAGAAGTTCCGGACCCCTAGTACTTTCTTGAGAAAGAATCTAGCCATCTTTTATTAAGGTTTACTGCTTCTTAATCTTTATCTTTCTGAAAAACTAGAATTATGCTGTGAAATATTCGAAAGGTCGTTTGTATATATATATGCTTGCCCCAAGCTAGTAGAGAAATCTATCTTGTAGTTTGAGAATTTTAATTCTATATAAGTTTATAAACTTTGGTACTGCAATCGATTTCAGAACTGGATTAGCAACCTTATGAACCCTAGAAGTTAGGCATAACTTTCAAGCAACCGGGGGCATCCGCATAAAACTGTGAGTTCAATAGTTAAATACCAATTAACATGTTGGATAAGACAGTCGAGCTTGTAGAGAAGTGTTGAAATCCTCACGGTATAGCCGGATAGACCGTCGAACAAGAATTTCATCGCAACCATGTTTTTTTTTTTTTTTGAGGGCTCCTTAGGACAGGATGATGAATTGAGCGCTAGTGGATGCATTTGCACATCAAATTAAGGATACAGGGTCTCGGTGTTAGTGACTAAGTTAACAAGAAACTAATCGAAGTATTCTGCGGCGGGCCGCTAGCTCGCCCTTCACCTTATGCCGTACCGACCGGGTGGGCCATGTAGCTGCGCAAGAGGCAGCCGTTAATTAACCACTTAAGCACGCCAACCTAGTAAATATTATTTCATTTCAGCACGTATAGATCCTTGGGACCGATCCATGACAAATTGAGTGCCCCCAAGTAACATAGTACTCCTCGCTATCTGTTCTGGAGAGTTCTACTAATAGTTCTAAGGGTACATGTTTTGAGGTCACCAGCGATTATCGTTTGTACCTGTACCCCTAAAATGCAATAATGCTCTTACATTGCCAATATAATTGATATTATACCTGGATTCGAGTCTATTAAGGATATTAGAGAGGCAACACATTCCCCGACGTCATTGTCGGGACCAGTCTATTCCAGAACATGATGAAGGCTAGGGGAGTCTGAATATGGAGTCGTGTCCGTCTTCGTAATACTTTTCGTAAGCGCTAAGAAGAAAAATGGAGGCCAGAACGTGACACCTCTCCCCAGTGCTCGATGATTCTTTTATTCTACGTTAAATTCCAACAGCACCCATGCAAGAACCCACTATTTTCTATATAAACTTCTATGGAGGGGCACAAAGAAACCATGAGAAAGATTTCTGAACGTTCGAACATATACACAGTTATATACGTTATAAGAAGAAGAAAAAAATACTTAGTTAATATTATGCAGGCTTGTGTTCAACAGGTTATAGGCCAGCTTAGTCTCGTATCTGTCTACAACATTCACGCTTACAGCCTGTGAAATAGAATGGAATTGGTCTCGTTCCCAGAATGGAATGGAATTATTAGCTACTACTGCTACTGCCACTACTGTTCTGCTTATTTTCCTGGTGGGGAAGTTTCTTTATACGCCTATCTGCACAAGATCCAAACAGGTAATGTTTTGACGTGGTTGGTTTATACCTAGGTATATTATTTTATTTTATTTTATTTTATTCTACTTATATTTGCCTGAGGTGTAGGCAACTTATTATTCTATAAGATTTCAGTATAAACTTCATAGCCGGCACCTATACTAGTGGTGGGCATACGTTTTGCAGAATGCCTGAAATAAGCTCCGCCTCGAGCGCCTGGATTCGAGGCTAACCGTACCCCTGTTTTTCCGGGACAAACTATCACATACAAAAATTTCTCTATAGTGGTGAGTTCTATCAGAGACTTACGCCATGGTCGTTAAGTCTATATATAGTGTATATAGATGTTTGATGGAGAAGTACTTAAATACGTCGATAGACAAAGTTCATCAAACTGGAAACTCGCTCCGCTAGCTACCCAAGGACATCATTAATATTACTACGACCATCTGTCTTATTACTTGTATATATTTAATGCAATGAAATAGCTCTCTGGTTACCTAACAAAGTATCTAGGTACTCTTAATATAAGTATGTTAGCTACGTTAGAATGATAATATTGGGGACACTGTGCACCGTTAGACAGAGTACGGGTGTGTTGTGTTGCATTTCGGGGGCACCAGTTTCCAAGAATCGAACGCAGGCGCAGGTGCACGAGTTCTTCAACTAAGTAAGTACTTATAATTGCTGAAAGTATTTGTAAGTTTCTTTGAATTTTTCTTTATAAATTGAAAGGAATAATGGAGTAAAGATGAGAAACCCTAGTCTCGGGGCAGGGAACCCTAGAGGTTTTGTAGAAATATATTTAGATTCAATCGAGGGAGTTAGCTTGATAGCCCAAGACGGGTCTTAATATAGGCAGCTGGCAGTGGATCGAATCACCTAATGGTAACTCTTAGTCATCAACAACCACCAGCCGTCGATGCATTATAAGTAGGTACTCATCGAACCACCAATCAAAGTCCTAGTTCCCAGCCTTATCCAGTTAACCAACAAGCTATTCTCCTAGATGTCGATGTTGTCGTCGATGCCATTTTAGCTAATTTAGCCAATCACGGGACTTGCAGGGGCAGGGTCACGAGCTACCAACAATCCGGGTCTTGTCGCAGGTTTTCTAGTTTCACTTACATTCCATCTTTCCACCCGTTTCGAACGTTTCCGGCTTACCTCATCGCCATTCCCTCCCACTTCTCCCTATCCGGATACCTTCACGATACCCAACCTCCCCCCAGATTCTACCTCCTTTGCTCTTCCCATTACTTTCTCATATTATCATCGGTTCATGGAATCAGCAGGCTCCGTACAAACCCGCCAGCTCAAAAAATCCAAATATCATCCCATCTTCAAGTTTCGTCGACGCTGAGCTTGTACTAGCTCCACCCCCTCGCTACCGAAGTTTTCAATCATGGCCGACGTGGTCAACCACCCAACCTTCCATTCCGAGGAGGATGACTCTGTCCTCCTCAAAATGCCGCCACATATCGCTGCTCGTTTCTACAAACCTAAGAAGTCCGTCCAAAGACGTAGGTCGTCGTCCAACTCTTCCACTGGTCCCGGTTACATCCATCCCACCGAGCGTGCTCACTCTCGACGGCTTAAATTCCTTGAATCTCGAAAATCCCGACTGGCTGCACAGGCTTTACACGCTGAGAAAGTCCGTTCGCGAGTCAACCATGGTTCTCATCAGGCCGTCTCAGCACGTCTTCAGGCAATTAATGACTCTCTTCGTGCTGCAAAGGAAGCCAGAGAAGCTCAGTTGGCTAAAACTGCTGCTACCTGCGCGAGTGAAGTCGCTAAGGCCAAGGCAATTGCTGAAGGGGTCCGCTTGAAGCGAGAAAGTGAAATTCAGGCAATCAAAGACGGCGTGCAGGACAAATTGAATGCGGCTGAGGAGAGACGCTTGGAGTTGCTCAGGGCTCGACAGAACCGTCGCCCTCGGGGCAGCTCTGCTTCTCTCAAAACCCCCACAGAGATCAGCGAAGTCGTAGAGCCCCTCAGAAAGGCCGCTAGGGACGGCGCTGGTACCACTTCTCCACCGAAACGCCAACCTACAGTCGAGGAGGCCCGTGATTCTGCTGCTCGCGTTATCCAAAGGAATTGGATGGCCCACCGGAATTTTGAGATAGTGTCCAGCTTTGTTCGCCAGGGAATTACTCTCGAGACTTTTGGGACCATGCCGTTTGAGATGGCAACAGCCGCTATTCAGAGTCCCGAGTTAGCCAAGGCAACTGGCAGTATCCTTCAACTAGGTGGTGTTTTAGAGGATCCTGAGGAGGCGGCCAACCTCACAAAGGCCTGCAGAACTTTTCTGAGTGCCTACCTCATTTTGGGTCACCCTGCTGCTGTCCTTTCCAACGATGGCGAGAATGAAAAGGCTCTCATTGCCCAGAGCCGTGATCTTCTTTGTGCATTTGAATCATGGATCCTTAGCACAAGCGCAAACAACGGTCATCGCGGGGCACCTAAACGTCGTCAAACCTTCATCGACACGTATCAGCCGTTCTCTATCGCGTTTAACGCCTGGAAGGAAAGGGATCAACTCGAACTATTGAATGGGATGGTTAATCAGTTCGTTGAGCTTGATGCTCTCTGGCAGAAGGTTAAAGATGACTCTGAACCTCAGGTTGCTGCCGAGTTTAAAGAAAGCATACAGGAAAACCAAATGATAATTCTCAGCAGGATGAAAGCAATTGGAGGGAAAAGGGCAACCGAAATGCTTAAGAAAGCTGTGCAGAAGTCTAGACGCAGGTTACATCGCAAACAGGCCGATAGAAAGCCGCGTGCCGTTGTGTCTGAGACTGCATCAGATAACTCGGCGACGCAGAGTTTGGGAATCCAGGCCGCTATGCAGCAGGTTGAGGCCGGTTCGAGAGCGGACGAGGATTCCGCCCTATCGTACCAGGCTGCCTTTGATGATGAGAAGAGATTCAATCTCACCAACCGTCAGATCGCTCATGAGCTCCTCCTCGATCGCGCCTTCCGATTCAAGGAACGCTCCAAGGATCAGATCTATCAAACAGTGGAATATCAGGCTAAGAGGGCTTTCTACGATATCATGCGTGAAGACATCGCTGAGGGCGAGTTTGAGAAATGGATTCCATCTATGGCCGAAACCGTGCGACAGGTATGTACTCTGGTTCACACCTTTGACCTGATTTGACCCTCCTAATAACCCTTTTTAGAAACTCCTCCGGCTCGTCCCTGCAGGTTCTTCCGCTCACCAAATTATTTCTAACTCTATTGATATCGATTTGATCACCCAACAATGTCGCGCTCAGACCTATGACCACGTTCCTTTCTTCGGCTTCATTTATTCTCTCATCCCCAAACTTTGCTCCCCTGCACGTGATGAAGCTTGCCAGGCTCTTATCAATGATGTTTCACCAAACCAAGACTACATATCTCGTCTTGAGAAGCTCCTTGATTTTCTCGAGCTCATGCAGCTTGACCATGCAAACTATCAACTTATGACTGCTGCACCACACATAATTCCGCATGCAACCCAATACGAACAGCACATGTTCGCGGAGGATCTTGCCGGCGGAAGATTTGACCTTTCCCGCACTAAGACCTGGCTTAGCACCGCCGTCTCGGGGCGACTCGCAGAGCTTGCCTCCCGCGATACTGAGAGTGTAAACCACCCTCGTCAACGGCCCAGTGTATTTTCTCTTTTGAATCAAGGGTATATTTCCCTCTTGATTCACTTAAATCCACTGAGTAGTGTCTTGCTCCCCGAAACATTCCATATGGACGGCGAGCGAGTAGTCAATCTACACAGAGAGGTGAACACCGTTGTTGTCAGTTCTGCTATGCTTCTGACGATCAAGAGCCTTTTGAGGAGGGACGCGCGAACTGCCTGGAAAGGTGCAAGAGAGAAGACTGCCGAACTCATGGAGAACTCTCGCCTCTCCCCTGAAGCCAAGGCAGACGCTCTAGTAACGTTTCTCAAAGAGGATTTGGGAACTGGTATTACTGAAGCTCAAGTCGGACACGCTCGTCCTGCCGTTAAACGGCTGTTCGGAAATTTCGAGAGCGCAAGGAGGGGAGATACATCAGGTCTACTCGGAGACCCTGTAGTAAAGGTGATGCTTGCAAGACTCAAGGGTTTTGTGCTCGCAAATCTAGACGCACAAACGCCGAAGGAAAAGGTAAAACTTGCTAGCGGAGCTACAGAGACCCTCACAAGCTACGGAATGGCAGAGCAAGTTGCCGAGGTTGCCGAAATTGTAAATGGAGTTCTGGCGTTGGCTAGTGTCAACAGGGAATGCTATTCGAAATGGTACGACGGAATCATCGTCGAGGCTATGGCGCAGGAGAATTAGACTACGGCGTTTCCTTTTTTATTTGGAGGAAGGAGTCTTGTTGTGGACTTGCTTGTTTTGGGGTTTGAAGGATTTTTGATTTTCGGGTGGGAAGGATTTTATTTGGATTGGAGTCTTCTTTTCGTTTTCTTGCATTCAGAGGAATGGTTGGATTCCCCTTATCCTTTTTCCATTGTTCGCTATTGAAGTTACCCAATCCTTGTTGCTTAATTATTATTACGGATCGTTTCGAAATTCAGTTACAATCATTTCACAGTCGTTCTCTGCCGGATGAAATCAAAATGACGAGACTGCACAAGTTGTAGATGAGGATGGAATAGAAAGTTTTGTGTTGGTGCGCAATATCCAACAAGATGCCACCGATTTAAGCTTAAATCTTGCATACAAGCAGTTTATACCGTGTCGTAACTACCCTACATCAAGACTCATATACTCAAAAAGCAATGGAGCCATCGCCTCCTCAAGCCGAATCATCGGCGGTACCACTTTCATCAGAGCTCGAGACCTTGACATCGGTCTACTCCGAAGCAGCAGCCTACCTTGCAAAACTCACGGCGCAGCTAGCGGAATTAGAGTACGTAATAACTACTTATTCACAAACATGTATCCTACTTATCTACTCTGATACACAATAATGACTTTTTTTAAAAAATTAAAAAAATGATATATAGAACAACTCAAACTACACTTCTACATTCCTATCATGCCACTTCCACGGCTTTGGCGGATATTAGAGGTTATAACGCCGTAGCACCGGCAATGGATTTATTACCTGTTTACACCGCGAAAGTAGCACGGTTGAAGCAATTGATGGGACAACAGAGACAGGCGGTTGATAGGATGAAAGTTAGGGCTGAGGAGGTCAGGAAGGTCAAAGCAGGTGTTCATGAACGGTTGAAGAAGAGGTGGGAAGAAGAGAGGGAGAGGGATAAGGGTTTGACCGCGAGGATGGTGGGGGCAGTGGGCATGAGGACTGGGGTGGTGAATAATACGGAGGGAAAAGAGGAAGAACTAGTTGTAGCGGTAGGTAAGGGTTTGACGGGGAATGGTAAGGTTCCTGAGCCCTCGTCCTCGTCATCCTCGTCGATGCCGGCATCACGGATTGAGCGGCAACTTGAAGTTCAAGGATACCAGGGGCCGGGGACGTCGGTTGATGCACCTGAACCAAGTATACCACCTACTATAGCGGTAGTTACAAAGACGGTTGTAAAAAGGAAGAAGAAAGCAAGACAGGCTGAGATTGAATAAAGCCTTGAGAATATTATCTATCAATTCACTTTTCAGAATTCTCTTCCCTAATCAGAAGCGTTTAACCGTGATAAGATTTCTCTATTTACCGTTTTTTTTCGGAAACGTACGATTTATAGTTTCTAGTTTGTTTCTTAATCACGCTCATCTACTTGTGATCTAACGACCTCGAAGAGAGAAAATATACTCCAGAGGTTTCGTCTCTCCTCAAACTTCTAGCATGTTTCAACCATTTCAGCGGTACCGAAAAAGACTTCTACATACAAACTTCAAAATCATGACCTCGCTCATTGGCTAGAAGCTTATCAAATAGAAGCATTTAGCTAACGAAAAAGCTTAGAATCTTGGAAACCCCTGCTACTTGAACGAAACCTTATCAAGATCCTGGAGGTCCCTTTCTCTTGATTGGAGAAACCTCAATCGATGCTAATCACATACTCCACCACAAGGATAAGGCAGAAGGAGCACGTAACCACCTGCCGGTTGCGTCTGCACTCACTTTTTGTTTTTTTTTTGTAAAGAGCTCTCGCTAAATTATAAACACTTCTCCCAGTCTGACGACAATATCTCAGAATACGTTTGTTCCGTTGTAGTTTGTGGCTAAATAGTTTACTTTACCTGACATTGTGGGTAAAAGGTAAAATAGCATTCCGTTTGCGTCTACGGAAGAAGATTTCCGAGGGGCTGTGGCGCCACGGGGAGGCAATTGCAATCAGTCTACTATCACGACAAAAAAGCGAATGGGCTTCGCTTGTTCGTTTAGTTGTCTAGGTTCTCTTCGGCCGAGGGTCAGGGCAGTTTAAGACCTATTGTAAGAGTGTATCTGGAGCAGGGGGGCTAACTGAGGTGTGTACGCCCCTAAACTCTGCTATACTTCAAGTTAAAGTAGCCTGATATTATGTACGTATATTGTATTGATATATGTGGTTATCGATAACAATCAATGGAAGAGGGTTTGAACCCGGAATAGAATTAAAATTCTAGACATAAAAATTCTAGACATCAATGACCATCCTTTCCCCAGTTCCTTGTCACACGTTAACATTTGCGGGGAAGGTTGCAAACCGTTTAATTTATATTACAACCTCGTGTCGAATGCTACATACCCATTTCCGGATACATCTCCCTACGGATATATACGCGGATGACCCTTTTCTTTCTATACTTCACACCCCCCATCTGCATATCCGCTACCCTCAAACCCCAGGACAGAAGAAGCTTAGAAATCAAGTACTGTTCTATCCCTACATATTAGCAATACCATAAAACCTGGAAACCTGACTAATCATACGTACGGCAAACAAGTCGCGAGGCCGTCCGTTTTCGAAATAAACTTTCAAACTCTAAGACCTTAAGCAGCTAACCGAGCACTATAATGATATCATATTAGGCGATCGTACCTGTGCCCGTCGATATATGGAAAGTATGAATGACAAAGGCGTTACTGTACAATAGCGGATATGCATGGCTTGCAAAGCCGGACAAGGGCACTAAGGGAGGGGCGTATTGATTCCGCACCCACAACCCCCACGCCACTAACTAGCCCCTACTATGTAGACATTTGACGCATGCCATTACTCATGACATATCCGAAATCGCTGTATAAGAATATTTTTACAAGGCTATACTATACATTTCTTGTTAGTTAATGCTGCTAGGTCTAGGTTTCATCCCGCCTAAACTGAAAGAACCACTTTAGCCACATCTGAGACCGAATACTAGTCGTTTCACCATCTATCGGTGAGTAAGACGTTGACTGCTACTAGAGTATTTATCCATAATATGCAGGCATATAAAAAACGCAGAGTTCAAGGGTTGGAGGGTTCGAATCACGATCAAATGCTACTGTGACCTGCGATATAAATTAAACGTCAACAAGAGAAGCGAGAATATTTAATGCTTGTAGATGCGGCATATTCCTGCGCATGTGAATATGCTTTAGCCTTTCCTCCAACCCCTCCTCGAAAATATAAAAAAAATAATTAAGAAATAAGAAATAAGAAATAAGAAATAAGAAACGATCGCTTCAAAAGAAGCATTGGTCTAAGCATCCAATAATGTGGGGGGCAAGTATGCTTCTGTGCAGGAGAAGATGACGGAAGATACCGTTCCTGGAAAGTGGCCCCAAAATTCCAACAAATGGAAAAATGTTGTAAGCTTCCATGATGCAAGAACAGGCTATAACTTCACTTATAAGACAACCTCCCAAGAGGGAAAATTCCGTTTTAATACACCCAAGCGAATATCGTTGACCGGAATATCTGCGCATTCCGCAAACGACACGATACAGGCCTCCAGTTTCCCTCCCATCTTTCATATACAAGTACAAGTATTTCTTCTAAGTTTAGATTCCGAAATGAGAGGAGGCAATAACAGCCTATTGTTCTTCAGCAAACTCGACGAGTTTGCTTTCACAACTCTCTGTTTTGGGGAAATTCTGAAGAAGGTATATGATCGACCATGCATGACATCGTGATGCAATTTCACCTTGGAAGATCCATACTTTACCATGTTGACTCGGTTGAGATTCGAATCTTGGTTTTGTTTTTGAATCGCAAGTTTTTTTTTTTTTCTCCGACATGCCGCAAAAGCTGGCGCCATGGCCCGACGATGCGACACCTCATTCGTTCTTGAAAGTTACTAGGGCCACGCAGATGTCAATCCCTTATTGGCCCTGTCTCAACCTTGCGAATTCGAATTCATTTATTTTTATTTATTTTTTCGCATGTGTGTCTTTCCCTTGGAAATTCGAACCCCTGCTGCAGGGCGGTGAAAGGGTACCCATTGAGCAAAATGCCTCTGCTGATATGATGTCGAATGCATGGTCCCATCCAGCCCTGTCATGGGAGCTCACACCCAAAATCTTATGGACAGGCCCGCCACTATGTCGGGGCTTACATTGGATGGGAGGCAAAAAGGGTATTAAAAATTTTCCAACAGACGACAACAGACCACAAAGTGTTGAGAATCATTCGAGAGGGAGATTTCTCGGTGACACTTACAGCGAAATTCTTTTTTTTTTTCGGCGCGAAGGTTAAAAAAAAATAAAATAAAAGAGCTCAATAGAATGTCTTAGTATAGCCCTCAAAGAATGGTTCGCCAATATCTTCGAGAATAAAGAATAAAAAATAAAAAAAACGAAGCCTTTTTTCCCTTTCGGATACGGATGATATCGGAATAACCGTAGATTAAACTGTCCTTCTAGAAGGTTTCGTGGAATGAATTCTTCGGTTTTTTTCTTCTATGGTGTTATAGCATAGAAATGTTAGCTTAGCCGCGGGTACGGGATGCCCTCTCCGGCCACCAACATCCCAGGAATAGAATGTAGCTTCCTCCCGTGCGCCGAATAAGCGATATAACTATCTAGATCTTGATATTTGCTGCCGAAACGGATAGATTTATTAGGAGGCTCAGTTAGTAGAGGTAATTGGAGCTTATTTGTGAATCAATATTGGCTAAAGCACGAACTGTGCATATGCTGCATGTTATTGCGAACGTGGTGATGGTTACGCTAACCATCTTTGAACCCTCAAGCTTAACTCTTTCCCTCGACCTTCAAGTTGCTTAAAAAATAGGTTAATAATATTAATAATTCTGTCCAGTGTGAAAATTGATAGAACTGATGAATCCTATGTTAATGCCATCTCATCCGATTGACTCGAACGAGAACACGGACTATAAACTTCTTCGGGTGGACCTACTGTCTACGAATGATATATCTCCACATTCACTCTACATAGTACTAATTGATCAAACATTGCATGAACCAAAAACCGCGATGTCGCATGAACCCCACGAGGTGAACTCGGAGAAGAGCTAAAAAAAAAGGAATTCCCAATTATATGTGCAAAATCTATAATAATACACACGATCAAGGCCAGTTCGATTCGAAAGGTCTTATGTCGACGTGGTCGATAAGATATATGCATAATTCTCGATGTTAACCAACCCGTATTACGGCTAGAGATCCTTGAAACGGAAACCCATCTACAATTGAATTACCCCACGGTACTTGAACACTAAATATATCTAGTAATGTGTAAACAGCGAACAAGAGGTCGGATTTAAACTTCGAAATAGCTTTAATTGACATTTACTTGAAGATGGTGGTGGTGCCGGGGTTGACCTGTCGATCCAGGGCATACCGAGGAACCAAGCTTTTTCAAGATACCCAGACTTCGACCTTCCTCATCTTATCCATGTCTTCGCAATTGGAATGGAACACCTATCGTGACGTTATATACATGCATGTAATATTTCGCTTAAGAAACGGAAAAAAAGATATCTAGAAGAAATATACCGAGCATAGGGTGGTTCGATGTTCCGGAGGGGCTAGTTAAGGCTGAAGTTATCAATGATTACAATTTCTACTGATTAAGATACCCTTGCGGCTTTTACGATTATTGACTTTACGAAAAGCAAATATGAGATGGAGAGCTAATTATTTGTTTCTTGAATTATTGTTGTATTTTCCGAATAGCGTTTTTAATTTTGTTATTCGGTTGTTATCCATCGAGGGATTTCACATCTTCCGAGCCTTTGATCCGAAGTATGCTACAATTGTATCCAAATGGATATCCCACCCCTCCTAGGTCAAAAGCAGGAAAAGGTCTGTAGGACGGGAGAAAAAAAAATAACAAAAGGAAAAGTTGTCAGACTCAGTAACGCCTTAAACGCACTCAAAAATGATAGAAGTAACATGTACTCGAGAAGCAAAAAGGTACTTATTTAGCAAAAGCGGAGGGTAGTTAAAATATATCAAACTCCGGTCAAACGCCTGTTAAGAATCCATACTGCGAAGGGAAAGGAAAAAAAAGAGCTGCATGATGCATTTTACAAGGCGTTAAAAGAGAGAAAAACGATAACAAAGTCCGTTACACCCATCAAAGAGATCAAAAACTCCTAGGAATAGGAAATGATAATCGGTAAGCGACAAGGGGAGTTGAGGGAAGCGGGTGAGAAGAGCTCGAAAGGCTTTTGGACGCCGTGAAACCGTAGAGTGAAGATAGTAAATTTTGAGGTGTGGATATTTTTTTGTGGAAGAACCACCTTTAGGACGTCCTAAATAGGCTGTAAATTCCGGATGACCATGCATGTCTGGGCCTCAGCGGAAAGACATGGCTACCGGTGTCTCCCGGGAAGCCGTCTGCCGGGAAAATAGATTTATGTTCCGTTAAAATTTTGTTCAGGGAAAGAGAAAAAAAGAGGAAGGACGAGCTTTGCTGGATGATGGGTATCGAGAAGCAGAGGTGTTGATTATTGAATTACCGGATTCTTCGGATTCGACAGAGGAAGGGAAAATTGGTGCACACCAAGCCCGGGTATGTAAGTGCGGTCCGAAATATTGTACATAGAAACATATATTCTTGGGCAGGCCCACTAAAAAGTCGTAGTTGGTAATTGTAGAAGGCGCGAAAGTTGTGTAGTATTATCTAGAGGCCCGTTGAATCATATACTCATACAAGCGGAAGGATGTTCGTCAAGGTCGTAAATTCGTGCAAGGCATTTTGACTAACTGGAGGTAGCTCTTAGTCATTGGTAAGGGTCACTCGACCGGCTGGTGAGGTTTGGAATATTTCCTCTCCTGCTCTTTGACCATCCGAGCTTTCCAGTCATCTTCCTCCAGGTTTCGTGAGACCTGCCCTTCGGGCTACTAGATTCGCAGCTTGGGGGGGTATGGGGAGGTGTCATTGGAGAAACCATGGACTCTGAGCTCTCCTCGATGATGCTATCACCACTATTGCTACCACCCCACGAGCTTGGCGCGGGCTGTGCAGAATGCCGGTGCCACCCTAGCGCAGGGCTGAAGGGCGAAGCTCCGGTCCGCGACTGACCCGACCCGGTTGTTCCAGAAGAGTAGGAAGAAGAGTAATCCAGAGCTGGAGGTGAGCCGGAGCTTTGTCGAGACTTGTAAAGGACCCTTTCGTCAAGGCTGCCTCGCATGTATGCGTTGTCGTTTTCCCATGGCGCTGGGTATGAAGGCTTAAATTCGGTTCCAACAGAATTTAGGAAGGGCATCAAGATAGACTCTTCCATAAGTTCGTGTATTATGTTGACAGCAGAATCCAGTGAGTCGGGGTGGGGAGGGAGGTATGTTGTTGGAAGACTCAAGAGTTCGTCTCGAATAGTGCCGGGAACGTTTACTTCCCTAGGACCATTAGGCTGAATGTATGCATCCATAAGTCTCTGCCACAGCATCTTGACGTATTGACAAGATTCGTCCGAAGGTGTTATTGGCGAGCCGCCAGGCGATGAAGTCATCGATTGGTAATGTTTTCTATATCTCTTAGCGTCCATCGTAAATTCTAAGGTCTCGAGGCAATGGTTTTGCGATAGATAGGCCATAAAGGCACTTAGAGTGTAAGGCGGGCTAGCCTTGTTTGCAAGGACGTCCGCGAGTGTCGGCCGTCGAGGGCAATAGGCACCAGCCGCCATGGTTAAGCTTGCAGGTCTCGACTGAAACTCACTGGTGTTGGACGACATGTCGTCGTCCTCTTGGTCGGAGTGGTTTGGTGACACGCTGGGCGAATTGTCGGACGAAGATCTGGATCTCGAGAGTCGTAGTGACGGTGGACGTCTATAATTCCGCGCAGACATACTGCCTTTGAAAACCATTTGCCAATCCGGGTTTTTAAGGTCGGATTTGCAACTAAAAAAAGGGAAAATTTTTTGTGCGGAGTGAAAAAATTATTCCCCAGTTGTCGCTATCGCATTGAAACGCTGGCGATGTGCTGAAGAAAAAAGGTTGAAAAGGAGCCCGGGCCTTGTTCCTCAATCCCACCCTAGTATCATGCGATAGGGATCGGAATCTATGTCGAATTCCTGGTCGGACTACTCAACGTATACAGTCGGCGGAGAAAATGGAAGAGTTTCTGAGCTTCTAGAAATCTCAAATTTAGTTAATGCCTTGGGAAAAAGCCGCAGACTAGTAACAACAAAAAAGTGATGTTTTCATGAAGGGTGAGAGATTTTTGTGAAAAAGGCAAAATGCTTGGGTAGGGGACGTGGCAAGTCTTTAAGGTCTATGGGCACAGAAGTAGACTTTTATGACAATTTGAGGTGGATTGAGCCAAAGTTGAGAGAAAAGGTTACTGCATGCTTGGGGGGAAAGAGTATGAAGTATGTATGCAACGACGTAGAATGACGGTTGGTGAGACAAACCCAAAGCTTCAGTTCAACATTAAACTCCAACTGAAAGAATAACCCAAAAAGAAAACTAACTCAATCGGCGATTTCTTGTCTTTTACTCGGAGTATGTATGAAGCCTGTTAACTTTATTTCTTTTGCGGGAACAGTGCAGTGACTGCGGTTGGTAGGTTGCGTCGATGTTGTTGAGACAGTCGGGGAGAGATGTTACGCTGTGTGCCTGTCTCCTGACGTCCTCCACCCTTTTGGTAAAAAGGGCAATCTGAGGTCTCAATGTGAGCTTGTCGATGTTTGACGGGAAGCAGGAAGAGCTCGCGAGGAGGGTATCGAGCCGGTTGGATCGGTCGAGAGGTCGTACAAAGCCAGAATAAACGGTTTGGTCAAAGAATCAACGTCGTGTTTGGTGCGACGGGGACTGATGCAGAGGATGTGGCAACCCGAGAGCGGAGAAGCAGCAGGTCGGACAGAGGATTAGAAGGAAGAAGGCGAACGATGTAAATGATATGTGGTAATAGATAAGTAGAAATATGTAATTGTAAGGATAGTGGTTGAAATATATGAGGCCAGAGTTTGGTAATAATTAAGAACTTCACGGGAGGGCAAGTGTAGACGAGGTTCGTTCAAATTCAGTTCATGTAAGTTTTCCCTTACTTCATCCACAGACAGTACCTGCAAATAATAATAGAGGCAGATGCAAGAAAGGTTTATGGCTGGAGAAGGCAAGGAATGCGTAGATCAAGTGGGAATGGGATTGGACTCGACGATGCTGCCTCTTTTGGCTACTTCTATTGTTCGAGAATCCCCATGCCCTTGCTAATGAACTCCAATTTTGACCCTAAACAGGCTGGAAAAACGTCGACAGACGGGTTTTATTAACTATTGACAGAGCTTCGTTCGATCAGAATGAGCGTGTCGACGACGAAAAGAATGGGTTTGATTGTCGAGCGGGTTGGCAATTCAGAGTTTCCTTTGTCTACCACGGCGGGCTAGGTAACTTCCAATTCGTGCGGTAGTCGTTCCCTTTTTTTTCTCCCTCTTGTTTCGTTGTGAACACAAGGATAGGTGCACTCGTAGCAGGATGCTGGTACTGTCAAACCCCCCGTGTCTATTCGGTTTCGAAGTGTCCAGGTAAAGTCGGTAAGAGCTGAAGTGTAACTGGTATCTTGAGGATTTATGTGCGGATATTCGCAACAAGCAAGCAGCAAAGAGAGGACCAGTTCAAGAGTGTGGGTACCGTCGAAGTATTATTAAGAGGCCCCCGACCCCCAAGCAAAGCAAAGCAATGCAAAACAGTGCGGTGCAGTCGAGTTAGCACGACTAACAAATCTGCTTTAGTTAGTGCTCTTTTTTTTCTTCCAAACACCCATCACCTGTCAGTGACCGGGGTGGTCCCATCGTCCTGTTGTGTGTGTGCTACTGGGGTTGATCGAAGCAGCTAGTTTGTCGAAAAGCAAATAATGGTGGTGGTGTCTTCTTTAGCACACCATCTTTCGCCTTTCCCTGTCTTTCCCTGTTATTTCATCTTTCTTTTTCAGAGGTTCTTTTTGGAAGCAAAAGGCAGTCGGTTTTAGCGCGAGGGTGACGGTGAAGGTCCACAACTGCAAGTGGTAGTTTCTTCTTCGAGACCAGTGATTGGGCCTGGTCGATATCGATTTCTAATAATGCATCGCATCCGACAGACCACTACGGCTGTTTCTCGATTTGCAAAACTTGAACTAGAAACTAAAATGTCCAGAGAGGGTGTAAGATAGAAAGAAGGATAGTTAGAGCGTGAAATGAACTCTTCTCGAACGGCATCTGAGACGCCTTCTGTGCCAGCGACAGCGACCACATTAAATGTTGATTTTGAGATGTTGTGGTTAGTGAGAGTGGTGCGGTGCGGTGCAGTGCAGTGCATAAAAGTGGACAAGAAGGGGACCTCTCACAAACGTTGTGTTGTCCGCACAGGGACATGAACTGTACTTACATCCACTTAGACGTCGACTCTACTTCACCACTTACTTCTATCTGCTTCAAAAGCTACATAATACTGACTTGCACAATACAGTACCTACATGCTCAGTAATTAAAGTACTTACATATCCCGCCGACTTCCCGCCCGTATGTATGTACTCAGTATGTGTATGTCTGGAGCGGCATCTTATCCAGTCTCCTTTGCTTCCTTCATGCAGATGGATGGCCCCCTTCATGTCATGCAAAGGACCCTCAAGGGCCTCATTTCGGCAAGTCCAATGGTCGGAGCGGGTTCGCTAGGAGGTATGGATTCTATCATCGATTCCAATCAATTCAAACCTTCCAACCCTCGCATAAAGCATGAACGGGTGCCGCTAACAAGTTATGTACTGTGTACAGTTTGTATCTAATGTACTTGCATACTAAGTACATACTGACCGTAAGTACACCTCTCAACCAACGACATCGCAAGTACCAATTTGTAAGTGCGGGTTTCTAACAGTCCCATCATATTTTCTTTTTTCCATATTCTTTTATACTTCTACATTCTTCTCACGCTTCTGGAACCTGAATACAAAAAAGATAGTGGGTGTGCTCATAACCAGGAAAGGAGGGGGTTGCGAAAGAGCCCAACATGTTAACAAGACCCCAGGACCAGCAGCCGGGTGGCAAAGAACCCGGTGGCCATTTTCGCCAAAGAAGTCTTCTGGAAGAAAACCAATTTGTGCTTCCCAATATATGGCTATGTATGCTATGCCATCATCTAACTACCTCAAAGAACGAGATTCTGTATAATGCGATCATGATGACCAGATAGCACACCAGCGATCCGCATCTTGTTCCGTCCCTTGTCGATGGTTCCCACAGGGCTGGCTGTCGCGGACACATGCCGACCTATCGACCTTTTCCCTTTCTCGACCACTCTCAAACGAACGAAGACTGGTTCAAGATACGATGTGCCCTAAGCTGCATATGTATCTTCTCGCTAGGGTATTAATTCGTCACCTGGCTAAATATGCTTCGTGGATCCTCTCACAGCAGGATCTATCTGCCCACGGTCTCCTGCTGGATACATCGAAAGCACCCCACCATCTTCCCACTAATATGTCCGGGATCAAGGGTCCTGGGAGCTGCAAGCTTCGACCGGAGGAGGTCAAAAAAATTACTTACTTAGGATGCATCTGCAAAGGACAAGGTCCATTGAATGGCTAGACTGGTTGGCGCTTGCATGTCACAATCATTCTTTCTATGTAGGTAGGAACGTCGGCACTTTTGCTTTTTGTTTTTTTAATGTTTTTTTTCTAATCCCAGTTCAAAAAGCTTTGGTCCACTTCCTGCACTCTGCAGTGAGGGCCCCCAAATCTGTATGTACACCTCCTGTAGCTGCATATACGTATCTGGACGTATTGGAAAGAGGTCCTCAAAAGAGGACTCCACTCGGGTGCATTTCTCGCTTTCTTGATCCCGGACGGTGGAGCAGAACGACCTTGTTCTCTTCTTTCTTTCTTTCTCATGCTTGTAACTACCCTTCACACAAGCTTCGAAATACCGAGACCTACATACTATTAAAAAGACAGAAGTGGAGTCTATAGCACAGGAGCTAAGCTAGCCAAGTTACCTGGCGCTTTGTCAACGCAATTGCAAATCACACCGCGAGATACGGTCGTAGCTTACTTTCAAAGCTCACAGTGGCTGAACCTGTGGACCAGGATGGCAAACTGCACATGTGATAGGCTGAAGCACCCCGGTGGATGCGGATAACGACGATCCGCTTGGCCTGTTCGAACCTTCTTCCAAGGAATCCTGTAAGAACCTCACCTTGCTTCCATTAATATTCTAGAAAAAGCCATCGAAGCGTGAGATTTTGGTGCCAATATTTATAGCCTTTCTAAGATGTATCATCCAAGATTGCGTTGCGCAACCATAAACTTCATGTTTTCCAAATTTTGAAAGTTTCAGGAAAAGTATATTATTTGACATCATATGATTTCGATTATTAACTGCAATAGACATTTCCAAATCAGTGGGTTTGATGTTTTTATAAATCTTTCTGCTGCAGCTTTGTGCGTTCATATCTGTATGAACTTGAGGTCTCGAGCTGTGGATCCCCAGTATCCCAACCAGCCTCGGCAGCTTTCTCAAGAAACTCTTCAAATATCCCATCAAGCTGGCGTTTCGCATCGACGAGAGCCCGTAAAGCGTCCGACTCCGTAACCGCCTGTGATCGCCTGTCGGATAGTAGCTTTGCCGATAGGAGACCGTGCATCCAAGCCCTAAACTGTCCGGCGGGTGTACAGCCATTTTCGAGGCATATACATACGCGTATGTCTCGAAGCTTATCCCCAAACCAAAGCATATACTGCTCCGTTGGGCAAGCTTTTGCGACCTCCGCCAGCGACAAGCTCCCAGAAGCCGACTTCCGGGCAACTATAGACGACAACTTTGTCCCTATGACCCCCCAGCCGACAACAGCCCCGTCGCACCACCTGAGGACGCCATCTCGCTCAAAGATGCGCTCTTGTCTTGCCACATCTTTCGGCGTCAACATGACACCAGTTTCAGCAAACGTTGACATAACGGAATTTGCCCTTTGCCGGTTTAGCGTCACCATGGTCACCGCCTTCACAGCTCGGTAGTTGGTCCAGAGGTGAACAGCTATCAGAAATAGCATTGACGCCCATGTAGCCGTTTTAGATGTGACCGACGAGATGACCAAACTTCCCGCCTTGACCCGGAGTGTTTGGTCAGCTCTCATCTAATCAAATATTATCTCCGACTACGGCAGCAGGAGCAGCGCATTCGCAGGAAGGGAAAAGAAAAAAGAAGTGTGTGTGAGAGAGAGCAGCATATCAATTTCTCTTACCAACATTCCCATCAAGCTGATAACTGTTTCCTGACTTGAATCCTGGAGTGTTTCCCAAATCAGTACCACTTCCAGGAAGATCTCTAATACGACTTGCATTAAGAGTGGAGCTTACTTTTGCGTTCAACTCGGCAACATTACCCCATTTTGAAAAATGCACACTCAACTGAGCTTTGGACCCTGTTCGTCACACCGAAAGCACGGAAACGTATTAGAAAGAAATAAATAATAAACACTGATATCAAAGAAAAAAGATTCCTCGCGGGAAGGCCGTATGACCTCTTTCTCTTCGGGAAATTTAGGGAAAATATTAATAATAAAGAATTTGGGCGTGACATACCTCCGCCAGCAACGCCACACAAGGCTCTTAGCGTCCCCGCAGTGCTCAAGAGCACGACCCTCAAGGGTTTAGGGAACACCGGGGACAAGCAATCCACGATCAACGCCGAGTCATTGAATATATCAGCCGCGAATCGGAAACGTTTGCATTCCGGCTCGAGCGAGCTACCTAGTCGGTGGGCGAATAGGATGGTAGCGACTCTGCCGATCGAGTCTTGAACAATCTTTAGCAAGACGGCCGCGGTGGTGGATGCATTAGAATCCTCGAATCCAACGGCTAGGTCCCCGCTTGGTAGGCATAACGTCAGCTATACGGGACTGGGAAGTATAGTACACGATTACTACTCTTTCTTCCTCTTTGATGTCGCTTTCTTTCTTTCTTTTTTCCTTTTCTTTTTCTTTCATGCACATGATGTGAATGGGTTGAAAGGAGGTGGGAGAACGATGGTACCCACCTTGCAGGACAGCTCGCGAGGAAAGAAGGCCTGCTATCGAACTAGAGAATGCTTGAAGAGAGTCCTGCACGATTGAAAGAATTTTTTCCCCTCTCAGCTCGCTTGCAAGCCTTATGCTATTCGGTACCAATCAGGCATTTTGAACTGAGACTTACATAAATCTGATATCTATAAAGTTAAGCACACCACATATTTCAGTCCTTAGCACACACCAGCCAGTTGAAAAGAAACCACTTATTTTTCTTCTTCTTGAAGGCAATGGTACACTTACTCTAGATAATCATCTGTAACACTTTTAGGATACCCGGCTGGGAGAAATATGTTGATGATATTCTGAATATGGCTAATGGCTTGCGGCTGGAGTGAATTCTGCAAGGGTCACCAAAATATCAATTTTCTGAATCCTTCAGCTGAAAAGAAAGTACCGTAGTACAAAGTATTTGATGGGTACATGAATCATGTACATAAACCCAATCAAATAAAGAAAAAGCCAGGGGTGGCGTTCAACTTAAGGTTGACGGCAAGTCAAAGAGAAGACAAGGGAACTTACGCTTTGAACTACCTGGTGGACCTGCACGATATTCTGGTTCCCCTGTTGTCGATACTCAGCTGTAATGATGCCTGACTGATCTCTCTCCACGATTGAGATAAAATCTCCCTTTTCGGAACTTGACGACATGGTTCAAAATTCTATCCGAAATCTTTTTTTGTTCTGTCCCGTGAAGGGAAGCTGGTAAGGGTTGAAATGGGCGAGTTTGTGTCTACCGTGGCTGGTTCGAATGTGACGAACGATGACATGTATGTTGGACGTTGTGGGTTGTGTTACCCAAACAGCCATTTTTAGCTAGTAACAACGCATAAAATACCACAAATAACATTGTGAACTCGACCAGCCGATAATATGACAGGGAACAGGAAAAACAGAGGCAAATCTCGAAAGGACATGGAGATCGAACCAATTGGAAGTCTAAAAGACATAGGAACAAATGGGTACTTTTCTCTTCAAACCGAAACTGGCATCTCGATCATGCGATCGTGCGTGTCCGTGCATCTACGTACTAGCCATGCCAGGCCAGACCTCTACTTCCGATTACCCCAGTCTACCAGATCGACAATCCTTCGACAAAATCACTCCAGAATAGTCCGATGAAACCCACTATGCCTAATGGCATATTCCGAAGGGAAGAGTATTACCAGATTTAACCAGTTGCCCACCTTTTTTCGTCCGAGAAAGGGTATTGTCTAAATCGCCTGGATCGACCCGGATCCGGCCGATTACTCAACTGTCAGCCTATAAAATAGCTGCACCGCAATTTGACGTCACGGGGCAAATATAAAAATCTCGACATCTAATATATCAGCCGAAAATTACCAAGATAATATCTTGAAAAGATAAAGAAAGAGAAAATAAAAATAAGTTTATTGATCACTTGTCGATTTGAAATGGTCTCCCCGGATCTGTCTAAAGTTTTGCTTACCCCTCAGCCATATCTTGTCTCTGACGAATCACCACCCAATTGTTGTAAATATCAAGATAAGTATCCACAGATATACCCGCATCAAGCTTAGTCTTCAGCTTACCCAAGATCCTCGCACGAGCCTAAAAGGATATACCTTCCAATAAATATAAAGTACCAAGGAAGTCTCGGCACTAAAGGCCCGTGACGGTTTAAGTCTAACTTCCTACACCTCCCTTTCCTTGCAACTTCTCGCTTGTTATCCCACCACCCCGCCAAACTGAGCCAAGAGATATAATCGAAAATCAAGCTTTGCCTATCCCGAAATATACTTTGAGGCGAAGGCGTTCTTGGCTATTTATTGGGTGGTGTTCGCGCTGGAGTCTTTCGAGGAATCGAGGGTTGTCGTGATCGGTGATGCTTAATTAGCGGGTTAGCCGACCTGTCAGATGTGACTCCTCGCTACTTTATCATTTAAGCTATAAGTAGTAGTTAGTGGCATCTATCAGATGGAAGAACTAGATTAGTTCATGTTATGATCAGTCAATTGAATTCAGTAATGTGTGAAAACGGAATGTAGTTGACACGGATCTACAGGGCTCTTAAACATCCGTCTTATCGATGGTTCACAAAAAGGCGTAGTCGAGTCAGCGATATTAAGTTATTGGAAGGCACAGCCGACCTTAGCTCTTATTTACTATCATTGTTTTTGCCATCATACCGCCTGGAGGGTTCGCTAGAAACAAGACACAGCCAGCCGTGGTTGAGGACTCAATTGGACGTGCGTGTACCGAACATACTTAAATGTTGGTGGCGTATCTGGGTTTCTCTTGCTACCAATTCATGGGAATTCCCACGACTCCGGAACGAGACAGTCTCGGTCCGGTTGTTCTGTTGGTTGGTTTATAATTTAACCATCCTGATATTTATGACTCGCGGGGGAGTCCGACGCTTCGTGATATTTCAAATGCCGGCCCTGCCATGCCGCGGCGCTCGTCATTATAGGTTTGTAATTTTGCATCTGGAAACTCTAAAGCCCGCGGCTACGCCGTTTTGTTTCTTTTACATTACAAAATTCCTTTCTAATTTTACGGAATATCACAAATCCGGGTACCGGTATGTGGTTAGCATCACGGGTCTAGAATTTTGATGCCGGATCTTTGCCATCCCAACTCCGTCCCACCCCGACGTACCGGGTCCCTTTACAAGAAAGGCTTTGGACCGTGGCCATGCCATTGGAGATCCCGTTTGCCTACTTCCCGGATCAGTAGTACCAGATGCTTGGTTGTGATAGGCACAGTTGCAGAATATTCCGTTTCTGGAAAAAAAGTAGTTGGCAATTAACCTATTCCGGCCTCCAAAATTCCAGTTTACTGTTGCACCCTGCCTATCGCCTCACGACGTTGTTGACGTCGACCGTTGATTACGTACTTACATATATAAGGCTTGGGGTAGTCCAGGAAACAGTTTATTCCATCTGGAATATCTTCAATGGCTATCTACAAAGACATTCCTTCCATCGGAAGAATTGCTATCAGTAAACTAATCCGACACCATTAAGCCCTGTTTGGTATAGTATCAATGATGGCTTAACTTGGCAGCCGATATCTTGATATTAGTGGTTAACCCGATGCCGTAATATATTAGATGGTCATCTAATAAAGCAAGCGTTCCCGATCGAGCTTGCGTCCAGGCTTCAGGAAGCGAAAATTTCTGTTACTATCGGCTATCAGTTCATATTCAGTATTTCTTTTCCATTTTCAGTGTGTGAGTAAACGTACATACTTATCTTCATAACTACTTAACTAGTTTTACCTCTGTATTATGATGAATGGATGTCTGAGCGGGCTGTTAATAGCCGATTCCGGGACCGTAGATATAGATGCGCTACTTTATTAATTTAGTGTAACTAGCTTAAGTTATAGCGGGCTACATGATGACCCTCTCCCGTTCGATGATATTTTATTTAATGTTTCTCTAATTTATATTGTAGAAGTTTGATCTCTGATGCCATAGAGGAAGACAAGCGCTTTAATATAGGAATTTTCAAATTCCTTATGAAATCTATTGAATACTTACATAACTGCATAAGCCCCAATTTGTGTATCCTACGAGTAAATTGTCCGACGGGACATTAACTACACCCAATATCCCATACCTTACCCTCGAAATGTGGGTCCATAAACCCACAAAGCACAAGGTTCTTTACAACTTCGCCTTTCCTTGTATCGCCTCCTCCCTCTTCATCTCCTCCGCCACAATCCTTCGTTGGATCTTCCCCGTCGCCGTCTTAGGCATATGCTTCGTAACATAAATCTTCGTAGGAATCTTAAACGCCGCCAATTTCTCTCCCAAGAACCTCTTAAGTTCCTCAACACCCACCTGTTTCCCTTCCTTGAACACAACCGCAGCACCGGGTACTTGTCCCAATATCTCATGTTCAATCGCGAAGCTAACAGCTTCCTGAACAGTCTCATGAGATAGTAACGCACTATCTATTTCTATCGGCGAGATCTTTTCTCCTCCGCGATTGATCAACTCCTTGATTCTTCCGGTGATAATGACATATCCGTCTTCATCCTTTTTACCTTGATCGCCCGTTCTGAAATATCCAGTTTTTGTAAAGCTACTGGCGTTGGCTGCTTCGTTGTTTAAATACCCTGTTGTCACGTTTTCTCCTTTTATGCAGATCTCGCCTTCTTTACCCTGTGGAACTTCATCGCCATTATCATCAAGGATCCTGACATCAACACCCTGTCCTAATCCCACTGATCCTGGCTTTCGTTTAGCAGGAGGCAAGGGGTTCGATGTCATTTGATGTGCTGCTTCAGTCATGGCATATGCTTCCAGAACTGGTGCACCGAATGTGCTTTCAATCTGGTGGAACGTAGCAGGAGCCAATGGTGACGAACAACTTCTTATAAACCGAATATAGGGTAATGGTTTCGGTGGTGGAGACTTCAACAGAATTGAATTCATAGAGGGAACAGCGGTGTACCAATTCGCCTTGAACCTCACAAACTCATTCCAAAACGTCGTAGCAGAGAACTTCGGTGGGACGACAACCGATCCACCGGAGTGCAATGGTGCCAAAAATCCGGCTAGAAGGCCGTGAACGTGGAAGAGCGGCATGACGAGGTATGTTCTATCTGCCGGCGTTAAGGCGTATGTAGCCTTAATATTTCGCATTGTAGTCGTAAGGTTTTTATGTGTCAATGGGACGGCCTTCGGGCGACCGGTTGTACCGGAGGTGTGTAGTACTAGAGCTACATCGGAAGGTTGAGCAGTAGCCAAAGGTACCGAATTCCCCAGACGTCCTCGCTCTACGAGGGAGACTTTGACATCACCATTCCCGTCCACGTGCACCTCTGCGATTCCGGCATTGTACTTTCTAGCAGCACGTACTGCTTCGGAGTTTGAGGCAACGGAACCCTGTGGGACGACTAAAAGTGCGGATTTAATGTCGTCGATATAGAACTCGAATTCAGCTTGTTTGTACGCTGGGTTTAGTGGCGCGGCGATGGCGCGTTGGTGAGTCGCAGCGAGGAAGGAGACGATGAAGTCGAGGCCATTTACGAGGGAAATTGAAACGGCGGAACCATTGGTAATGCCGACGGAGGCGAGAAAGGTCTGAAAGGCGTGGATTTGAGAGGAAAGTTGGGCGTAGGTGTACGTTCGGGCGGTGGAGGGGATGATGACGGCGGGTGCCGAGGGAGTTGGCGAGAAGGCTGTGGGTAGAGTCGCCATCGTTTCTTGCAATTGGCTGATACTTTTACACACTACCTTTTATTTAAACCTATTATACTTGAAGTACGGATATGATGAGATACAAGATGCGATGCGATGCGATGAGGTATTTGTATTCGTTAAAAAAGAAGTCAAGGAATGCGGGATCCAGCCATTTTATTTGAGGTCGAGTCTGACTTTAAGCCGGGATCCCACGGTTCGAGGTCGGTTTTGAAGTTCAGGAGGTCTAACCGGCTCCACTCCGCCATGACGTGCTTTCCATGTACTAGTTCAATAGGCACCTACCGCTCGGCCGACCTGACTAAACGCCACTTGAAGGTATCAATAATAGCAAAATACTATCAATGAACGCCGACAATACCAGGATAACAGTAATTACAACCTTCGTGAAGGACGCCAGAATTGAAATGCACGCTCGTAAACAAAACGAAGCAAAACAAAAACACCAGGACGAATAACCGATTGTTCGTGATAAATGAATATTAAGTAGTCTTTCTTCTGCCCCTCCTTGTGTCGGTAGTGGCTTCGAGTATCCCCGCTGCCACTGCACTCTTCAGGATAGTCCCGCCCTTGACCATCCCCACACTCTTCCCCTCCTCCCCGGTCATCCACGTCGGTATCTTCTCTCCATCAAACACACCTTCCTCAACCAATGTCCTAACCCCAGCAAACACATGGGTGCCTTCTAACACCACGTCAACGTTCGGCATCCAACTCTTTCCCTTCCAAGGTGCATGCTCGTCGACCAAAGGTGAATCTTCATCGTTTGTATTTGGAGCAACATCTTTCTTCGGTCTCCCCTTCTTCGATTTCCCAGCATTCCCATCCACAACTCCAAGAACCCCAGGTATTTCCTTCCCCCTTGGCCAAACCTCTCTCAGCTTGACTTCCACCCTTTCTAGTCCACTTCCATCTCCCGCAGTTGCCGAATTTCCAAACCGTTCTTCGGCTATCCTCTTTCTCTTCTTCCCTTCACCATTATTGTAGTCATCCATATCAGCATCTAGCGACTGCCTCTTACGCGGTCGCGAGGTTTCCAATGGATCACCTTCGAGAGCTCCCTCCCCTTCCACAGCAAACACGCTCCATCCACCACCAGCGCCCAGATCCCCTCTTTCGCATCCCTTCCTCGCGAGCAACGCTTCCAATGTTTTGGCGGTCAAAGCGGTAGATACAATATCATACCGCCTATGCTGTGATGATAGTGCAATTGGGAGAGATTTTCGGCATATGTCCGCTAGTTTTGACCGCTGAGGTGTGAAGAAGAGGTGTGGTGAGGATGTCGGAACTGCAAGGTAGAATATTTGGTTTGCTGGTGGCGGGAGGGTAGGTAATGGGTACGGGTTGTGAAGAGACAGGCGAAGGATTGTAAGTGGAAGTGTTGGGTGAGTAATATAGTATGGGTGCTACAAGTTATATCAGTTGACCTGGATCCATTTCGTGAGTAGGTTGATAAATGACGTACGCATTGAACCATGGGATCCATGATCTCTTGTATAGATTTACAGAATACGACAGGTTGGAATTTAGGGAGCTCTGGATAGCATGTTAGCGATAGTTAACAATGGAACTCGTAAAAATATACAACGTACTGTCACCAGCCGGCTTCTTTCCTTCTTCAAGAACCAGCTCAGAAGCGGTCCATTTTAGTGACGACGGATGGTCAAGCAGATCTATCAGCCATTAGCCAGGGTTCACCACTTCTTCGCAAGAGATACATACACTGCATGTCCACCTGGGCGATCTGATGCATTGTCAACCCGCTTCTCTGTTATAAATTAGCCACCTATTTGTTCATCGCCTTAAGCAAAAGTAATACACACCCATTCTCTTTCAAAGACTCTTTCTATGATCTCTTTCCTCGAAGCTAGATTGGTATATGCTTCCCCCACCTCCTCTAATGTCGTATCTCGGGGTTCCTCATCATAGGCAGCATCTAACAGATCATCATTTGTAGGAGATAAGTCTGGCGCACAAAGTGGTGTTTTTAGCCAGTCGAATACTAGTTTTTCGAGAGAAGGTTTAGATAATCGTAGAAGATAACGAGTTAGTTGAGGGGAAGGAGGAAGTTTGTAGTGCGATGTAAGTTTTGAGGGTTGTCGGCGTGCCATTTTGCGGTTGGTGGTGGTGATGATGATTAAGTGGTTGAAGACAGGAGCGATGGGGGCGCAAAGGCTGTTGTGGGGGAGTGTGGAATGGGATGTTGGTTTACAGTTTGACGCGACCAAAACAATCACCAGAAAACACGGATCACGTGATGCATATGAACTCCAAGAAATTGATGATAGCAATGCCAATTGAGATGGTCTAGGTTAAGTTCATCTTGGCGAAGAATATGCTGATATGTCTTTTGATCACATATTCCAATTTTGTTTCGTTGGCAATAATTTTTTCGTAGTGCTGTAGGAATGGTCACGTGAGGATTTTAGATATCGAAATCTACTCGACAAACTCAGTAACGGGTACAAAACCATTATCAAAACAGTTTTAGAAACAGTTAGGTAGTAGTTAAAAACCCGCTTTAAAACCGAGGCAAAATGGTTTCGGAACGGTTATTATAACGGTTCAACAGTGGTTTTTGTAGCGGTTTTGTTGCGGTTGTCGTAATGGTTTTGTAACGGTCTCCGTAACGTTTCTGAACCTTTCAGTCATTTCAAAGGCCAAATTCATCACGTGAGCTCGAATCACTTCGTCACGTGACGGTTCGGTCTTCAAAATGACTGATGGTCTACGTCCTACACAACGACATCAAGTCACATGATTAATTTTGAATGCAAAATGCTTCAAACTCCCAGCAGAGATCCTCTCATATAAAAAACTCTCCCAGGAGGAACTTTTTGGTGGTGCCTTGGGGGTATTCGTTATGTATAAAAAATTCTTAGTAAAAGACGTCTTGGGCTTTTAAGCTGCCTTGAGACTGGTTAAGCCATCTTAGCCCTCCAAGCCGCCTTGACGTCTCAGGTCATCCCTAACACCTCAAGTTACCTTGACATCCCAAGCCACGGTCTAACAAGCTTATTCTTCAGCTCAAAATGATCATGTGACCTAGCTAGAAGGTCCGTCAAACTCTACCTAAATTACCATTCCGACCTGCTACAAGCGCAAGCTATGGAAGCCAAGTACCCATAGAGCATCTAAATAGATATATCAATGTTACTTCGATTGACCTTTCCATGGATCTTCATCATTTATTGGGTATCTACGTAGGTACTTACTAAGCACTTAATATCAAATGCCTCTTGGTGTATTGCACACACGCCTACGCATCGGATCCCACGAAAAATGAATAGTGAAATAGTCTCAATGTGTTGTAAATGGTGTATTTTGGAGCTGTGTGACAATACCCAGGTCAATGTTAGGCTGTATCCGGGAGTTGATTTCAAGGCACGTGCACTCGCGCTTGAGCACTCGTACCAGCCAGCTCGAAAATTCGAAAAGGGCGCTATGCAATGATGACTCCTCATGCTTCAACAACTTGGACGCGAACACCATCGTGCTTCAGCAGTATACTATATAAAGCTTTGATTGTACTAGACATCATATTAAGAAGAAGACAAATCCTCAATCTTGAACCCTCCCAGCCTCAATCTTCCATATATATAACAGTAAACTCCGTACAATGTATCCCCCGGCCGAACCTGCAAAACGAAGAATAACCAGGTCCAAGGCCGCAGCCCAAAACCCCAAACCAAAATCCCAAACCAAGCCTCAAAAGCAGTCTCAAAAGCAGTCTCAAAAGCAGTCTCAAAAGCAGTCTCAAAAGCAGTCTCAAAAGCAGCCCAAAAAGCAGCCCAAAAAGCAGCCCTCCCCCATAGTACCCAAAGTCTGGGCAGCACCCGCCGATGCATACGGATCACTCAATGTCCTGCCGGCTGAACTCAAGCTCATGATCTTCGACTATCTTACGCCGGAGGAGCTCAAAATCTTTACATCTTCTTCGAAGCACTATTATAGTGTTTACCTGCCCTTGCGATTTCAAAACTTGACTGTTACTTTAAATTCGAGTTCTGCCAAATTCTTCCAAAGCGGGGTGGGGGAATATATCCAATCCGTACGCTTCGGAAGAACAGAGGACAAAAAAGACTACAGTGCATTATCGGGCTGGTTACAAGTTAAGAAAAAGAACTTCAGGCGTACCCGGGATGCCAATGATATATTCTCGGATCTTCGTGATGCTACTGAGGCGTTGAAATACTTCCCAAACCTTCGAAAACTTTCTATAAAATACGAGATCCCAGGCTCCGCAGAAAATAATGCCTACCTCGCCGTCCTCAAGAATATTCCTTGCAATCTGGAAACCCTCGAGTTCCAAATTATCAGATTTCGCGAAAAGGCTGCAGACCAATGTTACAAAAGATCGAAGGAATTATATGATCTGCTGTACTCGAAATTGTCAGCTGCAAACCAAAAATTCTTAGGGAAAAAGAGGATTCTAGACGATGATATTGACAAACTAGTAATATCAAATTCTCCAAAACTACCAAATCTGAAAACCTTCAAACTATCAGCAAATTGTCTGGCCAATCCGATGTTGTATTCTCAATCAAATTATTTTCGACGAACCGGATTCTACTACCTTCCACTCTTAGCGACGCCCCAGGTCGAAAATCTGTGTATTGAAACCACAGACACGGAACAAACATTCAATACCTACGGGTTCATAGACGAGGATCTTGACGATTCCATTGAGTTAAATCTCAAATTACTTGAAGCATTTTCAAGAATTACAAACCTCGAGCTCACGGCTTATTTCCCACCCATCCAAGAAGATTTCGCGAGACTCATAGAACGATTTCCAAATCTAAAACGTCTAGACGCTCAATTATTTCCAAGCTTTGACGTAGAGCTTGATTGGAGTTTAAATATATACGCCGACCTAGTTAAACTCAAGGGCTTGCAAGATATAACACTACCATGGCTAAGAGATCGCAATGGAGATATAACTTTGAAATCAGTGGAGCTGATGTGTCGGGATTGGAGAAATAATGGTTTGAGTGATTTGAGTAGCGTCAGGTTCACAAGAAAGTTGCTTCATCAAGAAGAGTGGCGCTTTCCAAATTGGGCGACGCTTTCGGATAATAGTATAGGGCTCCGGCGAACGGAAAATAATGTTTGGGAGGCATATTATATCTCATGATGGACCAACCGAAGAAAGACACTCTGAAGCCATATGCTGTCACTTTATACATCACTCAGTGAAAAGCCCGAAATCAACCTCCATACCGAACCACCACTACTCAGTGATGGGGATTTCCCCGAAGCAGTTCCTATCTAGGGCGATCTAATGCTATACAATAATCAATATATTTACATAAATTATTGAGTTCCGGCGATTCCTTATCGGTTCAGAGCTTCATTTTATAAGTCGGTAGACTGTGTAGAAGGACTAGGCAGTCTTAAAACGAGAAAAAAACCCTTACTAGTTCCAAGCACGATCGTGGTTCGGCCAGACATATTTGAAAGGTCAATCATCTCCGGTTGATATTTCCTCGGTAAATATAGAAGATTAACATCGCCGTCTTTCAACCAATCTGCTTCAATAACCCTTGAACAGATGCCAGTTTGTGGATCCAAGGTGTAAAGTTCGGAGGGGCTCAACGCGGCGAATAGTTTCAACTGCCCATTCTGAAGGAGGCGCATATTTATAAAACCCTCCCGATATGCGTTTAAGTTGAATAGCGGCTTTGTTTTTCCCGACATAGAATCTAGTAATGCAAATTGTTTGGAGTGAGAATTGAATCGCAAAATTCCACTCCCTGTAATGTTCTGGTACGCGTTATAACTACCATTGTCATCGACACACGTAGAAAGCAAGGTTCCAGTAGAAACATCCCATAGTTGTATTGCACGATCATCAGACACCGACATCAACTTTGTACCATCAGCGGAGAATTGTAGGAAATAAATATCTCTCTTGTGGTCAGTGAGCGTGTGGGTAGGTGGTGGAAACTTCTGGTCCCGGTTTAGTTTTTTTATGGGAATGCTAGGAAATCCTTCATGATGTGTGGATAGAATAGTCATCATAGCATCCTCTGTATCCCAAATCATAATCGTACTAGAGATTGGGCAGCCTAGCGCCATTGCCACTTTCGAATCAGAGGAGAAAGCAATAGAGGTGACATTTTTGTTGTAAATGATTGACGGGTAGCTCAGTAATCTCCCAGAAGCTGTAGCCCAAAGAATAGGGAGCGAAATTGGTAACATTTGATATGCTGCCGGTATTAAGAGAAGCCTTCCGTCCGGCAAAAACTCCAACCGAATAACTTCGCTATCATTGGGTGGTCTCAGTTTCGATGTCCAAACAATCTCATTCGAATCCAAGTTTAGCAAACGAATAGTGTGACCTCTGGTTTTTCTTATAGGAGCTGGAGGCTCCGCCTGGATAGACGCAAGCATTTTGCCATCAGGTGAAATTGCGAGAGCACGCATAGTCATTGGTCCAGGCTTCGAAGTGCGCCTCACTGTGGCCGATGCAGGTAAAGCCATGTCGTATTGCATGATATCAAAGCCTTGGGTCGCCACGAATTGGAGCCGATAAGGAACTATCGCAAATGGGTAGGACACTGATAGCGCCTCGAATAAGCACACAAGCATCTTTTCGGAGGCAAGATCCCAAATGTAAAATTTCGCCGATCTCGTAGCGCCCCTACAGACCCCGAGATACACACTAAGCCCGTCGAGCGAGAAAATCACCCGGGAAGACATCTTGGGAAAATAGTTGTGATCGTTATTTTGAGGGGGGATTATCTGCTTTCTCAGAACTGTGCCGGAAGATATTTCCCAGAGATTAACTACGGGCACGGGCTCCGATTTCTGAAATATTTTGTTTTTTGATAGGGTCGAAGATACTGATACTAGCTGCGTACCGTCCGGCGAGAAATCAATACTGTAGATTGGGAATTTTGTATTTTGAAGTTTGAAGGTCTGTATTAGCGTTCCCGAGTGCACGTCCAACAATCGGATAACCCCATTGACAGACCCTGAGGCTAGCTGACTACCATTTGGTGAAGCCCTTAAACATGTTACCGGTGTATCGAATTGGCGAAAAGAACGCGATAGTCTCCTAGTGTTCGTGTTCCAAATCAAGATGGAACCGCTCTCCGATCCATATGCTATAAGCTCGTCCTTGCACAGATAGCAAAGTATCTCCCCAAAGTCAGACTGAATAGTCAAATGCAAGCCTAGTCTCATATTGCACAAGCCTAGGTTGTAGAAATTGCGCCCAGTAGTCCTAAGTTCATTATTCCCAACTAACCAAGCTAGGCTAATTATATCTCTCCCTTGGAATAGAAGCTGATTCTCCCCAGACATGATATTCCATATTCTGATACTAGTATCATCGGATGCAGATGCTAACTCTGCAGTAGATGCCGAAAAAGCTAGTGCCCTGACGGTTCCAGAATGACCTTCGAGCTCTTTTAGTATTACCCCAGAGGTAAAATCCCATATCGTGATACCGTTCGAATTACTTGATGCCGGGGAAGAGGCTAGATATTTACCATCAACCGAAACGGCAATTAAAGTCACCCTGTCGATACCTAAACGGCGAGACAGGGTGAGATCAACCGGCGGGCGTGTCCTAAATGTCTTAATCAATGGTCCCCAACCCTTATCGATGTTCTCTCCTCCTCCAACCGCTATAACCCAGTCCGGAATGGAATCAGAAAATAACTTCGCTACGATGCTCTCTTTGGGGGAAAATAAAATAGCAGAGGAATAGATTTGTAAGGGAGCTTCGGCGATCGTAGCGTAGTGGTATTGAACAAATCGCCTGATGTCGTAAAAGAATTTTGAATCTTCAGTATTTTCCTGCTCACATACTAAAGTCAGCTAGACCCTCCGGAGCGAGTGGTGGCTCGGGCTAAGGCTTATACCAATGCAGTTCGCTCGAGTGCAGTGGCGAGTAGAATAATCTGGGATGAAGCACCTAATAGAACTAATGCTTCCATCCAATGCAATAGGTGTTTTCGTAGAAAGTTCGAAATATGTGCTCTGATCTCACTTCTCTCTCCCACTCCCGACTCTATAAAGTGATGGACCCAATAACAACAAGCATATTTTAGATGATTAATGTGTAGTATCTGCTCCGGTTTCAAAAATTTTATGTGAAACCCTGGTATTTTTAAATCGCAAATATCCATTTTCAGCTCTTTAGATAGTTGGTTTAGGCATCTGCTAACAATCGGGTAGTGTGGACCCTGTGTAAGTGTGGTGGACCCTAAAATTCTCATATTTCCAGAGCCATAGCTGTCAAGAAAATCCTTTGCCGACTGGTGAACAAACAAGACAGTCTTCTCTTGAACAATCAAGAACGAACCACATTGTTTTACTTGGACCTCCATATCGTATTCATTCATCTCAGGTGGCAGACCGGTAATGATAGCCATCTCGGATAGGCTCAGCGGACGAACTGCTAAGGTTACGGCCGAGAGCAATTGACGGCATAGTCCTGTATCTTCTTCGGTATTTGTTCTCTCAATGTTATTCAGCATCTCTTGATAGAATTCTTGTAGGCCAGAAGGAATTTTCTGGAGTGTTGAGATCGCTTGAGAAGCTTTGACTCTCGCTAGCTCTTTACATGCAAGATGTATCCAAAGGAAGGTATTTCCTGCTCTTTCTTGTAGTATTTTCTGTATTTGGTCAAAGACTTCGGCGCTATAACGCTTTGATTTGCTTAGGTGTGTAATCTTTTCGTTGATATAGTCATTGACTGCGGCAGTAATCTGCGTATTATTTTCTTCGAGGCTGATTCGTCGGAGAAAGGCTTTGCTATCCAGGCGTTCCTCGATATCAGGCCGATTACGGCTCGTTAAGAACCATTTGATTTTGCTTGATTCTGGCAACATCAAACTGCGTGAAACAAAATTCAGTAGCTCGGTAAGGCCATCTGTGCACTCGTCAAGTGCGTCAACCAAAAAGTAAAACTCCTCAAAGATTTGGTCCTGGAAGATCTTAAAGAAAACTCGCTGAAGAACATAGAACGCATTGGGTCCCGAAAGGCAATCCGGTTCACTTTTATCATATTCTTCTTTCAAGTATCTGACGAGAACATTATGCTTGTCGCTGAGAATCAAGTGGTATAAAATGCCTTTCAAGACCGCGGCAGCGCTATTCCGTCTGTTGTCAGTCGCCTGGCAAAAGAAGTATGTAACTGAATTGAATGGTGTCTGGTGAGATTCGCTGGGCCTGTGCTCCAAGGATTCTATAATCCCCATGGTCAACATTGTTTTGCCTTTACCTGCACCCCCGGAAACCCAAAGAACGGGTTTTTCATTATTCAAAGTCCAAGCTTTGAATGATGGATCACATAATATCCAAGAATACGACTTTTCGATAAGTTCGTCTTTCGTCGCCTCATACCTAGCCTTATCATTTCTAGGATCTGTTGCATCGAGATACCGCAAGCATTCGTACGATTCGGAGTTGACGGCTTCGTCTAACGTACTACCGTTCGGAGCTATAATATTGGTTTGTCAGGAATGAAGCGAAATAGGTGCCTATAAATCAGGAACCTAACTATATAATTAGTATTAGAAAGCATCCACATACCTCGAACAGGCAACCGCAGTACTGTCTCCTTTGCGAAAACCGCAGCAGAAAACGCTGCATAGGGTTGCCATTCTTTATTTTTATGACTGTCGCTATAATCGCAAATTCCTCTAATTACGAGGGTTGGGAGTTCGTTGACTATTCCAGCGGCTTCCATCTCAAAGCAAAGCACATCTTTGGATCTGCTTAACTCTTCCCTCTTAGGACCGTACTTCATCACTTGATTTCCAGAGGCAATCAGACCGTAATGGATATTGAATCGATTTTCGAGGCGTGGCTGGCGCACAACGACTTGACCATTGTTACATTGGTCGCAGGATTCATTTTCGGCGGGATGGTCGTACTTTGTTTGAAAGAGTCGATCGGTTTCAGCGCTTGGGCAGGAAAATTTAGCTGCTACATCAGCGGGTAGACTGGCGAGTGCCTTCTCGATAGCCTCATCTAAGGCATTGACTCTCGTCAAATAGTCGGCCTGAAGGTCGGAAACCGCTCCCAGCAAGATAGAAGGAGGCATGTTCATCGTCCCAATTGATATGAACTTTCCCGCTTGAATCGTTTTCCCAAAATCGTATTGCAATATGCCTCCGTGGTCTTTTCCAGGAAGTCCTACAACGACATCGCCGAGTCGCACATCGTTATGTGGTAACAGTGGCGCTCCGCCACCAATCCCAACCATCAAGTTTGCAGTGATTCTCGGGAAACTTCGTCGAAAGTTTGTAGCTACAGCGGCGGCAGCATTGGTTCCATACACGCCGGCTGGTAGGCAGACAAGAACGATGTTACAATGGCCAATTCGACCAAATCTGTATTTATTATTGTCGAGGATATCGCAGAGCATTTCGGGGTGTTCCTCATCTAACATCTCGATGGCCGCCTTGAACTCCACCGACAATGCGCATATCCACCCAATATGGTAATCATTCTTTCCTCGCCGCTTAGCCATGTCGCCACAGGAGGGATCGACTGCTTGGCAGGTCTTTAAAATTTGAGATTAGCTCGGTCTCGTTCGCAAGCGTTACAAAGGGAGGATTGGTTGTTCCGAATCGCTTGGTGATACAGGGTTCTTTAGAATACTATTAGAGGATCTCCTAGCTGATGAGGAACAAGTTCAAGAGAGGAATTTAGGGACTGGCAGGTCGCAAGGTGGAGTTGACGCCCTCTTCACTGAAATTATTTCCAGTCACTTAATTCTGAGCAAAAAAACTTATCGGTTTCCTAGGTACAGTTGAAACGCAGGATCCGAATAAGAGATGCACTGTACCTTTTACGCAGCCTCGTTCTCGGCTGCCAGACAGCTGGCAATGCTGGAAACATATGCCAAAATCAAACTTGCAGCCCCAAGGCCCAACACCAATTCTACATAGCCAATCAGATTTATGACACTGAATCTCGACAGCCTTCAAGGCGCATCCAAATGCATATGTATGCCTGATTCCTTTATAGACTAGAACTGATCGGTGAAGCCCTTTAGGTCGACGCCTAGTGCTTTGCGGAGGATAGTCTGTACTTTCATCTTAAGATTCAGACGAATTTTAGAACCGAAATCGAGAATTTGAAGATCAACCCTGGGAGACGATTTCCATGACACATATGACATGATCAAAGACAGAAAGCCAAGTTTGTTAAAGAAATGGTTTGTATTTACATCCATAGACCTTTGCATTATTTTCTTCAATATTATTTAGGAACTTTGCCAGTCGATAGAGTTTTGGGGCCGGGTATGAGCGATATACTCTCGAGAATGCCTACTCCCAACATCGAACCACAATCTATTTCTACTGTGTCACGTGATGGTTTTAGAGGTTAAAAGTAGGGAGAACTCTCCCAGGAGAGAGTTTTGTGAGGATAAATCGACCATAACACACACTCCACCAGTGTATTCGTGTTGGTGTGCTCAGAACCTGTTTTACGATTAGGCTACACTGGCGTTCTACAACGGATACAACCTGAAATCCACACTTCTTCTAGGCATGATCTTTCAAATAGTATATAGTAATCTCACCATTCGTGAGACCTAGGCCGGTGGTGCTAGAGACAATCTGTATATAAAATGAACCTTAAGGAGAGCCGCAGGTATAACTACTACTAGTATGTATCAGTCATGTGACACAATTGGACTTCAAAACGACCCCTCGTAACCCCTCATTTGAGGGCGAAATTATCCTAGGCCTACAAACAGTCTGTAGACGGTCTACAAACGGGTCGTATTCTGCAGACGGTCCGCAGACGGGTTTACAGCTACGGACGGTCCACAGACAGTCTAAGACCATAAATTAATAGGTACGATATATATTTCAACCTCCAAAATAGTCATGTGACCAGCCCTCCCGTTCAGGATTTATGATTACATTATGGTGGCTTGGCTTCTGATCTCTATGGCACCGCTGGCTGTTAGATTTAAGGTAAGATCAGCGTCATGTGACTGTTTCCGGCATCAAAATTCGAAACTGTCGGGTACGGACGGACACGCAAACAGCATGATGGAAGAAAGAACTTTAGAAGATAGCAAGGGCGAGGCATCAAGATATTAAGAACGACTGAGGATAGACCGCCTAATATTCCCAGATCGTGTGATCATTTTTGATGTCAGAATGCACACCATTTTTAACGCCTCCCATTTCAATAATCCTTTAAGATCATGTGACTGAATTCATTGCCAAAATACCGGCACTTTATGCCATTATTTTATGTTCCCAACAAGTCAACAACGGCGGTGGTCTGGACATGTAGCCAAGAATGCGTTGACCACGTTGGAATCTCCCCCACACTCTCTCCAACCACACACAACACATCCAATATAATTAGGCCGAGGCAATCCTGTTCCTATCACATCATTCGTCCGACGGCCGCGCCGTCCAAGCCAATTATTATACATGCACCCGCCGGTACATACAGTGCCGCTATATACTACAAAGAACCAAAAAAACGGTTTGTTTAACGTTAAACCTTGCATTACTAAAAGGTACTTTATTACTTATTACTTATTACTTACCCAAATCCTTGCGCCGAAGATTCACAAGCCGAGAAAAAGGATCTCGATTATCTAAACCCACTGCCAATGTGGGTCCCTAGCTCCCCCCTTCGTGCTCGCCAATATAAATACCCGCCCGAGGTGCTCTACATTCTCAAACTCTTTTTCATCTTGTACAACCATTCAAACATCTACCTAGTTGCTTTTTAGCTATTATTTAGACCCAACTGATAGACTTTTTTTTAACACTCTCTATCGGGTATACATATAGAAAATTTTTATATTTACCAAATTCGCTAATATTGAAGTGCCCTGGGTAGATGCTCAGAATGGCAAACTTGGTTGCACTCCCCGAGATCGAGCGCTTAAGCTCCAGGGTTATCCGTATTCTAGGCGGCAATCCCAACAAGGTACTTAACCACCCCCCTTCCACTTCTTATATATATTCTTTACAACCTCACTAATCAAATAAAATACATCAGTTTACTCTTCAAGGTATTTAATTCTGCCGCCATAAACGGAGAACTAGAAATTAAAGATTATAAATAGGCACAAACACCTACCTTCTCGGCACAGGTCCCAAACGCCTACTTATCGATGCCGGCGAAGGTAAACCCGCCTGGAAAACTTCCCTCTCCTCAGTCCTAACCTCCGAGCGGGCCACCATATCCACCGCCATAATAACCCACTGGCACGGCGACCACATCGCCGGCGTCCCGGACCTACGATCGCTATGTCCGGACGTCAAGGTTCTAAAATTTAAATTAGATCCTAATGATCCCGGAGCTAATAAATGGGGGTTTCCGGATGTAAGTGAAGATGGAAGTATCGGTGATAATGAGACTGTGGGAGTGGAAGGTGCTACGGTCAAGAGTGTGTGGACGCCGGGACATACGACCGATCATGTTTGTTTGTGGTTGGAGGAGGAAGGGGCGTTGTTTACGGGGGATAATGTACTCGGGCAGGTATGTGATTTCCTCCGAACTCAGGTGTTATCTATTTGGAAATAATGGTACTAATGAGGATTTAAATACTGTACAGGGAACAACTGTCTTTGAGGACTTATCAGCATACATGTCCTCCCTCGCCAAAATGCTGGCATTAAACCCTGATAGGGCATATCCGGCCCATGGTCCCTTAATCCCAGATGGGAAAGCAAAGATTCAAGAATACATAACACATAGACAAGAGCGTGAAGCCCAAGTCATTGGCGTTTTGAAAGAACATAGAGGAACTACAATGGAGGTTCTCGATATTGTAAAGGTCATTTATAAAGAATATCCAGAGAATATATGGGAAGCAGCTGGGAGAGGAGTTTTTTTGGTTCTTGAGAAGTTGGAGAAGGATGGACGGGTAGTGAATGAAAAGGGTGGTTGGAGGATATTGGAAGGGGCTGGCGGGAGTGGCGGGATTAAGGGAGTGGCTAGTGTGCTTTAGACGTATATTGGGGCTTATTTGGCTTGGAGATGACCTCAAATCTGCTTGTAGATGGGGTTATCTGGGTCCATATTACATGAAGTTATAACTTAAGTTTGGACGGTTTAAACTGTGTGGTATATTTCTGTTAGAATGCGTTGATTCTAAACGGGACATCGTCTCGAAGCCTATCTTTGGCCAATATAAAGCTTCTCACGATACTTCCTAGACGTCCAAATTTTCCCGGAAAACTGCGTTATCTATACCATCTTCATCCAAACTTCTGATCCTTCAACTTACCAATCCATTGACCCTTTAAATATATTCCTTACAAACGGGAAGGCATTGTTATAGCTGTATACTCGTGAAGTCGGCCCGTGATAAACTCTTGGCATTTCTGTTGGAGATCACGTGCCACTAGCGAAAATTTGAAGGTTCGTCGAAAACCGAACTTCTGAAGCGACTTTTTGACGACCTCTCAACTTCAAACCCCCCAATTGACGGCCGACCTTGGGGGTAATATCCAATTACAATCCTTCTTTTATTCCTTCACAAACCTTTCCGGCAGTTCATATACCCTAATACCATCAAGCAATGATCTCGTCGATACGGTAGACATCATACGACACGCACGCACATACACACCCCTCTATACCTCCAACCACCCCACCACTACCATCCATCTCCTCGACGACTTGCCAAAAATAAAAAGAAATCCGAAGTAGATTTTTTAAGGGAATAATATTTACAAAAAAGAAACACAATGGAGCGAATAATCCGCCGCTCAATCCTCGCCAAAGCCTCTGCCGCAAGACGGTACGCTCGAGAAGCCCAACTAAAAATCGCCTATAAACGTATGAAACGTAACCAATACGATGCCATGCTTCGAGAACACCACCGTTATGTCAACAAAATCAAATCCGAGTTAGTCGAAGACGTTAAAATGGGTCCGTTGGCTCCAATAAGAGGACGAGATGCCAAGGATAGAATTGCAAGAGATTTACCGACTGCAGATGCGATGAGGTTGCCGGAAGTTGTGGAACCTAGGAAGTTTTTTAATATTGCTGTGGGGGATAGGGTGGTTATTCTTAATGGGAAGGATAGGAATAAAGTAGGGCTTGTGAAGGAGGTGGATCCGGACACGGATAGTGTTAAAGTGCAGGGATTGAATGTGGTATGTCTCCGATTCTCTATTTTTTTTATATATGATAACTCTGGTAGCTAATATGCTTGTTGTGGGGGTGATGTAATAGTATCCAATCAGAACACCCGATTACTTCGAAGGCCTCGATGGTGGCGATTCGCCTGGTATGGATCAAGAATGCAGCATAGCCTACACCGACGTCCGTCTCGTCCACCCGATCGAAGATCCCAAAACCGGTGCCCTCCGCGATGCAATCGTCAAGAAAATCAAAATCTCCAACGTAACAAAGGACGCTCAAGGCAAACGAACATGGACCCGTTGGGTCGCCTTTTCGAAAACTGAAATTCCTTGGCCGAAGAAGACCGAGCCGGAATATCAGGATGAACAATGTGATACCAAACGTATGGATGCCGAGGAGAGGACTTACGTGCCTACTTTACTTAAACCACCAATTCCGGATGGAGCAATCAATGAGCTACGAGGGAAGTTCAGTAAATTCAGGGATAGGCATGACCGAGAATACATTGAACAGAAGATGAGGGAAGACGAAGAAGAGAAGTCGAGGAAGAAGGCGAGAGTTGTAACACCGTTGATGGATATCAATAGAAAGATTAGACGGGAGAAGATCGAGAAGGGCAAGACTCAGAAGTTAACAGGCAGTATCTTAGAACAATTGGGTCGGACGATGGCACAAAGTGGTACTCCTTTCATGAAGGAACGTCCAAATAGACTAAAGATTTTGGCAGAGATCGAGCGGCAAGAACAAGCAGGCTTTGGGTTCAGACCGGCACTTGGACAGTTACCAGCGAGGAATTTGGAGACTCCCCCGGCGGCCTCGCAGTCCGCTCCACCGAGCTGATATCCTCTATTGTTGAATGTTGGAGTGAAGGGGGAGAATTGTATATATATAACGTAGTTTATTTTTGTAACGCTAATGTACATAATAACTGGACATTTGGGTATCATTCATCTGCATCAGAAAGAGCTCGAAGCTAATATAAAAAAAATGTCAAAATGCCAAAAAAGGATGTTCGTAAGCCTGGTCGGCCTCAGAGCCAACCCCGTATAATCCATAGATTGAGCTATGAAACTAAAAAGCCAAGATGCTCAGCACCCGGATACCTTTCTGCCAATTGTGGCCACTGGACCAGAAACCTATCCGCCAATGGAAGCAGAAGTTTCCCCGATAACGACAGAGTTGTAACCCGAGCGAATGATTCTACGTATATAATCCTCGTTGAGCAGCGCCCAAAGAACTATCATAAACCGTTAGCACAACCCCTGTTCAAATAACAGAAAATAAAAGTGGAAAGGGGGAAGAAAGGTACCTTATAAATATAACAAGCAAGAACCATCATCACAGACGTAGCAGGACCATTACAAACCACAACATCAGGAAACCGTCTCCCCTCCCAACAACTCTTCATCCGAACACTCACCCCCTCCAAATCCCCTCCGTTTAGCACATTCATACACCCAATCAAACACATCAAACAGCTCCAAGGCGTAGTAACCCACGACTGCCGTACCTTCCTCGCCCTCGGAATCTCCAAAAGTCTACACCCGATCTTCTCATTCGCCTTCTTCGTATAACCCCCCGCCAAAGAAGTTTCAAACGCTTGAGCAGATCTAGCGGAATGGATATCTCCGCTACTGAAGACGTAGGTGCGGTGGGTTATGATGTCCGGGGAGATTGAGGAGAGTAAGGAGAACATTTCGGCGGTGTGGCCGCCTGAGCCCAGGATAATTAAGACATGAGATTTTTCGGGTGGTGTCAATTCTACTATGCGAGAGGATTGGAGGATAGATGTTTGCGGGGTTGTGGAAGGGCGACTAGGGAGTATGAAGTAGATTCGGAGCTATGGTCAGACAGATTGACGGCTTTTTGTTAGCAAAAAAAAACTTTGTCTTAAGGGGAAAGAACTGTGGGATATGATACTTACGGAGATGAAGATGAAGATGAGAAGGAGCGAGAGGAAGAGCGCGACTATGAACAACATTGTTGAAGGAACCCGCGACGGACTTTCCCGGTGTCCGTCGTGGAAGAAGTTATCGACAACGACACGTTGAATTTAGCTGTTAACATTAAAGCTTTGGATTTAATTGACGAACCACCCGGGGACCTTGGATGGTAGTGTCGGGAAGCTCTCCCCGGAACAATAACATGCTCGGGGAGCTAACAGCCATGCTCGGGAAGCCCCAACCTCAGCTCTGAAAAACAACCTTTAAAATCCAACATCTCTGCAAGTTGTCACTTCGAGATTCACACCTTTTCAACCGTAAGAAACCCGCCCCTACTCATGCATGTAATCGATATAAAGATAGAACATACTAACGTTGTAGTCCATTCTAGCTACAGTTACACTGCTGCTCTACGATACCCCTGTCTAGGTTAAGCTTGTCTACAAGCCTTTCCCCTCTGCAGGGCTCTGCATCGAATATCACAAATATTTGAGTCATACCTCATGCCTGAAAAAAAAGGCCTTTGACCTACAACTTCAAAATTGCGACAATTGCTCTTCTAGGTAAATTTATAGACACAAAAGCGACGAAAGGAAAAGGTTTATAAATACTGACCTCCTTTTCTTCATAACGAAGGGTCGTAAAAATCTCATGCTCGCAATTCATGCATACAGGCATTCTCTAGCCAGGTTCTCTCCGTCTCAATTTATATCACCCCTTTCAAAGTTTAAAAGGGTATTTATATACCACCCGACCACTCCCATCTCATCTTCATTTCCAATTCATACACTCCCAAAGAATATGACCGGAGACGCTCCATCATCCACAATGTCGTCCCTACCAATTTCAAGCTCTGCCGCAGGGCCATCCACAGAAAACGGCAAGGAACCAGAATCTCGGTATGAACCGCGGTATATTGATGTATGTCTTGCTTGCATTTATCCCTCAAAAGATTATAGATTGTATGGGAATATATATATTGATGGTAGATATAAACGGGGACAAAGGTCGGCATAAACCTCACCGACATGACTTACCAAGGCATCTACCACGGCCGCAAGGCCCACGACGCAGATCTCGAATCCGTCATCTCCCGCGGCAAGGCCATCGGCTGTAAAAAGCTGATGGTCACGGGATCGGATTACAAACACTCTTTACAAGCTATCGAATTAGCTGAAAAGTATCGTACGTAACTCACTGTGGAGCCTCATTCATCTCTCCAAAAGAAGAAATAGAAGAAATAGAAGAAGAAGGCGGATGAGGATAAGAAGGAGGAGGAGTATAAAATTAACTAACGAAAATCACCCCCCCAAAACAGCCGGCACAATCTTCGCCACAGTAGGAGTCCACCCATGTTGTGCCAGCGACGTCACAAAACACATCACTCCCACAAAATCCCTCCAATCCCTCCTCAACCAAGTCGAAGAACTAGCCATACAAGGTAAATCCCGGGGCACAGTAACCGCCTTCGGAGAAATCGGTCTAGACTACGACCGTTTCTTCCTTTCAGATAAAGAATCCCAACTCCTCGTCTTCGAAGAACAACTCCGTATCGCCGAACGAGTCGATCTACCACTATTCCTCCATTCCAGAGCCGCTGAAGAAGATTTTAATAAATTATTGTTTGGAGCTAATCTCCCCAGAAAGGGACTTGTACATTCGTTTACGGGTACATTGGAGGAAATGAAGATTCTTGTGGAACATGGATATGATATTGGAATTAATGGGTGTTCTTTGAAGACGGAAGAAAATCTTGCAGTGGTGAAGGAAGTTCCCTTAGAAAGGCTACAGATCGAAACCGACGGACCATGGTGCGAGATTAGGAATAGTCATGCGAGTGCAAAGTACTTGAAAACAATGCCAGAGTACTTGGCAGATGGAGTTCCAAAGGATGTGAAAAAAGAGAAATGGCAGAGTGGGCTAAGGGTTAAAGGACGAAATGAGCCATGTGCTATTGCTGGTGTTGCTTGGGTTATTGCTCAAGTCAAGGGGGTAGAGTTTGAGGAGGTTTGTGAGCGGTAGGTTTCTTTCCCCACCTTCTTTACTAAATAACAGTTTTTATTTAAGGGAAAAAAAAAACTAACGTTGGTGGAACTACAGATCGTGGGAGAATTCGATGACAATGTTCAGATTCGACGAAGCTGCAGCCTTGCAGCAGAAATGGAATGGATCGCCCGAGGAATCTGCTTGATATGATCTTTTGAGTACTGTTTGATTTAGATTTGGCATCATGTAGCGTTTTTGAATTCATAATTACAAAACACGCAGGGGGTTTAAACATTCTAGAATAGAATTTTGAATAAGGAAAACGGTGCTGATGGTTCCTGGCTAGAGTTTTCGACTTAGATAAGCGAAAGGGTTTACAGACTTGAAAAACGGCGATACATTGACGCATGACTCAAATCAGTGGGTGATTGCCATTTTCATCACTGTGACTATCTAACACCCGTGGATCTGGCCTATACTTAGAGTAAGGAATCATATTTAAAGTTAATTGTCACAAAAAACTCAAGTTAATTAATAGTGCTAGTACTTAACAAAAGTAAAATCAAACAAAATACGCACAAATTATTATACATAAAATGGTTGGAAGGTAATAAAAGGAAGATGGCAGAATCATGATACAGGTTAGAAATGTCGGTATAAAAAGTATAAGTTTTGAAGTGCTACGCGTATACGAAGGAAAAGATTAGACAAGTCAATATGATGTAAACAATCAAGGTAAAGAAAAAGCGACAAGGGTAAAAAAATTTATCTTATCTCTTGGACAGAAGTATAATGTAAAGTAAAATATATTATAAAGAAAAGAGAATACTCTGGAACATGGATTTTTGTGTGAGTCATGAAAATGCTAGATAATAGAAATAGAAATATGGATATAAGAAATGAAGTCAACTTCGCCCGCTTGTCGATATTCTCGTAAACCAGCCAGCTTTACACAAAAGTGCCGGTATAAAATAAGTAATATAATAAGCAAAACACCCCAACACCGGTTGATGACATGACGGGGCCATAAGCAGCTTTTTTTTCTTCTCCTTCTTTCTCCTCTTCCTCTTCTGTAGGTGGTTCGCTATATATAAACAGAGTAGTAAATCCCCTCAAAGGAAGAAATAAAGAGCGCGCGCTGTAAATGAGTAAAGACAGTCTCGTATCAGTAGAACAGCGAGTGGGTCGCACGATGGCGGCAATTCTTCCCCCATCCCCTAAACCTTTGGATATCATTGGTATATAAGCAGATAAAAAAAATCTAAGAAAAAAAAAATAGTAGTAACATCGCCGATAAAGCTTGGCTCCTAGAGAGTTTTGAAGTTCGCATTTCAAAGCAATCGCTGCTCTGCTATGGCATAACAGCCGATGAAGGCGGATAATATGAGGGGAAAAAAGGTACGATGAAACCCGTAAAAATGCATTGATTATTGTTTGCTCGTAACGCAGAGCGTATTTTGGGTCAAAACTGATTAATATCAAATCGTGAAGTCGTTAAGCGGTCCAAATTAGATGTCGAACAAAGTAGGACAATTGTTGAGTTTAGGTTGATTTGTAATTTGTTGATATGTTGAAAAATTGATTTCCTTTTCCGACCAAAGCTGAATAATATATTTCCGTAGGTATGAAGAGAGCTCTTCTAATCCATCATTTCAGACATCATGTTGCCATGCATAACTGGGTCCGGATGCTGCTCGTGTTCTGGAACCTCTCTCTTGCACGCATTTTCCAAAACGTTAGCCCACTTTCCACTGGTACCTGCGTGTGTGTGCTTCAGGTGCTGTCGGAAATGATCTGCCCGGAAAAACTTTTTGTTCTGATTACACTCCCCGAACTTGTGTACTTCGCTCAGGTGGTCATGTCGTGCCTGCCAGTCTGGTGGGTTGAGGAATTCATCTCCACAATAACCACAAACATCAACGGAGTTATTCTTAGCAGTATTGGGATGGAATGCTGCTTCCGGTGTGCTAGCAATAGCAGAGCAGCACCAAGAGTGTTTTCGGAGGTGAAGCGAGTTCTGATGTCGTTCTGCCTCATTCTTGTTCTTGAAACGATGAGTACAATATTTGCAGCCGTACTGTTTCTCGAGTTCATGCATCCTAGAACGGTCAGTTAATCGTCAACAAATGTAAAGAATTTGATCAGGCATACCTGAGATCGGCGTGATTGTCGAATTTCTTGGGCTTCTTTGGGCAACATTCACACATCAAAACACCAAGTAATTTGGGAGCCGAGTGGTGTTTTGGCCCAACTGCAGCTTCGCTAGCTTGTTGACGTTCGACAGCCTCAGATATAGTCCTTTGGTGGCCACGAGAGAATGCACTCGGGGATTTGGGAGGGTGAGCGTTTCCATTCGCCCCATATGTTCCCCTAGAAGAGCTAATGGTCGGGTTAGTATCAAAACCGTAGTTGGGAAAGGGGTCATATGAATTACCTAGTCCCAGCAGGGCCACTCTGGCTGTTGAAGTTGAGACCACCGCTCATGGTTACGCGATTAAGGTCCGAGCTCTCATTTCCATAAAAGCGGGTTCGAGACTCCATATCCCTTGAACCGAATCGATCTTCTCTTGGTGAATAAGGACCCGATCTGAACTTGGCGTATCTTGTACTTGGACTCGGATGAGATACTGGGGATTTACGATAGTCAAATCCGGTAGGCCGTTGAGGTGCGTCTTCCATAGAGATATCCTCGTCTGCATACCGTATTTCTGGGCTCAAGCGTTCTGGCTTTGCTCGATCTGGAGCGGACATGTAGCTGAAGCTATTTGTCCTTCGATCTTTTTCATAACCTTCAGTCAGCAGTGTTGCGCCAGGGCTCCGGTCACCTCGATCATTGTATGATGAAAGACCAGATCGAGACCCGACTTCAAAGGGGCTTGGTGTTGTATTTGGCCATTGCGAAGCTGCTTCGGGGATCGCAGGGGATGAAGGGAAGGAAGTAAGGTCAGAGACACCGGGAAGTTTTGGCGAACGGTCCTTGTTGTAACCTAGCGTGAGACTGGACTGTGAACTGATAGAGCCATTTCTTTCTTCGCGGTGCAGGAACGATGGTGGGTTCCCCCAATGAGATGTAGAGGTTAATCCATTGGATGCAATCGAAGAAACAGGGGAGTTCAGCTTTTGGACCAATCCTTTGTCATAAGCATCAAAAGTTTTCCTCATAGCTTCGCTTAGCGAGCTCTTCAAGCTGCTTCTAGGATGTTAGTCGGTTTCTAGAATAATCCCATGACAGGGATTGGCCTACTCACTCGTTTGTAGATGCTACGCTAGCACTAGGTAGTGGCCTATACTCTTCCACGCGGCCGAGTCCGCCCAAAAATCCGCCACGCGATTCGAACGATGGGGTTCCATGTGACGATCGCGAGTGATCGGACGGGGTACTATCAACTTGCATGGAATCAAAAGCATGCATACGTTCCCTCAGACTCGAGATACCGCTTTTCCTGGAATCTGTTGGCGTGCCAGTAGGGAAGTCGACCGAGGGGATCGAAGGTAATCTGTGTCTATAGTCTCCAAAAATGGACGCAGGTGCTTCCATTGACGGGATTCCTGGTGGTGCGGCATCGTTGGAATTTGGAATAGCTCTAGGCAGCGTCCTCGACCGGGATTCGTTCCCAAAGGGGGATTGGTAATGATCTTGTACCCTGATATCAGGGACCCCCATAGGTTGAGGGGAAACCATTCTGTGCTGAATGTTCATATTCAAATTCGCACTCGCACACGAACCAGAAGGCGAAAGGGGAGCACCGTTTGAGTTGTTCGACGTCTGGACCCGATCTAAAAACACCGAAAGATGTAGAGGTTAGCATATCTGTGTATGTATTTATGTATGATATTGTTTGGGGAAACATTGCGGAATAACCCCATACATTGCAATTGATCGAGGAACATATAGTTAATACAACTCTATTGCAAAGACGGTTATCAATGCGTTAGAAGAGCTGAATTTGTGTTGGGGTGTTGCGACCAGCATATCGGGGCAACTAACTCGAAAGCAAAAAAAAAAAAAAAGAAGGTTGAGGTGAAGTGAAATAAGTGAAAACAAAGATAACTGTGAACACAACCTGGAACTTGACGACGCTAAAAAGGACGTTCTTCAGCTTCAGCCCTACCATAAGGCGTAGGGCTCGAAGTTGGTGTGTGGAATGGAGCGGAGGCAAACGGATGGGCCAAGCTAGTCGCTCCAGTCCGAAGGATTGCTGGCTGTCACTTACAAAAAGTTTCCTTTTGGTTCCCGCTGTTCTCAGCCTAGTCGTATAAATGTTGCTTTTCTTTTCTTTTCTGGCTTGCTTGGATTTCCTCCAACCTCCTCTAGGCAATAATTTCCCTTCCGTCCAATTCCTCCAGAACACGAGTCAATCGCTTCCTCGCACTCTGACTGTCGGTGTTTGCTGACGGAGCAGTTGTAATCAAAAGATCCGTGAGAAGCTAAGCGATTTCGTGCAGTAACGCTGTCCTGAAGCGGATCAATCTTCCTGTCCGGAGTAGAAACGAAGAGATGTTTCTACGTCAACCAAGAATGCTAGTTTGGTCCTTCTGCATCGGTACACTTCAATCCCACGGTGCAGGGGACAAAATGGCAGTTCGGATATCTGAGGAAAAGCAATTTTTTCGAGATCCAAGAAAATGCTCTTTAGTCGGACTGAGCAGAACGGGTCGCTTTTTTTTGTGAAGGTCGAATCCAAAGAATCCAAGTCGCACAATGGGTAGAAAGGGCGTCAGTGGGATATGTTTGTAAATAAGGGCAGACTTCGAAGGGAAAAAAAGAGTTAAAAGTTGAGGATGTAGAGAAGGACAAAAAAAAAAAAGGAAAAATGTACAAGTGTCCGAAACGACCGAGCTGTATCTTGAAATCTCGCTAATTGAGGGTATCGAAGTCGCTTTGAAACGGATGTTGAACCAGAAAATGTGTACAAATGATGCTTGAATATAGAGGCGGGATGATCAAGATTGCGCGATATCCAGACAGATGAGGCCGAATTATTGGAATAAAATCTATGCGCCGAGTATGCCAAAAATCGAGAATCAGAATACAGATAGCTGTGGAATTCTAAAAGCTGCGCATGAAATCGAGATTACGATAGGAGTGTTGGTAAGCAGGTGCTGCTGATAAGGGAGCGGTTGTTTGGAAGTGTCGTGCGATGTTGTTTTGGTGGAGCTGAAAAAAAGAGGCAGCGAAGCAGCAAAACTTTTGGACTCGGCAAGATGCTCGAACTACCCGGCCAGATAGAGGGAGAGGGCGAAAAAGGACGCGAATGACAAAAACACCCAGAAGCCCAGACAATTTTTTGGAATTCGAATGCGAGAGAAAGAGCCGTCTGGTGGATTTACTGTCTCACTCAGACTGTCGAAATATATTTGCTGTGGAATTCCGGGAGTTTGAAGGAGTCGAGATTTCTAGGCAGTAGTCGCTTATACTCTGGAATAGTAAGAATCGAAGGATTGATTGATTAGCTGGGTGGACTCGAACTCAGGATCATAATAGCAGCAGCAGAGCAAAGCAGTTTTAGCAAGAAGGGCGTTCGACTCGAAGAAATAGCAGCTAGCAAAACGAGCAGGGTAATGTTAAATGCAAGCCAAATGGAGTCAGGCTGAGACCCCTTGCCCTAGTCCTGCCCGGGCGCTCAGGTTAACTGACCGAGCTAGCAAGTAACGTCGTCTATGCTGATTACGGAATGTAAAACGCAACAGCAGGGCTTCGTACAGGGGAAGCACCAGCCGGGAAGCGAGCACGACAAACCAAAACCAGAGGGAAACCGAGCGAATGAAAGGGAATGCGGTCTATAGCACCAGTTCTACTATTGCGTGGGTAGCGGTAGAAATATCTGTTCGGCGATAAAATTCGCAAAAGCATCCCAGATGGCCGGGAATAAAAATGCAAAAGGGTTTCCTGGCTTTTGAGGTGCTTTCTTTTGACCAGATAATCAAACGAAGCAGAAGGCTCAGGTGATAGCTATCCGAAATAAGATATCGCAATAGGGCTAGAAAAGGTGGAGAACGACAGTTGTTTGATGTGATTAGTATAGTAGGGTAGGTTGATGTCAACGATGTGGAGGTTGGGTAGTATCTTCAATTGCATGCAAACGAGACCAATAACTACCTAGCCACCCGCCCGCCCTTGGTGATCGATCATAAACGATATGATGGTAATGATGAATCTCGGGGCATTCGGATAGAATAAATTTTATGGTCACTCACTTGATTGTCTTGAAACCTCGTAAAAGACAGAGAGAGATGATATGATGTTCAGGCAAATAGGTAAGCCAGTAGGTATATAGTCAGATGCGAATGGGAAAAAAGAGAAGAGAAAGAAAGAAACAGGAAAAAAAAAAGGACTATGCATGAACAGCCCTCTTCTCCTGGAACTTTTAGCTGCCTCTCTTACATACCTGTCGATTGCAGGTCATACGCGAACTGCGACAACGATTTCGATAGAAGCAAATGCACAGGGCGGACAGGGAATAGGTATGGATGTACTGGGAACTGGGAACAAAGCCCATCCAAAAGGTAACGATATCCGGATCCCTAACCAAAGGGCTTTTCTTTCTTAATTTCTTTCTTTATTTCTTTCTGTCGACCAGGTCCGGGTACATACGAGACAAGCAGAGGTGTGGACGAGGGAATAAGAAAAATGCGTGAAGACATATGCAGCAATTGACTGAGGGTATGCGAAAGGCGCTTTGTTATGCCTTACATGCTGCCCTACATACAGCCATGACCAGGACAGCAGAAATAACACGAGACGAAGAGAAGAGAAAACAAAAAAAAAAAAAAAAAAGTGGGATGGATGGAAAAGCCATTTCTCTTCAATTATTTTCTTCTTCCTCTTTTTTTTTCCTCTTCCTTTGGTATTTTCTTTTCTTCTGGCTAAGCTTCTTTTCTTTTTGATTCCCGCCTAGGGCGTGGACTCCACATTGGACAGGACCGTACATAATACATATGTATTGCGCAGACAAGACAAGACAAGACAAGGCCTTGTTGCAACTGAACGTGGAGAACCCTTTCAAGAAAAAGAAATATTGGGCATCGTGATCGTTTGAATGCTCGAACCGAACTGCGGAATAAAAAAGGATATGCGTGTGTATGTATGTATTTGTGTGTGTATGTGTGTATGTGTGTATGTACGTACCCTTATCCGTCTGTAAATCTGATAACAAAAAAAACCGTCCCCGCCTTTGCGTCCGTCCGTTGGCTTACCCGGTTGTTGGTTTATGTCAATTTGGAGAATGATTTTTTATCTTATCATGGGTTTGTCTCGCTAGGGAACTTCAATCCTCAATCTTTCGTGGTTCGATGTGTTTTAAATAAGTGGCTAGGCCTATAGGTACTACTGACTGGGTTAAGTCAGTGGCCGGGGCTGTTGGGCTGACTGGAGCAGAATCGATCGATGAGTGGGCAGCACCACACATTTAAAAAGAGAAGGGAAACGGGAACCTTTGCTCCCTATGATGTCGAACTGCTAGCACGCTGCGGGACCCGACGATAAACTAATACAAACCATCGGGCGATACAGCCGGGGTCAGATAGTACCCTGAAGCAGGAAAGGCCCGATTAATAATTGGTATTAAGCAATTGAGGGGAAACCAAGGCCTTTCGAGATTGCATTGATCTAGTTGCTCTATTCAAATCGCCCAGCGCTGATATCCCGGCCCTGCGACTCCATAAAACCTACGAGGATGATAATACTATCGACGACCGAAGCACTGTCTCAGGTGCCAAATTTTACTCCATGCTTCGGGCATAATTAGCCTCCACCTGGAAAGTTGAGGAAACCCGCATGAGAGTGGCTACAATGTGTGAGCTCAATTTCTGTCGATGTCCGCCTCAACTCCACCATGCATCATGGCATCCAGCGATCACCCAGTCCTGGAGACTACTGGATGCACTGTTTGTTGATTTCCTAACCTCAACCAAGACAGAGGCGGGGATGAAGAACGAAAGGGTCATGCTAAGCTAAGGGTTTAAGGTAGGTTTTAGCTCTTCGGAGCGCCAGCCTCGAGAGGAAAGGACGCAGACAGATGTCATCCAATAAGAAAGATGCACACCATCCCTGCAGCCATGGGGCAGTTCAACCCCACTAGGCTGGACCGTACCGGTGAGAAGGTGGATTTCGAAAGCGAGGATCTGACTGGCTACCTGCAACAATGTCTTGCGCACAACCACCCGGGCATCTGCAAATCGATAGCCCAGAGAGGATACAAGTGCCGATATGAATGTCTTAATGTCAGCCGTTGACGGTGTACAAATACTCCCGTATCGTCACCGGTCCAGCTCTCGATTGCTTTTCTTTCGTAAAACCGAATATTTGTGCTTCACATCACCTCTGACTTATAGCTAGTAGACTAGTTTCCGAATGGATCCTTTCTCGGGGTGTTCTCTCATCAAAAAGTCCCTGAGCTTGAATCTCGATAAGAAAATCCACATCGCCAAGAACTTAGGGTGGGTTTCCCTTGGTCATGGGATAAATGGGTCGAAAGTCTATGGAAACCTGCTAAGTGGCCCTTACAAGAGACGGCATGTTCCATTCTGGGGCCTGCTGCAATTTGCCTCAATATCTGCTAGGTATTCAACCGTCGGGGAGGTGTTTTTTTTTCTGGGAACCCACGGCCATAGTTCTGGAGAGAGGCCTAACTAGTGAGGGTCAGCACAGCCATCCGTATTTCCAAGTCCGACGTGCGAACTGCGACGCAATCCTTATAAGGTGAACCAAAATTTTTCAAATCTTCGAATGCCCATGCGACCTAGGCATCTCCACTTCATCTGGCGCCGAAGACACCATTCTTATTTCTTTAACCCCGCTCAGTGGTGCTTATTTAGGTGTGGTGGTAGTGGTAATAAAGAATAAGTTTTGCTGACCATATTCATGCGCGAATATGTACCGTGTAAGCCTCATTCTTTCCCACCCCCTCAGCCTTTCGCAGTCGGGATCACTAGCTTGGTTCAGCAAAACGGCGAGAAAAAGACAAATTTTTTCTGTCGTAGCCTTGACTCGCGTATGGTGTTATTGCCTAACGCTTCCCAAGCCATCAAATGAATCTTTTTCGGCATTCGGTTAAATCCTTGAATATGCATCTCGAAGCGCTCATCAAGATGCCGAAACATGATCGTGAATAGGAGTCTTTCCCGATCGTATCCCCGGGATGATGCGGTTTTGCACAATTGTAACTCTTTGGGAAAATCGATACTTCAGCTCGCTATTTTTAGCATGTAAAAAATAACCTGCCAAGATTTGGAGATTCTGTGGACACATATGTAGGCTCGACGGCAAAAGCCCAAAAGGCGAGGATCGCAAACAGGATTTCTTACCTCTCGCCTTGTGAAACATGAGCGAGGACGGGACAGACGTGATGAACAAATTAGCAAGTGGCCAGACGAATCCTCTGAGCCCCATTGGGCTGACGGTCGAAGTTGCGTAGGGCTAGAAATAAGAGTTTGGGCTTGAGCCGAGAGATGTTCTCCGACCATGGAAGGACCTTGCAAGTTGTTCCGTGCGCTAGCCAACCACGGCCGTTCAAAATCGAGAGTTCAATGAGCGCTCCAATGTGGGTACACATGTGATGCGTCTGTACAACAGGAACGTGTAATGTGACACAACTTAATCCTAGCCTCTTCGAACTTATCCAACACCCTTTGGCCGGTTCGACAACCAAAAGCTAGAAATTTGTGATCAATTTGTGATACTTTCCCTTTAACCCTGCATGGGCTCCAGCCTTAAGCCTTGCAAATTTACTAGAGTTTTTCTTACAATTGTGGAACAGTCCCAGCAACTGCATATACAGTTGTGCTAAAACGGCTTTGTGGATGGCCAGCCTTCGCACATAGGAATAGCAATTTCGATTTCGATTTCTTGGTTTCAATTCAACCGTTAGCCGAGTGCGATTTGCTTTGTGCGTTAGGGCGACGTGCATTCGCAGTACTGTAATATAATTGTATTTCTATTAGATAAAGCCAATTCCCGCGTCTGCTATATACCGTTCCATAATATATCCTTCGCAGTGCATTCTCGCGAAAAGATGGGTTCCATGTTAGCCCTACTGAGCTAGCACCCGATAGCGGATCTCAAGGAACCAACATTATTACGATTACTGTTTCGTAATTTAGACTCAATGTTACATGGAGGAAAACTATATCTTAAGACTAATAACGTTTCCGCCTTCGAAAGAATTATCTCTCGTTGTGATTTGAGGAAACATTTCCGATCCTAGATCCGCTCAAGCCCTAAGAAGCAAGGAAGCTTAGATGATCAAGGGTAATATGCACTCACTTCACCCAATTGACTTTAATTAAGTGCATACATCAAAAACGCATTCCCTACAAGGCCGTCTTGACGATCGAACCCCTCGTTTGCCTACAGTTCCACAGCTTTTCTACGAAATTGCAGAAACAGCAGTCTAGTTCCGTGGAGACACAATTGCGCCAGAGAAATCTTGATTCACATCCGGAAGCCTGATCGAGGGTATCACAGATTAACCCATGCAGCTGTCAAGTATACCTTGTACTGTCCCCCTTATGCATAAACCTAACTCGCAAGTTAGGCAAAGTAGCCGACGCAATACAACCTACTCCGAAAATGTGTGCCGTAAAATCAAGGAAAGCCGACATTCGACTTCTTGGAAGTTGTGAATTCATGAATACGAGACACATTTCCCCTCCATCAACGTCTCCACTTTATTTCGTCATGGCCCCGTGTGATTGGCTGAGCTTATATCATTATTGATATTAACGCCCCGTTATCTATGATGTCTGCGGCGTTCGAAAACCTGACTAGCTCATGCCTTACAAGGCTTTTTGAGAGTTTCCTTCCTTGCTATCTTCGTGGAGGGTGGTCTAGCCGAAGCTGGCGCCGCACCAACCTTTTTTTGCCCACGAGCAAGCATGCAACCTTTTGGAAATTGGCCAGGACGTGGTCCAGGGTACTGGAGCCAATCATTACGGGTGACGGAAGGGGCAGGTTTATGTTGTACGAAGAGGCAATCTAACTGGAGGTAACTGTCGTAAAGAATTTTCCGCAGGCCTAGGAGTAATAACGATTGTAAGCCGGCCTGATAAATTTAAGAATGGTATGCATATATCGACGTATCCACCTCGACCTCAAGGAATGTTAGCCTTATCACCTTGAACGGGTTTCTTGCTTAGCCTTAGCCACTATAGATCGAACTTGAAATTTAACCTTGACGTATGCAAGTTTCAATGAGCTTCCGAGGTCATTGAAATAATTTTGCCAGTGCCAATTCTGGTATCCCCCAAATTCGACGATATACTGCGTGTAGTCCCGGAGTCCTGTAGACGAGCTTGTAGACCCACCCATCCTTACCAATCAACTATCAGAATCGATGGCTATCCAAATACAGTTCTTCAGACATCCTTTCAGCCGCTACCTGCTCTTGAAACCTCGTAGACGCTTGAACTCCTGACTCGCACTCCAGTTCTGGTAGCTGACCGAATTGTTTTCCAATCGAATCTCCTTAATCTCAGCATGATTCTCGTCAGGCCCAGTCAGCCACCAGGAAAATTTCAGCTCGTTCCCTCCTAATACTCGTGTAAGGCTCTCCTGGAAGGCAATTTCCCAGCTGACAGGAGGACCAGAGGCCAAATTGTTCTCCCTCGCACGCGTTTTGTAATATATATTTCTCTCCTGGCCCATCCACCTCCCTTTCAGCCTCCTTTGTGCTTTTTACAATAGAACCTTTTCTCTCTTTCTCCTTTCCGATATGCCTAAGTACTTACATTGTCGACACCGAATTCGCGACTAGTGACTGTTCATCAAGCCGACCAACAAGACAAGTAGTCATTTGGGAAGATGTTTTCGACGTGTAGCCTAGGAGAGGCATTACCTCGACACGACCTAATACCAACATTTAGGTTCTTCGATTACATACTAACATACTATCGGTCGCATTCGCGGTCATCTGCATCATGCAACGCTCACCCTGCACGGTCTTATGCCCACGGCTTACGAAAAGAAGAGGAAAACACCGAGCGACAAGGCTACTCGATAACATTTTTCTTGAGGGGTCTCAGGAAACTTTCGAATTCTGGGTGCCTACTAATCAGTAAAGGAGATACCCTAGAAGACTTGCAACATTATCTAGACCAATTTCTTTCCCAGGGTTCCTAAGAACTCTCGGAAAACTTTTCCACAAGCTTATTTACTTTGCATCCAAGGCCGGGTCGAAACTTGGGAAGAACAGGTATTCACACGAGACTTCAACACTAGTGCGATTTATTCCTTATTTAAGTTCCTATTTTACTCCATTGATATGACTTGCTAGCTGTGGTCATACCTTTCCAACTCCAATGCGCTATAATACCGACTACTACATAGTCCCTAGTGCCACGAGCGGGCTATCCAGACGTGCACGTTTTCATACAACTACACCAGGAACAAGCCGTTTTCACTTCACAAATCCAATTAATGCTGCAGAATCGCTCGGACCATCCAACAGTTTACTTCCTTCTAGTTCCTACCTAACTACAAGGTTTCCCAATTGAACCCTGCCATTGCGTCCCCGCACGAAGCTATAGCATCAACTTATCCAACTTAGTCACGAGTCCCCTGGTCCTAGAAACCTGGTAAAAAACGGTTGACGGGACTTCCCAGGCCGTCAAAAAAAAGAGTTATCCAACAACGCAGCTGCCAAATATTCCAACATGACAAAAGCTTGACTGTTGGGCCAGCAGTTGATTACAGAACGAAATTCAACATTCCAAGACACAATTGTACAACCTCCCCCCACCAAGCCCGCCGTTTCACACCCTAATGGTCTCATATGCACGTTGCGCACTCGAGAGCTCCAAAAAAAAGCCTTTATTTTATTTTATTTTTATTTTTCCATTTCATCAAATCAAAAACGAGTGGGATAATATGACTCCTTTGGGTATCCATTCCGAAAAGTTTCGATCGGGCACTGTTTAAGACACCGCACCGGCTATATACCATCGAACCATTGGCCCTCGAAACGCTATTGCAGAAGCAGAACACATATTACTCAATCGATTGCCATCGCTTAAAGTAAAATATACTCAAATGCATCTGCATCTCTATCTATCATAAGATCCACGCTAATAAAAAAACAGTATGCCCGCCTTACGAAAAAACAAACAAATATTTCCCGTTTATACAGGACCACCCTTCGGGACAGCCGGGAACGACATGGGATTCTTCAGCCGTTCCATATTTCTTTTGGCAATCTGCTTCTCTAGGTACTTTTGCTGGCGAACGTTGAAAAAGTTACTGCAGGGGGTGGGGAAGAGAATTAACCACGTCAGTCGATGATACCTTTTTTTTGCTTAAGTTTTATTACTATGCATATACATTCCAATTGGAATATAACGAAAGAAGAAACAAAAACCGGGAAGATTAAGAACACGGCCAAGTTTCCCCACTTTTGTTGAGTGGATATAGCCAAACCCATGATGGTGTTTATGCATCATGGAGACGTTCAAATGTGCAGCTGACCAACCTAACTTTGGTCAAATTGCGAGCTAGGGAGGGGACAAGTATTGCAAACGTACCGGTGCAGATTATACTCGCTGAAAGAGGATGCTTCAACCGCTTGTTCGGTTTTCGCCTTCTCGGTCTCCTCGACTTTAAGCTTATCCGTTTCCTCGTCTTTGACCTTGGCCTTCTCTTTCTCTTTCTCTTTCTCTTTCTTATCCTTATCCTTGTCTTTATCCTTATTCTTTTCTTCTTTCCGTTTTTGCTTCTCTTCAAATTCTTGTTTCAGCTTCTCAAGCTCTTTACCCATCTCCTCTTTCTTCCTCTTCTCGGCTTCGGCTGCTTCATCAATGACAGCGGTTGCGAAACCTCGGTCGTTCAAGTGGCTTGGGCAAATGTAAAAGAAGTCCTAAGCAACGGCTCTATCAGTCAGAACTAATGTAGGATCCGAATCGAAGCGGTCTTCAAATGAGCTAGACTCTCGCGTATAGGGATGAGCTATGTTCGACTATAGGCTTGGCGACATGGGATTAAAGATATCACAATTGGGAGGATAGGGCTGAGAACATATGACAGCTGAAAAGAACCCCAACCAGCAAGTGGCATTTACGGTTCAAAAACAGTAAGGGGAAATAAATCTAGGGAGGAAGGCTAAGAAGGAAATTTGGAATGTGCTGGGTTGTAAACCGTTTACCTTCTGACATGATGTTATGAGGACTGAAGTTGACGGCCTGAAGCATATCATGCAAGGTTTCGACGACGCCTCTGCAACCTTTCGATGAATGTACACGTTTTGGAACGGTAGCGCCATCTCCCTTCCCTCCCTTCTATCCTTCCTGCAAGCTGCTGCGCTGGGACGGATCTATTTTTTTCCTTTTCGCAATTTAAAATCCGATTGCGATGGATCGTCAATTTGCCACCGTAAGACCCAGCCCTTTTTTGAAAACGAGATGAATGGATTTTGCGAAACGGATCGGTGGATTTTTTAATTTATTTTTTGAACAAAAAAAGAGAATCTCGTTGGTCTCCTGGCGAGGCTGAAATTAGCGAGTGGGGAAGCTTATTCGGGGCGTGCGGCCGAACTTGTTAACCAATGACGGCGCAGCCAGCGTCACAGAATGAGAAAATCAGAAAATCCACAAGCAAGCAAAGTGACCTGACATACATGTGCCCTCTTCCAGCCTAGGGAAATATTTTCTATATTGGGCAAAGCTGGGACGGCGAGCGAGACTTTCGGATGGGGAAGATCCGTTCGAACCCTATGAGAGGTATCTCCAAAGGTGGCGCTTGTGCTGAAATCCTCCAAAGGAGCCCTTACTAACCTTCATGAAACCTTTCGTAAAATCCGTCCTAAAACGATGTCTCATATCAGCAATGTTAAACTAGCTTCGAACTTTAGAACTTTTGCTTTGGAATTTCTCAAGTAATAGTGTGTAATAGCCTCAGCGGATCAGTGCTCAACGGAGATGGGCTCGAACCCTGCAAGGCTGGAGCTTGAGGGATCTAAGCTACATGTCACCCGGGCCAGAAATGGCATGCAGCGGCACATGCACATTCTCGCCTTGTATTTCCACTTTGGGGTTTCGTTTGACATGTACCCAGAATATCAAGAGGCCTTACTACATAGATAGGTACGGAATACGAGAGCTCTGATCCACAGTTCATCATCTCGATTTGAGATCGTAGAATAAACTCCGATTAGTGTACAATGGAAATAAAGTGGGCAAAACAAAAAAAGAACGCTAGAGCTCGCCAGTAAGCTGACACCCCGCTCGAATGCGAACGACCGACTGCCGAAGATGCTTGAGCGCTTCTCGAGATAGAAGTGGGCCGGGGAATAGAATCCTAATTTGAAAGAATGAATCTCTAATTCATGCTTACCTTAACGTTAAAACATGATATCGGGGTGTAATGCTGAGGGTTATGTCGCATGACTGACAGGATATGAATAGAAACGAAACAAGTTGGGAAGCAGAGGGCGCCAAGCCCGACAAGGCCTGAATGGGAATTACCCTTGTCAGAGTCCACCAATGGCAAGAATCAGCAGTTGATCCTCCACCTTTCCCAACGTCCCTCTTCCGAAAAACAACACAATTATCCATATACACCCCGCCATTTTACCACATTCTTCCGGGTTCCGATCCGGAGTTGTTTTTGAACCTTGAAGACAATGCAAGCAGCATCTCGTCGCCTCTGCGCAATATCGACATCTCCATTTCGGTCGAATCGTCTGGTCTTACCTTCTTTGATAACCAATCAACAATCTTCTGTTAGAAATATTCTACAGCCTTCAAAAACTTGGCGCACAATGGCAACCTCTTCTCCATCCCAGAACGAATGGCTCGTCATTCTTCCCGATAAGCCAGGCGCCGTTGAGCGTAGGCTTGCAATTCGCGGGTAAGTACCATCCTTTATTTGCTTCGATTGATATATGCTGCGTAAATGTGCAACGATATAACTTCCGGGAATCTTTTTTCTGAGCATACAGAGAACATCTTAAAGTCGCGAATGAACGTGCCGCCAATGGTCTCATCAACTTTGGTGGGGTAATGTTACACGAACACATCAAAGAAGGAGAAACCCCAAAGTTCAAGGGATCTATCATGTTGTTCTCTGTCGAAACTAAAGAAGAGATCTGGGAGATGATCAAGAGTGATAAGTATGTTGAGAATGATGTTTGGGACCTGGAGAAGGTGAGATTAGACTAAGTCTTTACCACCCCGATTTTTCTATTTTTGCTAATGATATGAAAATGCAGGTTGAAATTATTCCCGTAAGTCTTATTTTTATGTTCTCAATCTTGCCAACGATGAGGTATTTGCATACTAATTCTCTGGTTTAGTTCAAAACTGCACTTCGAAGGGCCTTGTAACCCTCTCTTGTAGGAATGAATGGTTCTAGTTTGGGAAAGTTTAATTGTGGACTGCCAACCTCTAGGATCGAGTCGAATCGTGTAGACACAAGTTTCATATGGATTAAATGGAAATAAATAAGCACTTAAGTTCAATAAATTGATCCATAATGGCCATCTAAATATGGGTGGAAAGTAGCGAACATATCATTCTCTAGAATACCTAAGCCCCACCGTTGAAAACTAGACACTTTATGCAATTGCCTAAAACTCAGCGTCAGACAGAGTATCAATGGCCATTCATAATCCCCTCTAGAATGTCAGCTATTAGACTAGACTCGAACATAGAGTTACGAGACTTGGTGGGGTAATATATGAAGAAGGGCATCTTTCAGACTTTTAACAAACAGAAAAGGTGGCACTTACAATACGTATCGGCGATGTAGAACTGTGCGAAGTCTTATTAAAGTCGTCTCGCTTCGAGAATAAAAGATTATCTATCTAGTCTCAAGGCTAGTTATTTCCTATTGCTCTCCTATACAACAGGGATGCGTTGAGCAATCCCTAGCAATCCACTACCAAGCAAGTTTTTAGGCTATTAGAAAGGACTCTACTATCTCAATATAGAGGTGGTTACACCTGAAACGAAATTTGAGAATAAGTAGGTATTCGATCCCGGGATCTTTAGAGAACTGATCAGCTGAAAACTGATCCCGGATAATAGTATTCTTGTAAGACACGATACTAGCTCACCAATTGATTTCGATTCCATCGTCATATAAGAGTTTTTCTTTAAAACAGAAGGAGGCGGAATCCCATATCCTTAAGCTTCTTTGGCACCCATTCGAATTCGAAGACGAAGTAAAACTGCGCTCGAAATTACATTATAATAGCCAACCACATCCCCCTTAACTTGAAGAGGTCAGATATGACTGCTCTGATAAGAATATATATGTGTTCCTACTCCCGCGCTTGGTAATGCCAAATACGTAATTGCCCCTAGCTTCATATCCCAATTCGAATTCGAAAGTTATAAGTATCGACCCCAGAAAACGGTGTTGCGTAGAACGACAAAGACGTTGCATTTCGGAGCTCTACGATTTCCAACACAACGCGGGCTGGGGTCAAGCAGTGGAGTCAGATCCTCCACCAAAATGTCCGACGTTGATTAAGGTTCATTACGTTAATTGCGACAGGTCCAAGTTCGAATTCTCCCCTCCCGAACAATCCCTTGACCAGGAATGTGAAAAATAATAACAACCGGAGAAATTGTTTCCATGATTCGATATTTTATATCTAAGTTACCCCGCTCGAATATCACTTATTCTACCACTCTTCGAACTTTCTCATCCTCCAGACGTTTGACCATGGCGACGGAACAATAGTAAGTCTGCATTTATTGCATAGCTATAGCTTCACTTCAATTCAATGTTTTATGCTGTTACCTAGGTCGGAAACATGGCAATGGTAAAATATATCTGTAGTAGTTATTCGACGTCCGAGTCTCTGATATCAGGAAAAATGCATATCGGAATAGACGCCAATGTTTAAGTAACGCCGCGGGAACCACACTGCGTCGCAATTCCCCTACACCCTAACTAGCACCCTGTATTGTTGCTAAACCGTTTTATCTTCGACGGCCCTATCCTGAACCTTTAATCTTTTTGTTTTTGTTCATGATATTCACCAGAGCTCTTCTTAACTCCACATGAAAACTTGACTGTTGATACATATTTCTGACCTCCCATACATATACAGCTTCATCATAGTCCCCGACCACCCCTCCGCCCCCCGCCTCGAAGTCCGTCCAAAACACTTCACAAAAATCTCCCAGGAATCCCCTACATCCCTTCCACGCTGTCTTTTCGGCGGCGCATACCTCTCTTCCCAACCGACACCAGAAACAAATTCGACTCCGGAGAAATGGCCATTCGTAGGCTCATCATTGGCACTTGAACTCCCAGCCGGGAGTGGTGAGGAAGCTGTGAAGGAGTGGCTCAAAAATGACCCTTATTCTACTGGTGGGGTCTGGGATTGGGAAAATGCGAGAATTTTCAGGTTTAAGGCGGGTGTGTCGAATGTTAAGGAATTGAGTGCAGGTGGTGCTGCCGCCGCTCCTACCGATTCTAGCGATGGGAAGGATCAGGAAGCATAGAAAAATTATGGGTTTAACGGTAGTTAGTATGGGATGGGGATGGCAGTATGGTATATATAGTATTTCTAAGTGTATCTAAGTAGGAAGAAGCCAAAAATGTATGCATATATGCATATCAAAACAACAAACTTTTTTGTAATCCATAGTATTATTATCTATTCATCATTATCTCCTCCTCTCATCTCCTTTCATTTCATTCATCACATCCCATTCTTTCTCCTTTATTTCGTTTTTCATCATCATCTTAAAGTAAACGTCCTGGGGTATCATACATGCTTCTTAAATCAACAACAAAAAAAGAAAAACAAAGGAATAGAACACCGAATACTAAGACCGAATCAACCGTTACATAGAAGAGGAAAAAGGGAGAGAGAGCGAGAGTACATCTGCTGAAAAATCACAGATGAAAGATGGTTTTTGTGGAAGGTGAGGGCGGGAATATAAATACAAAGAAGCCAAGTAGTTAGGTGTAGAGGACTCGACGGATCGTGTAGTTGCTCGGCCGAATTTGTGTGTAGTGGGTCTTATGATCACAGATCATTGGGGTAAAAAAAGAGAAAAGGATATGACATAAAAAGACCAAGGTAGAAAAAAAAGGCACGGAAGGGATTCATGGGAGGGAGTTACAAGTTAGTTGGTGTACTTTAATCTGTTTTCCAATGACTTGTCAAAGTAGTACCATCTTCGTCGTCTGCCTGTGCTTGACAGAGCTCGAAGGAATATAATGCGACTATCAAATACGTGTCAGAAACTTTGTGGCACAAAACAAAAGTTATTCTTGCAGGAGTAACTTACGTGTAGCTAGGACGTTTACCCATCGCCATATCTCAGCCCCGAGTGGAGTCCAAATCAACATATTGATCCACCCCATTTTCCCAACAGCGATACCCAACTCTCCGCCCCGCATCGCCTCAAAATGCATCATTAACAGGTTTGTATAGACTGTTATCATAGCAACGGGGCTAAAGCTTCTGATGAAGGTTAGAAATCGTGTGGTGCCGCCGGATCCAGGATCATCTTCATTTTCGTCCTCCATGCTCAGACTTTTGCCTTCCCGAACGGCAGGTATAATCTTTGTGCTCGCGTTAAGAACAAAAAGCCTGTACGCCAGTGAAACTAGCACAGATGGAGGGATTGTGTCCAAAGCTGAGCGGATGAAAATGAAAGCAGAGGTTATTGCGAGAGGCAGGACTTGGAGAAGAGATTCTGATATGTTAGAAACGGAGGATATAATAAAAGGTGGAAGTGGCGGAAAGTCGGGTTTTTCAGAGATTTCTGGGGGGTTGTTTGGTTTGTAGTCTGTGAAGATCTGGTACATGCACAAGACGACATATGAAAACTATAAATTGTTAGTAATGTATGCTTAGATGGAGGAGGTATAGTGGCATACCAGGAGAGAGCTTTCGATGGAGCTGCCTCTGCCGCTAGCAATGCCATAGCCGCATAGAAAGAGCGAGCTTGTGACCGCTACGCCTATGAGGGTAGCATCTATAGCAGAGATGTCCGGGAAGGTATATATCCGGTAGATGAAATAGAAAGCGGATGTGATAATCGAGCCGGAAGCTACCAGTAGAGCGATCTAGTGAACTGTCAGCGCCGATCATATATTAAAGACAATACAGGTTAAACATACATTCCAGGTGTCAGATTTCTTGCGGTGAACCAGCCAACGGCCAATCTGGCCAACGGACTGGATGACCAGAAGGGTACAGAAGCCCTCAACTAGCTGAAATATAGGTGTAAATATCGTAAGGAAAGCGTTCCAGGGGACTATAGTGAGTCTGTCCCATAATATCGGGTCCTCGCCACCAACTGGTTCCGGCTCATCTGCTGTAAAGCCGATAACTCTTCGGACCTTTCTAGCTGTACTATCGAAAGGAGGAGGATCCGTTTGGAATCTGTCAAGGTTGAATATCAATAGAGCGGGTACAATGAGATATTGCAAGGCGCCGAGGAGATATAAGAGGGGCCAAAGATGCCGTCGACGGTTTATGGCGAGACGTAGGATGGATAACAACCAGTAAAAGGTTGATAAGGCAAGGGAGAAAGCAAGACCACAGTCTCTGCCGCCGACGTCGAAGGCAAGAGGTACTGATACTATGATCAGTAAAATGAAGCCGATGCTCGATACTAATCGAGAGACAAGCTTCAGAGCAGCAAACATTTTTTCGTTTAGTTGAAGGATATGTGAACGTTGAGGAACACTTGAGGTAAATTCTTAAAAATTATAGATTTCGAGACAGGGAGAAAAAAAATCAAATAAAAAAAAGGCGAATCAAATCGGACGAAGAAGTCGATAAAAGGACGTTAGTCCGGGGTAGGAGGTGAGGGTATCCCCCGGTAAATGGTAGCGTGAGCTACCAGTTCGGGAGGTAGTTTAAGGTGGGAAACCTGGAGGTTTGTGTATATATCGGGCGACGGGATAGCGTGCAAGGATCGATGGCAAGGATAAGGAAGTTACGGAGGAACGCGAAAGAGGGGCTCTCGAGACAGACAAGGGCGTGGTATGAGGTGGCAGAGGTTTTTTAGTAAGGTGGTGACTGCTCAAGCCGTTCCGAGAAGTCGCACGTGAACGTCTTGATCGATGGCGATAGTTTGTGTGGTCAAGCCGGATGGACGTGAGCCTGAACCTAGGCTGTTGGATTGTTGGTCGATGCTGTTATTCTATAAAGCGCCTATGGGAGGAGAGGAGGGGGGAGAGTCGGAATGATGCATGGATATCAACAGCATGGGTCGTGACGTCGATTCGATGGGCGGTGATGATGGCAGACGATGATGTTGGAGAGTTGGTGAAGTGTTGAAGTGAGGTTGGATGGAAGATGGGATGCTGGTCGGTCTCTATGTCGATGTTTTTGGATGACGGACAGCTGCGCCAAGCAAAAAGGGAAGACCACTTCTGTCTCTACAATTCTTCTTCAGACGGACATACCACCTTCACATGCCTACGACATACGTCTTGATAGAATCATCGTCCACCAAGTTGAGTTACCATAAGGCTACGGGAGGGAATCATTGGTGGGGTTTGTGCCGTTAGCGCAAAAAATTGTGAAAGCAAAGTGTGCATGTGCATATTCAAGATATCACACCTTGCTTGCACTGGCGCTGCACCGTGCTTGGCTTAGTCAGACAGGGATTTGATTCCATACTTTTGATACATACACAGAAGGAGGTGCAAGGTGCCGAACAACGCAGGTGACTGGTAACTGGATCTAATCTGATATGATAACCAATCTAATCACGCATTATGCATCTAATCTGACCTGATCTCTGCTCGATCGGATGGTCGCGTGGGTAGCATTTTCAATATATTTTTCAGCATTTGGTGCTTTATCAATTTAGCTACCTACTTAAGTAGTTACTCCCGTCTATCTTTTGGGAGCAGCGATACCCATTGCTCCCGAGACTTCATGCTTCTTCAGGTGGGGGAATATATTAGCTACAACTGTAGCTTATGTATAAGCTTATGTATAAGTTAACTTAACTGTTCATCTTGACTAGCCTCGAGACCAGGCGCAACGTCTTGTACATGTACTTGTAGCAAGTACCAGGTATGACCAACCAGCCGATCTCGACCTCAAAATACCACAACAACACAGACGGTAGACTAGTCGGTTGCATTGTATGATTGCTATTATAAGGCTCTAGGGCACTAGGTCTCTTCAAGGTAGATGGAGTTCATATTGAGTTTTTAAGAACCTAAATCATCTTGAAACTGGGTATGAGGGGTACTAGTGTATACCACGCGGTAATTACGTAAATTTAGTAATTTCATAGTAAAGTGAATTCATGAATAGATCGATACAGTGCGACTTCGCTCAAGCCTAGGCCTCTTTTCTAAGTATTAGTTATTGGTTTCAGCGAGACAGCAGATATCGATATATGGCCGCTAAGCCACCTGCACTCTGCAGCTCCCCTAAATAGGTTTCATCGAGCCGAGGCGGCCGAAGGTCTGGTATGGAATCCAACCAAGCTCGCATACCAGCCACCGCCCGCGACAAATAAACGGGATCGAGACTGATGAATGGACAGCTATCCTCAGCTTTTTCAACAATAAGATTATTTTAACTTAATGTTTGTATATACCCTGGCTTATGAAACGGAATTCAGGGTCATTCGAACATACTTTTAATTTTTGTGGGTAAGCCCAAGGTAGCCAGGCTATAAATTCGCTAAGCAAAGGCGAACTAATATTAATGGAACAGGGATTCGGATCGATCGCAAAAGCGGGAGCTTAAACTAGCTCTCCAGCCATCTATATGCATGCGCGAGCGGCTTCGAAATTTCAAGGATCTCACCCGCTGTCAACTGATGCAAGATATCATGAATCACAGAAAGAAGGCAGTAACAATTATAAAACTAATTACCCATTTAGAAAACAATGAGGTTGGAAGCGTTAAGCAAAAAGTCTTGATTGGTTAGCACTGGGAGGACGTACAGCCTTGCATTGTGTGGTTACATATATCCCTGCATGCATATATCTGAATTCACGTGCATAAAGCTCGAGCTGATGACCCGTTCGCAAGACGAACATTAAACCCGTCATGTCTGCTACTATACTTGATTAGGCTGCGGAATATCATATCTAGTTTATGGATTTATCATCGTTTTTGGAGGCTAGGTTGCATAATTTGCCCGAAGGCTACCAATGATCGGTAAATCTCGCCTGTGTCCACGCCCAGGTTATGCCCGAGTGCTCGAGCCCCGGGCCAATATATATTACCGTGGTAATTCATTGACGTATATCTAAATCAAACTTAGTACAGTTTACCGAGCGGCGCAAAAGAGGTATAAAACTCAAGGGGTCGTTCGCCGGATTGATTTTGCATTTGAGAAGGCAATTCTGGCCAGCTGGGAAGATGGACCCGGTGAGGCTATTGACATTGAGCACTTCCCCCCCGTGGTCTCTAACCAGGTAGGCTGGCATCATGAAATACCCAGCCACGCCAGTCTCGCACACCTGCAGCCGGATGTCTAAATTCTATGGAATCAAAATATGTGTCGCTATGATTTTTAACTATATAAATACCTGGGGTTCTGGTTCGCACCTCTTCTTTCGATTTATTATTGAACTATAAAACTTAACCTTCCAGGTCTGGGTACGAGACAAACTTATAGGCCTATAGGTCACTTTCATCACAGATGGATCGCTCGTACTATCTTTTATCTCTATTATTCTTCCTCCTGTCCACTACGTTACATGGGGGTTATGCGGAATGGAAAACTTTCACTCCGTTTTCCGCCCTCCCCCCTTACCATGATTTATCCTCAGAGGCTCGAACCTGTGTCGACGGGGTTCAAGATCTAAACTTGACGTCCTGCGAGAACTCCGAACAGTTAGATCCACAAGGTGTCGTCTGTCTTTGCGACCCAAAAAACTTTGGGGATGATAACGCACCCTCGTATCCTGAAGGTGGCTATCTCGGAGTGTTTTGGGAATGTTGTTCATATTCCAACTGTTCAACGGATGCCACCGATTATTTGAACCTTTATTGCAATAGTATCGACTTCGCAAGTTTTAACGGATCTGATGATGATGCCGTTACCACTACAACGACTGTGACTTTGGGCGAAACTACGAGTGATCCAGTGAGGATTGGGCCTCCTATTTATCGCAGCGAGACCTGGTGGGTGGTTTCGGCTACCGACTATATCACATCGGCGGGCGAAATTAGTACTCAGCTATCGAATTCGGAAGCAACTACATCTTCTGAAGCGACTACAACCCCCCAACCAAGTCATTCTTCCGGAGTAAATGCGCACTCAGAGATAAACACCCCCTTTGATTCAACCAACTTTGCAGGGACGACGGATTCCGAGGCTCAAGGCCCCGCAAGACCTACGGAGACCTCAGAATCAAAAAGCAAAACCAGCCTATTTAAAGCCCATCAGGGTCCGATAATCTTTGGAATTTGTGTAGCAGCAGTTCTGGGGATTGGGGGGTTCCTTTTGTTCTTGAGGGAGTCCCGCATTAAGAGAAAGAAGATGCATATGAGTGATACAGAGGCATCAACTAGTCATAATTCCAGCCAGGATACCGAGGAGCGGGACCAAGCAGAACCTCTTGCCCATCAGCCCAACCAGTGCCCTAGTCCCAACCCCGAACCAGTTTCTCAACTTAAGGAGCGGAATGGTGTAAATACATACCAAGAGGGGATTGAAACCGCGGGACCTGCTCAACTAGCGGCTGAAGATACATTACGCCTGCGAAGGAGGACTGCAATCTATACACAAAGTATTAGGTTTTTGTCGGATTAAGGCAATACCGTAGTGCCATATACGTGTAGTTCTAAACGAAGGCTCTAATATTTGCATTTAGTATCAAGGATAGGCAGGGGTTGCAATTGTGACTGGGTATATTGTGGTAATAGTAATTTATTAGTCTGCTGATAATACAAGTGCTGGTCCACTATATTTAAGTTAATTATAGCTTAGGAGGTTTACCTATATAAACTAATCTAACCACTTTTTCGCCGCTTCAACTGCCCATTCTCTATCTTTGAGATATTTGGCTAACTGATTTGCTATCCTCTTGTAATCACCATCAGGGGAATTCGCAGTACGGTAGCGCCCCACCAAGCGCTGCCCATCCTCAAAGTATCTATGGCAGGTTCGGAATTTTTGACCAAATGTCTCTGTATTTTCCTTCCTATCGTACCACATAAGGTTAAGTTCCGCAAAGACGGCTACAGCAGACAAAATCTTTGCATGGCCAGCCAACTCGTTGAGCCTAGTATTACTGAATTCCTGGGGGATCAAAGATAACTCCGACGATGCTTCGGCAATGTGAGTATTTGCGTTTTTGATCGATGCCATGATCAAGCTTCTAAATTCGTTAGGGCTGTCATACTCTTCCAATTTTTGAATATAACTCTTAGCTGTCTCAAGAGGCTTTTCTATCTCTCCTTTATTCCGGGGTTGCTACTATCCCAGTCGGACAACTCGCTAGTAGCTGGATCGCTGCTTGAATTTTGTGACCATATACTCACAAGTTGAGGGGTCTGTTTGAATGGATTATTCTCGAAAAAATGTGGCTGAGCGTCTAATTTCGAGCCGCTTTCGAGGGGCAAATGTTGTTGTGGCTGTGGATGGGGGAAATGATTATGGCTACCCTGATAAAGTATAGCCCTAGAAGGGGTTCGTATCCCGTACCCAGCCCTGGAAGAGGGTTGAGGGCTCTGCTCATAGAAATCAAGTTGGCTATGACTAGCATTTGTTGGCTGTCGGGATTGTACATGTGGCTGCAGAGGCATATCGGTCTGTTGTGCGTTCGAGAATTGAGGGGCCAACCACCACTGCTCCTCACTTGGGGGATCATCGTCTATGGTGCAAAGTATTAAAAAATCTAGACGCAAAACCGCCAAATAGCGGATCTTCCAAAACTCCAACTTATTGGGGTAAATCCAAAATCAACTACTTACCGAATGGCGGGCATTCAGACAGGATGTATGTTGCAACGGCTGCTGCCGCTCTTGCAGCCCGGCGTTGCCAGATATCGTCCTTATTCTCGTCCCCAAAGTCAGATATCCCTCTGATAGCTAAGCAATGGTGCTTGTTGGTGAGTCCGGCGCTCTCCATTTCAATGCAAAGAGCATCGCGCTCCTTTTCCAGAATCTGATCCCTGAAGCTAGCATCTCTTACGAGAGAATTCCCTGAGGCTATAACCCCATAATGTATCGTTGGCCGTTTAAATTCGTCAGTGCCAAGTTTCTTCCTCAAAAGATTTGAGACGAAAATGTGGGCTTCTTCTTCCGGCGCACTCTTCGCAATTTGACTTAGCGTTGCCGGCGGGTTATTCAGGTGGCCTATCAATTCGTATTTCCCATTCCCGAGCTCCCTTTTCCAATCATACTGGCAGATCCTTTTTCCAACCACTACATCACCTAGCTCAATTCCTCGACCTCTTAGCGGAATTCCAGCGGCTACACCCACCAACAACGTAAATCGAAGTTTTTTAAATGTCCTCCAAGCATCGGTAGCAAGCGTAGCTGCAGACGTAAGCCCAGTGTCTGATGGGGTGGCAATGGCAACGAAGTGTTTTCCGATTTTCCCGAGGGTATATACATTAACATCATCACGAGACATTGCATGCATTTTATATTCTTCGTCAAAAAACCCTTTCATTGCCGCGGCTTCAAGACCGAGGGGGCAGACTATGAGGATTGTGTACCGTTCGTTTAGCGGCATTTCCGAGCTGGCTGTATTCACCTAGATATAGGACTAAAAAGGTAGTAAAATGAGAAAGCCTCTGCTTTAAGTACTTAAGTCCTTTGAGACCCAAGATAAATCGACTGAGTTTGTAAGTTGGTTATAAGGGGACGAATGGAATATGGGGTTTTGAAGGGACTTCCACCAGTTTGGTCTCAAAGCTTTCCTTAGGGTAGTATATATAGCAATATGGCTAGGTGGAGATGCAAACACTAACGATATCAACAAGTGGTCGAGTTTCCCCGCTCGAACATTTCTGCAGAGCCTTCTGGAGCGCGCGGTTCACTTTGGGCCCATTTCCTGAAATTGGACTGTAAGGCTGGGCTTGTTTGCCTAATACTCAAATTCATGCAATTGTGTGGTGGCGCCTACACTTTACATCGGGACGAAGAAGGCTGACTATTTCTCTACTTGGAACGCAAATGCAGCATGCTGTCGGTATGCATTGCGTACGGGAGACCCTCGCGACCTCGAGGCTATACGGAAGATGGGAGGAACAATAACCAAAATCTTATTGGCTCCGGTCCTGATAAATTCAATGGTCTCATGGAACTTCTTTCGTAAACCCGCAGCTTGCCTAAAACTTACACGGGGAGATTGTTGCATATTGAACGGCAAAGGATAGAGCAAAGTGTTGTGCTAGTTGGCAGTGGGTATCGGTACCTCTTACCTAATGGACGTATGACTGTCTCATTGTCCAGACATCGTGCATCGTGCATCGTGCATCGTGCATCGTGCATCGTGCATCGTGGATTCCGCGTAGTATGACTGCACTGAGTATGGAGTATAAGCCATACTTTTGACCTATTGATGGCTACTCAGTAAATCTGCGAGAATATAATACCATCCGGGGAGATACTTGGGTACTAACCTAGGTGAGCGGTGCATCGATCCATATATTCTTCACGATACTTACCTACACATCTAAGTAGGCAGGGGGGAGATACATGTACTAACTACCTTGTTGGCGCCACGGCTTAGGGAAGTCTTCGACGGTATAAGAGGCAAATCCCATAACGTTGGTCTTGGTGACCCTTCCTGTGTTGCCGGGTTTCTTGGTGATGATGTGTTGATGTGTTGTATTATGTTTGATATGTGTCTCGATTACATAAGCTGCGGCTCCGAGCAGCGTCATTCCCGATTCAGAATCCTGCGCGACATCTCTTTTCCTCTTCAGTTGGACATAAACACAACATCCCAACTTCATCAGGCCACTAACACTACCATCATCATCCTCTGTCATCTCCATGCTACTCTGTTATATACGCCTTCAAGTCGTACATCATTGAGTATCCTTACCGAGTTGCTATACTTCTTTACTTTCCAAGTTTTTAAGTTTAAGTATCCACTTAAATGCTTACTGCTGCCCTGCCCGGATAGCTTTTTTTTTTTTTTTTCCTCCCTTCCCCAGCATCGCGTTATTTCGGCCGATACACGACCACTCAATTTACACCTGGCAAAGGTCAAGTTACTCGATGCTTCCTATTCGCCATGCTGCGAAGTTCAAAGGTCAAGATCACTTGCTTCTACTGCAACCAGCCTTCCTATATCCCCAGGACCGGTAATGCTTCTCCTCGCGAGTTCGACTGTCCCCGCTGCTATTCCACCAATAAATTCGATGAAAATGGTCAAATCCTCGACTACCATCCGGACGTTGAACAACCATTCGTCAAATTCGCCCGTGACAATGCCTCTCCTAAAAGTAAAACTCATCGCCACGTTTCCGTCCTCTGCAGGTCCTGCGAAAACAATCATTCCATTATCGTCGAACAGCTAGCAAACTACCTTCCTGAGGAAACCGATCCAAACTATGAGTACCTTGCCGAACACATCGACGACTTTAGACGCCAGCTTGAAGAGAAATATCCGCCCGTCTGCGACAACTGTGCCCCCAAGGTCAACAGTGTAATCAAGAGTATTAGATACGATGTCATTTCGAAAGGAATGGCAAGGGTACTCGTTAATACTGAGAAGAGGATCCATTCAAACCAGATCGCCCCGCCCAGGACGGTTTCTCGTATAATGCTAGGGAATTTCTTGGTGCTTGGTTGGTTCGCCTGGGGAGCCGCCTACTGGGCCTCCATCGCCCTGCTCATGTTTTGGCAGTTCACGATTTCAATCTTTGCCCTACACACCTCCAAGGAAGGATCCTGTGATCCAAGATGGCAGTCTTGCATCGCTGAGACTTGGCAGAAAGGAAATCTAAGTAGTGCATGCTACGATGTTAGCTCAAAATGGGTTAATGTTATCTTTCCATGGGCTCTGCTACTCTCCTTCTACGACTATAAATGGCTGGAGGTCCGCCGCCGACCAGGGTCCTATGTCGAGGATAGGGCCCCATACATGGCCTGCCAAGCTGTTGTCTCAGTCTTCATAGGCCTCAGCTGGTGGTATCTTGGACCTGGAGGCTCTTTCAAAGAAGAGAGACAGATAATGGTCTTAAGCCATGCATCTCTCCTAATTGAAGCACTCGTTCTCTGGATAGCATTTACCTCCTTGAAAGTCACGAGGCCAGTCTATACTATTTCTTTAAATGACTTAGACCGACCCAAATCAACAAGCCACTTACCACCCTTGTTAGTCAAGTCTTCATCGTCCCTATCAAGCTCGGGTGGCATGACTTTCCGACCCACCGGGCCTTCGATTAACGAGCATATAAACGCCCCAAGAACACCGCCGTCGGTCAAATCTAAACAGCCGTACATCAACTCTGCTAAAAGGAACCAGCCCACACCGAAGTATACAATAGAACCCTACCAACCGCCCTTACCTTTTCAATCTCGATACGCGACCCCTGCGCCGGCTCTGCCTCCCCCTTCTACTCATACTACACCAGGGCAACCAGATCCCGATGCAATGGACTGGAATCCTAGCTTCAACGAGAATGACAGCCAAGACACGTTCAATCCTATGGGGTCGTTCTCTGAGCACCGGCCTAGCTCTCCGCTTGGTTTCTTTGATCATTTCGACGACACTGACGACGATGATGCTAAAACCGAAATCATAGACTCGCCTGCAAAGCCAATTAGAAAGCCGATGAGAGGGAAAACTCTGATGGTTGATGGAATGCTTGAAAAACAGACAGGTTTAGAGAGCCTTTTCGAGGTGGCGGCTAAGCTTGACGAGGCGAAGCCCCTCAATCAGCCTGGCATCCTAAAGAAACGCGCTCACCGGGTGGGTCAAGAAGCCGCCCGGTTGTTAGTCGTATGCTCCGGGTTGTTCACCCTTGTGTCCTCTGATGATACCGCCGCGTGTGCTGGTCTGGCGCTGGCGCTAGTGTTTGGAACCGGCTGGAGGTTCATTAGGGCGGCTTTTAGGTCTGGTAATAGTGTCTACGGCCTTGGGGATGCGTGGAAGCGCAACTTAACTATCTTAATGTGTCTTTTCGAAGCATGCGCGGGTGCCGTGGTTGCTGGAGAACTTCTGGGATTTCGAATACTCCCGCAACCGATTAGCCTTGAGCACACGGACTCCCCACAACCGCTGCTACCGATCGATATGACACCGACAGATACCGCCACCCCGTTTACCTCAGAAGCTTCTTTTGACATTTCAGCACCGGTGGGGAGTAGTTTAGTTCATGACTCCCGGACGCAGATAATGCAGCTTATCATAAGATTGCTCTTCTTCTCCATGGCGGCTCATCAGACATGGGACTTTTCCCGGGTTTTTGCTTACAAGGGAACACATGTTCTGGTTGCTCAAGAAGGGCAGCCGGATCCCCAACCGGCAATCAGACGTCGGGACTCGAGGGAATTCATACTAAACAAGCCCATCAACAATTTTGGGGGACCCCTGAACAAAGTTCAAAGCCCTGCGGCTCCTATGCAGCCTCCTCCACCCCCACCCCCGCCCCCGCCGCCGACCACAACCGGGTTTGGCGGATTATCGCTTGGCGGTCCTAGCGGGAGCACTTTGACCCACCGAAGTAATTTTTCTTCGTGGGGGAAGCGTGAAACAGACGTTGGGATTCAACGTCCGACGCCCCAGCGGTTTGGGGCCACGACAACGAGGTCGATGAAGGTGCCGCCTCCGGGTATGGATACTGCTCCTAGCCCATGGACACAGGCAGGCTTTTCTCAGACGTCTTTCCAACAGCCAAGGGAAAACAGGAACTGGGGATGATGTCTCCATTTTTGTTTAGTCTTGGGATGTCACTGTTTGTATCTCTTTTCAATGCCTATTACACGAAGATTGCCCTCTTACGACGTCTATCTGCAGTTTTGACTCCGTTCTTTTTTTTTTTTTTTTCCACATTGTTCTACATCATAGCCGGGTCTTTTTCTGTTTTGCATCACAAAAGAGCGTTCGGCGTTTCGTTTATATTTCTACCGTTATTTCAAATTTTGAATTCTCTGTATTATACCTTGTAATGATGGCGTCCTGTTGATAGACAATGAGTTCTTATTCACTGATTGATTCATTTCTTTGGATCTCCTTCAAAGCTATTTCCCAAAATTTTCCCGTTCCATCGCGTTGTCTCTTGTGATATTTTCTTTCCCGTCCAAGACACAAGCCAGGGTTCTCTCCAACCACATCCTGACATCAGCCGAGACTAACCCGCCACAGGACAACCAACCAAACGTTAACTAGCTCATGAGGAACCTGTCTCACCCCGCTATGCAGTCCATCCTGCATCATCCTCATCCTCGTTCCTTCGTCTTCACCCCTCCGGACTATTCCCACTTGCTTTCTCCCAAATCTTCGTCTTCGATCCTTGATATTCTCCTTCCACCGCGTTTAACCTCCCACCTAAAGGGTATTGCCGGCGTCATGCCGCTCACCCCGCCCCCTCCTCCTCCACCAAATACTCCGAATGATAATTCGTTGTATGGAAAATTAAAGACATATTCATCGCTTTGGTGCCGTACGTGAACTTCCTCTCCCATACTCCATTCCACCCTTTTTTTCTTTTTATCAAAAAATAAATATACAGAATAGAAAATACCGCCGATCAAAATAAAGGATTAAACAAAATTGCCAGTCTAAGTTTTTATCTATGATGTACCTAACATTTGATATCGTATGAAATATAGGAACACCAACAGCCGGTGCAGTCACAGCTTTAACAACAACATACCTCTACCCTTTCGCCCGCCTAACCCGCCTCGAAACACCATTGGTCTACCCTCGCCCTTTCCCACTTCCTTTCTTCTCGGCGATTTTTGCATTCAGTTCGTATATGTCCTATGCAGGATACGGCCGCGATAGCGCCGGTGTCTTGAGCGCTTGGAGTATGGTATACATTCTGATGAACGTCCGAGGCAAGAATTCAAAGAACGGGACAATGGCAGTTGGGAGACCCGGTGGTGGGATGAGGGTTTTTGCGCTGGGTGTTATGGGGTGGAATGCGATTGCTGGGACTGGAGTGTTTTTACTCGGATGGGGACATGGAAGAGGGGGTGGAGGATGGAGGATGGCGATGCCAGAGGCAGAGGAGGCAACCGTATAGAATGAGGTTGCTTATTAGACACCTTAAGGGTTTAGGGGTACGATGAGAAGGGGAAGGTGTATATAATGATTCACTCGACTTTATGGGCGTTAGATGGAAGGGAGTTTTGGGGATTTATTTTCCTTTTTTCATGATGTTTTCTTGATTCGTTTTTGTATGATATTCAAGCGCAGATACAAAAGAGAAAGAGAAGACAGGCACTTGGTTTCAGAAGACAAGAAATGCTATAAATATCAGACATACATCCAAATCCGAATCCGAACGCCGGGTTTCATAATCTACTTGACTCTACTCTACTTTAGTCTTATCCACACCCTTTAACACTTCAACATCTGTATCTGCCAATCGCCATAAATACCAACTTAACAAACTCCGGTATGGACTATACACCTCGGCCAACTTGATCATTTCATCCTCGGCCATATACTTCCACTTCCCAGCTTTCCCCGGTTTCGAAAACTTCAACTTGTTAACATCTCTGCCTGCCAAAATTGCCATCCCACGTTGAATACCCAGATCCCCCGTCGCAAAGACATCAGTTCTTTTCAAAGCGAACAAAAGAAACATCTGAATAGACCACAACCCCAATCCTCTGACTTTTATCAACTTCTCGGTAACAACATCATCCGGTGATTCCAGTAGGAGCTCGTTCGTAAGATCTCCTGAAACGAAAAGCTCGGCGAGACCAGTGATGTATTCTGCTTTTCGTTGCGAGAGGCCGGCGGTTCTCAATGTATCTATATCCTTTGTTAGGATTTCGGATGGTGGAGGAAATGTATTTGTGGCGTTGAAGAGAGCTATGAAGCGAGATTTTATAGATGCTGCAGCGGCGGATGAAACTTGCTGGGAGATTATGCCGGAGCACAGAGAATGAAAGGGGTTTACGGGTTCGAGGAGACCGGAGGCAGAGAAGAGGGTACAAGGGTGACGGGTTATGATTGTGGATAAAGAGGGATTTGTAGTCAGGAGATGGGTTATTCCTGGATGTACTTCCTCTTCTCCTGTGGTGATGGTGGAGAGGGTCAAGATGGTGGGTTCAACCGGTGATGGGTCATATTTAGGGACTTGTGGCTTTGGTGTTTCCGTCTCATCCCCTTCCCCGTCATCCCCTTCATCCCCCTCTTCTGTGACTAAACCGGTATTCTTCTTGCTTTTTGAAGATGCTTTGGCTTTTGTAGAGACCTTCTTTGAAGCCGTTGAAGCCGTGGTGTGAGTAGTCGTTTTCTTGGTAACCCCGTTCGCTTTCGAGGTAGTTTTAGAAGTCACTTTTGTAACCTTACTAACCGATGCCGCGGACTTCGAGGACTTCAATCGCATAGATATACGAGCAGATACTCGAGTCGCCTCCACGGTAGATTTCTTATTATTATTCCGAGAAACCATTATGACAGCGGTTGTGAGAAGTCTGAAGGGAAGCGTAGGTCGAAAATGCAACAGTGTAGATGGTGTTGTGTGGCGACTAGAACAAGAATTCTATGAAAGTGTCGCCGTTTTATATATTTCCCGTCAAAGGTCTCTACTAGCTCCCTAGCTTATATCCTTACTTGTGTATTTTGTCCCAGGTTTTATAAGTAAGAGATGTAAGGAAGAAAGGAGGCAATTGACCGCGACCGAGTCAAGGAGAAAGTTAAAGTTAAAGAGGACTTAAGTCGCGGAAATGGACATAACGTTGTCCCGTGATTGGGCGAATGCTGATTACAAATCGATCATCCAAACAAGGTTGCTATGCCATACAATCCAACACCCACAACTCGTAATTCGATTCTAGAACATTCAAAGTTCAAAAAATTGGATACTTCTCATCCGCAGACACTTTTTCCAACTTCAACCCAGCTGCATCTACATCCCTACTAAACACCAACCCCAGTCTCTTATCTTCTCCCACTTCTCGAATCAAAACAGTATTCCTGAGCGTATGGAATCTTTCGATCCCCGCGCAACAATTATCCATAATATCCGACTTATCCGAATTTAACACTAAAGCTATAACCTCAGAAAAGGTTTCCCAAGCTTTGAAAGATCGACAGATGCTTATTGTCCAGCCAACATGTATTAACACTAATAAAAGATGGCCGCCGAGAAGGGCTAGCGCCCACTGCGATGTTCTCGAATCCGTCTTGTATCCGTAACCCTGGACTTCGAAATTCAAGTCGAGTGGATACGAATCCTCGGATGTAGACGGGTAAAGTAGGCTTTTAGTGTTGACCCGAGAGAGACCATCGCTAACAGTAGCGCATAAAATGGATGAGATGGCCAGATCATTGCTGAAATTATCAGATGTGGTGTTACTACCAAGAGAATCCAACAGGGTGCTTTCAATAGTAAGTTCTCGACCCCTCGTATTGTAGTCTTGTGGAGGCATTATGTTTGGAGTCAAAGCATCTAGCCAGTCCGTTTCAAGCATTATAGGGTCCTGGTCGATGTATGCTCTTTGACCCCGAAGCGTTCCATTCCCATTATAGAAGTTTGTTATGCTTGTTTTGGCGTACTCGTGTTCGATTGTTTGCTTCGAAGTAAATTGGCGGATTGAGACGTCCAGGTTTACGTCGATGCTACTTGTCGATGGAAGCCAATGTGATAATATACTGCAAGTATATACGATTCGGCTTGTATTGTTTATGTCATCGCCCGGTTGGTTTAAAATCGGAGCATAAACTACCGCTCGAGCTGATGCAATTCCCGGATCCGAATGTGCTACCGATCCTGCTCGTACCCACTGTAACCGCCATTTTGGATCCTGAAATCTGGCTGTTGTATTTACTCCAGCCCATTCGGCCCACTTTTCGATTATCGGCGCGCCACCGGTGGTTATATTCGCCAAGGAAAAAAAATATTCGTTATTCTCAGCATCCGGTGCAAGTTTTTCGGCGTCGGGATCTGTTTCCCAGCCTTCAGGAGATAAGGGTATTGGAAACCCGAGCACTGTCGAATTTGCGAAAGCCATCCCTTCATTGCAAATAACCAATGTACGAGGTGCTTCGGAACGGAAACTAACTCTTGCATCGGAACGAAATCGATAACGAAACCTTCCCAAGCCGTAATTTGATAAATTAAGAAGACGGAAATGCCATGCCCTTCGTTCCTCCAGCAGTACCGCCATCTCCCTGTACTTAGGTTGTCCGCAGCGTATAATGTTGAAGAAACGGCGTAATTCGAAAATAGGTTGGAATATTATCTCAGTAGCAAAGTCGCTGCCCACTACCTTAGGATTATATTGCTGGACACCTTTGTAATAAAGTGGATCTCGTTTCCCGATACTCCTTGCCCAACTCATAATGGAATAGTAACCAGCTGCTGGACATGGAGGGTCGCTTAGGGTCGCTTCCGCATTGGAGCAGTTCGCGGGTACGTTGTTAGATCTGAGTGTGAGAGGTAAGGCGCTGCTAGTAATGCCCACGGGAAGGGTGATATTCACAACAGGGCTTCCGGCGGGGAACCAGTCAATGGCGGGTATGATAGTAATGGCGGTCGCTGGACCGATCAAGGCACCCGCGACAGTAACTGCGAGAAGGAAAATTGCAAAAAGTACTTTGCGGGTAACTCTTCTTGCAGAACCTGATGGTATTTCCAAAAGAACGGAGCAGTATTCGGGGCTGTAAATATATCCTAGGGAAGTAAACGAAAACGATGCCGTGAGTGCTGCGAAAGGAACGCCGTCCCCCAAGCAAGCATGATATCTCACATAATCCGCTACCATCGTCGCCAAAGAAGCCAGGACAAGTAACTCTTGCGCTTTAGCCGCGACTTGAAGTGCATTTAAATACGCTTTATCAGTTTCCTCGTTACTCGATGCGGCGAGGTTCCCCCCGATATAGTAGTTTACACCATTTAACCAAAAAATAGTGATAGTTCCACAAACCGGTAAGATATGTACTCCTAAACAGCGCGATAGGGAGACCCATTTTCGTCCGTCGATAGCTACTTTTGGTCTTTCTGGCCTGCGCTCTTTTTTAGATGTGACTATGAAGTTGATAATACCCCAGCCGATGGCTTTTGTGATCACGAGAAATGCGGACAAAAGTCGTCGTGGGGACTTCAGAAATCCAACCTCGAATCCTGGGAGAGTCTGTTTGTCGGAAACCGTTGAGGTGGAACTCGAAGCTACCGATGCCATATCGAAATACTACGAGCGGAAAACCAAGGCCTAGTAATCGTATAAATAAAAGCCAATACAAGTTACTATGGCAGAAGAAAATATTTTGAGTGAATATATGAAAATTAGTCTAAGATCCTGTAATGGCTCACAATATGTGTATATATATTTTCATTATGGCCCAGATGCCTCTCAGAATGTTATAATATACTGGTGTTTAGTCAGTCGACTCAATGGGGCTATATGCAACCGAATATGCAATGCCTGTATAGTAATCAAAACCTTGCATATCTGCAGGCCTCGTGCCTAGGAGCCTCGATCCAACACCTATTTGTACAACAATGGATAATTACTTATTAGATAATGATATCGGAGATCGACCCCGCGATAGAATAATCTAGATTTAATATACCGGTACAAAATAATACAAGCGGTCTCCTTTTATAGAGTCGCACTATAGAATATAGCTTCCCTCGTCAGTTGATAAAGTATTAAAGCACAAAAATAATACCGCTCTCCAGAGTTGAAGCTGGAAGCTAGCGCCTATTCAAAACCCTCATCGGATGGTTGCGCAATCCCATGGTAAACGATTTGATTACCAGATCTATTCTACCCCGCACCACTAAACATAGGTCACGCAGAAGTCTGCATCTGTGAGTCTTTAGCTTCCCCACTTTTATTGCATACCTTGGCGTTATTGCTTGTCTCTGTTTTCGAAATTTCCCCTCCCCCACCTACCTATCGAACCCCTCAGCATTCTATGCAGGTTTTCCTGTCGGTTGTTTGGAACGGTTCACCCTTGTTTGTTCTCCTTCCTCATAATTACGAGCTTCCCGCTGTACTAGGAGCTTTTCGAGTCCTTGAGAAGAATTGATTATTAAAGCTTTGGTTGATTTTTTACCGGCCCACGTGGATATTACTTCAAAGTTGTGAAGTCTCTGGGGTTTTATTGTGTCTATTTCTAAGTTGATACTATGAAATAGGCGTTCACTAATTTAAGAGCCTGGAGGTATTAGTGACTGTTCAATTACTAGATCTTCGCAATATGGTTCCGTATTTATCTAGTTCTCTAAAAGAGTTTAACAAACTAGAAATTTTTGACACTCACACTACACTGAGGGAGGAATGAACCAGCCCGACAGGTGGCCGAACTGTGTTGGATTTTGGGATTGAGCTTTTGGAGTGATCAGTTTTTCAAACTCCCCAAGTCAAGATCAAGCACTTTGATTATTTACGAGCGGCTACTAGCATACCATCAATAGAGTCTTCCAGAAAAGAAATAACCTTCGCAGGCATCTTTTGGCAGTTTTGGTAAAAATCTTGGCCAGTATACTGCTCCAATCTTCGAGTTTCGTGCGATTTCGGTCCATGGACCGACCATCGGACATGTATAATTTCCGTGGCCCGAACCTGCCGGAAAGTTTATCAATTTTGTACGCTGATTCGTAACATACGCAAAAATCAGTACATTGTCTCGCGTGAGTCGTTGGACATACCATCATGCATCATACAAACATCGAAAGTTGCAAGTAAGTAGTTAGCAGGGGTGTAAAGAAGCCACTTGCAAGGGTGTAATGCACTTGCAGCCCCATTCCAGAAACAAGTTAGACTAACACCAAACAAGGATTAGACTCCCCGTCGAAATTGATGAAATTGAGTACCAATGCAATGGAGATTCTGATATCTCTCCTGGGCCTGAAATTTAATCCGGATGTCATTCAACTATCGATAACCAGATTCGTCGGAAAAACTATCGATTAAAAGCCTAATGCCGGAATGCATGTGTATGAATACCGTACATGTATACGTATACTCTGATCAATGCAACGGGGACGCAGATATAAAGTTCAGGTTATCGACCCTCCTTCGAGTCCAATTTAATCGCTATTCAATTTTACTTTACATCGAGCTTCCCGATTGACCAGAATACCTTAACCATTCACACCTCAATCACTTCCATACAATAATAACTCTCAGCTATTTCTCATCCAAATCTTTTCAACCTTCAATTTTCTCTGATACTTAATTTCAAGTCTCTCTATTTCGGCGAACGAGTCAACGTTGCAACCCTCAAACAATATTATTATTGAATCCAGACACGAAGAAAAACCATGTTTGGGAGCAGTAGCGCTTTCGATCCAAATAAAGATATCCCCAACCTCAAGGGAAACGTCATCATCGTAACTGGAGGCAATATCGGCCTCGGCCTGGAGACAATACGACAGCTCGCAAAACATAACCCCGCTCATATATACCTAGCTGCACGATCTGCTGAGAAAGCCGGAGCTGCTATCAAGCAACTAAAGGCCGATAACCCAAATGCGGCCCCTATTTCATTCTTAAATCTAGATCTCTCATCTTTTGATAGCATCAAAGCCGCTGCCAAAACAATCCAAGACTCAGAATCTCGCCTAGATATCCTTGTTAACAATGCTGGAATAATGATGGTAGACGAAGGCCTCACGAAAGAAGGTTATGAGATCCAATTCGGAACAAATCATCTTGGTCCCGCACTCTTCACCCAACTTCTTCAGCCGATTCTTTCCAAGACAGCTACAATCAACCCCGAAACCCGTGTCGTCAATGTATCTTCAGCATCCGAGCGAGTCGCACCAAGCGACATTTACAAGTTCGACGAATTTAAAACTACAAGCCCAGAACGCCACACCACCGCCCGCTATTCTGCTTCGAAGATTGCGAACGTTCATTATACTTTGGCGCTTGCTGAGAGGTCCAAGGATGTTAAATATATTACCGTACACCCTGGAATGGTAGCAACAAATCTTCATCATGCCTCAGCTGGGTTCTTCCTAAAAGCATTTCTCAATACCGCGATATACTTTGCCACACCAGTCGACAAAGGCGCTCTCAGCCAAATTTGGGCAGCTACAAGTCCCGAAGCGAAGAATGGAGGCTGCTATGCTCCCACCGGTGTGATCTGGAAGCGTTCGAAGGCCAGTCAAAACCATGATCTTCAGGAGCAGCTGTGGAACTGGACTCAGAAAGAACTCAAGGCGCATCTCTAATAACAACAAATCTCTGATAGGTAGTAGCGTTTTTAATTTATTTTGCACTCAATTCCGTTTTTCTCTCTCTCTTGTCATTCGTAAGTAATGTCTCTATTTTGTATTTTTTTTAATAGTTTGGCTGAGGTTCTTGGTCCTTGATGTTTTGTACTCGGTTAATTTGCGGAATTAATATTGTAACATATTGAATCTTCTGCTTCTGTAATATTGACTCTTTAGATATCTTCAATCATCTCAATTCTTGGCTCGCCCCGTTTTTCGCGCCAGAAATTGGTGGTCTCCAAAATCTCAGGACATCCTTGCACCAAAAACTTCCATCTACTAAAGAAACCAGCACTCAATTCCCAGCTCTTAATATCCCATGCTTCTCCCCAAACTAGAAATGATAATTGCATGTCCCCATCATTGTTTTCCGCACCTGCCAGCTCGCGACATAACTCGTCTTCGTCGAACAGACCAGTTTCCAATCCACAGAGAATGTTATCCCTCATTTGGGGAACAGGGATCAAATCGACCCATGGATGGTGAACCATGGTTTTTTGTAACCATGTAGGATGAAGATTAACAGGGACTGATGATGTTCGCGCAACGGTACCTGGTGGTATTGGGTGGTGAAAATTAAACGGTGAGATGCTATCGTCGCTTTCGAGATCCTCGAATGGGATAGCTAGTGCCAGTGCATTGTGACACCAGGCACTGAGGACATTTAGATGTATGGTTATCCATAGGTCGCCGGGTTTGTATACTCCCAATCTAAAGTCTGCAAAGAATCTTTGCACGAATTCAATGGCCTTCTCGCGATTCTGGGGGCAGAGAACGAGCATAAACCCCTCTGCATAGTTGACAACGTTAAGTGGTTCTGGTTGAGTGCGTACTACGACCGGAAGTTCTTCGCTCTTGCTTGAACTGTCCTCGGCTACCCCTGAGGCGACAGAATTGATTTCCTGCGAAGGGTTTGAAACAGTAGCAGCAAACTTTTTTAGATGTTTCCTTCGGCCTGGCGTTAGTAAGATATTAGTTATCAGATTGCTTGAATATGAGTAGGGGAGAGTGATGTCTGTATCCGAACTGACGATAAAGTCTCTGCCCAATGCGATTTTGTCGTCGCCTTCGCTCAGTAGAGTTAGTGACCCCGGTCCAGTCATCTTGGGCGTCCCAAGCTTCTGAAAGATCAGGCATGGTGAATAAATATGTATATAGTTGATATCCTGCGCAGGCCTTTAGTTTCTAACTAGCTGTAAGTAACAAGCGTGACTTCAGAATCCTAGCCTGGGTAGTGGGTAGTATTTAAAGGTAGCGTTAAATAACCCTCGCGAGAGAGCTGTGAGAAGACTAAACCGTCGGGAATGGCGGTAACTGGACTGGAAATGGTTACGCGTTCAGACCCGGGTACCATTCTGCAATTATTCGAACGTTAGGCTTTTCCCCGGAATTCAATGTGCATGTATGAGCCTGGCTACGCTTGGCGGACGGCTGGAATCAAATGAGGTTAGAGGAATTTCTTCGCTTTCATATGTAGTCCATTCCGCTAGCTTGTTGGATTATTGTACGGACATATACTTAAGTAGGTACTTCGGTAAGCAGTCTCATAATCGGGTTTGGATACGAGACTGTTCGGTAAGTTCCTTCTTATAAGTACACTTATTCTTGAGCCACTTCGAACTTGTATCCGAGGTTCTACTGCAGCCTATTGTGGTCAACCATTGATACACAATTAGCTACTTTATATAAACTACATATTTTGTATTCAAAAATGACAATACATCGTCGAACTAGAAAGAACTTCGGATCAGTAATTCTGTAATTCTGTAAGAGACTCCAACGGAAGCGAATTTTTTATCTAGGTAGTATCAAAAATATATTAATATCGTACATTGAGGGCCTGAGCGGACTTTGAAGGCTGCGCCAAAACAATTTCCAATATAATTACAATTACTTCAGTGTAGTATATATCCTAAGGGTGGAGATTGATACTCAAAAGCTGTCAGGATACATTTTATAATGCTAGACGACAGTGGTAAACCGAGCCTCTTCCTCCCCTGTACATCTCTCATATACTTCTTCCCCCGCTTTATCAAACGCAAACCCCACCCACATCAGCCCCTTCAGCACCCCTTTCAAGTCTTCCCATCCATTGACTCCACAAAGCTCAAAGTTAACCCTTAACCACGGCTTTAACCACAAATCATCTTCGGGTTCAAAAACCGCAATCGCCCCAACCATCAACAGCCACAGGATCATTTCCGGCGGAAATTCGTCCGAAAGATTTAGGTTCACTAACGAAGATTTGTATACCGAGGGGAGGTGAATGTATGCTAGCGTTACACCCTGCCAGCGGAGGAATATATAGGATGAAAATGAAAGAAGGCCGAGACGTATTGCTTCGTCTATTGATTCTTCCTTGAAGGACATGGAGATGAGGCGGTACATTATTGATGTCATTGCGTTCATCAACGTTGATTGTGGAAGTCGACGATTAGATTCGGCGGCCGAATTCATTACATAGCAGAATCCTTTTAGAAACGTCCAGGCTTCAGCTAAACGAGGCGAGACATTTTCAAGGAATTTTTCAGAAGCAGGATGGGTAAGCTTTGCGGTAGTGAGATAGGGCGTGTGGTCTGGGTACGGGTAGAGAGGTTCTAAGAAGGGGTGGTCGAGGAAGAAAACCGGTGTAGTGCCGCTGTGAAGGGAGATTCCTAAGTCACATCTACGAAACATGTTTTTTTTTAGAATGCAGTCCTTTTTTTTGAAGAATATGCCAACAAGAAAATTTTACCTCAGAATTTCCATCAGGAGTTTCTCGTTGTGACGAAAAGTACGGATACCACCACGCATGCCCACGATTTTACGAAGACCTTTCATATGATTCCTCGCTGTTGCCCCGTCGCCCGTCGTATGTGCGTGCAACGCTAGTGATAACACCAAAAATAAAGTCGAGTCCGAGAAAAGAAGCCCTTTGTCAGATGTTATCAATCGTTCTCGGAGCATATGTACTGCTTGTATAAAGTGAAATGCAGCTTCTGGGACCATAGGACCGTAACGATGCCCCCTCATGAGGTCAAAGTAAGAATATGCCATGAACGCAGTAGTGTTGAGGTATGCCGGGTCGACCGTCAATGCGTCCCACCATTGTCGATCTTTGTGGTTAAAATCGATGACAGGTTCTAGTGGGAATAGTATCTTTTTTGAAGATTTTGCAACTGTCGCAACGTATATATTAGTAAAGGTTCTTTGAGAAGTTCTGGAGATTTCGCGTGAACCAATGCGCACATTTTATAATTTCACAGATTATACTTGGAGATGTAGATGATGCGAATTCCAAGGTTGTAAAATCGCCTCCTACCCTAGGAGGTAAGCCAGAACGCCCCTTGTACGATGCAACAGAACCACGGAGGAGTAGCCTAGTATTTATTTCATCTAATTTGGCATCCTCTTCATCCTGGCTTTTTTTTGGATCATTAGCATCCTTAGATGGCTGTTTGGGATCATTGGCATCCTTAGACGACTGTTTGGGATCCTGTGGGGTCTTCTTCTTCCTCCTATCGGGCCTCGGACGACCTAGGTTTTTTCCGAGCATAACATGACTGCGAATGAACTTTCGAGTGTCGGCATCGGTTTTTGTCGGATCCGTAGAGACAATGAAGTGGACTTCGACTAAATAAATTTTTTGATACTGATTATCAGAATCCGGAATTACATCGAATTGGGTTCCAGAGCCTCAGGTTATATTGTAATCCTAACGAAGCTAGCTTACCAGACTTCTTTTGACGAACGGGTACCGGCATTTTCGGTACGTAATACAAGCAAACTAAGTTCCGAACCACTGTATAGGATAAAAAGAGAGCTACGGGCATGCAAATGCAAATGCAGGCCCAGGTATAAGCGGGGTGTCGGAAGATACTTTACGGGCCGCTGATTACAAAACAGGGAGACTGATAGCTGATATGATGGGAGAATGAAGAGGAAGCAGCAATTGTAATCCCCAAAAGGTCCGGCGAGACTGCGACGCTTTAATATTGTATTCCCAAAGCGGCGCACAGCTCTTTGCAGAACCTCGCAGCGACAGGGGTTTCGGCCGGTAGAGCAGGGATTAGCCACGCCAAGAACATGATATTGTTTCCCTATTTGGGAATAGTCCCAAATCTACCACGCAACTCAGACTGAGGATCTACTGCTATCGTAAGGCTTCGATTGGATACTCCCAAATTTCCCGTGATAGATTAATCGATTCGAATGTTGTCGTAAGCTTTGCTGACACTAATTACGTGTATAAATTGGCGATGCCTCTGCCAATGCCCTATTATCTCTTGGTTTTCTTACCGTTTTAAATTTTATATGTACATTGCTGACAAGATTCATTTCCCGCTATCTTGTTGCATATTAGATAAAATACGTATCCTTCAACTCCTATTTCGTAAACCCAAGCAGCCTTTATACCTGCTTACCTAAAAAGCTAGTCACAACTACTGCCTAAGTTATGGCATCCCGCGACCTTTCACCCCTCACCTCAAACTATTGGCGCCGCTTCTGGCGTTCCCAACATACCAACCCTCCGCCGTTCCCAAAAGACATAAGTCTAACGGGTAAGGTGGCTATAGTTACCGGCTCGAATACCGGTCTGGGCTTCGAGTCATCACGGCAATTTCTCTCTTTGGGCTTATCACGTTTGATAATGGGAGTAAGATCGATAGAAAGAGGCGAGGAAGCTGCAGCAAGATTGAAGGCATCGTTTCCAAAGGCGATAATTGAAGTATGGGTGGTTGATATGGCGTCCTATGATTCCATACAAAAGTTCGTTCATAAAGTGGAAAAAGAATTGAACACACTTGATATTGCGGTTTTGAATGCTGGTATTAATAGGCACGCGTTTGGACTTAACGAAACGACGAAACATGAGGAGACATTACAGATAAACTACCTTTCCACATTTTTACTAGCAATCTTACTTCTTCCCTCGCTGAAAAGTAAATCTCCGCTAGGATCTCCAGGAAGATTGACAATTATTAGTTCAGCTTTAGCCAACATTGCGGTTCTGCCAGAACATAAATCAACCGCCATATTAACCGCTCTAGACGACCCTAAAAATTTTGGAAACCCGACATATGGAAGTTCGAAACTGCTTGGTCACTTTTTTCTGTGGAAGTTGATGGATTTGGAGTATGTCAAGGCGGAAGATGTGGTTATAAACCTCATCGAGCCTGGGTTTTTGAAGGGGACGGAATTCAATAGGGATGTTAAAGGAGGATTGGCAATAGGGTTGAAGTTGTTTAAAGCCTTAGTAGCTCGAACAGTTACGGATGCTGGGACTACAGTTGTGGATGCGACTATGGTGAAGGGAAAAGAGGCGCATGGGTGTTATATGGCGGATTGGGAAGTTAGACCGTAAGTACATAAGCTTTCAAGGCCTTATATAGCTTATTTGAAACTATTCTAACATGCGATCTATCTCCTAGATTTCCACCATCGTTGTATACGCAAGATGGCAGGGATACTATGGACAAACTGTGGGGGGAGACAATGGCTGAGTTTGGGTTTGCGAATGTGAGAGGGATTCTTGAGGCGATGAAATAGTGTGAATTTCGCTCCTTCATATTGAAATTTAATATCCTAAGTATGATTTGTTTACTTTCTACATCTTAAACCTGTATTCGACCTCCCAAAGCCATGGTTTATCCCAATATCATATATTTCAGCGAGAGTGGCGTGACTATTGACTTATATCGCATCCCATACTACACATTGTGTTGACCCCGTTGTAAACTCGCAACCTCTCCAACCAACCTTCACTCACGATTCTTCGCGCGCAAAGCCGTCAAACATGGCGACTCCAACTTCAACCTCGCTCGCACATACCTGCACCCGCTGCCTCCGCTCACGGACCCCCCAATTGTCCCGTCAGTTATACCTCCCCGCCATCTCCAATAACCGTACTTTCTCTGTCCTCCACCGGCCCCCACCAAACTATCCCGGCCATGTCCCGCTCAAACTCCCCGAACGCCTCTTCCTCGCGGCTGGATCCGCCATAATTTCCTTAATCGACCCCCGCCGAGGTGATCTAATCGCTTTACTCGGTGAAACAACCGCACAGCCATACTTCATCTACCGTCTCCGTGACAGAATGTTAAAACACCCTACGGGTCGAAGAATCCTCCGTGATAGACCAAGGATTACATCACAAAGCCTTTCTTTACCATACTTGAGATCTCTACCGGCAAATACTATCGGTGCCACTTATGTATCTTGGTTAGATCGGGAGGGTGTTAGTCCTGATACTAGATCCGAGGTTCGGTATATTGACGATGCGGAATGTGCATATGTCATGCAGAGGTACAGAGAGTGTCATGATTTTTATCATGCAATAACGGGCTTGCCTATTGTTAGAGAAGGGGAGATCGCATTGAAAGTATTCGAATATGCAAATACTGGACTTCCTATGACTGGGCTTTCGGCTTTTAGTACATTGACGGTGAAGAAGGACGAGAGGGATAGACTGCTTAGCGTTTATTTCCCTTGGGCGATAAGGAACGGTTGGAAGGCGGAGAGCCTACTTAATGTTTATTGGGAGGAAGTGTTAGAGAAGGATGTACAGGAAATGAGAGATCAACTGGGGATCGAAGTGCCACCAGATCTGAGGAAAACTCGGGCTGAGATCAGGAAGAAGAGGAGGGAGGATAAGGGAGGGAAGGTCAATACTGTGGCTGCGACGACTACTAACGAAGTAGTTGAAGAGGCGATGGTGGAGACCGAAGCCGAGAGGGAAGAAAGGGAACAGAGGGAAATTGAGAGGCAGGCAATGGAAATTCTGGAACGAGCTGATAGGATGTAGGCGCTCATATTTCCAGATACTTCTGTGCAAATATCTAATTCGGATCATGGTCTGTATACATGATCCTGGTATATAAGTATATAATACAATCTATTTTAAATACTAAGGGTTATTATGCGGCGTGCCTGAAGCATTTAACTTCCCACAGAGCACTACATCTTCATCCATAGGTATCCATTTCACGTTCGTTAACCTTGGCTGCGTATACTCTCCCTTAGCGTTAGGCTTTCTCTCCGGCGATACGACGACACCTCCTTTCCCTAGCCATGTCGGGGCAATCGTAACGATTACATTATCCACCAATTTTTTGTTCTCTTCGTCCTCCAGTAGTGAATTAATCACATTCCCGCCACCTTCAACCATCAAACTTTCAATTCCCAATTCTTGCTTCAGGATTGATAGTATAGTTTCCCACTTGAACCGCCCCGAATCATCCACAGTAATACCGATATACCCACCCCCATAATTCTGCAGCATATTCCTCCTCTCTACAACAACATCATCATCTATGTTTTTCGAATTAACTAAGATAAATGGTGCCCGTCCTTTCCCTTGCTTTGCAGTCTGCACAACTCTGCTAGATTCGGTTATATTCCACCGGGCGTTTGGGTCTAGAACGATTGGAATTGGTTGACGTTTCGCGCCTTGGATCCGGCTATTGAGACCGGGGTCATCAGATATAGCCGTGGAAGCACCGACTAAAATTGCAGAGTGGAAGGTACGAATATGGTGTGTCATAGCCTTTGTAAGAGGCCCAGAAAGTTGGGTTTGGATGCCCGGTCCGAGGGAGAGGGCAGAATCGAGAGAGGTGGCGAAGGTGAGGGTCAGGCTGGGGAGGCCATTGGCCTTTGAAGAGGGGAGGTAGGGTTCGAATTGGGCTGCAAGGCCATCGGGAAATGGGAGGATTGATGACATGGTTGTTATATCTTGGTGGGGGGGGGTTCGGGGGGGAAGGACTATTGCGCGGCTACAACAGGGAAGAGAGGTCAGTTGCGGTCTCACAGGCCAGACTAACTCCAACAAAAGTGTTGACTTCCTCAGCCTGGTGTGGCATTTTGGGAAAGTTTTTGCGTTGTCGACTTCGTGTCCCTTGAAGTCCGGTTGATCTCGTGACCGGTATGCATGAGGATAATCCGGCTTATCAGCCACTCAGTGCACCTTCGGAATCACGTATTTCTTCCCGTAGTATCGAACGCAATAAGCAGGGATATATCAACAGGAGCCGCTCAACTATGTGGAAAAGTGCAGAGCTTGGACAGGGTTGCAATTGTCAACCGCCCTTCTAGAAAACCCGAGCCACATTCATGCATTGTAAACAGGTCTGGCAAGGCAGGTAAGCACGTAACTCGGGGCTCGCTACCAATAATGTCGAAGCCGCTGGCTCCTGCAAGGTTGGACCTCTTTAACCGTTCAAATCAAAGGATCCCACGAATTTCGTCACATACCTTCGAATGTAGGACGGGGTGTGTATGTAGTACAGAGAGTGAAAAGCGGAGAGAGGAATATCTAGAATGCAATAGCAAGTCTATAACGAACTACCAATTGAATGATTAACAATAGTTCGGTTCAGTACAAAGGCCGACTCCGGCACTGACAAGACGCACTTCGACTATATGTGCATATGCATGATTGTACGGCGAAATGCGAGGAGGTTGGCGTTTCACCTACGTACAGCACGATAGTACCAACAGCACCGTTGGTTTCTAGTGAGCTCGACTTGCCTCCGTAGAAGCGGGGTAGATTCAACAGTTTTGATTCCCTAAGAAGGGGGTCCAATGTAGCGGATATGGTGTTTCGGGGAAGAAAAGCCTTGGTAGATGTCAAGACAGGCAATATATATGTCTGTGACCTTTTAGTGTACGTATGTACAAGTATCCACAGCGGCTATATCTCTGAAGCCAATTCGATGGAGACAAAGGCTGCATTCGAAGGGATCTTTTTACACAATATGTAAAAAGAGTACACCAAAAGAACAACCAGTATTTTTACTTCAAGGATTTTCTCCAGCCTCCCGTCCGTGTCTCTCCGAGAGAAAAGCACAGAAGAAGTTGGCGCGGTGCAACGCTCCTTCATTTCGCGGTGCATATTCTTCTCTTGTTGAATTTGATATGTTGTTCTTGAATATTAACCTCTCTAAATTTGAGAATGGTCCAGGTGGTCTGTGATCCAAACCGCCCGTCCCGTCTGCAAGTACCAAGGTAGGTATGCACATATTATTAGCATTATATCACGTCTTCTCAAGAAAAAAAAAGGAAAGAAAGAAGAGAACAATACAACCAGGGTCATTATAATTACGTACAGACGCTACTTGTGTTGGAAAAGACAAAAACAACATCAAGTTGGTTATGCCCTGGAAGATGTGACCAGCATTGTCAGAAAAAAATTTTGAATTCGAAATCTGCCTGTCATGATCGCCAGGTTATACACACATATGCCTAAAGACACAGCATGCATTTTCTGGCGTTTAGGTTGTATTCGAATCAATTCGGTGTTATCTTTGCCTCTGGGGTCTTACATTCGGGTTTAGTGTTCTGTTGTATGTACCCTTTGTAAGCGCCGGCCCAAAAATGGGTACAGACCGGGCCCTTTGACCAGCCCTGCACCAATCACACCGCTGTTGGGCGCGAAGACCCTTCCCTTGTTAGCTTCGCGTCGCTGATTGGCCGGGTCGGACATTGAGCTACAAGCTCCCCAGCTGGTCCCAGACCAAAGGACATCTCCCGTAGCGCCCAGAGATCTCGTTCCTTCGACTTGCATACAACGCCACCGCAAATTAAATTGACTTTCAACCTGTTCTTCTGGCTTCGCGAAGTCCCCCTGGCCATTGAACCAGGGCCGAGAGGGAAAAATGAGGTGCAGAATAGCAGAATATCCAGTAAAGTTATCGGGATTGCTATTTTTACATCCGCCGCCTGCGAAATTCCAACCTTCGAGTTCCAGTTAGTCCAGCCAGTTCTAGTTTAGTTTAGTCAGTTCGATCTAGTTTTGGTACCTGTTCCCCACATCAACATCAACATCAACATTAGCATTAACAGTTAATCAAGCGCTGGGGCGACAAAGAAGGAAAAACAAATCCAGCTTGGTCCGGTTTGAATGAATGAACTTCTGCTTATATATCGCTACCCCAACTGTTGGGTCCGTTCCCAGATTTTTCTTCGCTCTCCTCCTCATCGCCCCGCTGATATATATCGTTTGCTTTAATACCTTTCTGTTATCTTCTTGTTGGTTTGTTGCATCTTTAGCGCATACCCTTTTTTTACTCTTTCACTTCAATCCAGTCGACCCAGCATCAGATCTCGCTCCGATTCCGACACTCGATTAAATTATATTAGCTTCCACCGGTTGGTCGTTATATAATATTCCTATTTTATATATCTAGACGATAGAAACCTTACTACCTTTTTAATATCCTCTTTTTTTTATTACTATTATTTATTTAGTTTTGTCAAATCGGTTGACTAGAATTCCCCGTTTGAGCAAGCCCATACATATTACCACCAGTCTCTGGAAGATTGATTGCCTTTTTTTCCACGCTTTTTTTATATATATCAGGAGACGTCCACATATATTACGTTGCCCACGGCCGTATATATCACAGCAGTACTCGAAATAACTTCAGTCAGCCCTATTATAATAATACATCATCAAAATGGGTTTGTTCGACAGAGTCAAGTCCAGCGCCGTCAGGCAAGAACCCCGTCCGGTCCATCAGATCCCACCCCAGCTCCAACAGTTCGATGCTTCCGCCTATATCGCCTCAAACCCTGTTCTTAAGCAACAATTCTCCCAGCCAACGCCCTACACCATCCCATCGGGTAGCCCAGGGCAGACATACATGCAAAGACCAGGTAGCGGTGGTAACAGTGGAATTCCGACTCCAAACAGCACTCCTCCACCAGCTCAACCCACCCATCGCCCAAGCATTGATACCAATGTGCCCCCTGTCATGCCTTCTCAACATCCAACCCAGGCCCAGGCCCAGCAACAGGGACAATATAGCATGGTCTGCAGCAATAGCTTGACATCTCCAGGTGTTCAGGATGTCTACGTAGTTCCATTTTCTCAACAGCAACAGCAACAGATGCATGCCCAGCAGCAACATGCCCGAAGACACTCTTATGTCCCGGGGCAGCCGCATATGTATAGCAATAGCTTCCCAGTCCAACAGGCTCCACAGGGTATCCATTATGGACAGCAGTCGATGCAAGCCGCACCTGCCCTTCCATCTCTCTCCCAGGTCCAGCATCAGGCGAGGTCGTCTTCCCGTGAGCAGTCTCCAGCTGCCCGTAGATATTCCATTCAAGCGGATAGACCATCTCCACCTGCAAGCTTCCCATCCCAGCTCCCAATGCAGCGTATGAACAGCATCAGCAAGGGTTCCACGAAGCTCTACCAACTCCCAGAGTTGCAGATGCAAAACTTGCCAAATGAACCCGCGAACAAGTTCATCCCACGTAACTTGGACTCTAGAGTCGCAGACCGTGATGAAGTCTTGACTGTTCTTAAGCCTATGAACCTCACAGACTACCTCACCATCACCGGTCCAGAAGATATCACTCGCCACATCCCAGCAGTTGACCGTAGCGAGGCTGCTGTCTCTGAATTCCAACATCCAGACCAAGACTCCATTGTTGGTTCCTCGTATCCACTCATGCGAAAGCAATCGTGGACTCGTCCATCCGAAGAAACCTTCGGAAAACTCCTAACCTGGAATGGCCGTCGAATCACACCATATCCAGTCCAGACTCTTGGTCGTTTGATCCGTGGTGAAGAAGATGTCGCAGCTTTGGCAGATGACTTCTGGCTTAAGCCCGTCCACACCGCAACCTGTGCTTGGCTCCAAGCCATCGATTCGTCGAGGTATAACGGCGATTATAACAAGGGAAACGCTTCTAGACTCGTTACTACTACCAGTGCCAGTGTTGATGGTATTGCTGAAAACCGAGATCTTGATCCTTCCATGTTGCACTTCACCAAGCAGTTTACTCTGTACCCTCCAGCTCAAAGCTCCGTTGGCGTTGCGAAGAAGGAAGTCGTTTTCTTCATGGACTTCGTTTCTCCTGGAGTTTTGACCGATGCCGGTGGAAAAATGTGGGAAGAAGGAAGGGCAGAATCCGTCGCACAAGGATTAGAGAATCGTCTCGCAAGCTCTTATTACATCGCAACTAGACAGGTAAGCCCATCGACCTCCTTCCCTTTATATAAACAATATTTTTTTTCTTTCAAGAAAAAATTTTTTTTACTCCGAGTCATTACAAATTACTAACATATAAACTAAACAGGTCGCAACCACTGCCAAAAATCTCGGCTGCCGAGCCGGTGCTCTCTGTGACTATGAGAACATCGTCCTCTTCTACTTCAAGGGCCAGCCGGAATCCTTCACGGGTCCCGAATCCACTGCCGAAGTCCTGCACCTCAAGTACACCGACCCGCACGCCCGCTACTTGCTGGCTGAGTTGGTGTACCGCTCCATGGCGGACATGAGCGAACGCCTCAACCTTGGTGACCTTGGAAAAGTCGTCGAGGCTAACCAGCAGATGACTATTAAGAACTTCAACCTCATGTGGGGGACCGCCAGCGTCGTTAGGTGATGAAACAAAAGTACCTTTTTTGGGGGGGAGGGTGTGTAGTCTCCCGGAGAATGGAGATGACATACTAAATATAAAATCCCTTGCATAAAATCCACATCCACCTACCGATCTCATGACATCTAAGAGGTCACATCACACACAAAAAACCACAACCTAATACCTATTCCACAAAAAAGCATCAAGATACCCAGTGCGGGGGGGTAGTTTTCCAACCTCTCATACCATACATTCTTTTCTAGTTTTCCTAAACTAAAACTATAATGATTTTACTTGCATATCCTTAGCGTTTTATTACTAATGTACGAATATTCTGTCTTTTAACGAGTCTTCTTGTTTTTTTTCTCCCTCTCTCTCTCTTGAGTCTGGTCTTTCATTTACGGATGTTCGTTCACATACTTGCATTTGAATACCCTTGCATCTTGCATAGTTGGTCGGCTTTGGCTTTGGCTTTTGGTCTTTCTTTTTCATTTAGCTTATTCATTCATTACAAATACCTGTATATTATTAATAAAGCTACCATCGTCATACTCATATTCTTTGTATACTATACTTTATAACTTATCATACCATACCATACGTATACCATCCCACCAACCTTCCAAAGTCAAGTAACTATAAGAACAAAAACAAAAAAAACGAAAGGTCAACCCCTCCACTTACCGAGTTATAAATTCCAAACCTATTCTCCGAAAATCCAAGTGGTCAGGCTGGTAAATTCCACCGAAATATAACTATACCCACGCATCCTTTACGTAAATCCTTAGTTGGAGCTTTTAGTTGAGGAAACTCCATAACAGTCAGTTTGGTCCGAATTTCGAAAGGCAAAAGAAAAGAAAAACAAGACAGTTAAAAAAAAAACAAAAAATAGTAAAAAAAAAAGAGGACAAGAAGGTTTTCAGTAACGGATAATTTGTGGATAACAGTCGTGTGCATGAGCATGTGGGCTGGCCTTGCGGCGCGGGTGGCCTAATAAGTTCTTTTAACCAATCTCAAAGGGGTGGATTTTTTGTTATGTAGTTCTATGGCGGTGCATGGGGAAAAAAAATGCAACAGAACAACGAGTCAGAGTTGAGGATATGGTGCACGTGGTGGCGCAGTTGGTCTTCCCTTTTTCTTTTCCTTATTGGATTTTTACATACTACATACTACCTACCCCCCGTGGTACGTCTTTTGTAACACTACACATCGTTCTTGTCTGATTTTTTTATGTTAAATAAGTTAAATGGAGCATCGGCTTTCGAAGTCTATTTTTTTGTCTTTCTCTCCTTTGGAAAGGAGGTATTTTCTGCCGTTTCGCTGATACTCCTTTCTTCGACCAAATCTGTGTGGTTTTTAGTACGTATATAACAAGATAGTCGAAAAGGAAATCAAGAAAGACGCCTTGAATTTTCAACCTCGAAATCATAGATACTTCCTCGAATTGAACATAATCAGCAAGTAAGCCACCAAGGGCGATCGATAATCGATACGCCAAAATCCTTCAAGAGATCTACGGCCTACCCAGGCGTCTTCGGCAGGTGGTGGCTCCACATCTCTAAAACGGAAATAGAGCACACGAAGTATAGCTCGCACTGTTCTTTCCATCAAAAAAATCAAAAAAGGAAAGGAAAGCGGGGCGGCGTGCATCACCAAGAGAAGATGGAGGAAGAAGAAAATAAAAATAATAAAAAAATATCGTGAAAAAGAATTTACAACCTTTTCGTCTAAACCTGTTCAAGTATGGCCTGCTGCTTTATCGTCGCACGACGGGCGCGAGAACGGGAAAATGCGACGGGGTATTAGTGATAGTTTTCATGGGGTTATCCGTTTGTGGGAAATCCAATACCCATAGAACTGGGAAGAAGGAAAGAAAGACTGAGAGAGGTAAAAGAAAAGAAAAAAAAGCTCGAGCGTCTCCCGAGGACCTAGTCCCGAGAAAGAGAGACATGATCAAGAAGAGACAGAAAGAGAAAAAACAATGAAAGGTTGGGGGTCATCATTAGTTACTCTTCCCAAGTGCGGGATGGATACCTTTTGTAGAAGCGGTAATACCCACCAGCCCGGGATCCAGGAGCTTCGGCACTCTGTTCTTTCCTATTTCTTCCCCCCCCTTCGCTCGCATACGGTGTACCATTTTCAAAGAAAGAAAGAAAAATGAGCGAGAGAATAAGCAGACGATGAAAAACTCTGACACTAGGCACCGAATTTCAGATGTGGGTTTCAGACATTCGAGTGGTTGTATAAGCTCGGACGAAGCATACCACCGCTGCTTCGTCTTAACTTCATCATGCATCATCGTTCCATGTCCACACACCCCTCGTATCGCTATCATGCTCAGCCAGCGTAAAGCGGATCTCCTGATCCCGACCCAGAAAAAAGTGTATTCGTCATATCGAGTTGAAATCTCCTGCTCACTGCCTTGCCTTCGCCTCCGATGTCGCTATCATTTCTGAACCAGGGATGAGAGAGTGTGGAAATGGAAGCCTTCTCCCGAGCGAATTATCTGAGAAATATAACAGGCGAGGATTATATTGCATATCAAAAAAAAAACACACATTTTTGCTCGTGTGCGCACTATCAAAATGGCAAAGTAATATTATCTTCGGGACCGCTTCATAGGACCAGAGGCGTAAATGCATGATCTTGGATGTTTTAACATACCTTGGCGCCAGCGTGATCAAAAATGTGCTGGTGATGTTTCCCTAGCATTCCCGTGTACCATGCAGGATATATTCTCAAGACCCTGTACTCTAGTGTTCTAGTTTCAACGAATAGCTTTGGATCGTAAGCGGCGTTCTTCTTTGTTCCTATTGATAGGACCCTAACTAGCTAGCTAGCTAGCTAGCTTCGGGTATTCAAGGATCTCATAATCGCAATCCTACTCCCACATGCTACCTCTGTGCTGCCATGTCATTTGGAAAGCATCATCGTTTAGCCAAAGATGCGTGAGCCCTATTCACCCTACTACTAGCTTCCCTCATTAACTCGTTCCACCCCATGGCCCAAAGATATGACACAGACTGAAAGGAATGACCGAAATTCATGATTCTTCCGAGACAATATTCTACCAAAATAGCATACTAAGTGACAATAGCTGTTCTAGAAATCCATCGTTAGGAGCTAAGCTGGTCAATTTAACACTTTTGTGAGGACCCGAAGTCTAGATAGTCAGCCATATCCCCACCAGACCGCCAAGGTCACACACACCAAAAAAACAAAACCATCCCATGGCCATCCCAGCCTCAACTTACATGTACGTATGTATGTACATACATACTTTTTAGCTTTTGCCTGTATCTAAACCGTGCATTGAGAAAAGAAGAAGGAAAGAAGGAAAGCAAATATTTTGAACATGCAGCCAACATGCATCTTTAATCAAAAAAGATTCAAGTGCATGAAGCATGTAGCATATAGCCTAGTACTCGCAGCAGCTGTATACTATGATAATAAGATATCAGAGCAAATAACAAATCTCCGTTGCCGAAAGAAACGGTCGAACCACCCTTGAAATTAATAAACTCAGCTTCGAATAGAGGGAGAGAGCAAAAAAAAGCTGAAGTGGGTATCTTGTCGCATGCTCACAAAATCTCAACCTCTCATTCGTCGAAATCAAAACCCGTCCATATGCACCCCGAACGAGCTGTACTTTTTCTGCTGCATCGTATCTGTATTATCAACCCCACACTCCGAATTCGAACAAGGAAACCCCCTCTATCTGGACATGCAGCAGAGATGATCGGTTGAAATCCCACACACACACACTCTCTCACTTTTAGCTTTAGAGATCCTCGTTTCATCGCCCGAGGCTCGAATAATGAGACGGCCGGCAACATGCGGGGGTTCTGCGTTAGAAAATAACTAGAAGCCTGTCATGGGACATGGATATGGTTTCTTTGAGACTTCATTCAGAAAGCAAATACTAGGGGTAGATGTATGTACACATATGATAGATGTTACAACGGACAATACTAAACCCGACTTTATGCACCTAAAGAAAGAAAACAACATGGCTTGCATTCTTGCCAGAAAGCAGCGGTGGAAGCCATCCAGCCAATTAGCGAACATGCACCACAAAAAACCACATCATGGATCCATCAAGTTAACGATACAGCGAATGAACAGCATTGATCTTTATGATCAACTGCTGATTGAATTGAATTGAATTGAATTGAATTGGGTTGAATGATGATATGATATCATGATATATGTGAAATTTGAACCCAGAATGTCAGGCGTCAAGAAAAAGGAAAGGGAAAGGAAAGGGGGAAAGTTAAAAGAAAAGAAGAAAACTTCAAAAGAAAGCAGCCAGTCTAACGATATCCCAACCCACACAGATTCAACAAATAACGCAACCAGGTATTCAAGAAAAGAAAGCACACGACCCGACTTCAACAGTAAAACGCCATCCCATGCATTTTGATTTCGCAAACCAATACTGATTAAATGTATATATGTCTGATTGGTCTTTATTAGTCAATAGTGAAGAAAAGAAAAAAGCGAGCTAAACTAGCCCGGCAACGACAACTCCCCCTTGTAACTTCATCGATAGTAGTTATATATTCAAGTTGCTTAAGCAAAAATAGACCTTTAGGTCAAGCCTCCCCGCTGGTTCGGTGTAATCCCCTATCCATGTAACGCAGCAAATCCCAGATCTCGAAACAGTGCGAAAGTTCAAAACGGAGTAAAAGCAAAATCAAAAGTAACGGTCTCCCGGATGCACTATCCAGTGGAACTAAAAGCAGAGGACAAGGAAATGAATATGGGTAGAAACAAAAAAGAAGAAAAAAAAGGAAAAAGCTGATGATGCTAAGAAAGCTCCAAGGACAAAACACGCTTGGTAAAGTGAGAAGATCCGAAGACTTGGGAAGATAACAGCGGAGATCTGTAAGCATGCTAGAGTGGCACTTTTGCTTTTTAATCTATATCCCGTGCATGTTATCTGAGTCACGGCTCCAGAGTTGGTCGGTTTAAGATTCCCAATTACCCTTGGAAATTCGAAAGGAATGTCGCCAAAGTGCGTGGGTAGTGGCTACCCCACGCATTCCGGATTTCCGTGCTTCATTATCTAACCCATCCGTTTTCTTTCGCCATGACAAGTACCTGGGATTCTTCCCAGAGCTCGATAACCTGCTCGTCTAGGACTCGTTCTTTCGGGTGGGAGAAACGTCGATACTCGTCAAAGACGTTACATAGAGTCCATTTTTGGATTTTGCGAAGGCAGCCAACAATACAGCCAGTTCGATGCTATGCGAGGAGGATTTAGTCAGCTGGTGTGTTTTAAGGTGTCATCATTGGGTGCATGCTTACCTTTCCCTTATTGCAGTGGATCAAGATTGGATGATTTCGTTTGTCCAAAATGACACTCACGGCCTTAGTGATCTTATCAAGAGGAACTACAAATAGTATTAAACAAATCAGCTGTATGTTCGCAAATAGCCGACTCTTAGATTGCATTGATTATGTGACCCACCTTCAACAAACGGCTCCTTGTTGGCTCGGATTCCAATTTGGATGTGCTGTATACCGTTCTGCTGCATGAACTCAACATTCGCTTGAGGGTACTTCTCAGGGATCAAGGTCCTAAATGTCTCACATTAGCTGTGTGTTTTTTTTTCTAATAGAGCCGCCTATGCCGAGCCAAGAGACAGACGTACAGAACGGTTTTCAGCTTGAGCATTTTGAGATAGGAAAAGTTGGCCTCTGCGGGGAAAGAGCTTCGATAGACACCCGGCCAGACCATAGAAAAGTTCTTGGGTACATCGTACTCTTCCAAAATACTCTTGGAACTTAGTGTGTAGGTAGACAATGTTGTAAGGGATGTCGCGTGAGGCAGGAGAGCGTTTGACTCTTCAGGAATTTGGAAGCACAGACTGCCAGTAGAAGTCGTATTGGTTCTCGATAGAAGACTTGCACCGCTGGTGGTGGTATCGTCACCGGAGTCCTCTGGGACGGAAATCTCTGTTGGCGGGTTAGTCTGCTGAGCTCGTATATCCCCAAAGCTTCGTGTAACCTCGGCACTGTTGGAATAAGGAGAGCTCCACATACCCTCCAATTCCTCCATTCCTCCAAGAAATTTCATAGTATACATCGAAAAGGACGATTCTTGTTCCAAGCTCACAGATCTGGTCAATCTCGCCCTCTTATTGCTACGAGTGCCAGAAAAGGATCTTGGTGTGAACGATGAAGGAGGACCGAATGCCGACAATGGAATAGGAGATGTCAGATCGTGGACGTTGACATCGGATGCGGACCTGGGAAGAGCAACCAAACTAGTTTGGAAGGAGTCTTCTCTTCGAGGTGTTGAGATGGCAATCATCGCGTGACCAGAAATGGTAATGAGCTGGAGAGATTGATCTGAAACTGAGGCGACGGAAGGCTGGTTCAGCTCGTTAACGGGGCGTGCCAGGAGTTGAGAGCTTCCCGAACCAGGTAACGTAATATAATGAAACGGCTAAAGAGGTCGGGGACTTCTTTTCAACAAAATTAATAATAAAAGAATAGAAAACAACAGAAAATAATTTAAAAAAAGGAGGATGAGAAAGGTCCTATGGATGAGAGGATATTGTAATTTTTTTTAGAGATAATGGGTAGTTGATAAGTTCAGAAGAAAGGGAGGCGTATGAGTCTGGCAGAAAATGGCAGGTTGTAAAGTGACGACGACTAACAAAAGACTTTGGATTTGTTCGACTTTGTAATCGTTTGCCTTAACACGCGAAAGCGATCATTTGCTTAATTGGACTGATGAAGTGGATTGATTGCTGTAAGGCACATGGTCTGGTCTGGTTTGGTAGGACGAAGAGGATTCGAGAAGAAGAAGAAGAAGAGGAAGAAGAGGAAGAAGAGTAGGAAGAAGAGGTCGATGGGAGTGGGGGATGGGGGGTGATTAATAGGCCGAGTCAAGAATCGAGGCGAGTGGAAGGAAGGTGGTCGTCCGACTATTTTCAGATCCGATCAAACACGTGTGGGTGGGTGAGAGAGAAAAAGCAGCCTCGATGAACTCTAACGAGTATGTATGTATGTATGTATGTATGTATGTCGGTAGTATGTAAAAGAGTAATGGTCGTCTTGTAAATTAACGAACAATAAGCAAAGAAAGAAAGAAAGAAGGAAAGAAAGGAGAAATAAGAGAGGGACCGGAGACAGACAGCAAGCAGACAGGGCGTGATGCTGCCCCGAACAAGTTTCTCTCTTTCCCTCTCTTTCTTTTTCTTTTTCTTTTTCTTTTTTCTGCTTTGAGTCCGGCGGTCGAGCAGTATGTAAGTTGAAGTGGAAGTGGAATTGAAAGTGGAAGTGGTGTTACCCCAAAATTCCCTTGCCCGTTCAGAACTAACGTGGGCTGGCACTGCTAACGGCTTCAGGAGTAGCGTGGGAGGTACCGACCAAGCAGTCTAGTCCCCTCCAACATTCATGACAAACAATTATGGGCAGTAGCTGCTGGAACGAGAATATAATACGGGACTCGTCGGAGGTCCCAGTTGGAGGTGGAATGGAACGATGTCAGAAAGGGGGATTGGTTCTTCTGGTATGGAGGCGGTGGGCTGCGGCTGCCCTTGAAGTGCTTTTCTTTTCTTTCAATGTCAAATATGTAGGATAGGATAGGATAGGATATAGGATATATTACTATTATATCCTGCAGCTTCTGCAATTCTGGTAAGATGAGATGATGAAGCAATAAAGCAAAAAAAGTATGGGGTATGGCTGAAGAAGAAGACCGGGGAGGGGTTGAATGTCAGTCAGTATCAAAAAAGGATCAATCGGGGTCTGTGCTGACTTTGTTAACACCGGCGGGACCCCGTATGTACGTATGTACGTCCTGCAACGACAAAGATCAGAAGGAGGAGGAGAAGAAGAAGAAGAAGAAAAGAAAAGGAAATTGATTGTATGTCAGTTTTTTTATTTTATTTTTTTTAGTTTTAGTTTTTTGTGAAGGTTTGCAATTGAAATCAGATGACAGGGCACGTTAGTGTCGGTGCATTTGCGGTTGCAGTTGCAGTTGCAGTTGGAGGAGGTTGAGATGCAATTGGAAAGGGCAAGTGAGAAAGACCCGGGCTGGATGTGTGGGGGTTAAGTTAACTTGATCAGATTACTGCTCCGTTCGGGTCATCTGGCAGCCCTCACGCCCAATACAAAGACACTACTAGATCCCGGATCCCGATTAATTCCACTTGACTTGAAGAACTCTGCCGCCCGTTGGCGAAAAGACCAGGAGATTTTTAATATTTGCTTCGAGAAAACGAAGATCGAAGAAGGGGGGGGGATGAACACCAACGTGGGTGAATTCGCCTTATATAACGGAAACTAGAACGACCAAGACTTCTAGATTTTCGTGAAAATTTTCTAGCTTGCTTCGGGCGGTGCCTAGCTGGATAAGTGTCTGTTTATTTCCTTTAAAAAAAATTCTCTCGCAAAGGTTTGTCCGAGGGAGGGCCTGAAATGGAGCTCGAATGGAGTATCATGCAAGGTGCAAATGGAAAAGGTTACCGAATGGCTGGCTAACCAGATCTTTAAATGCTTCGGAAGAAGACGGAATTCCATACAAGGCAACTTGGACCCTGACGGTTCGGTCATGTAGATTCGGTCGCAAGACACATCTCCGTTTTTAACTGCGACTGGAATCATATACATACGTACCTATGCATGTATGCAGTATACCTTGCAGCAGCAGTTACGTAGATAAGTAGATAAGTACCGGTTGAGTGGCAATGTTTGATGTAATGGCCAGACTATTCCTTCGGTTCGACGACGATCGGATCCGGACTTGATGTCATTGATCCATCAGACTAGACTTAAGCACTTATAGCTTACTCGATGTCTGTATATATTATAGCGTCGTCGGTCCCCCGTTAGACCCGACCGTGGTAAGCCAATCCACCGGAATTGGTTCGAGGCTATTGTACTAAGTAAGCTTAACAATCCAAGACCCCGATTCGCATCGGTTATTTGCATGTCTTTCCGGCGACCGTTCTAAAACATCGGGCATCGGACGAGAGCGCCGGCCCTGCCGTTGTCGTCTAATATATAGCGTATACACTAGATCTAGAGCAGTCCAACGTAAAGTAAAACGTTATAAACGTTCGCAATAGGTTTCCCAAACTTCACATGCACCGCAATATACCTCTTAGATATCGTCATCCAATTAAGCATACTTAAGTACAAAAGTACAAAAAGCGGGGGGACACGAAAAGTACGTAAGCCCGCTTGCTCGATACCTGTCCTCGACGGTCTTGGCAAAAGCTTGTCCACTCTCCAGCACACACACATGCCCACAATACAAATATTAGTATACTATTCACATCCCAAAGAAATTCATGTTAGTCTAAGGCTTCAATTTAGGATAAGAACAATAATAATAAGAAGAAGAAAACTCGAGCATACCGTGAAGATATGCATTGCTATCTGCCTCATAAACCCCGTCATGACGAGCACGAGCATGTTTCAAGTCCCTCCAGCTTAAGGCCCGTCTACCCGACCTAAAAACAGCAGATCGTTTCTCTAAAACCACATTTCAACATCCAAAGATATATATATTGTATACAGAGCTCCCGTCTGCAGCTGCCTGTCAATGCTACATATATACCCAATTGATTTATCAACTACTTCCAGGACGTGTCGTCGGGTAATAAATCTTTAATTTTGGTGGATCCATGGAAGCCCTTGCCGCTAGATTTGACATGATCCGCTTCAGGTACCATGTGCGCCTGACTATGGTTCCTTCGAGTTTAAATTTACCCCCCTCACATAGATTAAATTTTAAATATCATCCCACAGGTACGGATTGCCTAGTTTTTCTTCCCTCCCCTCGATTTCAATTTAAAGTATAGTACTTTTGTACATTGCATCGGTGGAGAAAAGGCTACGCAATCCTCATTCAGCACGCCCTTGTAAAATCTGAAATGATACACCCTGTTCGGAATTAATTACCTAGAAGCTCAAGGGCAAAAAAAAATACTTTATAGGTTAAATCTTGAATCACCTTAAATAAGTAATAGTACTTCTGGCCTATATAAAGCTGTGATGTCTTCCCAGTTGTATTAAATACTGACTCCCTCTCGAGACCCATCTACCATATGATTCTCACGTCCTCAAGTATCCTTCACCGTTATTAAATATATATATAATCAATTATATACAAAAGTAGAAAAACGCCCTCGCTCTATATATATCCCGAGCTTTCTCAAAATACAATTCGAAAACAGGATTCAGCAATATTGGTTGAAGTGTTTAAGTGGCTAGATAGCACGACTAGGATTCTCCATTAATTAATTGCAACGATTACTCGTCGGGTGCATGAGCTCCACCAGCAAATTCGATCCCGGCGTCGCACACAACCTACGTCGACCTACCTAATCAACGTTCTCAAATCAAGAATTTATATTATTAAAAGTCAATTATATCCATACCCGATATCATAGATAGACACTTCTTAGAACTCGAATCCACCCACCCCACCCATTCCGACTAGCTATATTATATCAACATCTCCATCCCGAGTCGACTCTCAATCCCATCCCAACGACTTTAAAAATCCCAGAATTGAAAATTAAAAATAAAAATAGCCTACAACATTAATTCCGTTCTCATCTTCCTTTCATTTCCCTAATTTAATTAGCCCCGTTTCAAATAACAGCCCTTGAGCTCGAGCTCCCTCGACCGCAGTCCTGGTGCTACCGTACCAAAAACCTTACAACATCTCCAACACCACTCAACGCGAAAATCCGATGCATGCAACCAACGTGGGCCAACAATCCACGACGATCTGAAACCCGAGAAATATATATATAAAAGGTACCAAGTACTTGCTTACTTACTTACCTCTTATATATACCCCAGATTTGGACCGGGACTGAAGAGCACATAATTGTCAACAGATCCCTTGGGGTTGTCCTCTATATTCCTTAGCTCCCGCCCTGCTTCCTTCCTAGCGGCAACGACACCAGATCTCATATTTATACTTACTTATTATATTATTATATATTTCGTTCTTAATATCTATAACACCCAAACCTCTTCGGGGCAAATATAATATATATACTACTCAGTACCAACCAGTAGTTTACCCACCGCCCAAGCGGCTAGGGAATTAAACCACAAAAACATCAAAACCCTCCGACCATGTTTTCACTACTCAGACTCTTCCTCACAATCCTATACCTCTCCGTATTCACAGCAGCTCTACCATCAACCCGTAAGTCAAAAAAGCATTTTTCGAGGTTACATGTAACCGTCTAACCGAACTACACTCACCAGAACAAAATCAAGGCCAATCCCCGCTATCATCACCATCCGCAAACCCCGCTACGGGAAATAAAATCTGCAAAGAAGACAACTTACCATGCGGAACTACTTGCTACGACCCCACGGAAGCTGATTGTGATCCACAATTTCTCACACTGACAAGATTTGTATGTCCGGACCCTTATTCTACATCTATCCTACCATTGAGTATATATAATCAACTTCTAACAAATCACTGTCTTTTTTGAAAATTTGTTTGGAACGGCACAGGGCGACCATATTTCCCACCTCAAAAAAGAAGCCTTAAAGAAAAATAAATTAGCCACGGAAAAGAAAAAGAGAAGAGTAGCTCGTCAAAAGGCTAATTCAATATCAACAAGAAAGAGAGAATCCATCCCACCACCGGCACCGGCACCGCCGGTATTTCCAAAACAAATCAACCAACCCTCAAGGAATGTTAGATATGTACACGCGGAAATCCCACCTCCATCTTGAATTCTTCCTCTATCTTTACTTTATTTTACGTCTTTACAAGCATATTAGCATACAATTATACTACAACTATATTATAACATAACTTTGGAAGATCATGGAGTTTTAAATTCTATCTTTTTTCCTATCTTTTTACTATCTTTCTTTTCGACTATAACTAATTCCCAGAAATCATCTTTTTTTTTTCTCCTAACATTTTATCAGATACGATTTACTTATTTCAAGTCCTGCTGCATCTACAATATAAAATATCGGACAACTCGATGTATCGACACAAAATAAATAAATAAATAAACCGCCGTTCATAATACACTGACGTAAAAAGGATGTTATTCAGAGATATATCGCTAGAACTAACGAAAAAGGAAGAAGAGGAAAAACGAAGAGAAGAATATACACATACATGGTCCATTCCGTAAAAAAAAGAGGGGGGGAGAGGGAATAATAAGTTAAGTTAACAGCCATGTTTAGGGAGGAAGTGAAGAGATATAGCAAAAAAATATATGTAGTGAAAAGGGTAAAAATGACAATCGTAATCTGATGTTCGTTATAAAAAGAAGACACACACATGAAAAAACACTATATCCCATCCCTCTGCAAGAATAAAAGGTATGCTGACGGCTCAAAAAAAAAAAAGAAACTGATGGAATTAACAAAAAATAAAATCGTGGGTAATGCTTCTTTTGTTGGGGGTTTGTAAAAAAAAAAAAAAAACCAGCTTTTGGTGTTTCTGTTCCGTTTTCTTTCTTCTTCTTCTCTTCAAGTTTCCCTTCCGAATCTACCGAAATGTCGACTTCCCCTTCTGCCAAAAAAAAAATATTACATTAACTCCTCCACAATCCAAACTAATACACCAACGCTTTCCCACGCAAGGGCTACCTATGTGCAAGGCCATAACTTGTAAGCTTCTGACAACTCCTCATCGGTTCGGCCATTGCTTCGTTAAGCTTCTCCTGGTCGACAAGGAACCATCCTTGGCTCTCCTGGATCTTTGTTGCCCTCCTTTCGTATTCTTTATCGCACCTCATCCTTAATCCCTTGATGTACACCGACTCCGCATAATTATCCATTCTTTTCAGAGCGTTAACGAGCTTTGCCGCGGGTATTTTTTCGAGTTCAGTAGGATTAACATAAAATGGGGCCTTATATGTCGGCGTATAGCGTTTCTGCGTATACGGGGCATCGGGTGCCCATTTGAAATGGGGGCCAGGGTACTGACCGGCACCTGTTCCACCAGTCGTTCCACCGAAGCCAGAAAGTATTGACGATATTAAAGAGAAGGCGAATATCAGAATTAAAGGTAATAAGCGGATAAGCGTAGATCCTATCGAATTATCGGCGTCGGGACCTGCCTCAGCATTCCCATTAGGCCGTCTCCGAGGGTTCGGCCCTCCGAAGTGGTGTATTCTAATACCCGGACCGCCGCCACCGAGGTCGAAGAATGTTCCTCCCCCACCTATGTGATATAGTAATTAGAATCGATTGTTCTTTGGCATGTAAAGTCTGATAGTCGAGATAAGCGTACCGAAAGCGCCTCCTCCACCGCCGAAGAACATGTTAAATAGTTCCTCCGGCGATATCTCATCCGTAAACTGGGGCCGTCCGGGTCTGGCCTGGAACCCGGGGAATGGACCATTGCCGCCAGCCGAAGCCCCTCCGAAGTTCCTAGATTCGGGGTCGCCGCCTGTTCTATCGAATGTTGCTCTTTTCTGTGGATCGGATAGGACTTGGAATGCTTTTGCGATTACTGTGGCACGCGAGTGAGGTTAGCCAAACGAATACTTTGAACAACAAAAAAAAAAAAAAAAAAAAAAAAAGCCACCGTATCGCAGAGGTTACATAAGGCTAGTTCGGGGGAAAAATATATATATATATGTATATAAAATAAAAAGAGAAAGAGAAAGAGGGAGTCCATACATTTAAATGCTTCGTCTGCACCGGGAGCACCATTCTTGTCAGGGTGCATGACCAAAGCAAGTTTTTTGTAGGCCTTTTTGATCTCGCCATCCTCGGCATCCACCTTTATGTTGAGAATCTCGTAATAAGCTGTCGATTTACATTTTCGCACTCGGTCGACAGCGGCTTTTTGACTAGATGTGTATTCGCGATCTTGTTTTCCCTGTTGGTGTTCACGGTTTCTGGCGGCTCCGGAGGAAGATGTATCTGCACCTGTGGATTTTGCCGACATGGTGTTTTTTTTTTTTCGTCGCCTGTGGCGGTGAAAGGGAAAAAGCCCTTTTTTTGTTCGCTCGGAAGAGGTAAAAGGAGGTGAGGTGTGTATTGATGGATAATAAGAACCAGTCGGAGGATGGAATCGAGAAGGGAGTTGATCAAGTACTTAGTTTTGTTGGTTGGTCGTCGAAGACAGTCCGGCAGGAAAAGAGAGGGAGAGGGAGAAGGAGAGCCTCGGCAGGAAGGTGCAGGAGAGTACGGGACAGGACAGGACAGGATGGGACAGGACAGGGAGGTTGAGTTGAGGGCTTTGTTGATTGATTGAATTTGAGGATGAATGAACAGATGAACGAACGAACGAACAGACAGAACAGACAGACGAACAGGCTCGTTCAAAGGTGTTGTCTTAGTTGATATGTGGTCAGAGCTGCAGAGAAAGAGAGAGAGACAGCACTGGTTGATTCGGGAAAGTACCCTCCGACTTGCCTAAAAGCCCATCGTAATAATACGTATTTCTTGACTTTAAGCAAGTACTTAGTTAGTACTTAACCCTGCCAAGTCTTGCTCGGTATCAGATTAGACCTGATATAAGAAGTATTAAGAAGTATGTAGCTTACTTTACCAAGTACTTAGTAGTACGTGTGGAGATTACATAATCCTGTCCCTGAAGAGCGTGTTGGAGACCGTCGCTTCAACACATTTGTAATTACTACTATATAGCTTCATTATAATAAGAGAGATATCGATAAGACTAATATGATAATAACCTCGAGTCAATGGGATCCATAAAAAAGGAACTGCAGAATTACCCTCGGTATGGCTTCTGGCCATGGAAATGCTCATCGGGATAATAGCTGCTTGCTCCACCATATAACAGACTCAATCCGGCTCAGGAATGCCCAGAACAAGCTGCATCTCAATTTCAATGCCACTGTTTCGATCAACATCCCGCACCCGGCCTGGCTACCGCCGTCAACATCAACTTCAACATCACCATCACCATCATCACCATCATCATCGGACAAGAATAAGACGCTCTGGCGGGCACTTGCCGTAGGAGGCTCCCAAAAAGTTCTCGTATGCAATACTTTCCCTCTAATATATATATATATATATATACATAAAGTATGTCTAAACTTACCGTACTGACTAACCTGCCTGAAGTTGAATATACGGCTCCTGTGGAAGCAGGATATATTCCCAGAGGAATGGAGCCATGTTTCCGAATCACTGGGCCGGGTTCTCTGCAAGTCACAGGTAATTAATTAATTACTTAGCATACTTTGCAATTTGGTACTTGAAAATAATTGGATTATTCGCTCAGTCGCCGCATATCTACTGAAGTAATTGCCTAGATGTGATATACGCTGATATACTTGTTGATAATAGCTTTGGCACCTCTTCGGGCTCTCCGCATCTCTTGAGATCCCCTCCCACGACATCATATATATCACCCTCTCCTCTCCCCATTACACCTCCCTCCCACCAACCCTCCACCTCCCCACATCATCCATCCGCTCCATCCACTGGCTCTTTGACTTCACCCCATACGCCACTCGTCCGAAATCTGCTGGACTCCGGTTTGATCACATCCAGCCTCTCTTCGACGAGTGTGTTAATTTGTTCTTCAACAATAAGGCGGGATCGCTTAGCCTGACCGGTGGGCTATTCGTGCCGGGGTCCTCTCAGGTACGTACCTACCCTGCCTGCCGCCTACCTACCTACTCATCCTTGCCTTGTCTTGCCTTACACTACCTCACTCCCATCGATATAATTCTCTTCATCGACCTTTATACTGACCGTCAATATAGCATATACGGAGCTCGATGGCGTCTGTCGAAGCTATCACCTCCACCCTGGCGAGATACGCATCACAGTGTGACGACTACACACTGTTCAGGAGCAGAATCAAGCAAATCGTAAGTGACACCGTTTGACTCCAAGACGGTATTTATATCTATTCATCTATCACCCTTTACTAACATATTCCCTGCTATCTGTTTCATAGAAAAACAAGATTGAATATGCCGGCCCAATCGCCGAACAAGCAATCGACCTACAGAAGGCACTAAGCAGCCAAATCTATCACCAAATCCTCAAGGCACTCCAAGGAACCCGTCTTAAAAAAAGGACACACTATAGGAGCAGCAGCCTCGCCGAAAATGAGCTGCTAGCCCAGCCCCTGGAAAAGTTTCAGGACCTCTTCGATGGGACCCGTAATATGCTTTCACAAGATGATAATGATGACGATGATGACGGAATGATGGAAGACAATAACGAAGACGAACGAAGCGACTTTGAGGATTTATTCGAAGAAGGAGGGGATAATTACTCCGATTTTGAAGATCTATTGGACGAAACAAGAGAGATCCGCCAGGACATTGGCGATGATATGACACCAGACTCACCTACTCCGGTTGTCAATTCCAATTCCGCCTCCCAACAAGACCAAACGTCTTGCGCTCAGAATGACTATAATATGGCATCTGAATGCTCGGATTTCGGTTTTACATTGCTCGAAGACAGTTACACTACCACGATTCCATCGCAACAATATTGTACCCCTCCGCTTGCTAATAATGATGAAGAATACGACCACTTTACCGACATCGAAACACCCCTTATGCCCATCCTACCCGCCAGCCCGACTGAAAACATCACCCAAACCATTACCGCGAGACCTTGTGCCTCGCAACCATTCTGGGAAAATGAAGAAAGCCTAATGATGCTGTTCTAGCTGCACAAGCACCGCAGCTTTCTCTCCAACACTCCTGCAAAAATCTCAGAAATCCTATCTATAGCGTTTGGACCATCTTCGAACCTACCTACCCCTCTTTCGAAAGCCGCTCGAGCGTTTAGAGCTTTTGAATTTCCTGCGAAAAAAACCCAATAGCTTATTTCTTTCGCTTCTCCTACTATATTTTTCCTCCTCTCCTCCGTTTCTCCTTTCCTTTCCTTTCCCTTCTTCCTCTCATCTTCTTTCCGCTCACCTCTTTCTTCTTTTCCCCTTTTTTCTTTCTTTTTATGGGGGTTTATATAACCTCCTTCCGCCGTACCATATGTATATAGTCATTACGATAAACTAAAAGAAAGAGAACTACAATAATTAATTAATTGCTAAGATACACTCGCACCTCGCCACGGACAATTGATAATAAATGAGAAGAGAGATTCCACTTTTCTTAACTGTTAAAAAAAAATACCAACTAAAGAAAGAGGTTTAAAAAAAGGAGACATAAAAACAACTAACACCCAAAGTCTGCTAACCCCAGCCCGTCTAACTATGCTCCGGTATTCTATCAAGCGAAGTCCCACCTATCTACCCGTCTAGTTTAAAAACCACCATCTAGAGGAACAAATGGAAAATATACATAAAAGAAGAAGAAGAGGAGGAGGAGGAGAGAATAAGAATAAAGAAAAAATCGGGGGAAAAAAGGAAAGGAAGCCTTTCAAAATACGTTACCCAATTGGTGAAGCCGGACTCATCAACGCTGCAATACTAGTCCTTCCATGTGAACTACTCGGCGGTACAGGAGTCGAAGGAACGGTGCTCGTCGGCGTCGTCATACCGGCCATATGCACATCCTCTCTACTATTATTCATACTCCCCATTCTACTCCTCTTCCCACTTCTCTTTCCTACACTCCCGCTACTGCTACTGCTACCACCACCACCACCATTGTTTACCAAACTACTCGATTCGGGAATACACCCCATCATAGCCTGTTCAACTGCAATCTTCTCCAAGAAAGTTTTTATAACCACGGCAGCCTCTTCAGGTTCTAATTTCGAATTGTCCACCAGCAGTTCCCTGACACCGATCCAATCTCCAAACCGATGAATGACTTCCTCATCTCGAATCGCTTTTAAGACTTCTCTATTCGTCAATTTCCGTCGAGGAGTGGTTTTCCGGCTAGGATGTGATAGACGTTTGAGATTCTCTTCGAGAGAACAGGTGAGTATTATCGATACGAAAGGTGACGAACGACGTTTCGCGGCGGCAAGGTATTCATGGGAGATGGACGTCCCGATGTGGGAGTTTGATTGGCATTCGGTAAATATCCATGTGGTGGGGGAGAGGTCTGTTGAGGCGGTGTTGATGGAGTCCAAGAGGGTTGTTCTCTAACGGACTCAGGATTAGTTAAGAGTTTGGTAATGTTTGGTAATAATTTGGGTAAGAATGAGAAATAGCTGCGTAAGTACTTATGTAGTAGGGAAAAGAGGGAGGATATAAAAACAAAAAAAGGTGAAAATAAAATAAGAACCTACAAAAGCCTTCCGGAGGATTTGGTACTCTGGATCCGATTGATTGAAAGTAGCACGTGCCGCATCGATAAGAAGATGGTGATCGAATACCCTGGAGTTCGGGATTATCTTCCTACATACACATGCCGTACCTTGTTAGTCTTCTTTTTTTTTTTTTTTTTTTTTTTCGTACGGAACTTGCGTTGGATTGACGTCGTTCCCCTCTCCAAACTGCAACGGACAGTTCCCATTTTCGTTTCGAGTACGGGCAGCCGCCAGACTAGCTCTTAGTGCGTAGCCCCCCCACGCCAGAAACCAGCTCAGACGATGGGATCAATATTTTTCCGAAGGCCAAGGTGACCCCCAACAGAAAAAAAAAGGGAACAGCTGGAAAAGACGCAAGACTAACGATGCATGTGCATGACCTGCGCATGAACTAGTGCATGGCATGGTTCTCGCCAGGCAAAATCCAATTTCCATGTAGGCAAGGACAACCAGCTCTCCTGCAACCACGAGCTAGCAGTCAAGCTGGGTCAATTTTTAGAAGCTTCATCCAGAACAAGAACCCAAGTTTGCTCATCCTGGTCCGTTCGTCCTGAAAGACAAATGTGATAAAACAGAAAAAAAAAAAAAAAAAAGGGAGAAGAAAAAAAAGGGAGAAAAACACCACAATGGCATGATGGTAAGTTCACTTACTGTAACTCCTTAGCTACCGTCAGTTTGCCGGTGCCCGGATAGCCGTTGATGAAGATTGTGCGTCCAACATAGCCCTTCTCCTCCTGTGGTGTCGTCGAAGTTGAAGCTGCTGCAGAGGTTGGATTCCATGCCTTCAAGACCGGTGTGGACGGTATCGAATCTGGAGAAGCAAGCGATCGTGGGCGACTGGGCGTCCGAGCGGGAGACGAAGCGCCGGAAGGATTAGAAGAGCTGAGGACGGCGTCCAGGGCCAGCGAATGATTTTGGTGGTGCTGCTGGTGGTAATACTGTGTTACCGATGGCATGAAGGGGTCGCGGTCGCGGTTGGACAGCATTTTTGCATATCCTTATACGTATTACGTAGTCTTTGGAGTCAAAGCTTCGACCGGTAAAAATATAGAGTGGTTAAGAGCGAGAGGAGGGCCGGCAAGATATATAGCAGTGCAGCGGCAAGAAAGCAAAATAACTACTTAAGTACTCAGGTAAGTAAGTACTGACTTCTTAAGTACCTGGTACATGTACATAAGTGAATCTTTCCTTATCAATCGAAACGGGCCTTTCTTTTCGAAGACGGCTAGTCCAACTTGTTTAAGACGTTCTGGAGAGAGCTCACTTTCTTGGTCGTTTTGTTCGTTAATTTTGTTCGTTCATTTGAGTTGCGTCTTACATTTGTCGGAGCTTACTGGTGGGGACGCATTCGGACATCAAGGTCTAGAATTCGGGTTCAGATGACCTGTTAAGCATTTCCCGGACGGCTTGCCGGACGGACGGTACGTATCCTCCGCTGGATCACAAAGTGCTGCCGTGTGTGATAAGAGGGGCTTATACATCATCTTCATATGTAGGTACGTATCACCTGTAGTTAGAGACGGACTGGCTAGCTGGCTGTGATTTGTATGCCAGCCGAGTCAGTCGAGTCAGTACAGTTCAATTTTAGTAGTCTTGTCAGGATCATGGCCGCCAAACCTGTTGAGATTCACAGCAGCCCTTTTCCAGCGAAAGTATGTAGCGCTTAAGTAAATCAGTCTTTTTTCTCTGCATCGGAAGCTGTACCGACCTTAGCTTAGCCTCAACGGCTTAAGGGTCCATTCGATGCAGGAGACATCATCTTGATAATATATGATAGTGGCTGATTGCGCGACCCGTCTAATTCGGCATGTGAAAACGAGATATGCTCCCGTGTTCTCATTGGCAGCTAATTAAACATTCCTCTTAACTTGGGTAGCTTTAGCTTGAGCACGGATTCACAGCGCGAAAATTTTTTGCATGAATCTTTCTTTCTGTCTTGTTTCTTAGCTTCGGATACGCCTGGCTAACTTAGTGCCATCGATTAGTAACCTAGCCTTGTGCACATGGTGGGTACCTACGTAGTGATTGATTTCTCTCCCTTGTTCAGCTGTCAGCTATCGCCCTTTCCAGACTTTTGCCCATTTTGGTCGCTGGCCCCGTCTCGATGTCCTTCTACAACATAAACAACACACGGAAGCATCAGTTCAGATAGATTGAGGGGAATAATTGTTTCCATTTCATTTGCGAGTTTAGCTACAGCACTAATTATGAATAATGCTTCTTAGGAATACATGATTCAAATGTACATGCATACGTAGCTGCAAGATTGTGTATCGGGGAAGGATGAAATGAGGAGGTGGTGTGCTGGGGATCGGGTTGGTGGTGGTTAGCATATGAGAGGATACGAGAATTTTCGAACAGGCTTCTGCTGCGTAAAACAAAATATAGAAAGTTTTGTCGTGAATCAAGGAGTTCTGGAAATCTAAAACCAGAGAGAGAGTTGGAGAGTTAGTAAGCAATTCCATGAATGAACTGTGGACCCCACTTGCGAGCCATCTTAATGAAGAATCCTCTCGTAGCATGGGCAACAACTGCCCGAAATCCCGGGTGTGAGGAAACAGCTTCCCAATCCTCGACACCGATTTTGTCGCGAAGCTGCTTAAGGAAATCCGCAGGCATTCTGGCGGTACAGTCGAGTTCGACAGTGAAGTAATCTCCCGGCCTAACAGGGCTCCTGAATCGGAGGCCAAAACTCCAATAACAATTAACGGCGAGTGCAGGAACGGAGTCTCGGTTCATCTCTCGAATCCGACCAATCTCTTCCTCAGAGATACCAGGTTGGTGCTCCATGATGTTTTCAAGATGCATAAAATCGTCAGTAGAAGGCTCTTCTTGATCATCTAGCAGAGGGGAGTCTTGGTCCTCTAGGACCTGGCTGTGTTCAGACTCTTCTATGTCCTCGAAAGTCATTTCGTTTAAATCTTCGATCGTATCCTCAGGAACAAGCTGAACTACAGTTTGAGGGCCAAAATTCAAAAGATGAGCAGGAAATTCTAGGAGCGATGGAGTGAATTCTTGATGTCCATCAGCTCCTTGGGTCTGGCCTGTCTTTGTAGACGCAAACTTCTCATTAATCTCCTTCATACGCTCCTGTTTCTCTCGTTGACGACGCTCGTCAGATTGATCGCGATGGGCAGGGGTGGTCACAGTACCACGGGGTTTGAATGGATCATTAAGAGCGTTTTGTCCACGGTTGTTTTTGTGTCGGCCTTTAGGAGGTGGCGCGGTACTATGAGAGGGTGGAGTGTTACTATGAGAGGGCGGAGCGTGGTTCTGAGAGGATGGAGCGCGACTATGAGTGCTTGCTAAGCCTTTAAAACGGTTTTGTCGAGGGGGGGATGGGGGTGGGGAATTGGCTGTGGAGATATTGGGTGTAAGTGTAGTCAGGGAAAGAGGCGCTGGAGGACTAGTAGAGGGAGGTGGAAGACACTCAGGTTCCGGAGATGCTTGCTGCTCTTTGGTCAGCGGGAAATCTTCCTCTGTCAGCGAATCCCCTTCTGGGTTTAGACCGTGGTCCCACATCAACTTAATTAATGATGATAGGTCTTTCTCTTTGTCTTCCTTCGAGCCCTCCGTATCGAGAACAAGAACTGAAACGTCGCCGTCCTTTTCGTCGCTTGGTTCCTCAAGTTGTTTCCCGGGAGCCCCGAGACTACCAGGTCCCCCCTTAGCCTCATGCATAAGAAAAGCCATTTTGGCATAGAGCATTTTGGTCTGAACGGGATCTCTTTCTTCTGCAATACGAGCCTTGAGCGATTCCAACATGGCATTGCGATGAGATTCCTGTAACTTCCCAGCCCATTCCGAAATAGCAATACTATCTGTGGCATTGATCTTCCACCAACCCGAGGGCGGTTGGGGAGCACTTCCTAGCTTTGGACTTATAACGTTCTTGAATTTGCTCTCCTGAGCTTTTCGGTAGGCTAAAATGGCTTTTTGATCCTCGTCCATGTATTCTTCGCTGATTCTGAGCTAGAAATCAAGAGATTAGACACCATACTACCTTTAATACATATGGGACAAACTTACAATCGTTTCGCGAGTAGGAGGACCAGTCTTCATGACTTCCTTCCATTCATGTGGCTTTTCGGCATAGTACCACGTCAGGAAGATAATCTGCTGTTGAACATCGTCATAATCTTCCAGCAGTTGCTCCCATAAGGGTTTTGCAACAAGGTTCCAAAACTGGGTGGCGAACTCAGGGGAGATATAGAACCCCAGAGGGATGGGAAACGGAAATGGCGGAGCGTTGCCACGAAGTTTCAGGGCTGAGGTCAGTGGGTTCCTGGATTCCCCCAGGGGAGGGAAAAACTGAGGTCTTATGCGTGGAGATCCTCCTTGACTAACGCTGCGTAGTGCAGACGAATTGGAAGTTCTCGGAACTCGTCGGACTTCTTCAGCGAGTAATAAAAGCTGCTTTCTGGCAGGATTTACGTCTAGCCGGTCCCCGACAGGCGCTGGGGCTGTACTTGAAGCCTGAACGAGAATAACCGGTTGACTAGTCTGTTCAACATTTGACTCAGCTTGTTTGCCTTCCACCTCTGATTCGGGGCCTTGTTTCTTTAGTGTATGTCGAAGATGAGGTGGAATAAAGTTAGAAGTAGGCTTTGGTTTCGGCTGCTCAGTAAGTTGATCCGCGGGTTCAGGAGGTTGATCGGATGACTCAATGGGTTGAACTGGCTTTTCGGTTTGGGAACTAATAACTTCGAGTGGTAAATCCTTCGCAGAAGCCATTGGTTTGGCAAGAGGTTTCGAATTCTTAGAGGTCCCTGGTTGATTCACTACCATCGGAGGACAGCGAAGGCCGGTGTTCTTTGTCATCTTATCAAAAAAGGCACCTTGGTCGTGTACAAGCCCTGGAGCGCTCCAATTCCCGGTCCTAATAAAATATTAGCAGCAGACAATAATATAAGGGCAGAAAAACCCCATGCCTGGCGTTTCCAGGTATCCCTGGGCGAGCCGGACGAGGTTGAATAACAAGTCCGCGGGGTTGTGAATTAAGTTGAGTATTCGCTGACTGATATCTTGGACGGCCTAGAGGTTGGACTGGGGGGACTGGGAATCGGCGTGGGCCGCCACCCCTCCCGCGAAAGCTTGAAGGGCCAACAGGGTTCCTTGCAGCAATATTCCTGGTTTCGGTGATGAGAGCATCTCGTACGCTTTGGGAGATGGAGACATCCGAAAGACTCCTTCGTCGTCGAGGGCGGAAGTTAATACCTTCTCTAGAATTCCCATCCAAGTTAATACTATGAATATGACAATTCTTTTTTGGAAAAATATTGTTTGGAACGACTCCTTACCTATGAAGGTCTCCACCACCAATACCATCTGGCCGTTCAATAACCATAGAGTCGTCAAAGACAGCTGGCGAGAAAGGTTAGATACGATACTAGTATCATACAAAACAGAAATCCAAGAAATTACCGAGCCATCTTTGGTCGACTTCAGCTCGACGGACGCTAGGGCCGAGAGCTGGACCCCCAGGGCGAGGTCCAAGATCAAAGCGAGCGTCTCCAGCTCCTTGGATAGGTCGGCGCAAGCGTTGAAAGGCACCACGACGACCTGGTTGACGATCACCGAGTGGGAGCGCTGTAATACGGTGATTCCCAAGGTCCTCCTAGTAGGCCGATTCTGCTTGTTAGTAACACGCCATGAGAGAGAAAAGGGAATTTTGTCAAGCAGAACTTACGGCTTGCTGCCTGAGAAGTCTTGCAGTTTCGTCTTCGGAAGGCATATTAATCAACAAGCGATTCCACCGTAGCCTAGAGTTGCGTGAATCTTTATTCAATTGCAACGATGATGGATTGATGGGGGTGAGAAGGGATATTAGAGTATGATGTATGGGATGGAGGTAGGGTTGAAGTAGGGTGGAGATGAGATGGAAATGAGGTGGAGACGTGTTTAAAGTTGGGTTTCTAGAGAGTAAGAGGTTGGTAGGAGGTAGACTCCCCAGGAAGATTCCTGAAGTAGGCTCCCTTTTATAATCGGCAGAGCTCGGGTGTGGACCCCAACGTAGGGCCTCCCAACTCTAAGCCTTAGAAGGCTTCAATAGTGTCCCCAAGAATTTTAAATCCTAGCTATGTCCTCATTATATAGTCTCAATGTATGAGCCATTAACTTGACCTTGTACATATATTGGTAGAAGGTATGCTTTTCTTGGCTCTGATTAGACCTTAACTACAGAGCGACATCTGTGTAGAAAGGTTGCCAACTTTCTAGGCCACAAAATGTCCCCATAGAGTTAATACCAAACGGCGACCTTGCAGCCACAACGTAAATGGGAAGGTCTAGTTAAGAGGCTTGTTAGCTTCTATTAAACAAAGAAGTAATGGCTGTTAATAGTCCTGTATTAAAACGCTTCGGCAAGGGCTGTCAAATGGTCTGGAGGCTGTTAAATATAATTGTAACCTATGACAGTGTGCATTTGGCGTCAGAATAAGCCGGCGTATCTGACCCTCTTCCCTATTTCGCCTAAAACGTCACCAAATAAAGCTCATGAGTGGGCCGTGCCTGTAATTGGCGGGGGGCTTCATGGTTATACTCGTAGAATAACATATAATGTGACCTCTCTGGCCGCATTGTGAAGCCAGTAAGTCTACGAGGGGGCTCTAGGACTCGCGGTTTATATCTACCCGGGGGGTAGAGGCCTTTGCGTTAACTCAATACGTAGGCTTTCATCACTGACAATTAAACAATAGCAATCGGTACGCGGTACACGATGCTTGCGGGAAAAAAGCTGACTAGTCTGCAAGAGTCCACCATAAGTACCTAGACACCAGCTATAGCTTGCCGAACTACCTTGATACAACCCATTTTTGATGAACCCAGGTGCTATGGGCGACATATTTGGCAAAGGGGGTGATGTAAATACGGAGCAGGGAGTGGGACCACTGGAATTTCGTATTAAGGTGCTTCATGTGGTTTGCAAAATAGTTTCTTGGTGAAAAAAGCAAAAATGGAGTGAGAAAGAGGAGGAGAGAAAGAAAATGGAAATTTTAAGGAGGAAGGGGAGGGCAAAAAATAACGTAGTGGCAAATAATCCCTATGAGGCACGTGGACGTTGGCAGTCCGGCGATGTAAATAAGGCAGTTATATCCTTGCTAGAGCCATAGACGTTGACAATTAACTTACTACGGATATACCACTTTGGTCACGTAGATCGAATAGGTGACTTTCTTATGTGTACTTGGGCCTCTTGCTTCTGTTCGACGTTTCTAGCCGTTCAAAACTAGTCCATCTTCGATCAGATATCTGTTATCTCGCAACGAAATCACGCATAGCTTAGTACTCCGACCATCTTGATTTACTCATTATTGTCGTTTGTTTCTTACAGGAGAGAGATGCATCTGGGAGCCATTTTTCAGCAGTTACAAAGGTATGACCGTTCGAACAAATCATACTTCCTGGAAACCCGATTCTCCAAAGAAAGCCATTTTAGGTGCACGTAGCCCCACCTCAACATTGCTCGAAACCAGGGAGTAATATATGACAGACTTTCAGGCATTACTATTTAATCATACAACAAATTGGGTATTCCGTTTGAAGGGGTATGTGGTAAATTTATAAACCTCTCTGCGTCGTTTATTGTATGGAAGACATCCAGAAATGCAGTCACTAATGCCAATATCTTCAGTCGAGCCGTGGCAGGAGCAGGACTTACCTATATTTACTGTATTTTTTCCTTCCTTTTCTACCGCACACCCCGAAACTATATAAGTACTTCGCTATATCAAAAGAAGGCCCCGCCGGATCAGATATATAGCTACAAAGGAATACTAATACCAGGCTTGGTGCTGCTAAAATCGTGTTGAAATTGTTGCATATCCAAAAATGGAACATTACCAATCAGGAATAGGCCGAAATTTAAAAATGGTATCGAAATGGGCTCCAAGAAACCACAAGAAAGAGCTTCAAACAACTTCGATGGCGGAGTCTCGATCCCGGTCCTCCTCGCTCTCCAGCATTGACGCATCCGATTTTAAGTTCCCAAACGACCTTGTAGCCCCACGAGAGAATCTTGAACCTGGGCGAGTTACAACTACAACCCTCGATGGCACGTTGACGAAGGCGCCCCTCCAGCTCATTGAGGACCTTACAAAAGGCTGTGGAGGCCAACTATGGCCTGCAGGTGTCCGATTAGCCAAATATTTTATCAACCGGTACAAAGATACAAATGACTTAGCTAGAAAGCGAATAATTGAGCTTGGGAGTGGTGGCGGGGTCACCGGACTAGCGATTGGGCTAGAGCTTGACACTATTGGCGGCGATGTCGAAAAGGGTGGATGTGAGTTCTGGATGACAGACATGCATGCCATGATGGATTTAATGCAGAAAAATGTCGAGTTCAACGGACTTGGGAACAAGATCGAGTGTGGATTACTTGATTGGTTGGTGGAAACACATATCACGACGATTTGCGAGTGCGATTGGAACATGGGCTGAGACTTGGGCAAATAGGGCAGACCCATTACCTGATTTCGTGACGAGGGCTCCGGTAGATATATTACTCGCAGCTGACTGCGTGTACTTCGAACCGGCATTTCCCTTGCTCGAGAAGACATTGTAGGCCAGCTCCCAGAACTACAGCTGCAGTACATCCAAGTACATGAAACTTACCTACCTTGGGTCTAGATGCGACATCGCTGGCCCCAATACAGAGGTTATATTCTGTTTCAAGAAGCGGAGAAAGGTATGGCCTAGCTCTTGTATAATGTCGGGGTGTCAAGTTGGTGTTCCCGTAAACTCACAATAGTCCCCGCTCTAGGCAGATATGAGATTTATCAAATCGATACGGAAACACTTCGTCATGACAGAGATAAAGGACGAAGGATTTGAAGGGTATACTAGGGAGAGTATATACTTGTAAGTCACACTCGTCAAAGGCTTCGCCTTCGAAATAGTCTAATACGATTTTAGGTATTCGATGAAAAAGAAATAAAGTCCCAGATCTCAAATTCCGAAGCCATGGTTTAGCTAGAAGGGTAAACATCGTGTCTGCTACAGTGTTTAAAGCAGGCTTCTCGCATGCAATCTACCGAAAAGATAGTATAGATAAGTGTAGCCTGGCCTCGAGGCGCAAATGAGCGTAAACGTTGGTACCTGTTTCATAGTGTAGTCTCGGCCCCCCAAAAAATATCGGCGTGCTCGCCGGGTTCGAGATCCCTGTCTATACCTAAATTTAAAAGTCCTACCCGGACGAAGATCCTAATGGGCTAATGCATCCTGCCCATCTCTACCCCATGCATCGTGCATGCATCCACTGCACATCCGGACCTAGTGATATTCCAATCTCGCATGCTCGCTTCTGATAGATCGCTAGGCGCACTTACAAGAGGCCGAGGGAATCCTTCCTATTTAGATCCTACTTCGTATTAGCAAGGCTAAAACCTAAGCCCCATTATATCAAGCATCTCAGGGAGCTAGAACCTCAGTATCAATATCCTAGACGACTCCAACATCCAACATCTTGCAACACAGCACAGGGGACTTGTACGCCCACATCTTCTGTCTCAAAAGGCGAGTTTCACGGAGCAACGATTCTGTTATATCGAAACAAGGAAGAGAAAGGATGAACCCACAGTTTTTATTATACATTTCATATTTTTTTCGTCTCGCCATCCAAATAGTGATACAACAGAAAAACAATTTTCAAGGAAATTCGTTATACAAAGTGGGAAGGAGATGACACCGACATACATACATAGTCATACTTAGCCAGACCGGCTTGGTGTCTATAGTACTATAGTACTAGTGAATCATCAATAAACCCACCCTCGGCAGTCTTTTTTTTAATGTTAAAAATAAAAGTAAGGAATAAGAGGTTCATGGTAAAAGAGAGACATTAAGCCGCCAAATACTACAAAGTACGCCATGCAACCCTCAACAATATAAAACATCAAATGGTCTCAGAATTCTTTTCCATTTTTGTAATAATGCTTTTCCGTCCTATCAACTCATTCAAATAATTTTTAGGGTGGGATCTGTAGCCAGCGGTACCACCTCGGAAGAAACCCTGAAACGCCTTCTACCCTTCGGGAGGGCAACAAAAAAGAAAAGGGAGGTATAGGAAAAAATAGAAAATATTTCGGAAGGAGCGTTGCAATACCAGACACATCGTATCCGAGAAATCCGGTGTATGTCAGATGAGAATATAGACAGGTGAAATTGAAAGCAACCTGCGCTGTGGGTATTATGTAAAGGAAAGAAACATGTCGTAGATGTCATAAATAAACGTTACTGCTGTAGAAAGAAATCGGTATTTCGCAAAATTTCGAAACCCTGTTCTATTCCAGCATTTTGCACGCATGTGCTCACTGAGCGCTTTTTTATACGTTCTCAGTGCGGGTGGATGCCTGCACCTCTTGTTTTCTGATATCGATGAGAATCTTCTTGGATTCTGCAATCCTTTTTTTCCATTCCATGTTTGTGTCTTGCCTTTGATATCTGATGGCTTGGACTTCTTGTGGAGTAGTCCAACCGCTTTCAGAGAGATGTTTTTCTGTGACCTCAAAAGCTTCATCTTCCCGAATCATTTGCTGGATCATATCAGCGAGGGAGTTAGCCGTTACCGGGCCCTCACCAGAGACCTGGCGGCGATGTTTTGGCGATAAAATAGCTGGAGAATCATATTCTACAACGTCTGGCACCACTTGCTGATGTTGGTAGGTGGTGAGAGACATCGGATTAATGATATTCAGTGCCGTACCCCGCACTGGCGGCAGTCCCGGTGATCCCAGAGGCGATATTGGAGGTTGAGGCAATGGGGACTTGACCAAATCGCCCGCACCCAGGGGAACTATTTCAGGAAAGTTCTCGGCCAGTGGCGGCAGGTTCGATGTGGGTGATGTTGTTGCAGAACATAGTGTTGACGGAATAAGCATGGTCTTGGTAAAATAGTCCGGCATGACAAAGGGAGGGAGCGGAGGGGTTGGGGCACAGGTATGTATCATTTCCTCGATCGAGGAGAAAGAATCATTGTCTGGGAGTGGTAGTTTCTCGGCGAAGTAAGAGTCGAAATCCTCATCTGGGGTTTCTGGTGCTTGTTGGTAAAAAGTAGGCATAGTAGAGAGTGGGGGGATTGGAGGTGGAGCATGTGGCGAGTGTGTGCTGGACGACCTTCTGCGCATAGTTGCTCTTAGCTTCGGCGGCAGCATACGTTGGAGCACGGTTGCCCTCCTGCTAGTTCTACCCATATACTCAGGCACCGGCGAAGTTGGGGCAGAAGGGTCTGAAAGGGTATCAGGGTCGTAGAGCTCTTCATTTCCAGGTTGTATTGTCGAATGCGATAACTTAACCGACATATCTAGTTGAACTTATTAGATCTGGTCTTAGTATATGTTACTTTCTGGATGAATGATTCTGCCTATTGTTTACCTATTGAAGGTCTCACTGATGCCACACCGTCCGCATCATCAGCAAGCTCGGATAGTTCGATCTCTGCCAACTCCGCAATCGTGGACGTAGATGGTGTTCTAGACTTGGCACCAGGAAAGACACGCTCTGATAGACTTTTTGATCTTGTCTTCCGCCTCATGTCTTCTAAGATTTCGCAATCGAGGCCAAGTCCACTATATGTTGCAACCACTTCGTCGTCTAGCTGTCGCCAATTCCCTTGAAACTCGCCAATTTCCGGTGTCATGGGTAATGAAGGCGATATTTCAAAATTTGTTAAGAGGGGCTCTAGAGGGGTGGTCGCTAATGAAGACGAAGAACTTTGCAGTCTCGGCGCTGATATCGAGATTTTACTAATGGACGACGCTAACGAGGATGAAGAGTTAGACGTAGAGAGGATGGGTTCAGCATCCATCACCTGAGATAAGGACGATTTGTGAGCTTGGAATGGTCGAAAAACAGTACTAGAAGCCACTGGCGGTTCGATATGAGCCAGTTTTTGGATACCCCGTCTTTCTGATAGACGGCCTAGGCCTGACGTTGACATTGCCACAGATTCCATGATGGTGTAGGTTGTTGCTGTTGTTGTCTTCTAACCACGCTAAAATAAGATAGCTGTCAACCGACTAATACCCAACCGTTTCCAATTTTAAAGAGACCGGAGCGTAATGGTAGTAAGGGAGACGGCTCTCCCGCAGCCTCTTATGTATAGCTCTATTCTTGTTCAAGGACACCCTCTTGGGCTTGGGTTCCTGTGCGTTTGTTGCACAAACCGAGACACCAAATCGTTGCAAATTGAAACTCGAGGATGCAGTCCTGAAAACGTTGATACCAGACGGGAGGTGCTTGCTGCACCGAGGCAAACAACGGGAACTAATCGATTGTCGCCGCCCCAATTACAAAGTTGCGGTTCCTAGCTATATCAATTGCCTCCAAAGGCCAAAACGAAGGGTGGTAAGAGCCGGATTGTTTATCGTAACGTTCGATACTGAACCAGGTGTGTAGCAGCGACGGAAAAAGTGACGTTGTACACCTTTCGCTTTTCTATCCTCAAAACCCGACCAACACGGACCCGATGCCTAGAGTTATCGTGGTTTGTGATACCCAGGTTCCGTTTGCTAAATGGTTCCTGGTCTCAATGTTGCACCTATGTATGTCCTTGGCTGAGCCCTTCCGAATTCTGGGAGCCTCTGGAAGAATCGAAAAAGAAAATAAGGCGAAAAGAAATGGTCCCTGCAGAACTAACGAGGCTTCCTGAAGTGCGTCTGTCCTCCTGTTGTATAAGCTAATTGATAGGAAACGGAACAAATCCAGTCCCGTCGTATTCTTTTTTAGGTCCTATTGTCGTTGTCGCACAGTAGTATTTTCCTGTTAGATCTGGGTATGTCGTGACCCGGCGGAAACTCTGACAAACATATAAAGATCAAACAGCAACAGTGTTGGTTGGATGATAATGACTAGGCGTAAAAGGCTATTGTCCAATATCAAATATGCCTCTTAGTAGAAACTCAAAGATGGCGGGGGAAAGCGTGGTTGAATGGTGCCAGCCAGGCCGGCCCCCACGGCACAAAGCGTGGAGAAGAACGGGAAGATGCCTCACGCAGACTTTATGCAAGTGGAGAGGACTAGTAATAGGCCTCTGCCAAACATGAAGAGCACTTGCGTGCGCGGTTCCTGGTTCGCAAGTCGCAGTTTGCGCCTGAGTTCTAGCGAGCAAATCCAACACGACACGCCGACAGGGAAAACGTGACTATCGTCCTGTCCTTTCCTGCCCTGGTTGGGTTTTAAATTGTCGAGCGTCGAGTGGGAGCTGCGGAATTCGACACCTAGGGTTTAACCAAACTCGCCGACGGCCAGTGGGATATCTAATAGCAAATTGTACCAGTTTCGGACTATCGTCTCTCTCCCCACTATAGATGCTGCAGTGTTGCTGTAGCTTCTTTCCACTATAGCTAACTGCAGAAACCTTGTATTAGGCGGCCTTGTGGTTGGTCTTCTGTACGAGAGCGGGACACTCGCTACCGTCTTTGAAGATCAAAGCCGTGTATAAAAACCCTTCTCCTCAATTAGTCGCAGGTGCAAAGGCAGGAACAGGTTAGACGGTCAGTGTCCGTAAAACCTAGGGAATTGGTGTGGTTCTCGGCCCCCAATCTGTCGAGAGAACGCTGATGTCAACCTGCAGTATCTGTCGAATAGCAGGTTGCCAACGTTTTTTTCTTCCAGAATCCGTCGCTTCCTTTTTGTTTTTTTGGTTTGATTTGATTTGTTCTCGTTAACAAAGGCCCCCCCAAAAAAAGCTTCAACAAAGAGCTGGAATTTGTAGCCGTCGGTCCACCACGTATTCTGCTTCGATTCTTTCTTTTATGTTCTAGGAACTCCGCACAACCACGGACGCCTACGACCAGCGTCGTGATTGGAATTCACTGGCGCAATCGTATGGGCGAGCAAACTAAACTTCGGAAGCACAACACAGAGGTTGGATCCCAAGTTTCCTGGTGGTACAAGACCAAACTTTTTTGCCGTTGCGCAAGAACTCAATTGGACCCGTCCCGCCTTTGTGTATATGGAGATATCACCCGTCGATGGATTGATGACAAAATAGTTGACAGTGAAGGCGGTTATATCACTGACGTCGAATATCTGACGGCGAAAGAAGAATGAGAGCTGGAAATCACGGGAACTAGAAACTGTCAGCAATAAGAGGTGTGGTGTGTCTAGCTAGCGGGATTTGAGGGCAGGGAGGTTGGCCGGTTGTGCCAAAACAAGGTCACGACTCACACAGCATGGCAGCGCTGTCTTTCTTCGAGCCTGCTATGTACAGGTCTTGGTTTGGGCTAAACCGTGATAAAAGAATATCGAATCCTTGCCCTTTTAACCAGGTTCAAACATCTCCGCCAGCCGCTTGCATGACGGTGAATACCATCCTTTGTTCTCAGTTCTTCACAGTGGGTCGGACTAACTCCCTTCTCATTCCGTATGTCATTCTCCAATGAATACTGAAGTCCAAAGTATATGTATCTGTGAACCTCGTCTTATGGCTGTGATTTCGCCGTTATATCACGTTGGTTCTTGTTATTAGCCTATGATGCCGGAAAAAAAAAAAGAGACGAGAAAAACGTTTTACAACGTGGCGTACCTTTGCCCTTCCTCTTCTTCTTCTCACCTACTTAGTACGTAGGAACATTGAGCGCATTCCCAACCAAATCAAACGGTCATGTTTCAGAAAAACCTCGCCCACAGTTTTCCGCACCGATTCAGCTCCCATCGGCTGCACTGAATCCATCCCCGCTACCCAGAATCTGGAGCCCGCGGCCGATGTACAGGGATCATAGAGCTTCTTTCTTGTGTTCTTTCTGTACTATGTAGGCAGGGGTATATGCAGCAACCATACAAAGTAAGGTGTGGGAGCAGGTGGGTCCATGATATTATCACCCAAATCTTCACCAACTGGAGTTAGCCTGCTAGCCGGCGGTATGTACAACAAGCAGTGGATATCTCCAATCTCAGAAAGCCAGCTCCAGCTAATGAGCATCGACGGCCATTTCAAGACCACCCGACTTGCCCATAAAGATCAATCATTGTTTTTCGCCTATGTGCGTTGCAACTGCACATGTTAGCGAAAAATAACTCAGTTTTTTAATAGAGTTTCTGGGTCCCGGAGGCATGGATTGGGCCAGTAAGAGACTTTCAACCGGTGGGTGCAAAATGGTCTCCGTATGTATGTGCTAGGCCATAGCATTTTATCCTCCACTCGCAAAGTGACCAAGTTGTGACGTGGAAATACAAGTTTTCGAGCTCGGCCTGTTCCTGCATCCATGCTGCTTGCATTGGATTCCTAAGCCTCACACACGAAGGCACATGTCAGCTCACGTTGCACAGAAAGTTAGCCAACAGATCTCGCAGCTCGTGATTCGGCGGCAGGCGTGATGAGGAAAGAATGAAAAATGCAGTGATCATAAACAGGTTCCGCATTCCATTCTCATCTGGGCGCTCTCCCGGCCAGTCCATTTCCTGCTTTTTTTTATATTTTTTTTTATTTTTTCCCTCCTTCCTCTCGGTCGAGATTACTGAAATCAAACAACCCATGTAGTCAGTCCATGGTGTGTCGTGGAATATTCCGCTGGCATTGACGACAAAAAATAGCAACAGAGACATGGGGTTGGGAAAAATTTTAACCCGGGAAACAACGCGCTCCGTTGAGTCTCATTCCTCTTTCCTTTGACAAATGACGTTTAACTTGCGCAGCGAATGTCTGTGTATGATTGATTTTGCCAAAAGAATTTCTCAGCCCGTCCCGAACATGGAAGTTGTTATGTACAAGGGTGGAGGGGAGGCCAGAACAAAAAAAAAACCTTCTCGCCCCACCTTGCTTAGTTCTAACGTTTTTTGCTTCGATTTTCGCCATCGAGTAAGACGACACCAGGTCGCCTATGCAGCGATTATGCAAGTGCGGGAAGTTTTGGACTCGTAGGGCCGGGTTTGCAATTCGCGGCCCAAACCGACTGCGATATGCCGATGTTGTGTGCCTGAGTCTCGAACTTTGTTCTAGCGATCATCAATGGCCCCACCGGTCCTTCAATTAATTTTAAAGACGCGTCTGTCAGTGATCTCCGGGGCTGATGTATGTACATAAGTATGTATGCAGTCTAATCTTGTGTCCGTGCAAAGTTTCTCCAATACTTCGAGAATAAACGTATTTTCGTATGGCTGTCGGGTCACTCACTCCTCGTTGAAAACCTGCGTGACGATGGCCCCATCGCGGGCTGCAGCCTCCAATGATCATTGAAACACCTCATATCGCATACGCATAAAATTAAATTCCTGCACGTCCCGGATCCCGGACCTGGGTTAGAGTCGCAGAAGGGTCTGCATCGGCAGAGATTTGACAGGTAGTATCCTAGACTTCGATCTTGTCGGTCTTCGCAAGAACTCCGTGTGATGGATTTTTAAACAAGTCACCATGCATTGACGGGCCCCAACGCCGACGACGAGAAATTGTGAGCAAAGGATCGGGGCAATTCGACGTCTCCGTTCCTCAGGCGCCAACTTCAACGGTTTAGGGCTTTCGTTGATAGGCCGAAAAAAAAATCTTTTTGCATGGGCCCCTGTATAAAGTTTATTGCGAAAGATGCAGGTACATGCAACAGTGTGCTGAGCATATCGATAAGCCAATCTGCGACACTGGATCTTGTGGCCAGTGCTTCATGATTAGCTGCGGGAGGTCAATTGAGTACTTCGGGGCGTCAAGTCGGGTTCAAGACCATTTCATTCGATCACAATCGAAAATTCGGAGCTCGAGAAGATGCTAGCACGCTCGGTTTCCGATGCCGGATTTCCACAACATCCGAGTTCTTCCGACCCGACCAATGGGTTTTTTGTTGGATTCATCTAGCTGTAGTGCTCTTTAAAGACCGGCAAATTAGGGCATTAGAACCCAAAGCTGGGCGCAGTAATTCGTAGCTTTAACAGGTAAACATCCGTGAGTCTTGTGTGGTGGACATTAATACATTACTCGTGTGTTGCAGATGTTGGAATTTTGTCGCTTTGATAACAACCAGGCCAACTCCGCCCGATATGTAGTCTGGGGGATGCCTTGGCCCGATATTACAGGGTTATCAGGACCCTATGTAGGAGCAACTGACCACCTAGTTTTGGTCACTTCGAAGCCGACCTTACTCTATCATGAAGCTGAACTCGTGTGTAGTCACCCGTCGTGTCGCGGAAATTAGCACCTGTTCGTCCAGTTGTCGAAGAGAAGTGTTAAGTGTTGTCCAAAAACCATGTCTGTGTTCTGGCGAGCATGTAATAGACGTGCCATCGCTTGATGGATATACCAAAATGAGTCTTGAACTAGACTAATGTAGAGTCACGACTTCCAGACTTGGGTTCGTCGGCAAAACAACAACTGTGACTCTGTCATGATGATTGGATCTCAGCATATCCGAATACGAATATGAGGGAATGCGGTTGGTCTCCTCGTGGTTCCGCGTTGTCGACGTCGTGATCGCGCACCAACGCCTCTCAAAGCGCGTCGGCACACGTCTAGCATATAAACCGAGCTGGCACCAGTTCTCTTATCCTCAATTGCAATACCATACACTACCTCAACAAACATCAAGAAAAATGCCACCAAAAGGGAAAAGAAAGGCCAGAGAAGAAACCCCAGAGGAGAACGATGGGGCAGTCTCTCCGCCTCCGGTGAAACGACCCAATGCTGGCAAATCTTCTGCTGCCGCAACTAGTTTCTTCACTCCAACCTCCCAGAAAGCATCTCCCATTGAATTTATCAAACATGGAAGTTTGCTCGCTGCTTTATGGGAACCGGTGGCATCGTCTTCGAAGGCCGTGACCGCGCCACTAAACGATGGCAAAATTAAATTTGCGGGATTCGATTTGGTAAGGGCGGAATGTTCGTTAATATAGCACTAAAGGCTAACATACTACTATCAAGGACTCCAATTTGATATCTACCAAGAGTGGCAAAACATTTGCCAGAGATGGCGAAGACTGGAAGTGGTGGCATCCAACCGTACCATCGAAGCTCCGGGAGATGTTTGAAGACGGGTATGATATAGTCGCCGCATAGTGTAACTCGCCGTACCTAATTCATACTCTATAGATACCGAATTGTCATCTTCACAAACCAAAATGGTTTGAAGGCCAGTGGCTCGAAGGCCGATGATAAATTAAAGGAGTGGAAGAAGAAGATCAACTACATTGTCACAGCTCTAAATCTACCTATCCATGTCTACGCCGCGACTGAAACGGATAGCTATCGAAAACCACGGACAGGGATGTTCGAACACTATCTTTCTGAACTAGGAGCAGATGCGCCCTTGGTTGACATGGACAGTTCGGTTTTCGTTGGCGACGCCGCTGGGAGAAAAGGAGACTTCTCTGCCGGTGATCGGTATGGGTTTTAGAAAATCCCCACCATATAATGCTACACGCTGACAATATCGAAGGAAATTTGCGGAAAACCTTGGCCTCAAATTCCTTACACCAGAGGAGTTGTTCTTGAATGAGGAGCCGAGGCCATATGAACTTGATCTCGACCCTGCTAGTTTACCTAGGTCGACCGTAGCCCCAGGTAAGGACAGGTTACCCGACGATTTTAGGACCGACTAACTCTCAGTAGCTTTCGAGAAGCAATATCCCTTAGAAGTAGTGGTTCTCTGCGGCCGCCCAGGTTCCGGCAAATCCACACTTACGAGAAAATACCTTGTACCTCTTGGCTACGAGCGTATCAATCAGGATATTCTAAAAACGAAAGATAAGTGCATCAAAGCCGCCCAAGGTTTTCTGAAGGAAGGCGAAAGCGTTGTAATCGGTAAGCCGACAAATACAAATAAATTTAGGAGAGCCAACACGTAATTAACGATATATAGATGCTACTAATTCCTCACGAGATACTCGAGCGGTCTGGAAGGGCGTGGCTGATAAAGTCAAAGGTGCTACTTTCAGATGCATATATCTGACGACTTCAGAGACGCTCTGCTACCATAACGATGGTGCCAGGGCATATTCTGGTATGAAGTCGTTGAATCCCGAAAACCGAACATCGGTGGGGAGCATGGCCTTCCGGACCTTCAAGTCTAAATTCCAGGAACCCCATGTTAACGAGGGTTTTAAGGATATTACCGTAGTAGACTTTGAATTTCGTGGAACAGATGCCGAATTTGACGTTTGGAAACGCCACTGGGCGCCGTAATGCCTTTACGCAATATGCATTTAGAGGAGTTAGCGCATCCTTTTGACTTGTTCGCCTTCTATGCTTGTATCTATAATGAATTAGAATAGAATTGAATGATTGAAATCGAAATATCCCAACCGTGGTCCCCCAATTTTGCAAATACAGAGAGAGAAAACCCCGGCTCGCTATTAGGTGAAAGGTTTAGCTCTGGATGTGTAACAGACACCCCTCGCTTAGCTAACTTGAGAACACATATGCTTGAATTCGAGGGCATGAGGGTTCTTGATATTACAATTCATATTCGGACTACACGATATTTTCAGAACTTGATAATATAACGAACAAATGATCATAGTCTTCTTTGTTAGTCTCCAAGATGATACTAGTAGCTATAGATGTGGGATTCGAAGACTGCCAACAGTACAGTTTGGCTACGAGTCTAGGTATCTCTGTGAATCGCTTTGCATTGTTATGTGCTAAGACATTCACATGAACATAAATATACAACCCCATACATGCCTATATAAATAAGTATGGCCCGCTTGCTTGATCGAAACAGCCTCGAGACTAAGTAGATCCAAATATTTGTCGACCTCACTCACAACGGGCAAGAATCGAGGGCTCACGTGCTTTGTTCCATCTGTTAGATTGCTAGTGAATAATTGGGTCAGCTGGTGGTCCTTGGCTTCACACAACACCTCCACTTGACAGGCCGCATCTCCACGATCTCCATCTAACCAATCAGACCTACATCATCACCCGTCCGACATCATCCATCCTCCCGTACATTCACCCACCCATCACACATCCCGCACAAGCAAGCCGTCGGGTCCGAGATCCTCCCTTGACTATCGTGAGAAGCCGTGTATCTATCTGTATCTGCCGGGAAGTTTGATCGCTACTTCCATCCCGTCACTCTCGACTTCCCCCTTTTGAACAGCGTAGTCTAAAGTCCAGGAGTTAAACGAATCCCCGGCTTCGCTTCCATGCTCTTGATCTGAAAGGAAAGAAGGAAAGAAGGAAAGAAGAAAAGCAGGAAAAGAAAAACAGCTGCTGTCTATTTCCAAGCACATAAGTTACTTTCGACATCGAACCCTAGTCACGGAAACCCATAAAGCCTCTAGCCCCAATTTCCTCCAACAACCTTCACCTTGGATTCCAAACAGTCCCCACCTCCACCTTCCTTCCCTCCCTGGGTATCGGACCTTATCGATACTCTTCAATCCGAACAGTATAAAGATCTTATCGTTCCAACAACTGTACTCACATCGATAGCCATCGTCGTTATCGCCGCTCTAATGCAACGAGCGGCAGTCAGAGCGGCAGTCGCCTCCGCCCGCAGGGCTCCAGGCTTCTTGCTCAAAAACCGTCCCCCGCAAAATATCAGTGCTACCAGGGCTCTAACCACTAGCACTCTCGGGAGCAGTGGAAGTGGGACAGGCTCGAACTCCTACGTAAGGAAGTTTACGCTTGCCATCGTTTCTTCGTTGGTTCTTGGATCTGCATATATTGCATCGAAAGGATCCAACCCGTTCCTAGCGAAAGTTTCCCTGCTTTCAAATCCTAGTGACAAAGATGCCTTTGCTGCCGGGGCCAAGGAAGACGTGAGGATTAGGAAGATTGTTGCTGTCGACCATGAATCCCTCTACACTGGCACGATTACAGGAGATGGGCCGTTGACAAAAGAAGATGGCCGCGGCGGAAGGAAGGTGTTGGAAATGCTCACGCCAGACGAAGCCTCCACCAAGCTAAGGCAAAACCAGGAGTCCTATTTGGTGGGTAGAGATAGAGGTGTCTACCGATATGATGTCGTTCAGCTTCCTAGTAATGATCCGATTGAGGATGACCATGCTGAGCGCATCATTGAGGTTCCATCTGTTGATGGGACGGTGGACGATGCCAAAGCGAGCACGGATTGGATGTTTTGGGGTGTTTTCGATGGACACAGGTATACGCCCCGTCTATCTTTTAGGATTTCAAGTGCAACGAACTAACATCCGAGTTTAAAGTGGATGGTATACATCCGCGAAGCTACGACAGCTCCTGATTGGGTTCGTCGCCCGGGAACTCAATGCTACTTACAAGGCTTCAAGCACTAGTCTAGAAAACAAACTTCCTAGCCCTGAATCTATCGATGCTGCCATCAAGAACGGCTTTCTCCGCCTCGACAACGAAATCATCCACGAATCAGTTGAAAAAGCAACCAAGGCCCCATCAAGGGCTGCAGCTGCTGAGTTGCTAGCGCCAGCGTTCTCCGGCTCTTGTGCCCTCCTAGCATTCTATGACAGCAAAACCAATCTCCTACGAGTTGCATGCACTGGTGATTCTAGAGCGGTGTTGGGAAGGCTTCAGGATAATGGTAAATGGGCCGCAACAGCTTTGTCAACTGACCAAACCGGCTCGAACAAGGAGGAAGCAAAGCGTATCCGAAGCGAACACCCCGGAGAGGAGTATGCTGTCTCAAATGGCCGTGTCCTAGGAGGACTAGAGCCGACCCGAGCTTTTGGTGATTCGATCTACAAATGGAGCCTTGAAACACAGAACATGATCAAAAGCAAGTTTTTTGGCCGAACCCCAAGCCAGAGGCTCAAGACCCCGCCATACGTCACTGCTGAGCCCGTAGTTACGACAACCCGGATCCAACCCGAGAAAGGTGACTTTTTGGTTCTAGCTACCGATGGGCTTTGGGAGATGTTGAGTAACGAGGAGGTCGTAGGTTTGGTTGGGAAATGGTTGGAAGATCAAAAGAAAGTCAAGGGGGGCGCTGCTGGAGAATCATGGCTCCGAAGCATCTTTGGCTGGGGTGGAGATGATAAGAAGTCTCTTCCAGTTGCTACAAACCATGACGGTAATCAAGACGATGCCGGTCAACGGGTTCCAATCCGTCAGAGACAGTGGGGCATCAGCTCGCCGGAAGATCGATTCGTTATTAAAGACCAGAACTGCGCCACTCATCTAGTCAGAAATGCACTCGGTGGGAAGGATAGTGATATGCTGTGTGCTTTGCTAACCCTTCAGTCGCCATACTCGCGTCGATACAGGTGAGAGGCTCTTTTCTCTGGCCCTGAAATATTGATAGAAGGAATACTAACGGTACCGCAGAGACGATCTCACTGTTGAAGTTATCTTCTTCGGCGAAGGTGATAAGTCTGGCAATGTTGTCGTCAACGAGGAAGCCACTGCAAAGAGCAAACAACAACAAGAGTAGCAGTAATTCTCTAATTTGAATTAACACCAGATACTGACGACAGTTTACCACTTTTCTTAAACAAAACATTAGTCTGCATAAACTTGCATTCTTTGTGTAAAAAGAACCTTTAAGCCCCCGTTTCCCCCTCTTCATTTCACCACCAAGTCAGCGATTGTACATTAAGGGCCCTACACTGGCAAATTATTTGGCCTTTCTTCCCTGTTTCTTTCCTTTAACGTCGTCCTTACTTTCTATGGCGTCTTTTTCAGTGATATCCACTTTGTTTTGTTTCCTTGCTCCCCTTCTATCACCTTGGCGAAGCAAACCCAGAATAGATACACCTCCTTGTCCCGCGATTTGCTATTTTATTATTTCATTTTTATACTTTCCATTATCTATCATACATACATAACTACCATCCTTCAGATTGTAAAATTTTCGCTCTCTTCTTCTATCATTCTATCTCTCTATCATTCTGCTCTCGTAAATTAAAAATACAGTTTATTTTACCTCCAAGAATAACCATACCAACATAAATAATATACCAGAGGAAGAAAACCCTCATGACGATTGCTCACTTTCCTTGCCTACCATACCCTCGACCTCCCCAATCCACCTTTTCAACTCTCCCCCAAATCCCGTAATCCTCCTAATCTTCCCACCATCCTCTACAGCTCCTTCCTCCGCTATGAACTTCTCGCCCAATTCGCGACAATACCCATGATGAGTTACACACCACCAAATGATACTTTTGTCGTTAAGGCTGAACACACCGCTCCAGCTTTCTTCACAACCCGGGGCGCAGTTGGGTGTCAACCCAAACAGGCGGAGAAACGTGCGGAATATTATGCGGGGGAGGTAGAGAATCAAGGGGGGATCTAGCCCTATATTTTTTATTTTATTTTTCACCCCGTGCACCCCACCAGGTTCACATGGTATAAATAAATAAATAAATGTATTCTTATCGTAATAAAACAACGGTCTGATAGACGGAAAGGGGGAGGTACTATATCAGATCAAAGGAAGGAGAAGGGACATGTACATACAAATACAATCCGTTTTCTCATCCCTAACACGCGCGCCCATTCTTCTCGAATAATTCCCATCGATAACCCATCCCGTATCTCGATGTTGATCGAGTAGGATGTCTATACGGGATTGAAACTCCTCGTTCGAAGGGGCGGACCAGTTCGGGTTCCAGAAGACCTCGTCGAGGGGGATGTACGGGATGTTTAAGGTTTTGGCAAGATGGCGGGAGAGGGTTGACTATCCATTTTTTTTATTTTGTATTCCTTTTTTAAGTGCTTAGGTACTTAATGTATTTTAGAGGGGAGGGGGGGGGGTATAAGGGTCCATGATATAGGTGAGGTGATGTATATAAAAGACACGGAGGGAGGGGGTAAGAGAATCTGTGTACCTTTCCCGTGCCTTGAAGTTTTGTTCAAAACGTCAACCAATGTCTTAAACTTATAGCCTTCATGAAAATACATCAAAGTAGCTACCCAACTACTTGAGTGTACATACTAGCAGATACTAGGGTAGGGAGGAAGGGAATGTATAATGTTTACCGCTATTCCCAATAACATGTATCCTATAAACCCCCTTCCCGTCTCCACGAAGCGGCGGCACATCTCGACTCTCGAGAAGGGGGGCCGTTGAGGACATTGTTGAGAAGTTGCTTTCGAGTTTTTTGTTGGATATTTCGTGTTGGGTTTTGTTATTCAGAAAGCACAAAAAAAAAAGAGGATGTGTGTATTCTCCTTGCAAGTTTCAAAGTAAGAGGTATGCAATGTGTCTTTTCTTTAAAAGATAACGCGGATGGGGAAGGATCTATAGTAATAACGTTATATCATATTGGTGGTCTGGCCAAGGTATCGATGTTACCACTGCATTGCATTAGCAAGGGGTGTTAAGGATCCGTGTCGCGATCCGGCTTGGCTGCTTGCTACATCGAGCTCTGACCTTTTTGCATTGAATTGTATGTCATAGAAGCCGTTATATATACTAAACTTAAGCTTTTAAGGTGGCACAAAGCAGGGTAAAAAAGTTCGAGTTGAGGAATCCAATCCTGAGTGTATATCTGCGCCATCCCTAACCCGACAGTAAAGAGAAAGAAGAAAAAAATGAACAACCAAAACATCCCCTAGTCTATGACAAAAAGAAACAAAGGGCAAGATGCCTCCAATGGAAGCCATGGAGCAAAAAAAAAAGGGGGGGGACAGGTGCCTGAATCATCGTTATGATTGAAGGAGGTAAGGTTTTGTAGACGAAATGAAGGGGGATAGAAAGGTAGAATAGAAAATAATAAAATGGAAAACCCCTTCTCCACCCCACAGTGAGATTATTAGATTATCGAGAAATAAAAAATACTCCCCAAAAGCGTTACCCACTAGCAAAAAGCAGAAAAAAAAGTATAGATGAAAAGCCTTTTCGAAGAAAGACAGGAAACTTTTGTACAAGAATGCAGCGTCGGGGTTAGAAGGGGGGCATGATGTCCCCAGCCGATGGGGTTTGGGGGGTTTAGACAATTGATTAATTATTTCGTCAAGCGTGTATCGTAGAACTACCAAATGCGAATGCTTTGGATTCTAGGCGTCATTATCGGCTGTCACGGTAAACAGCATGCTGTTTGATCTTTTCCTTTTCGTCGGTATCGATATGCCATACGACGTAATTTGGCAACCCGATGACCTTGTAGCCGGCGCGCTTCGCCATGCGGGCAAACCCCTCGGTCTCTGCTTGGTTTTCGAAGGCATAGGATGGGAAGTTGATACCTATATAGAAAAATAAGATCGATTAATTAGTATAACCCGTTGGAATCGTGGAATTCCCTGAAGAAGAGTTCCAGGAACACATGGTGGACATACCAGCACGGTGAACATCAGCTTTGACAAGAATTGTGACACCACCGATTCCATCAAGCTCAACTTCAGCGTCCTTATCTTTTCTCCAGTCGCCCATCAAGGCCAAGTATTTTCGGCTTGTATTAAACTCTTTGTATCCCTCGGCGAGGACGGTGTCGGTGGGGAGTTTCTTTCGAAGCTCTCGGCCTTCATCCGATTCTATCCAGGAGTTGTAGTCGACTAGACGTTACAACAAAAAAGAAAACATTAACTTTTGCTGCATACAGAACAGCTGAAATCGATAAAAACTCACATCTTCCTTCGATATCATTTCCTTCTTCATCAATTCGGTGGAACCAGATGTCTATCACCAGAAAATTAGCTATAATTCTCAAAATTGGGGATAGGAGGGTAGGTGATGGAAGAAACATACTTGGAACAATGATGTCTCTGTCGTGGGCGATAAAATCTTGAATTATGGTTTCGGGGCATTCGGTGATATCGACGTCTCTCCACATAACCCAGGAATGGTCAGGTCGCAGGGTGCTCGAGAGCAAAAAGTTCCTGGCCTTGCCCATTCCTTTCCTCCTGGGGCCCTGAGCTTCGAAGGAGTGCCTGTCTTCAATGCTTTGGGATAAGTGGGTACCAAAATCCTTTTCGATGATTACAGCGCTGTGGAATGGGATTTTTGGGTCGGAATTCGACTGGATGGTATCCAGCTCCATTGCCAAGATCGCTAAGGTATCATCTGTGGAGTCGGAGACAAGGAATCCCAGATCGATTAATTCGTGGGGGTAGGTTATTCTCGAGATGATTTCAAAGTATCGTGGGAGGAAAACAGCAGCATCTCGCAGCGGGGTGAGAAGCAAGACCCTTTCTCTATTCTTAACGGCATCTTTTCCAGTGGTGATTTTGTTTAGGTTGTAGCTACCGATTGACTTTGAATTTACGTCGATTGGATCGTGTTTGTTGGTGAGGATAGGGGTATTCTTGTGCTGGTGCCATGCAGCGAATTCGCCAGGGGATATTTCCAAGGGGGAGAGACCAGGTCCGTAGCAAGCCCATCTGTTGGTAATTAAGAAAAAAAAAAGATATCAGTTAGTTTGACCAAATCCCTTTCTGTTATAAGGTGGATAGAAAAGGGAAAAAAAATAGAAAAACAATAATGGGTGTGGGAGGTAATGAAATTCGCGTAGAATTAATTGATTGCAAATGGAGACAATTTGGAAAGGGGAAAAAACATACTCTATGGACGAAGCTGTGGAAGATAGACGACCCCATGTAAGAAGGACGATTGTGCATATAACGGCGAGGACGAGGAAGCGTGTTCTTAAGAAGACATGTGCGAGAGCTCTTGGAGGAGGGACATGTTGAGCAAAGTGCGCCAGAGGCTTTAGATTTAAATTTAAATTTATCTTTTCCATTGTTCTCCCTCCGTTCGTCGTCCAACAAGGAAATATATTCTCTTAAAAAGGATATATAGCTGGCGAAAGTATTCAGTATTGAGACCGGGGTGGGTGGGTAAATGTTGGTTGGTAAAGGCTATACGGGCTGGATCTGTTTGGCGGGAAGGAAATCTCGACCTGGATCTTTGACCTGCTGGGGGTGGATCTTGGCCGTCGTCAAACTGCAGGTGAAAAAAAAAGGTACGGTTAATATAAAGCCAATTCTGTCCTTGGCAATAGAAGAAAGACAAGAGAATTGAATTGTCGATGGACCAAAACCGAACGAGCGAGCGAAGAGAAGTGAAGATGAAGAAAGAGATGAGCAGGTAGAACCGGAAGTGCTATGCAGAGGAGATGAAGGAGAAGAGATGGTTGAAGGTTGAGCAGAATTGCTTGGCGGAAACAATTGGCTTTTCGTTCGGGACCTTAAAATGGAACCTTAAAATAGGAGAGAGAGTCTCGTCCACTTTAATTCAGGTGTTCGATACTACCACACATCTGCAATGCATTCCCCCATCGTCAAATAATCGTCAAATATTCTCGGTACCGGACTATTACTGAACAGGTTGTGACGGACTATGCCGGACTATGCCGGACTATAATGGTTAAGTACTTAAGTAGTTACCGTACCGGGAATAACTACTATGCCAAGGTCCACAGACGAGTCGACTCCGATAGGAGTATATCTACTTAAGTACTTAATGTCGTGTCATGCAATGCATCCTTTTTGCGTTGTTCGCGTTGGAACAGAACGCAGCAGAACAGAACAGAACGCCTTCCAATACACCTCACCGCACCTCATCAAACAGCCAAGTCAAGAGAATCGAATCAACCGTTGAAGGGAAAGGGAAAGGGAAGGGAAAGGGAATCAGTTACAATGGCAATCGCAATCATGACAGCCTCGTTACATGTATTATCTCTTGGCTGACAACATTGGCATTTCTAACCAGACATGGAACCATAAATACCTAGTTTCCCTCCCACTGTTATATTAATCTCTAGATTCCATAGACAATACTATATACTTACCTATTACCGATATCTACTATAAAATACCTACTTAATAAGTACTCCTTGTATAAGAAGTACTTATAGTAGTAATGAGCAACATGTTCCACGGCCAGGATAACCAATATCAACATCAACAACACCAGGATCCGAACTATAACCAGTACCAGAACCAGAACCAGAACCAGAACCAGAACCAGTACCAATACCAATACCAATACCAGTATCAACAGCAACCCACCTGGGACCAGTCCAATAACAGTAACAGCAACGGAGGCTACTACCCCCCCTATCACCACCAACCGACATGGCAGGACCCCAGTCAACAACTACCCCCAATCCAAACATCATCACCATATCAACAACCCCCAGTCATATCACGTGAACAACCTCCCCCTCCACCCTACGACCCCGCCCAGCGACCCATGAGCTGGCCATCCAGCCCTCAGGACTACCAGAACTACTACACCGCGTCCTTCCCAGCTGTACCGGGTTCCAGTTCTCTTCAACCTCCCGCTCCCGCTCCCGCTCAACCGCCAAATTGGTTAGGTCATCACAGCCACAGTCATCACCATTCGATATCCGGTCCACTTGGTCTTCCGAACATCCCATCTACTGGTACAAGGCCGAATAATGATCTAGCATTAGAAGATGCTCAAAGAATCCGTGATGCTTTTGGAGGTATTGAAATTTCCACCTAGATGGTCTAATGCAATTTACTGTCTTCATCTTTTGTTTTGTCTTTTTTCATTTGCGTACTTTAATATATATATTTTTATATATTCTTAATTTTTATAATCCATTTTCTAAATGAATAAATGAATGAAAATATAAAGTCGGCGGCCTCCACCATACACCCGTCATAAACATCATAACGAACCGATCCCCAGAACATCTAGGAAATGTCCTCATCAGTTACAAAAACCTCACCGGCCATGACCTCCTCGCAACCCTCAAGGATACCTCTCGCTCCAACAAACTCAACAAACTCATTGATACCAACAGTAAACACTTCAATACCGCCGCCATAGCCATCCTACTAGGCCCCGTGAGTTCCGAAGGTTACTGGGTCGTCAAATCCGTAAAGGGAAGTGGAACAAATGAAGCCCTCCTAACGGAAGCCATATTCGGTCGTACCAATCCCGAACTCGAATCGATGAAATCATACATCCGAAGTTCTCACTTCAAACATATGGAGGACTATGTTCGTTCCGACTTGAGTATGGGTACCAAAACCCTCTTCGAGATGGGGATGGAACCGAGTTTGTCAAAGGATCCGAATCATTTGTATGCCCCACCGGATCGGTCGAAGGTCCGACTTGATGTGCAAAGGATAATAACGTCGACACCGACGGTCAATCTCTTTTCGAAGAATTCTACTGTTCTGTGTCAGGTTTTGGCCCTGAATACGCCTGGTTATATCCTTGCCGTAGCGGATGAATATAGATTAGAGACCGGAAAGAGTTTGAGGGACTTGATTACTAGAGCCTTCTTTGGCCATATGAAGGATACATTGTTGTATATATTGGATGGAGTCGTAGACAAAGTTGAGCGGGTAAGCCTATACCTATCCAATCTTTTTTTTCTTTTCTTTTTTTTCTTTTTCTTTTTCTTTTTCTTTTTTCCTTCTATTTCTATAAGTCGGGTTATGCGGAAGCGAAAAGGTGTTTCGGAGCATGTGCTAACGTCTATGTATTCGTTCGGAGGAAATAGGATGCAAAACTCCTCGAGGACGCAATGGTGGGGGCAGGAACCAGGAATCACCTGTTAATCTCGCGCCTGATCAGGATCCATTGGAACAAACCGCATCTTGCCGAGGTAAAACAGAGGTACAGTCGAATGTACAAGCAGGACCTGGTGAGCAGGCTGAGAAAGGAGGTCAAAGGAAGCTATCGGGATCTAATGATCTCTATTGCGGAGTCTGACGTCTCCCCTTGGAGACAGTGAACCCCAATTCCCGTATACTTTAGGTTCATACTCCATGAGCACGTACGAAACGGGCGGTTAACTTCTTGGATTGTGGGTAACTTACTCTTTTGGGGAGTGCTATGGAATGGAGAAATGCGGGTGAGCGGCGAGAGGGGGAGGGTTATTGTATAACCAGGGATCGGAAACTGGAGGTTGGGGCTTCTTAATTTGGTTAGATGCGGGGGAACGGAGAAACGGATTTGCGGGGAGGGAGGAGAGAGGGGGGGGCTAGGAGGGATGGAAAGCTTCCTTTCGAACACAACATCCTTACAGTTAAAACATACATTCACTTGTAATTTACTCTCCAGGATTTTCTAAAACAGGGTTTACCTGTCTTATGGATTCCTTTGGTAGGTTCTCCATATCATTACGTATTATTCTTTGGAAGTTAGGTTGTTGCGTATTTGGTATTTATTTTTTTTTTTTGGATTTGAATTTGAATCTTTTTTTTTTCCTCTATGACAGCTTTTTTTTCTTATGTACATGATATGAAATACGATATGATGAACACAGAAAGAAGCAGTATCTTGAAAATGTAAGAAAATACTGGGCTTGGTTGTGATGGCCGACCCTCAATCGAAGAGTAAAAAAGAAGTCGGAACTCTCTCCTTCCCAAGGAAATATAAATAAGAAAGCTGATTGGAACAAAAGGAAATTCGTGCCGCCAAATATATATATAATATATAACCAAAAAGAGTATCAATAGTAATAAAGCGTTAAAAGAAAAGAAGGGAAAAGGGAAAAGCGGGAAAAGGCTCAAACCAGACTGATAGATGGAGGGGGCTCTTTTCAGGGTATCAACATGATAAAGCCAAAACAAAGGACACCTTGACGACAAAACAAAGGAAATGATGAAGAAGAGGGGGTTGAGAAATTGTGCCCTTTCCTTCTGTGTGAACGAGTGAAGAATGTCTCCCACTGCGTCTTCGACCTTGATGGTGGAAAAAAATAAAAAAATGAAAGCAAATAAACTATTGGGAACCGGTATCCCATCTAGCTTGGACCATCATCCACGAGTGTGATGATGATGATGTGTGATGATGGTTTGGAAAGGAACCTCTCAAATCCGTTTCCGTCATCAATCTCATCTCTTCCCAAACGAACCTCAAATCAAAAGAAATCGTTTGTATCTTTTAAGCAGCAAGATTGGCGCCACCGCTCTCAACAGCGTCAATCTCAGCAGAAGACCACTTGAGACGTCCGAACCTAGCAGGAAGCTCGCTTCGGTCGAAGAATTGACCTTGTGGTGGGGCTGGCGAGAAGTAGGATTTGGAGGATGCGGATCGAGTGGCTAAGGGACCATGTTGGTTGGCAACTGATTCACGGTATTGCTTGAAGGAGGTTGGGAGAGAGGATGATGGAGACGCCGGGTGGACACGAGGACTATGGTCAATGGCCTCTGGGATAGAGCGTTTTCCGATGAAGTGGATGAGTGGGGTGCGGCGGGCGAGGACTCTGGTTGGGTTCATTGTGGCGGTTGTTGGGTTTTTTTTTGTAAGAAAGAGATTTTTCCTTTTAATTGGAGTTCTTCTATTTTAATGTAGAAGAAAGAGGAAGAGATGGAGAAGTGAGAGGCTTCCGAGAGTGTGAGATGATAGATGTATAGACAGATAGGTGAATAGAGGTTTGAGAAGAGTGGTGGTGGTTGAGAGATGAAGATGGTGGTAGTGGTTGGCGGTAGTGGGAGGACTGATGATATTATATAATAAAAGGGCACACGGAAGCGGAATGTGGTGGTGGAGAAGTGTTGGCGCTGTTGCGTTTGTTCCGAGAAATTTTCGAGGTTTCAGACAACTTCACAAGCCAACTGACACAACCAACAAGAGGTATTATCACAGCTATAGCTTAGCTTAGCTTGGATTAGATTAGGTGCTGGGTTTTAGGGAGGAAAGAAAGAAGGACGGAAGGAAGGAGGTATATGTGGACACGACGGCGTATTTGTATTGAAAGACAAAACGCAGATGAGTCTTTCTCTGTCTTGATCGATGCACTTGAGTTGAGTCCAGAGTAATGTAAGTACGAAAGGATAATCCGGCTAATGCGCAAACTGAGGCGTAAGGATTTGATTCTAGCGAGATCAAACTATCCAGGTCTGTCCTGTCTCTGTCGAGTGTATGTCGAGTGTATGTAGTGCCGATGACCGCTCGATGGTTGATGAACTTCGAAGGTGAATTGTCTCTCTATTATATAATTTTCAAAGTTCCTCAAATCCGATTCTTCTCCTTTTTATTTTATTTTTTATTTATTTTATTTTCTAAAGTATCTTTGGATATTTTATTTTATTTTATTTTATTTTATTTTATATTTTTTACATTCTTATATTGAACAACTTCCCCGAGACGGACGCCGTCTGTCTGGCGCTTTACTCCGACGGTTCGCCGAAGCTGTGTGTGAATTGTGGCGGGGGAACCATGCACGCCGATAATGCAAGACGATAATCACACCATTGGGCACGATGTACTTGACGGATCGTATCCCACATGGTAAGCCTCGCTGGGGAGTACTTCTATTCTCGTACATTCCCAGACATGGCAATCGCTCGTGTGGAGTGGCCAGGAGCTATTCTTCTGTCTGTATTACACAGTATGCGTGGGATGATATGATACCTCACTTTACGACTCCATCTTTTTGCGTCTGCCATGCACGGACAGCCGGGATTACAACTTCTGCAGCTCGTTAACTTTCTTTCTTTCTTTTTTTGCTCACCCTTTCGCCGTTAAAGGGTTTTTTTTCTTTGCAATTCGCATTTGCCAACTTTGAAGTTTGAAGCTGAAGAATGCATCTAAATCAAAATAATCATCAGAAACTCCGAAGTCGCTTATTGAATCCTAATCCAACCGCCCGGACTCATCCATGCCATATTGATTAATATTATATCTTCTTTGAAATCAATTACCCGTACTAGCACTGTCCACTGTCCACTGAACTGTGTAAAAAGCCGGCGATGAAGCCGTCGAACAGTTAGCCTCCTCGAGAAAGTCTCAGTCAACCTCCTCCAACCCACCCAACTCCCAGGATTCCCCACATCCCCAATTCCCAATCCCAGAGAAAACCTATCCCAAAACAGAGCTTCCTTTTCCCTTTCCTTTCCTTTGGTCCCTTCGAGCATGTGCGTGTGTGCTTCCCAGACAGACTCTACTACGTACACAGTATGTCACAAACCCACCCACCCCGGTCCTCCGAAATCTTCCGAGTTTTTGGTGATACCTGCAGCTAGTCTGCCCGCCGTTTTGTATTCAGCAAGTCAATTCATCCACGGGTTGACACAACCCACCCTGAAATCTGCGTGGTTTATTTCCCCTCAGAGGGAAAGATGTGAAACGAAACAGAACAGAACTAGGACATACAACCATAACCTTCACATGCAGAATATAGCCGTCCTGTACATACACTCCACGCTTTCGTTTCTCAATGGTAATGGTAATGGTGGTAATGGTAGTGGTGGTAGTGGTGGAAAACACCCATTCTCGTGATTTCGTAAGCCGGCTATGTATGATGCAACGAAATCGAATCGCTTCCTGCCGATGTTCGGCACACGCAATCCACAAACTAACGAATCCCCCCCAGTCCTTGCCACACAGATGTCAAACAATTGACAAAAGGTGGCTCCTTCTTTTCGCGGGTCTTTTTCGTCATTTCCTGTCTTATCGCGGAATACATAATACCTGTATTAATTATTATTATAATTAAGTACTAGGCATATACCCATGCTTGTTAAAGGTATTAGTCCAACGAATTACTCCATTTCAATTACCCCCGTCGCAATAAAATAATATATTGATATTATACCGATGTTCCCCCCTTGAAAGTCGGCGTAGTATACATAGTATGCAAACTTATTGAAGTCTCTCGGTAGGAGACTTGTATGTAATAGTAATAGTAATAGTAATAGTAATATATACACATGTAAATATAAAATAAATCCTATTTTCGCAACATCAAAACCCGCACCATGCTAGCTTTTCAGCATTAAACAAATCATACAAATAGGCTGAGCATATAAGGTAAGGTATTTTATATATACCCAAAGAAAAGACAGTTCGCAACAATTACAAAGCTCTTTTAAATGCCTAGTGTACATTACATATAAATATATATCCTATTCCAACAGCAAATCAAAATCCGTTCCGACCGAAAAGGTACAAAGGAAATATATATATAGAAGAAAAAGAAGAACAAGAAGAAAGAAACGAACCAATGTTTTGATCCTTTAGACCTTAGGGGGTATCCTAGCAATAACATCCATAAATCCGTAAAGAAATATATAAAAGGAAAATATAAGGGAATGAAAAGGAAATATGCAGGTAAGAACGATCTCTATGGAGACCTCGGCTTGCTCATGAGTAGGTGAAAGTAGTCTTCAGCCCAAGTCGGTTCCTCGACCTCTCGGACAACAATAGCTGCGCCCGTTGTCCTTAAAGTGTCGAGTTCGTGGATCTCCATCGAAGTTTTAGCCGAGTGGACATCTACAGCTTGAGAAATCATGATATTGGCGAAAGGATTTTCGACAAGCGTCTTCTCAGCCGTGGTGGGGCGACCGGACGACCAGAATAAAGCCCGGAGTCTTCGTGGTATTATAGAAGGCTTGGGCGTACGGAGGTATCTTTCGGAAAGTCCAGAGAATTCAGTGTGGATCTGCCTAGCGAATACCTCATGATCCCGGCTGGTGGAGAAGGCACGCTGCTGCGCGGTGAAGAAATCAAAGGGTGCCATTCTGATACCATCGCTCAACTCTCTTTGGTGGATCGGGACGATTGTGCGGAAAACGAACATTTGAGCAGTTGCATGATCGACTTCGACATTTCCCGACCGACATGGCATGGTAACCGGAATGGAAGAAAAGATAGCATCTTGCCAAAAATTATCCGGATATGCCTTCGTAAGGGCGCGGACAGCAGATCGCACTTCCTCGAGGTACGATCGATCGATTCCCGACGTCGAGTTTTGCTTCATCTCCAACACCCGTAAGGCATTCCCGAGAGTCATTCCGTGTAATAATTGCATAACTTGCTTAAGCTCATCCGTAAGAGCGGGGATGGGGAGCTGGACAGACGGGATAAGATTTGGCTGGAGCTTCTGAACAAGAACGTCGAATCCACCATCGATATTAGCACGGCAGGCAAAGCCTCCGATATGAATGCCAGGCTCCAAGATGCTTTCAATCTGAGAAGCATCTCGCATATTCTTTAAGTGTTCGGTCAAAACTTCACGCTGAACCTGGAGCGAACGAGCAACAACATCCGTGGCAATTTTGACACTCGTAAATCGATAGCCGTGAGACTGAAGCCTCGCTGCCTCCTCCCTGGTGACCTCCCGATAGACGAATAATGTCTGGCCCTTGCCTGCTGAAACCTTGCGCAGTCTCTCAACATCACTCGGCCCGATAGGTGTATTGACTCGACTCCTCGAGTTGGAGCTTGTATGTAGGATGTCGTCGTGGAGAGCACCAATGCATTCCAAGGGCTGACGCAGTTGTTCCGAAAGTTTCTTGGCAGCGACGCAAAGCATTTCGCGGAAAATGAGGTTCAGCTCAGATTGCTCCTCAGTTCCAAGCTTCTTGACATCAATGTGGCGCAGATGCTGCTGCATAACCGACACGATATCTTTGACACCAGACCAGGACCGAGACACCCTATAGAACCACAAGAATACCGGGTGCTCTTTAGAAAACTCTTGGTCGAGAAGGGAGTTCAAAGTGTCAGTGATAACCTCTGTTGGCAGGGAACCACTAGTGGAAATCATGAGACGCCCATCCGGGTCAAACATCACCGCGGACAATGTGACTTTGCGGATTTTGGTAACCATCTGCCGGGCCCTCGCCCCTAGAACGATAGCATAGGCCAACAAGCAAGTGCAGGTGAAAACACACTGTGCCCAAGTTAGTAATTGCGACATAAGAGATTATAAACTATGGGCGGAGAGTTCTTACTAGGGTCACGACAACGACGACGGTTTGTTTTCTATCGAGTGTGCTTTTTGGCAAAGCAGCGCTGCGCAATCTATAACTTGTTCCGACAGTAGCGAGCCAATGCATACCGGAAACAGCCTAAAAGTACTCCGTTAGTATATGGTGTCACAAAATCCAACGAATACTATCGAAAAGGGAAAAAAGCTTACTCCGGCAAGAACAAAACTACAACCAATACGCTTCCACCAAGTGCCAGCCCATCGTGACCGAGATACGAAAAAGACCACAAGAGCAACATTACTCGCGAGGATGGCAATGATGACGCTGCCGATCACGAAGGGTATTTTGTAGACAGATGTATAGTTGCTGACACCGAATTGGCCAAGGTAGTGCATCAAAACCACAGCCAATCCGGCTGCGGTCCCTCCTACGGACACACGGACAATGCTAACATCCTCATTGGTTCCGATGAACATATATGCTGAGAGAAGGACGACGATTGGTAGAAAGAAGGATAAAGCAGTGAAGCTTGAGTTGTATATCAGTTGATGGCTTTCAACTCCATAATCAAGTATTATAGCCCGATTGCCGATGAAATGCATTCCCCAGATGGCAATCTATCAACAATGTAAGTTAGGCAAGTTGGGAGAATTTTAACAACGGGTGATGTCTTACCGATCCCATGGATATGGCCGAGCCAACCAACAAACTCCTATGGAACAATAGTACGTATTAGGAACAAGTCCAGCGATCAACGAGACGACTAAACGGTCCCTCAGATAATGCAATATGCAATGGCGACATACCAATTGTACCATCCCCGGTTACCAGTTCTTCTATTGAGAAGTTCCAATGTGGTGACAGAACCAATATACGAAACGGCGTAGGAAAGGGCAATGTATCCGACTTCGAAATTCTGGTGAGCAATCTCACCAGGCAATAGTGTTGGTCGTTCCGTCATGTTGAATATTCCCGAGCAATTCGGACCTATAAAAGTCGTCTAAGAGAGACTAGGTATTTATCGATTCTAAGAATCCCCGCAGTACTAATACCTCCCCACCGCCTTTGTAAAATCACAGATATTAGATATACGAGGTACAACGATAGAAAGAACCTGATAGTAGAAGGGGAAAAGAGTAGATTCACCATTGGGATACGAACCGGTTATATTCCCACACACATCCTGCACACATGTTGGTTCAAGTGCGAGATAACCCAAAAGAAGAAATGGAAGAAGAAACGAAAACAAGAAGAAGAAAAAAAAGAAGAAAAAAAAACCTGATAAAGGGATCCAAGGCCAGCTGAACGAGATGCATCTGGGACAGTCGGATGCATACTATGTAGGAACTGTGTGTCTAACCGCCAGGGATCTTGGGCCGCACATTGCCCTTGCGTAAAAGTTCCTTGGTGGTAACCTTCGGCAGCCCCTCTCCATGGCTTAGACCAAGCGAGGAAAGGCTATCGTCGATGGCTGTCAAATCAAGATCTCATTTCCACGCGAGAGTGAAAACAACAGACTTTTTTTTTTTCCTTTCCTCTTTGATAAATGTTCACACTTACTAGGAACCTTGACCTAGCAGATGGCGGTCCCTGAGATTCGAGACCCATCCGTCGGCCGGGTGCATATGGGAATGAACGGATCGAAAGAAGGATAATAATAATTGCGAGCCTAAATGCAAGCTTTCAAAACTTGCAGCCGGCCGCCTCGTGTTCTCAAAACCATTCGTTCGAGCTAGTAGACGAGGGTGGTGACAGATGATAGGCTCAGGCACATGGTGAGCAGCATGCATGTGAACTTGGGAATTTGTGTGTGCCATGTCAGTCCTCTGTGCATCCAGTAAAACTCGAACACCGAGTGGCTTGACCAGAAACCCCCGGCCTAAAGCCTGGCTTGAGTCGTGAATAGATTGCGAAGAAGCTGTGGAAAAAATGGGTGTACCGTGTATGGATATTGAAAATTTCGGTGGCGAAAAGACAAGGGAAAGGTTTTGAACAGGGTAGCAGGGAAGAGATATCTCAGAGGAATACACCAGACCAGCCGCATATGTAATCGTGTCTCCGCGTCAGGTTGGATAGTGCGATCGATCGAGTATTAGCCAGCCAATGGAACCCCTGTATTACTTAGATTCGATCTCGCTAAACCAAGCCTGTGTCGCCCACCGATTTGGGGTTATTATAATTTCAAGATCCCACTCGGTTTAATGACTTCCAACACCACCACTACACCACTACACCAAACCACCAAGCCACTAGCTAACTTAGCCCGTCATCGGGCATTTTCCTCCCTTCCTTCGGGTCAGGTTCTGCAAAGTTACACAGCACTGCACTACTCGGTCCGTTCGGCCATGGAGGAAACCAATTCGTCTGAAGAAAAATACGGGCCGCAATAATAATAATGACAAGTCATCCTAAACTATAGGGAGAGCTCTGCAGGACGGCGTCAAAGGTTAACATTAAAATGATATCACGATACATACTTTTTTTTTCGCCCCAGAAAAGAAACCGTGGGCGTTCCCAAACAATCACTATTATTCTCAACCCCTGTACGCGTGAACGCCAGTGCAGCCACGGGGAAGAGGCACTCAGAGACCACCGGGCGGTCTAGCCCTCACTCGGCCATTTTCGAGAGAACGAGCTCGGAGAAATCTCATGAGACTCCACACCCGTTACTTCTTCCCTATCGCTTCGCCAAAGATCTTGGCCATCTGCCGTTTGAAATTTTACCTGCACTACAAAAAAGTCTCTTCAGCCGCGAAAGCACGGAGAGAGGGTCCTGATAGTGCTGTTGGAGTAAATCAGCATTGATGCATGTGCTCTTTGTGATCAGTCTGTGGAGATAGCACCCATTGATCTGGGTCCTTCCTGCCTCTTCCTCTACTAGATCGTCTCATCACCCGTGGCCTGATATCGAAAAGTACGGCTGAAACGGAAATTCATAATCGTATTCTGGCGGGCAAGAGCCGTATTGTCCGCATCCATCGGACTCATATCGAATTTGGGTTCTCGATGAACAGGTGTCTCAATCAGAACCACGTACAGAAGAAATATGCTTATGCAAACGGCAAGCTGCAATCATAATTTCCAAGTTGTTTCTGCCGTGCGTAGTCATAGTCACCAACAGCCTTGGTACCTTTTTTCTCCTTAACCAAGGTTTCTAGCCTCGAATTATTAGTTCTGAACACAAGGGGTTTTCCGACGCACGTGTCGCCCTTGACGTCGAGCTAACTATCGACACTGCCACTAACAAGTATGTAGTAGGCATCACGAGTCAAAGCGTCTGTGCTAGTGCTTGTGCGTGTATACTACACAGTAGTATGTATGCCCGTTATAAATATTAAATCCGATACCCACTTAGTATGGTTTCCATCCAGAGCTAAAACTGAAAAAACCCCTTCCATTATTGTGGGAACGAGGGAGAGAAAGTTCGAGCGGTGTGGAAAGTATCCACCGTATTTGCTTCTAGCGAATACGAAATGGCATAAAACGACAATGCAGGCGCAATTGGGAGAAAAATCCACCCCACCAGCGGCAGATTGACAAAGATATAACGATTTCGGGTTAGTGGGAACATCGTGTTGGGCCCAACCCTTGAACGAGTCCAACCAAGCTCTTGACTTGTCTGTGCACAAAGCTAGTCATGGAAATACCCATTGGACATCCGAATCTTGAAACACACTGCTGTCAAATTTTTTTTAGCACGTAGAATTCCGAGCAAACCGAAGCGATACTAGCTTCACCCCAATACGTAGTAAAATCTTGCCCTTAAACTTTCGAATTTCGAAATCGATGTCGATGCAACATATATAGAACTAATACTAGTGTCGACGACTAATTTAGCGTGGACTATACTACTAAACTCAAACCCCTTTATTCTACAACGCTAGCCTCCAAAGTGTCAGGGACATCGTCGCTCGTGTCTGCCCACGACCGTTCCGCCTCTGCCTTCCTCCTTGCATCAATGTAGGAAACGAACTCCCCGTAAGTCTTGGGTAAGACCTTGAACTCCTCCTCTGTATCGAACGTGTATGTGAACGTACCGGTATTCCGAAGCGAGCTGTGGTGAACGTCTCGAACTTTTGAATCAACACGGATTTGCACCCGACTCCCTCCCGCCGGTGCGGGCTCTGTATACACAACCGTAGCGGTCAAGTACAAGATCCCGCCCACGGGAACGGACTCACGAAACACGGACGGGGACATCGACAGGAACCTAGGCCGTGAATGAGATGCCGCTGCAGCGCAGCAGAAGGCGAGTTCAAACGAGTTTCGTAACAATAAACCACCAAAGATCTAGTAAATTAGGGTTGGCATTAGGCTAGAAAAATAAAATAAAATAAAGCAATATACCGCAGCACTAATCCAATTGAAAATGGAAGGATTGATTTGACTTACCATATAAGACTTGCCGTCCGAACCGAGGTATGTTGGAACATTGTGTCAGCATGAAAAGCCTTTCGTCCATTATCACGTAAGGGGATATATATCCTACGTACGTGACGGTTTCGATACTATAGCATGGACAAATCCGGTGCGGTTAGACCCTCAAATTGCATATAATGGTTCTTTCTTAGCACATACCTGAGGTTGCATAACCTGAGTCGTCTGTATTTGAGTATCAGCCACTGGCAGGTTGAAGATTCAACTAGTCAGCCAGGTTTCTTTGCAGGACGAATAGAAAGTGCTTTCAATCGAGCAGAGCAGAGCAGAGCAGAGCAGAGCAGAGCAGAGCAGAGCAGAGCAGAGCAGAGCAGAGCAGAGCAGAGCAGAGCAGAGCAGAGCAGAGCAGAGCAGAGCAGAGCAGAGCAGAGCAGAGCAGAGTAGAGCAGAGCAGAGTTTACTAACCGTAGACGATGTTTTCAGGCATCTCAACGCCAGACCCAGGATCTGCTTGTAACGAAAATGTTAGGCGAAAAATTTATGCAAGGGGCAAGGTACATGCGTGGTACTTTCCTTTGTACCGTTGGGATTCTCGCCACATTGTGTGAATCAGGTTGCTCTCCTCTTCGTTGGGTGCTTGCTTTTCGAGAGATGTCGATGCAAGGGCCCTCTTGAATCGATTACGCTCTGATATTTTCGATCCCAAAACCATATGTCAGCCACCATCGTTATTCTCCACCCACCAATGCTCATCCCTGATGCCTCGTGGTCGGTAATCCAGAAATGGTGGAAATTACCTTCGCCTCTGGCAAATATTCGGTTCTCCTCTGCGGTCTCGACTATCAAGGGATTGACGGCTGTGGCCCTGCATGCAAAGTCGTTAGTGCTCGATTGGTAAAAATAGTATTTAGGTGAACTGGGAAGCCTAGAACCGGTCTTAACAAGCAAGCACTGACTTTTTCGTGACTGGGTCAAGCGCCACCATTGTAAATTGGCAGGTCAAAATCGTTTTATTTTCCTCCAGCGCCACTACTTCCAGCGATATTTCCATGCTGCTTCTGCCCGAAGTCCATGTGACCATCCCTCGCAGTTCCATGTCACAAAAGGACGTTGGATGATACAGGAGAGATATTCTATCCACGGCTGCGGTGACAATTGTCTGTCCCTCTCCTGAAAAGCCAAAGACCTTGCGTTAATTCGTTGACTAGACTAGAAGCCCTATGCCGATCATCCGGCCGGCTCTAGATATTATGTACTTAAGTAAGTATTATGGAACTCACCGGCATGTTTATATGCAACGACTCCTGTTTTCATCCTAGGGGCGTTAGAAGGTGCACCGGTTTCAGTGATTATGGGAAATGGGCTGAACTGACCAGCCAGAGCATCAAGGTCCATGAATATCGTTCCCAGCCTACGACGTTTTATCTTTTAGACACCATTGCGCTGAAATCAAGGCTCATTCGTTTCCCTTCTAACCTCAGCTGACCTGTAGAGTTGACGTATGCCTACATTTTTTATTGACCTATTAATAAGGTATTCACCTCACCCTCAATTCAGCTCTCGGAGGTACTTTGCAACTTACATCTACTAGCCATTCATCCTTTCCAAACTCAAGAGTCTGGTTTGATCGGTATAAAAGACAAGATCGTCAGCCTTCTATACAGAAAGGAAGTTAACCTGAGGAGTAATAACTAACATAGCTCGAATAGCTGTCTGTCATTCGTTTCGGGGTCAACGGCGACTGCCCCTTCTTCGTCTCCTGCGCTACGGGAGAGGGTTCTGTTGGGTGGTCCCTCATGGCCAGAGCCTTGAGCCATGGGACAGTGAACTTCGGCGAAAGTAGGGTCGGTTGGGCGGGAGCTGAGATATATCTCCTTGCGGCGACCATCTGCAAACCATCCAGGTGGCTATGACCGCGAGGGGATGTTATACGCGGTAAGACTCTGCAATTGAGTTGTCGCATTGCTGCGACATTGCGAAGAGCTGTGTGGGCCGTTATCCTCTGCATCTTTCTACTGGGTCGATATCAATTGATGCGGTTGAATTCAAAAGATCGCATGCTTAGAGTCTTGCAAGAAGTTTAGTATTGCATGCGCAGGCAATGGAAACACAAACCACGTGCAGAGGTTCGGTTCTATTTGCGTCTAGAATGACGGGTCCAATCTGGCTAGCTGCATCGAAGTCTACTAACCTAGAATGGATCCGAGATCTAATCTAATCTTACAAACTATATCGGAGCACAAGTTGTACAAGTCGGGTCCTTCGATTCGGAATATTAGTAATATTACCCTCAACCTGCAGCTCAATATATCACATGCACGCTCCAATGCAGTCCACTACGATGGTTTAAGTTCCAACAAAAATTGATGAAAATAATACATCTACATGTAAGTACATACTTATATATGTACCACGACATTTCCAGACGGAACAGGAGGGAGGGAATGGATTCCCCAACGCTGCATGATGATGTGATGCATGATGATGGTGTAGACACATCGGCTATGTTGGCCAAACCCAGCTGACAAATCCAATCCGATCGGAAACTCTTTTTATTTATTTTTCTAGAAGGCCATCATCGCATTAAAAAAGCATCTGCCACAACAGCTTAGGTTTGAAACTAGCAAAATAGGCAGCTAGGAGACCCCGATGCGGACGAAATACCATCAATCGAGCGGGCGGAACCCGCGTAGGTGACATTTCGGCAAAAGAGTATACATAGGGTAACATATTATAACCGTCGATGCCGATAATATTATGCCACACTGTATTAAACTTTCAACCCTGACAACGAGGGAACTGTTAAACCTGGCATTTACTTGTGGATGTCCAGACTCATGTGGGTAAGAGGTACTAGGTAAGGTAAGTAGGTTGGAATGTAGGAATGTAGGTTGGAAGATGGTGGATTAGAAATCAGCCGCCCTGGTAGAAGAGTTCCGCCGGTCGAGAACACCCATATATCCACACAACAATACTACTTCTTCTTCTTCTTACTTACTTACTTACTTACTCACATACTCAAATACCCTACTGACCTAGGTACTTATATAGTAGGGAAGTAAGAAGTATAGTCAGTAAGTACTTAGTTATATATAATAATATGTTTTTTGTTGGACATGAAAGGAAAACCATGTCCTGTCTTGTCCTGTCCTGTTGGATTTAACAGCTAAGAAACGTTCGAAATAAAGAAAAGGTAGAAAGGAATTTTCACTCCGAAAGCCTCGAGCTAAAACTATCCATTCATACAAACCACCAGCTCCGGCGGGTAGCAGCTAGTATATTAATATCAACAAGTCAGTAAGTGCGAGTGTTAACTGGTTGAGCGCATATTTAACCGTCAGCAACATTTAACAGCTCCAGGTCCGTCGGGTTAACCTTGTGACTAATAGAAACCCCCAAATTCCGGTCATTGGCGACCACAGAAACTTCCTCGATCAAGCTAGCGAGCTGCTTTTGCCCGCATCGCTGCCCTCTATTATTGGCTATTGGCCGGTTTGGGACCCTTCCCAAACTTCGTTGCTTTCCTGTTCCTGTACATGTTCCCCGATTCTGGTTTTCATCGAATCCGATCAATTTGATTTTCCTGAGAAGTTTAATGCTACTCTCTCTTCTCTCGATCTGAACCACATCCCAAACGTAATCTTTCTTGATCATACGACAGACTCCTGACGACAGAATCAATCACGACCACGGCTACGACCAAGTCTCCTGCCCTGTCCCGTCTTCCGACCTCTGTGCCTTTCCTAGTTGGAGTTGAGGTTTATTAAAAATCCCGCCGTTGTCCTATCCTGCTCCGACTTGGCTGTTCTACACCAACTCAACTGGACTGGACTGGACTCAACTTAACTCTCTCGACAGTTGCTGCTGCTGCTGCTGCCACTCACCGTTCATATTCCCGGGTCCCCGTTCCGAAAAATCGGGATAATCGACTTCGGAGTATAAGATATTCCCTCCCATCTATCTACCCTTCTATCCATATCCTTCCCGAAGAAACCAACAATGTCACAATACTCGGCCAACCTTAACATCATTAACCCCATGTATGGGACTGCGGAGCCTATCGAAGATGCATTCGACCAGAGCAACCTTGATCTTTTTGCAAATGCAGACTTCTTTGATTGGGACATGGGCCAGTCGATACACACTGCCGTAGGAGGAAACGAAACAGATAGGGATGGTGATAAAAAAATGGAGACGTCTACTTCTACTTCTGCTACTTCACTTGATGTCTTCGGCGGGGACGCCAGTCTTGAGAGTAAGTCCGTATTGATTAACTAAACTGTCAAAGAAACCACCAAGATCAAGTCCCTTGTGGACAGACACATACACATACACATACACATACACATACACATACACATACACATACACATACACACATTCCACCGGGGTGCACCCACCTGCATGCACATACCCATTTGTTCCCAGGGCCCACAACGAGTCCGTGGGATGCAAACTGATACGCCCAGCCGCCGCTCATTTGCGCCAGCCGTTAATGCACTCTAACATCGTTTTTTTCCCTTTCCTCTCCTTTCCTTATTGTTTTTTCCATTCGATATCGTACTGCACCTTTTTTTTTTGATATTGAATAGTACTATTGCAGTACCATCCATCTACATCGGTATCAACATCATCTCTCCACCCTTCTTTCTCCCTTTCCTTTAATTTAGTCCCTTGCCACCACACCCCCAGCAGACAGAATTTTCATTGCTGGGTATCAAACTCTGCAAAAGGGCCCTCCTTCATCGCCTGGCCCCCATCTGCTGTGGACCCCCATCCGTCCGCTCGGGCAGCCGACAGGGTCCGACTTTTTTTCTTTCGTTGTCATCAGTTCAATCACGCAATATACGCTAGTCCGAGATTGGAAGTCGGTGATTGAACAAACTGTCAAACACCCCTAACTATCCTGCAACACCCCCAACACATTCCCCGGACTGCAGCGCTATTGTCTCCCCCCCCACTGAACCACGACTCCTCTTCTTTCCGTTTCCCCTAATAAGAGAAAAACAATCATGCTGCAGGCGATTGTTAGTTCCTGTTGGCTGACACTGACATTATCTTGTTTCTATCACTACAGGCTACATGAATTCCGTTGACTTCTCCCAACTCTCTTCGTTCATGATGAGCGACTTCCCTCATCCTCCTCCTCCTCCTCCTCAGCAGAGCTCTCACATTTCCTCTGCTTCCTCTATTTCGCAGCCCTCGCACGGCCATCAGCGGCCTCGGAACCTTGCCATTCTCCCTCAGCCTTCGCATGCTTCACATGCCCTCGCTCAAAATGGTTCTTCATCCAGTTATAATTCTCCGATATCACCTGCAACCTCAATCATCAATCCGAATCCCTTGAAGAGGAAGTCTTCTACCCTTGGCCTGGATTCTTCGCCTCGCTCCCTTGAGGAATCTTCAAGGGTAGCAGCCGAAGAGGATAAGCGACGTAGGAATACCGCTGCATCCGCTAGGTTCCGAGTTAAGAAGAAGCAAAGGGAACAGGCCCTTGAAAGTCATGCCAAGGATCTTGAGACCAAGCTCCAGGAACTCAGCGGCAAGGTTACCACTCTCGAGAACGAGAACAAGTGGTTGAAGGACCTCCTTATGGAGAAGCATGGCTCTAACGAGGACTTCATAAGGCTCATTAAGTCGGCTCCATTCCCTTTATCGTCTTTGGCAAAGGCGGCAGCGGAAGCGGAAGCGGAAGAGGAAGAAGATGATGACGACGACGAGGAGGATGAATAGAGGGGATTTCCGAACGATGTCACGCAATATATTTGTTGTATAATTACCATCGAAGGACTAGAGACTCGTCTCAAAAGTTTCTTGTTTTCTTGAACAGTCTCGTCGTCAAAGCCTCGCCGATCCTTTCCACGGCGAATCTTGACCTCAGGACAAACGTTTTTTACTTTGTCTCTGGAGGCGTTTTTTTTGGCGAATAATGTTGCTTTAGTGGTGTGGCTGTTTGTCCTTTCTCTTTCTTTCTCTCTCTCTTTTTTTTTGCAATGCTACACTCTTTGGGTGATACAACTGATGTATAAACTTTTGTTTCTTTTTGATATCCCGGGCTTTTTCTTGTTGTCATTTCCTTTGCTTTAGTATTGTCCTCTATTTTATTATGATGAGGAATGAGACATATCAAGTCAGTGGTTGGCTTTGATATTTGTCTATCTGTTGATGGAATCCACTGCCAGAGATGGCCTGACTCTCCAAACTTCTCTCCTTCAAATCCTATGATATGCATCCTCTGGTGTTCGGCTAAATAGCCCAGAGTTAGACGCTACGATTGATTATGACCACTCTAAAACCGTGCTTTTTACCATCGATTTCGCGATTATGTATGTCTGAATTCGTGAATATCCCACTTCGGCCTTTACGAAAATATGAATAATGAAAACTGTGTCATAAAATTCCATACAGCTATATATATCGTACACGAAACCCCCATCATCCACAAAGTGGGAAAAAAGCTTTACTGCAAAGAGGCTTTCGCCATCTTTCCGAGGAGGTTCAATGCAGATCCTGCAAGGACCCACTCGGCCTGGTCCTTAGAAAACGTATGCGCGGTCTCAATCTCAATCTTCTCCCCGGTCTTTTCCTTCACAACCTGAAGCTTGACCGCCCCCGCACCCCCATTCTTTAGCATGTCTAACAAGCCAACCGTGGTAACTTTATCCCGCGGAGATATCAGATCGTAGTCCGATTCATTCACAAATGTCAGGGGAATTACTCCCTGTTTCTTCAAGTTGGTCTCGTGGATGCGAGCGAATGATTTTGTAAGCACGATTGAGCCTCCTAGGTATCGTGGCTGTAGAGCGGCATGTTCACGAGCCGATCCTTCGCCATAATTCCATTCGGCTACGACGAGCCATCCTTGACCCTTTTCCTTCCAACGCCTAGCAAGATCTGGAATTGAAGTTTCTGAGCCGTCAAAATCAATAACAGTGTTAACAGCGTCTGTTTCGGCGTTTAGGGCGCCGATCAATGTGTTATTAGAGATATTCTCCAGGTGGCCCTTGTAGGCTAACCACTTTCCGGCGGCAGAGATGTGGTCTGTGGTGCATTTTCCTTTGACCTTAACTAGAACACTTAGGTTTTCGAGTTCGGATTCTGGGAAAGGTGGGAATGGATCTAGAAGAGCCAGACGGGTGGATGTGGGAGATACGACAACTTCTGTAGTTGGGTCTGGAACTGCCTTCACAGGGAAGAAGTCTTCTCTTCCAGCTTCGAAACCGTTCCGAGGAAGTTCCTCGCCATGTGGAGGCGAGAATCGAAATACCGACCCGGAAGGAGTTTCAATCGAATCGGATGTTGGATTGAAATCCATTCGCCCTGAGTATACCATAGCAGTAACAATTTCAGGCGAGGCAAGGAAGTTGAGGGTATCTGGATTTCCGTCATTCCTAGCCCTAAAGTTTCGATTAAACGACGTTAGGATGGCGTTTGTATCGCCTTTCTTCACGCCATCTGTCCGTTTCCATTGTCCAATGCAAGGCCCGCATGCGTTCGCCAATATAACGCCACCTGCACTTTCCAAGGCATTCAATGTTTGATCTCGCTCGAGGGTAGCTCTGATTTGCTCCGAACCAGGTGTGACAAAGAAGTCAACTTTTGGCTTCAAACCGGCCTCTTTCGCTTGGTTTACGATACTTTCTACACGGGTCATGTCCTGATAACTCGAGTTTGTGCACGATCCGATTAGGCCTGCACTGAGGTCCAACGGCCAGGCCTGTTCTTGAATTGCCTCTTTAAACTTCGACAAAGGTGTTGACAAGTCCGGCGTGAAGGGACCGTTGATATGGGGCTCAAGCTTTGACATGTCTATAGTGATGACCTTGTCGTATTCTGCCCCTGAATCTGCAGATAGAAAGTCGCCCATCGCTGTCGCCTTCTCTGCAATAGGTCCTCTACCGGTCGCTTGAAGATATCGGGACATGCTCGGTGTGAATGGGAAAAGGGATGTTGTAGCACCGATTTCGGCACCCATGTTGCAGATTGTTGCCATTCCAGTACAACTTAATGACTGGACTCCTTCTCCGTGGTATTCCACAATATAGCCAGTGCCACCCTAGTGAACTTTCGTTAGTGGTGCTTCCCATATATGACACGGTAAAGATGCAACATACTCGAACTGTGAGCTGCCCGGCGAGGTTGAGGATAACATCCTTCGGACTTGCCCAACCATCAAGCTTTCCCTCGAGTTTAACCCCTAGAACTTTGGGCGCCTTGAGTTCCCAAGGCGCATCTACAAGTGCGTCTACGGCATCAGCGCCACCGACACCGATACAAATGGCTCCTAAACCGCCTCCGTTTGGAGTGTGCGAGTCCGTTCCAAGCATCATAAGACCGGGTGCCGAGTAGTTTTCGAGAACGATCTGATGAATGATACCAGAACCGGGAGCCCAGAACTCAATCCCGTACTTTTTCGCAGCAGACTCCAGAAAGTCAAATACTTCCTTATTTCCTTTGATACTTTCAGGAAGATCCACGTCCGCACCCCTCTCTCCAACAATCATATGATCGCAATGTATCGATGCAGGAACAGCAGTCGTAGGAAGCCCACAACTCATGAACTGTAACAGAGCCATCTGCGCACTTGCATCCTGCATGGCGACCCTGTCGACCTTAAGTTTGAGGTATGCATTTCCACGGATTGAGCCAGTGCTCTGTCCTGAGAGCGTTTCTTCCGGCTTTTCTAAGTGAGAATATAAAATCTTTTCGGCAAGCGTGAGATGCTGGTTTGAACCGAGAACTCGGCGGACGGTTTCGTAGTTCCTTCGGAGTTTATCATATGGAGGGGTACGGGCGTCGCAATTGGGGTGGACTTTGGGAATAGCTGATGCCGTTGCAAAGGACCTTGACTGCATACACAAATTTAGCTTAATACGCCCCCATTCGCATGTAATTACAGTGCGGCCTTACTTGGTGGGCTAGACATCCGGGACGTTGAAGCCGAGGCGACAACCTCGCGATTCTCAGAGCAGAAGAAGACATCCTGAGCGTCAATCGGATATGATGTAGACCCTCCCCAGATGTTGCAAAATGGCAGTTATTGATTCCCTATCGCATGCGTAATACTGTTGAGAAATACCGATTCGAGCGAGACCAATTGAACATTATCTTGAGGTCCCAGGAATCTTTTGAAAAGGTTAAACGAAGAGAATACGCAGTAGTGTCCTTTTTTTTCTTCCTCTCCCGAGAGGCGGCTCAGCGAAAGTTAACAAAATGTCTCTCCCTCGACGGCGAGCTCGAGCTCAGAAGCCAACAGAGGGCCAGCCGATAACGGCATTTTGGCCAAAATCCAACGCCCTGCTGCATGGGTCTGAGTAATTAGCGGGTCTTGATTCGTTATCCGCAGCTCCTGGCTGTTTCTTGGGACCAAGGACTTCGGATGTAGGATATGTACCTAATGTGCTCCGTAAATGAGAGACGATACTTGGGGCCTAATGCAAGGCCACCTGTACCATTGTCTGTTCTACTCTCTTGTATTCAATTGTCCATGATCATGACATCGCGCTCGGTATTCTGTGCTGTGTGGAACAGCCACCGGACGGGATATTAATTACAGGGCTGATCAGGCTTGTGCCTCGGCCTAGTTTTTCAGTCTTGGCTGACCTACTCCAAATTCCGGCACGCGAGCCAGACTTCCCATAAAACCAACATCTCACCGGCGCAGCAGCAGCAATTGGAAACCGTTCTCGTGCGCATGCATAATGCTGAGGCAGAGACCTCTTCTGCAGATTTTGCAGCACCGACCTAGCTGTTTTTCCGCACCGTCACGGCCAGCATTCACCGCCGGTGTGCAGGTGAGGATATATGACGTATTGGCCCTCAACAGTAAACGGCGTACTCTCGCAACCGATGGACTCAATACGAACCAAACTCATCTTCTGAATAAAGTACGATTGCAAAAAGGCGCCAGGACTCCAATTCAACTCCATTGCCAAATCTCTTCATTTCATAGTACGTATGTGGATAACCTATAATACCATATGTGGCACACGCAGTCCCAATTTAGCCATTTTCAGGGAACAAAAAACTAGATATAAATTCTCACGATATTAATGATATTTCAAATAGATGTTTAAAGGCTTCCCAAGCAGATCCTCAAAAAACGCCGTCCTCAGATGTGTCCGTTAGAAAGCGTCGTCGCCTTCTACCGTCAATCTCAGAGAGAGAGAACATCACCAATGTCCCGAATATCTTGACGGTTACTCGACTAGTCGCCGCCCCGGTTATCGGGTACTTCATTCTCCATGACTACAATGCATGGGCCTTGGGCTTGTTGGCATATGCTAGTTTAACGGATCTTGTAGACGGATATATTGCTAGGCGATGGAATTTACAAACTGTCATCGGCACCGTATTGGATCCGTTGGCTGATAAGCTCCTCATGACCATCCTAACCGTTTGTTTAGCAGTAAAGGGAGCTTTGCCGAGTTAGTACATCCTCCCCATAGTATCTGGCATTCGGAGTATATGCTAAAAAGAACCGAAATTATAATAGTCTGGATCGCGGGTTTGATATTGGGTAAAGATGCAGGATTAGGCATTGCAGCCATATACTACCGGTGGATATCACTACCGCCACCGAAGACATTCTGGCGATACTGGGATTTCTCGCTGCCAAGTGCCGAAGTCAAACCGACTACCATTAGCAAGGTATTTCTCTTACTTACTTAAGTAGAGGCGTTCGGTCATATATTGATAAGGTTGAACAGTATAATACCGCATTGCAATTCCTCCTATTGATGGCTGCAACCGCTGAGCCATTGGTCGCGATGGATATATCTACTGCTATGGCAGGCCTCGAGTAAGTCACCTCGGGACAATTTCGCTATAAAACATTATACTGACGGGTGGCACAGGTATACTGTAGGGACTACCACGGTATGGAGCGGGCTATCTTATGTTTACAACAAGGATGCTGTGAGGATACTTCCAAGAGAAGAAGAACCACCGCAAGATGAAAACCACGAAGATAAAAAACCAATGTAGAATGGCGCCGGGGCTCACAAATGTACAATACTTTCCAGATACCGAGAAAAATTAAATAAAAAATACTATCTATTAATATTATCGGCCAAATGTAGAGTGAGAATAGAGCAAAAGTGGCTAGCTGGCTGAAGCTCCGTGACACATATTAAACACGCGGACAACCCCCATGTAGTTGCAGCATCGGATCTCTTGAAAATGAGAGGATCTAAGCTTTGATTGGAAACTTCAACCAGATGGCGGGGTAGATAGGCTGCAGCCATATGTGTTGCATATTCGACAGGCTGTTGTCGGCTAGCAAAGGACGAACGGGAAGCTTTGAGGGTGGAATTTGATGATTCCCCCCTTCGCCTTCCGAAACATTGTCTCCTTTAGATTCCCAAGCATTTAGACTTTTTTATCCTGTTGTTTTCCTTCCTTAGTAGCTACTATTGGCATCGCGCATCGCAATGGCTGCAACTTTGAGGGTAAGGTATCACCAACTATGATGCACTAACTGCACCGATTGCCGCAATATGCATATACTAATGGACGGCCAATAGTCCCGCTGTTCGAAAGTCCTGGCAATCGGCCGAAACTACGCGCATGTCTACCGCTCCATCCTCTCTCCCGTTCCGCTGGATGGCATTTATTGACTGACCATGCTCAATATATGTATATGATAAACAGCGACCATATCGCCGAACTCAATAATGCTCGTCCAAAACAACCGTTCTTCTTCCTGAAGCCTCCATCTTCGATTCTTGAGCCCAGCGGTGGGCCCGTCCTCTGCCCGAGAGGGGTCAATCTTCATTACGAAGTTGAATTGGGACTTGTGATGGGCAGGAAGCTTCGGGATTTCGATGAAAATGATGTCAAGGGTGCCATCGACGCTATTGAGGGGTACGTGGTTGGTATTGATATGACAGCTAGGAATGTACAGGATGAGGCGAAGAAGAAGGGGCTGCCGTGGTCGACAGCAAAGGGGTTTGATACCTTTACAGTCCTGAGCAAGTTTATTCCCAGGTAAAATTCCCTTTGCCCTCGCTTTCTCTGAAAGCAATAATAGCTGGTGTTTTTTTATGTTAACGTAATCATGTGAGGATCCTTATAGATCCAAGATTCCGGATCCACATGAGGCCGAGTTATATCTTTCTATAAACGATGCTATTAAGCAACAGGACTCCACCAACTTGATGTTGTTCAGGATTCCGAGGATATTGGCACATCTTTCCCAGATTATGACTATCGAAGAAGGTGACGTTGTTTTGACGGGTAAGTTTAAGCCGGCCTTAGTACTTGAATACATGATCCTAATGCTAGTATAGGAACTCCAAAGGGCGTTGGCTCAGTGAAAGTCGGCGAGACTATGAAGGCCGGTATTAGGATCGGTGGGGTCGAAATTGACGAAGGTAAAATCAATGTTGATGTTGCAGAGCGATCTGGACCTTACATCTTCAAGGAGACATAAGACCAAGTTGATGGTATAGGCACTTAAGATGTTGTAGCAACCATGAGTAAAAGAGAAAATGCTCGCGTGAGCAATATGTATATCCAAAAAAAAAACAGCCGGGCCTAGTGGGAATGGAAAAAAAAGAAGAACAAGTAATCGACCATGTTTCAAGGCGACTTGGGCAAACGAAGAAACAAACAAAAATGAAATCGTAACAGGGGATTCTGAATAATTCTGATGATACAAGGCATCCCTAAAAAAATCGACACTCAAGCCCGGCAGACAACTTCAAGCCCCCCAGCCTTCCAGGGATAGTCACCATCTTCGGTTCCAGAGTACCATCCTTCATTGATCAACTCTCGCTCAGTTTCAATCCAATAATCGCTTTTCCCTGCTTCCCCACTTTTGACATCAAAATCGCCGAGCCGGGCCTGGACATCGGTTGGTGATACCTTAACACGACACCCAAAATTAATATACTAGCTTTGACGTTGATGCTTTGAGAGAAAATGCCCTTACCTTGACATAAAAAGTGCAATCTCGTAAAGTCATTGCTGTCAGAAATTCCTTCGACTTATGATCCGCGCCTAAAATCCCCTTTGGATCAAGAGACGCCTGAAGCTCCTTCAGAATAGAAAGCTGGGGACAGCCCATCAATGCTGATGTGACTCTACCCACGAGCTTTTCATCCTCAGACCTTGGCTGTTGAAGAATACGCCTGACGGCAATTTTTGCTCTCTCCTGGTCGTTGGATACTAGATCGAAGGGGCAGATACCACGCCATTCGACTTTTTTGCCTTTTTTGATCGCTCTGCTATATTTTCTCAATCGCAATGCACATGTTCTACATCGCTTCCAGCCCTGAGGAGCGTTCGGGGATTGTACCAACCATTTCGCCTTGAACTCTAAGAGAAATTCACCAAGGGAAGTATTTGGAGTCATATCCTCTAGTAGAAAGGCGTAAACCTCCTCCATTTGCTGCTCGCCTGGCCGTGGGTCGCCAGCCAAGTACAAATTTTGACGGTGAGCCGGGCGGACCCCGGATTCTTCCAGATGATGCAAAGTATCGTTCGCACGAACAACCAATGCCGGCGGTAGCTTAACTAATTCCTGGCCAACCATTACCCCCGGGGGGAACAAAGGCATTATAACGGAGGAAAGGTACTCGTACGCCAACAAATTTGACTCTGATGAAGGAAGGCATTTTCGAAGGCGGAGTAAAAGATGACTATAGTCTGTAACAGCAGAGGTAGTAGTCGAGGCATTGGTGCCATTGGCTTTGGTGGTACCATTCACCCTGCTGATATCTACATCTGTATCGACCACCGACGGCGGAGGAGTGGACCCAGAGTATTTTTCGATAGCGGTTGGGGGCGGGGTTAGTTGCTCATCAGGTAATGAGATACGCCAAATGACCTTTTTCGGCAGAGTCAGTGACCTCGTTTGCAAGCTTCCAACGATATGATCGAACTTACATTAGCTGCGCCTTCGGCGACGTATTTCAAGGTAAGCCCGTCAGGAAGGACGGGGACTGATGGTTCGACATGTGATCCTGTCGCCTGAATGGTAGACATCTTGACAACGACGTCTCGAAGATGACTCGCTGAAGTTTTTTCATCTACGTATATTTAAAGGGTTGAACAGCGACGAGGATTCTGGACAGGAATTTCGTCGTCGCCCTGGCAAATAGGTTGGTCGGGTCGGTTGCGTTCGTTCGAGTTTCTTACCCGTTGCGGCGGCAGGTGGCAGGCGGAGTGGAGGTTGTTGGGTCGGGTCAGTCGTCACGGAAATCGAAAGGCAGAGCTGGAATAAGCACAGAAGGTGGTCCAACGACCGGTTGAATGGATTGAGGGGACTTGGACGACATGGCGATGCCTGCCGGGCAAGGCCTCATTATATACTTCGAGCAGGTAGGTAGGTACTTAGGTAAGTAACAGGTAAGTATGTACCTAGGCACGGAGTACTTTAGGTACTTAGTTAACCCCCCGAAGTCGAAAAAGCACGAAGGGTCAACGTAATCGTGAGCGGGATGCGAGTAAAAAATGCTGGAGCAATTTAGCGCGGTCAAAATCGATGAGCTCAGCCTGCATCCCGCCCTTTCTACATCCTCTTCCGTCTGTCGGCGTTCCCATTCGTCCCAGCACGAAGGAATCAAGCTTTTCTTTGCCTCTCCGCGGTCAAGAGGCATGCCTTTCTAGCTCCTCAGCCCCACCTGGTCTGCCTCGGTCTGTGCTGAGCCGATTGGTAGTTTTTTTGGATTGGGTTATCGATATGCGCTCGAGTTCATGGCACTGCATTGCTCTTTGGAACTCGAGCTCTTCAAGTGATAAATTACTTCTTAAGGGCTTGAGTAGTGTGCGTTTAAGAAACAGATCCCCAGGTATAAGTCCTTCATTATAATATAATATGTGACCAGCTAGTGAAGAGTTCGGATCTCTTGCCGGCGCGGCGAACAGAGCCTGACCAGGACTGTGACTAGGTTGTATGTTATAGTGGGACCAGATCTGTATAATGCATGTCCGCAGCTGCAAGCTGATGTGAATCAAGCCAACCCCCTCCAGATCAAAGACTGCAAGCCCAAGATAGCAAGATAGATAGCTATGCTATCATAACGTGATTTAGGCTTTGTCGTCTTGCGGCCGGATTTAACTTCATTTTGGAAATGGCCGGTACAAGGCAAACAGGGCTGTGCTTGAGGTTGAATCCTTCGTTGCCTTAGGAGGGTGGAAGAGGGAAAAAAAAAAAACGTTCCCTGCAGATACCCCAGAGACATAGAATCATATGTAAGAGGTACCTATTACTTAAGTAAGTCCATATCTGGGAGTCGGGGCTGCATAGCTTAGATCTAGACTGAACCGGGTTGGTTGCAGCTTCTCTTGAAAGTCCTTTTTATACCACATGCTGACTTCAACCAGGTTATTAATACAAAATGGATTTGACATTCCTAGGCATAGCTTCCTTTGTCGATATCAAATCTGAGGTCAGGAGCGAATGAACACACTACCTGACAATCTGTCAGTCTGACAGGCTGATATCCGATATCATGATGCCTCTTACCCGTTCCCATCCCCGGTTCGCCATTGGATTGCACCCGGCCTGGGCTAGGAAGTAGTTCTCATAGCCGGTACCCCAATTCAGTGGTGGTCACACCACTACAGATATTTTCGTCGAAGCAGCATATTACACAATCTTACATATGCTCATAGCTATAGGCGCTTATCTTGGTAAAATTTTATTCACTGCCTTTCCCCTCTGTTAGCAGTTTGGCTTGCGTCTTGGCCTGGCTTGCAGCTGCAAAGTGCTCGGTACTCAAGAGCCGAAAGACTCTAAATTCCATTATAGGCAATATCTCCACATCTGGTATGCATGTGCTTACGTATGCAAGCGAACTTGGACCTAGTACTGCAGCTGTAGAGAAGCCCGAGCTGCAATATATCAATCATAAACTTACATGAGCCAGGTGGGTGGCTGGCGAGCCAGCAGTTCGATCGCGATATTCGGTTACAGTTGATACCAATAATTGGTATTACAACTACCCATCGGTATGTCGTCACGTACTGACTTGCTGAAGTACTTGAGAGGTACCTAAGTAAGTAAGTACTTGGGTATCTACTAATATGGTGGAGGCCCAGTAAGAGGTACTTTATACATTTAGATTGTTTCTTTCTTCTCCTCTTTTCTTCGTATTCAATCAATTTGGGAAAAAAATCAAAGTACAAAATAATTGCGCTGCCCATGGCCATATCACACATGGACATATGGGCAGTAGATTGGCGAGAAGAACACCCACAACACATCCCTAAGTATTGAGACTGAGGTCGGAGTCAGTCTTCAAGAGAATCCCAAGAAGAATACAAATGGACTATCCTTCGCAGAGAGGTGAATGATAGTGGTTATCCCTGGGACCGAGTGATCCCGAGACATAATACTGTTTGGGGGGTATACCGTGGAACATTTCCGTACGATAAAGAAAATAGTCTAGTACACCATCAACCTTGATTCTTTGATTCTTTGATTCTTATGACACCATACATAGCTGTGCTTCGACCACATACGACCACAAAGTATATTTATTTGCATATAAAATTTGTGCCACGGTTATAATTATGAATTTGAATTTGAACTTGAACTTGTTTGGCCGCCCGTGGTGGTACCCGAACCTAACTGCTATACAAAATATATACGTCCAACTGCTATCGATCTAGAACTACAATAGCAAGCCGGTAAACCAGTCGTAAACCTGTATATAAGCAAGCATGCTTGATGTTTGGATTTCATTCATCTTCATCGGTATTTGATGTATGGTTGGTTGGTTTAGCATTTTCTAGAAAACCTTGGCAAAAGTAACACTTTTTTTGGTATGTCCGACGGATTTCCCAAGTTTGATTAGACCTCCTTTGCACGACTGGGCATTTGGATTTTTTTTTTTTGAACAGAAAAAACTTTCGTTCCTTTTGTTCGATCTGAAGGCGGTAGGCCAGTTTTGTCGGTGCTGCAGCCACACTGGGGTTTGATTGGGCAAGGAGTACACGAAATTGGTGTAATTTTTCGGTATCTTAACTCTCCGTGATCCAAAGCTCCGGTGAGTGTTCGAATTGCCGAAGACTAAATTCCCAAAAGGAGCGAGAGAGGGAAGAAAGAAAGAAAAGAAAGAAAAGAAAGAAAAGAAAGAAAAGAAGGAAGGAAGGAAGGAAAGAGAGAGAAATCAGAATCAGAATCAAATCGGGCTGTTGTAGACGAGCACTTTTTTTTTACTATCGATCTCTGTCAATCAAACATGCAAGTGCTGCGCATATATACGTATACGTACTAACTAGGACTACTTGGTTCTTGATGATGCATGGATGTTTTGAACTGACGTCGATCGATACATCAACCGTCCGAATAGGCCCCTGACGCTTCCCAGAATGACATTCTCGGAGCACAAAAATGGAGACATCCTGAGACCGCATGCGCAGCACATGCACATGTACATGTACTCCATATACATGACCTGATCCGACCCAATCCCCAATACATACATACACAGTAGGTAACTCTGGACAGACACGGAATAGTCAGGTAAACGTCAGTATGTACTTAGTATGTACTATGCCCCTGTGGCCCCCCCCTTCGACCCCGGCATTAGCCAAATTTCTTCAAGTCTTGGCGGACACGGGCCTGTACCTGCTTTCCAGTGGCAGTGGCTATCGGCCAATGGAGCCTGTGGATATTCGCTCTTGCCTCCCCTAACCAAACCGATTTGGTTTCATTTCTGGGCACCAGTTCTTCCATGCTTCGCTCGTTCAAATCCTTTTTAACCCCCCAAACGTTACAGAGGTTCCGTTCACTTCCTCTCCTCTTCCCCCATCTATTTTGTTTTGTAGCTCTGAGGTCGTTCTTCTCGCCTCCTTCTTCGACCCTCGTTCACAGTCTTTCTTTCCGACTTCTTCGTCCTTCGTTAGTATACTACTTTGTTTAATCAGAACTCCGACTACTACATACTTCCAACAATTCAGATCCATCGCCATTTTCATCCTTCTAAGTGTAAGTCAAAAATAAAATAAAATAAAATAAATAAAAAAGAAGTCTGCCTGTCTACTTTACTTTCTTGCCTCATCCACCTGTCCTCCAGCAAGGGTTACACATCTCTTCGCCTCTGCAATTCCATTCGATCTATCTCTTCCTTCATGACACTTTCGTTCTCCCGGTCGATGGGGTTCAGTGGTTTCTTCGACAACACGCAGGTTTTGGCGCGTGTCGATTCCTATGGTCGTCGGCACGAGGCGTTTGTTTAGGGGGAAACTAAGGAAACTTGGGAATCAACCAACCTTGACGGCCTGCGATGGGAATAGTGGTAGTGGCAATGGCAAAAAAAACCAAGCGTCATGGGTTCCGAAACGCGATCCTTTTTTTTCTCTTTTCCCTCACTCCGATGTGATGTTGTCGAAGACAAATATTGCTATTTTGGCCCTGCTCGTTTAACGTTTTTGTCCTGGTGTCTTTTGGATCGAGGTTTTGAATCTTGACAATGGGCAACGGGGTGATCGCCTAGCGTCGTGTTGGTGCTTTCCATGTCGCAACGCGCAACCACCGTTCTGGTCAATCGGTTCTGCTGGGAGACTCCGTTGCCCCGTCGACGTTATCATTCCGCTCTTTATATTCGACGCTTTGTTTCTTTGTTTCTTTTTTTCTTTCTTTCTCTCTCGCTCTTCCCTCGCATGCTACTAATTCCTTTTTTTTGTTTTGTTTTTGTCTTTGTCTCTTGTCTTGTTCGTCCCTTCTCCCTCCCCCTCCTCCCCTCTCCTCTGCTGCCCGGTGTTCATCCTCCCTCTCGGCCTCCCAGCGTTAGTCTTATAAGCTTCACATGTTTCCTCCCCTTTACATAAACCGAAGTCCAAACGTCCCACTAACATTGCCTTGCACTAGATTTAATAATAATATCAAAAAATGTTGGGAAAGCTTCTAATTACCTCACTCGCCGTTGTTGGCGCGGCCAATGGTAAGTCAACTATTATACACATCGCTCGCGACAATCGGACGTCTGCTGACATTTATATACAGCCCAACGTAATCCGTGCAGTGCCACATCCACAACTGTCGAGTCTCAAGCCGATCTCGATGCCCTCCAATCCTGCACCACTCTTGCAGGTGACTTGGTTCTTGGAACCAATCTTGTCATCGCCTCCATCAACGGTATTAGAACTATCAGGGGTGACTTGATTGCCGCCAACTGTGTCGACCTCCAGCAGCTCACCGCTCCGGAGCTTTCGTCCATCGAGGGCAAGTTCAACATGACTTCGTTGACCGTTCTCAACCAGCTCAACTTCAACTCTCTGCGCAGTGTTGGAGAGATCTACTGGCAGACCCTCCCGGCCCTTAGCACTTTGGGATTGGCCGCACAGGTTACCCAGGCTTCTAGAGTCACTATCACCGATACCATCCTTGAATCCCTTAATGGCATTAATCTTGTCACCACGCAGCGATTCAACATCAACAATAACAGGTACCTTAAGGAGGTCACAGTCCAGCTCGCCAACATCACAGACAGCTTGGCAATCGAGTTCAATAGCCCTTCAGTCGCTGCTAGCTTCCCTAACCTCACATGGGCCAACAATGCCACATTCAGATCTTGCGGTAGCGTCCAGCTTCCCTCCCTTGCCATTGTCAATGGCTCTCTGGGATTCTTCGAGAACACGTTTAAATCCTTGTCGACGCCTAAGCTGACCGAAGTCGGCACTGGCACCCAAGGTGGTGACATAACATTCGCCAACAACGATGCTCTTGTAAATGTCAGCATGCCAGAGCTGAAGACCATCTACGGAACTCTCCAATTCGTCAATGACTCCAACGTTAATGAAATTACTGGTTTCCCTAAGTTGTCGGTTGTCCATGGCTCCATCGATATCAGCGGTGACTTCGAGAAGTAAGATACCCTGGATCCGCTTTATGATAGGCCGACGTTGTGCAATGTATCCGTTTACTAACACCATCTATTAGTGCTACCTTCCCATCTATCAGAGATATCCGTGGTGGGTTCAACCTACAAACCACTGCCGAGTTTGATTGCTCCGAGGAATTCGAAAGATTTGAGGGCAGCATCGTCAAAGGAAAGTACGTCTGCGAGGGTGTTGTCACAAACCCAGGCACTGAGGGTACTGACCCAACTAAGAACGGAGGAAGCGGTAACGGAGACAAGAAGAACTCTGCCGGAAAGTTCACCGTCAACAAGTCCTTCGCTGCTCTTCCAGCCCTTGCTCTTTTTGCTGCTTTCGTCCTGTAAATACAACGCATTTGCATTCTTGTTTTCCCTCCCTATGCCATGTGTTTTTATTTTGAATTATGGGATTATCTCGTTGTCCTCGCTCTTACGGTCGAAGGTTGCAGGTACTCGCGTGGTCTTTTTGTACCCCCTTCTCTTTCCTTAAATACTTCCATGACAGATAGAATCCTTTGAATAATGGCTGTTGGTTTCCTCAACCTGGATCGCAAATCGCCCCTCGGTAGTATACCATTTGCGACGTCCCGTTTTTAATTCAAAAGCTTTACATGTATGCATCGTTTTTTTATTTTTGCATACAACGACTCTTTTTAACATTCGCAACAGCACATAATGAAACCCGGCCTCCTTATACCACCTTCATTGCTCCACTATATTTCGCTCTTTATGGTTTATGTACATTGTTTTACTCTTTTTTCTGTTCCTGCTCCCGGGGTTTCCTTCAGTACATCAAATGCTTAATTTGCTGTTGCTTTGCTTTAATGTTGGCCGGGTTTTCTTTCTTCTGCTCTTACTATTTTAGTTAATTATATCGCCCTTATACTTTTCAATTTAATCAAGTATCTACTACCGGTCAGACCTACATGCAACCCGTTTAGTCCAAAAGATATCAAAGGTTGTTTTTCCCGCCACGGATATATCTGACCCTGTCGGACAATTTTTGTGCGACCTGATAATTAATGTTGATAGCAACGATTACCAACCTAGGCCATAGCCATCCGGAGTGGAATCGACGTTTTCCCGCCTGACCATCTGCACATTCATGTAAATGTGTGGCGGGATGGACAATACGCTGATTCGAGGACGGCCAACAAGTAAAGATCACGGTACACGTACGTAGATCGATATCAAAACCAGCTGGAGGTCTCGGAGTAATACCAAAGGAACGCAATGTGCGCCGCTCTTGCACATGTGCGGCAAACAGCCATCAACCCAGCCTTTCGTAGCATTATCACATTCCATATCAGACACCCACGATTGCGCAATGATGGCAACTTCTTCTAATGCACCTCAAACCTTGCGAGATGGCGGCGAAGACATCTCCCACCCACGCGGTGCCAGAAATTCCAGAGGAGCGAACACCTGAGCTTTATGTTTCGTAACGCTTTGGATTTCACGACTCGAATGCTTCGTTTCCCGGTCTGGCCTCCGCCAAGCGCCTATCAATATCGGAACCGCTAGGCCAACCACCACTTCCCTAAAGAGAGAGCGAAAATATGTAGCCGGATCTCTTTCCCCATGCCGCTTCGTTTCCAATACGGTTGCTCTTAAATTTTGTTCGTCCGAGCGGATGAAATTGCTAGACAATATCGCGGGACGGCCCAGGCAGCCGGAACCCTTACCCCCCCCCCCCCCGAAAAGGGTATATACTTTCCATCGATACGTGTTTGAAACTAAATTCCAAGGCACGGAGAGGTTGGTGGTCTAGACATCGTCTTCAACACGTCTGTATTCCTTAAACCTGGCCCTGAATGCCGAAATCCCCAAATTCGAAGCCAGCGTGATATCAATGCACGTACGGAATCTGACACCTCCTAAGCTACAGATGGGACGCACGATCTGGTGTCACACCAGAACCGGAGCATATGCTAAAAAGCGAGCAAGCCGTGGGAAGGGGAAAAGAGACATCCATTCAAATGCAACACGCCCGCGCCACTACAAAATTTGTTGATGGTGCTACCCGAAGAAGCTCATGCGCCCACGAACATGTAATATCATCGGTCTCAGTGCGGGGAGCATGCCAATTTGCATTTTGACGTGCTTGCATGGAGGTGACTGTTATGTTTTATCCAATTTGGGGACAATTAATTATTGTGGTTTGACAATACCATATTCCGATTACATGCATCTCAAGGAGGCATCCGACATGCAACAGGCAGAGATGAACTTATTTTACATCTCAGTTTCCGCAAGTTATGCAAATCTGGACTTCTATCTTACTTCCTTGGACATAAAGGAGTACAGCAATTCACGTCCTTGTTGACATCGAGTTTGTCTAGTCTGCGATGCGAACGCCTTGCATAAGAGCTTCTGCTCAGGAAGCAAGGGGGGTGACCTGTCGGTGGATACTTCCGCTACCAGCAACCACAGCAGGTCCATGGTGCCGTTGCTCGTCAATCTTACATATCTCCCTGGGCAAATCTATCAGGTTGGTTGCACTTGGTCGAGCTCTCATCTGTGCTCCCTGGGTCCCGAAGATCGCAGCTCTTAACTTAACTTAACTTGCAAGTGGTACTCCTGCAGGAACTTTATTGATGCCCTCTCACCGGACTCACTTCTTGATTTCTTTTTCCTCTGAGCGTTATTGTTCAACCTACATTATTCACGCCCCTCTCTCTCCTCCATCTCCGGCCTTTGCGCAATGGAAAATGCGGGAAGGGCTTATGATGAGAGTCATCTAGAATGGTTATTATTTTGCCCGTTAATTGATATTACTTTTTTGGCGATATCAGAACAGAGTGCTGGTGCCTGATTCACCCGCCATCACGCCCAAGGTGATAAAACAATGGCGGTCTGCATCATCTCTGGCAGACCCATTCTAGATTCACGAGCAATCGGGGCATTCTACATCTTTTTTTTTTTATATTTTATTTTTCTAGTTTTTTCCCTTCCCTTTCTCAGTAGGTATTCCGTCAACTCATCTTGTCGGCGTGTTTTATCTGGACATATTTTTGCACATACCATTCTTTAGCCACCTCAGACCTCAGACGAGCCCTACCACCCACCTAATCAGACCCCCCCAAAGGGCTGGCGGCATATACGTGGCTCGCCTTCTGGGTTTTGAGTACATACACACCTACAAACAAGATAATATAAAATATACTCCCCGGCACATTTTCTTGTTGGCCATCAAACCCATTCCTCTTAATCTCCGCAGTGCTACTTCCCAAACGAAGAATTCGCTGGTCGAACTTATTAATTACATCAAAGCTCAGACTTTTATCATCATGACATTCCAACAGGAGTCCAACGCAAGCTTCATGCTCCCGTAAGTTATATTACTTCAAGCTAATGCTAGTGCTAACGGCAAATTTCAGTTCGCTAATACATGTTGGTGCCATAGACCTTGCAAGGATATCATCAGAGAAGCAGCGGCAGGCAGTTTATGCGACATCTTTAATGGTCAGGAGCAAAAGGACTCCATCTCTCCTTCTGTCGAGAGTAGCCCTGACCAAGCTTATCGGGCCATGGCAAACCAGGAACAAGCCCGTGGAGAATACTCGAGGCCGCAATCATCCTATGCCCATAGCATCAGTAATTCATCAAGCTCACCGGTATCGATGGTATCTCCCAAGATGTCATCGTTCTCGAGATTTGTTGCGAAGAGGAGAGATTGTTCTGCTGCTCAGTATCATCCCTACAAGAAAGACAACTGTGCATACTCAATCAACCACAACGGATTACCGTTGCCGGCATTGAAGACATCTTTCGATCAAAGGGCCGTAGTGGGCGCTCCTCGCTCGCCACCAAACACGAGGAAAAGCTCATTTGCCGCCTCCGATTCTTCTTCATCTTTTGGCCGGGCGGGGTTTGTCTTTGGCGAAGAGGATATCGTAACCACGCCTCTCACGCCTCTCACGCAGCATTCAGATGAGACACACACCATTAAGGAAGAAACCATGATGTTTGACTCTTCATTAGTCCAGCGTTATCAACAAACCCAAGAAAATATGAAAGGCAGTAGACAATCTGCCGAATTAGCAAAGGCTGCCCGCCGAAGAAAGGCACATTTACAGTCAGAACAACGAAGGAGGGAGCATATCAAAGACGGCATGGATCGACTCGTCCAAATCGTCCCGGCATGTCAAGAAAGCCGCGACACTAAAGGAATATCAAAGGCCGCAATCCTAAAACATGCTTACGAGTACATCTACCATCTTCGCGCTGAGCTTCAAGGGTACAAGCAGATGAATCAGAACAAAGATCGAGAGATTGCAGAGCTACGCAGACGTTTAGGTCACCCTCACACCGTTCCACCAGCACATTGGAGATAGATCTTGAAACTGGCGCCGGACGCCTTGCTCTCCTTCTCTCTCTACGTTTTAAGTTCTCGGGCCCATTTAGTATCCTTTGGTGGAATTCTTATTTCATTTGTCTATTTGTTATCTGGTGGAATTCTTTTTTTCGGTGTCATATTGGTGGATACTAAATTTTCTAAATTTCCCAAATTTCCTTCCAAACTTCTTTCTTTATTTCCTTTGATTTTTTTTTTTAATTTTGGCGTTGGCGGTGTTAAAAACTTTCTGTCCCTTCGTATTTAATCTTGTCTAAGTCTTTAATTTCCACTTGCAAGTGTTTACAAATAGCTTGGTTTGGCTTGTTTCCCTACAATATTAATGCCCATCCGGTATGCATTGTAATGTCTGCCGACTGCTGTCTATATCATTCATAATCGTCTTTGCATGGTTCAGCAATTCTACCTACCAATCCTAATATCTGGTGCCTTTCCCTCGCTTTTCTTTCATATATTTGTCACAAGCCCCCCCTTCGGACTAAAGGCGGAGACATGAAAGTCTGGATCATAACCCAAACTCCCATTTCCTATGTACAGTTGCAGGGCAACTATCAATTTTCTTTTCAGTACAGTATTTTGATCCATTCGCCCAAACGCAAACTCCCTGCATAAATGTACGTACATACAAGTCCATGAATCATCCCACCCTCGAGATCCATTCAGGGAAAGAAAAAATAAAATATAATTGAGTACTTGGCCACCTACATTCCTCAGCCTCTTTTGTGGAAAGAAGGCCCTCTAGGCATCCACTTTCCCCCCTTCCTTTCTCCAATTATGCGCACATCATGACTTATGTGTGCACAATATTTCCTTTCCTCTGTTCTGTCTCATCTGCACTGTTCACGTGAATGACATGAATTCTTTTGCTTCGAAAGTTTTGTCCATCAACTACATTCTCCAGAAGTTTCCTTGATTCCAGACAGATCATATATCTATTTGAACTAAACAGGTTATTTAGGTCGGCGGGAAGGTTTGGCCACCTGGTAGGAAAGCCCTTACAGTGCTATGATAGATATTATTGTTGAAGAAGGCATTAGTGGTGAGAGGTTGGGAGTGTAGCCTAGTCATCCCATTCATGATCAGTTTATATCCTCTTGGCTCCAAGAAAGTCCTCGGGACTATCTGCCGTTGATGAGTTATCTATTTGGTAACGGTTCCTTGTTTTCTTATTTATCCCTTCAAATCCCTTGACAAAAGGATAAGTATCTAGGTTAGTCTCGTTCCCAGACGTCACAAAAGGAGACCTGGGTAAGAGGTATTACTTTAGGATTTCGACAATAGCTTAGCTCTCTTCGAGGGACTAATGTTCTAAGTTACAATACTTAAAGCTTCCGCACGCCCCGTTCTTGACGGGATTGGTCCTGATCTGCAGTAGAGGGTGGTCTTTACTTTGCCTTCCGAGAAATTTAGCGGTGATAATATAACCCGTAGCTTCGAATCCACGGAAACCTTTTCTTCCGCTACACTTAAACTAAGCAATTACTAGTGCGACAATACATCTTGCTAATATACTAAAGTTGGCATACACCCGACTTCGTTGTATATACATACGTGTATGGAAAAAACTCGGATGGGAATAGAATACTATTCAACAGCCCGTAGGGCAGTAGCAGAGTACTTTCATGTTGCAATTCTAAGTTAACAGTCGTCTAACATCTGAGGTTTACCGTATTGAGTAGTCACATAGGTAAAAATTTATCCCGTGCCACGATATCTCCTTCCATGCTTGACTTTATCTTAGATTTCATGTTTGACTTCTGATTCCAATAAAGACAACCTACGTGGGTAATTACTCGGTAGTTACTCGGATTCAAGGGTCTATGTTTACCCCTCATGATGCGGGGACTGGCGAGTACGAGTACGGAACAGGCCATAGCAGGTCTAGATTCCTGCCCGAAACATTCCCAACTGCAAGTTGATCATTCGTGCATGACTGCAAATGTCATGCTTTGAAGTTTGTGCCATCCCGTTGGCCGAAGGTAGGGGGAGGGGCCTACATAGTTTGCGAGGTTCAAATCCTCGTGCTCTTAACTAAAATGTTACACTCGCTTCAAGGGGGATGCAGTGATTTTGTGATGCATCGATGGCAAGGGGGGAGGGGTATACGGGTCCAGCTAGTGAATACTATTTGGAAGGACGGTGGGCTCAGCTGAACAGCAAAGAATATAGGACATGCATAAACTCCATGTCTCGATCGATCATAGGTGTGGGCCAACGAATACCATTTTGCCACGGTGCATGGGTAGGAAAATCTTGATCATCGACAATCTACGCAATGCAGGTGACTCGACTGGAGGGGAAGGGGAAAAAAAAAGAAAGAGAGAGAAAGAAAGAAAGTTAACGGCTGTGTAGGGAAAAATATTCTAGATAAACACTCCTTCCTGCGAATCTTGTACGACCAGGTGGATAAAGCGCCGGCCCTAATTTCCAGGTTACGGAAATGACCTGCAAATATGAAATAGTCTTCTGCCCAGTACGCCCGTGTGTAACAGCGGCTTATGATCAGAAATGATACTGACGTCCTCACAACAGTATACAGGGTTTGTTTTATTTTTATTCTTATTTTGTTTGATCTTATTTTATTTTCTTTCCCTCCTTGTGCAGTTGCGGGTACATTAAGCTTTTTTAGTGTGCCGTCCACAGAATTTGGTTAGCGGAGATAAGATGACTTTCGTAAGGTAAATAAATGGTTAGACCTATATAAGTACCCATGGAGGCGTGTTACCACTGCCGAGTTCATTTGACTTGTGGCTGAGTGTATGAAGTCTCAATTCCTCATTGATACAGGATATAAAGTTTTCCCTGGAATCAAGAAAGAGACATAGGGCAGCTGATGGACCCCTCGATTGGATTATGATCTGATCTTGAAATTACCATCAAGGTATATCCGACGGTTTGGGATTACGCCGATTGTACATGCAAATTGCTGGTTCCTCCTCGGCTGCGCACCTATCTGATGACTAGTCTAGCTCCAGAATTCGAATACTTCATAACGGGGTTAGGGGACAACATACAGTTATAGGGGCTTACCTACAGTATTCAGTATACATGTGTCTTAGATACCTATATTATGAAAAGTATAGGTAATTGGGCATATACCTAATTACTTACTTAAGTCAGTATTTTAAATTAATATATATGCGTATATGCCAGCTGCAGCGTTGATATATCGATATCGATATATCATAGGCCTCGTCAGAATACAACAATCGTATTGGGCTGTCTGCGTTGCCAACCAGGTTAAAGGTTAGCGAGGATTGGCTGAGACCAAACTCGGACCCAGGCATCTGGTGGCTGGCGGAAAAAAAAAAAAAAAAAGGGCTCGATGCAAGAGTAGGTGCACCTATCTCAGCCGATGATCAGCGTCAACAGAAAATCCAGGGCGTTTCTTTCATTTTAATAAAGTTGTGAGGTGTGAGGTGTTAGAGAGAGTCGTCATCAGAATCAGACAACTGTATAATATTACTATTGAGTCGGAACAGCCATATATGCATATCTGCATAGCACCCGAGGTAATTAAATTCTGGTTTTCCGCCGAATCTTCATTTTCCTGTCGGAGTTACATGATCGCTCAAAGCTAAGAACTTAGTTTAAGGTTATATTTTACGTCCCAACTAAGAAAAAGGGAAAGTCTTCTAGTAGAAGGAATGTCGCAAAATCGTTTTTCACCGAGGGTAGGTTGGAAATCCAGCATCACACGTGGCCGTGGGTCGCGTGTGCTGGATATTATCGCTGAAAATGGAACATACGAAATAGGCATTTACAATGCCACTGGCAGCTTTCACGATGGCCGGATTGCTATTTGTGTACACTCGTAGCTCTATACGGATGGCGAGACAGAACGCTCAGAGGGAGCGGGAAGCATTAAGTGAGTAGTTACGTCAAAGGCCATCAATTCACGGTATTGACCACGGATACACGAAGGAGCACGGAGGAGTGAATCCGATGTATTGGAAAGGACGGAGGAGAAATGAGCTCCTAATCATCAAATATACACATGAGTACACAATTAATCAAGTAGGTACTTAGTATAAGGTATATAGGGGGGGGCGGGGGGACAGTTAACATGTGTTTATCCGTTGACAGATTTGGATGCTACGGCAATAATGTAAATAATATGGTAGCAACTAATTGGTCTACGTTGCTTGCGGTATGCATCGACGTTCGAGACAAAGGTTGAAAGGTATGTGTTTTAGTGCCGCTAGGCGATAAGGATGCCAATGGGGGAGTTCTTTATAAAAACAAGCTGTTTTATCGATAGACTGTACAAATATCGAATGGAGGGTTGGATTTTATACAAAAAAGGTATGACGTAGGACCAAAGTCCGTGTTCCCTCGCTCCTACTTCCTGGTCAAGGCGTCGAACATCTTACGTTCGGTTTCTTCCTTCTCTATTTCTTCGATATAGGGGGACAGGTAGGGTACATCCTTTGGATTGTGTGAGTATGTATCAACACTAGCATTTGTTACTTCTGACGGGGACATACCTCTTCGGCCTTGATCCACTCTTCCTTGGGCAGTAGAGTATGGGTAACAGAGCACTACGTAGAGTCAGTAATGTTAGCCGGTAATCCGTTTGTGCAATATATACATCGTTAGGGCTCATCGAATCCTTGGAATGGGAGGAAGGTTTATCGGATCTTTACCTGGAGAGCTCGCCGTATTCTGAAGGCACGGTCATAGGCGAGTCTTGGAGGCAATCGCTTCAATGCTAGCTGGACGGTATGCGATTCCTCACGGAGGAGGTCCTCATACCTAAGTACATAGACATTTCGTTAGTTAGAACAGTTTCAGACTACATCCTTCAAGAGCGGGTTTCTTCCATACATGAGCCCGACTTTCCGATATCCGGCGAGGTCGCAATACCGGTCGGCAATTGGTTTGATAAAGTTGAAAAGCTTTGGACGGGCGATGATGTAATTGGTGATTTTCTTTACGGCGGCCATTGTGGCGAGGGAGCTGGCAGAAGCCGGTGAGGGGCTGTCGGTCTGCGAAGGGGGGATATGAGAGACGAGGTCTGGTGGAGTGTGGTTGACTTGTTGCGGGTGAACGGCGTCTGAGGTTTCCCTGTATGTTATAAAAGAGGTTTCTGTTTTTGGTGTCAAAATGTACGCAGAAATTAAGCGTCGTCTGATTGGTACGGGCATGGCTGACGATTATGTAATCAGAATGCCATGCCATTGCATTATATAAAACAAAACACATGTTAACGTTCTAACTTGCCATTCAAGCACGCTTCATCGGGTACGTAACTAAGTACTTAGTACCTAAGTGCTAGTACTATTATCTACCTAATACCTAAGTACTTATATATACTTACTTAAGTACTCCTTATATACCTTTATAAGTGCTTTATATATCATGTACTTCCTACCTACTGTATAAGAATAATATAATATGTATATACATGCATATACATGCTAATTCACAAAATATACTGCTTAAGCTTCCCACCACGCATATGCATAATAGCAGCATAATGCATCTGTAAGGCAGAGGTCGCTATAGAAGCCATGTAAAGCAGATAGCAACTACTAGCACTATAGCTGGGGCCCACTACTTATGTTTCGAATTAGGTGCGGGACCCGACCTAACCCAGCAAGGATCTCAACCCTATAGAGTAGGGCGTAAGTTGTAGCGCTGGCGGCGAGAGAAACAGCTAGCCAAAGCGACCAAGTTAATTTGCCTTCGAGCTCCTAGCTTGTTAGAAAGAATTGGCTCCTACGTTGTCTCTGGTCTGGCCACAGGCGTGCGGCGCGACATTGGTGTATCCTAGTACTCACATTGACATTCATCCAAAAAACTGCGGCTATCAGGCCTAGCAGAGTAAAGAAGAATGCTAGTTGTGTCAATTTTAAGACTAACTCAGCCTCAGCGATAGCGCGCTGACTTCTGACAATGCTCATACTCGACATGAGTGCTTGAAAAACGCCCCCGCCGTGCCTGTTTACACGATCAACGGCTGAGGAGAGTGTGAGTAGGCGTGCAGAAGCTGCGTCTTGTTTATCTTTAAAAATGCTATTGCTAGCTGGGGTTAAAGGCTGGTTGTAAGCATTGCTACTCATCGTCTTCGGGGCTGTTGTTAACATTCCCAGACATTCGGACAGATGATGTAGGAGTTCGCTTTGTTCAAAACTGGTATTAAGGCAGCAACCTAATTGAGCTCTCCACAAAGGGAGAGACTCTTGTAAAATGTGATTGTCATGTAGCGCAAGCTCAATTGTACTAAATGTAGAGTTCATTTTTTTAAGTAATTGCGTTATATCGTCGCACACTAGTTGTATGAGCGCTATGTAAACGAGGCCATAGGAGTTACCGGGTGTAGGATTTCCTATGTATCTTCGCAAGGTAGAGATAAACCTGTCAGAAACAGGTGGCTGTTCGTTGAGAAGAGTCTGCTCGCGGTTGGTTTGGTAGCTGCTACTGTTAGGACTTGGCTCTTGACCCGAAGGATTAAGAAAGCACTGTGTCTGATGTTCGTCAAAATCAACCCCGCCGTACCAGAAGTTGAAAGTTATGTCAAAGATATGGTGGTGGCGGATTGGATCAACCAGCAAGATACCTAGGCACAGTTTTGACATTAGGTCCTAGGATCCGAGACCGATTCATGATAAGTATCGATATTGATATATTTTGGACATATATACTTACCAGTAAACACTCCTCCCATATCTTCTGAATAGAAAGATACGCACTCCTTGATGGCATGGTAAAAAACCGTACCATCCGAATAAGAAGATACCATACCATATTTGCGGTAGGGACGGCCCGGCCATTGGTAATATCTCTTATGGTCTAAGTTTCGAAGCAGGGGATCTCCGATAGCACCAATATCATAAGGCTTGCTTGCTAGTATCCGTTTCCCGATCTCGTATTGCTCTTTGTCTTGTGATACCAACCTCCCCCAGTTAAAAAAGAAGATACCTGTGTTCTCTCGGTGTAGAAGACGTTCTAGGCCCTCGTCGCCATCGAAATGAGCTTGGAGGAAGCGGGGCCACAGTGACGGGTTTAATCGAATCCACGGTGCTAACCGGTCTTGCGGGTCCTCACACCTGCGACAACAAAGATCCGGGCAGCTATCTGAGGGGAACTCGATTGGCCATGTGTTAGGTTTGGGAATGTTGAGTAGAATGTGCGAATTGAACCGGTGTCTGTGATCTCGACCATACATATGCTACATGACAAGATCAGACAGATATTTAAATTTTCTATCCACGCCAATATTATTTTAATTCCATGGAGGCCCGGATAATTTTCGATAACGTACATACCAAGGAATATATCCAATTACCTGCCTATTACACAGCATCTCGCGTCTTTGTGGTCGCTATGACTAGCTAATATTGATAACTGTCCAGTTTCGACTCAGCTCCTAGAAGCGCTCGGTAGGTATTGGCAGACAATATAAGGTTAGGCGCTGTTCTTGGGACTGGATCCTAGAATCCGGTATCCAAGGATCCATATCCAAGGATCCATATCTACTACGTAAGGATCCATATCTAAGGATCCGGTGTAGAGCTGATCTGTGGGTTGCAATTGGATTTCGGCTTTTGCATTGCATAAAACAGCTGGCGCTTTGAATCGAAAGGATGGTTAACAAGTAAGTAAGTTATAAATTATTAGGTAAATTGGAGTGTATTATATTGCACTGCCTTCACGTGGTACATACAAGCACACCTACAAAATAAAGTATAACTGCTTGCTTAAGTACTTATTTACATGTAGTAAGTACCCAGGTATATAAGACTACCGCCTCGAGTTCCTAGTCTGGAGATAGTCTGGTGGAACTATTCCAGGGGGCTAACTAGTCCAGTATTGGCCCGGAGGCAAGACTGGTGAGAGCAAGGCAGAGGTGTGCGTCCCCCAGACTATGGTGAGAGTACTTCAGTAGTACTTAAGTAAGTGCCTAGCCTATCTTAGGTACTATACTCCAGGCCAGCAGTGGTTATAATCTACTCTCAAATTATCAACCCTTCCTCCCAGCCCAAGTTTTCCCCCTTCACATCAGCTCGCAATGCTCTCTAGCAACAATACATTAGCCGTAGATTATAGCAAAGGCATATCTTCAGATGATATCTATGTCATCTTGCATGATTCCTACTGTCTTGGTGCACTCTCACCGTATTTTGAACACCTACCTATTCTAAATGTGATTGAAAAGTATGCCGAATACATAACTTCGGTAAACGGCAACATCACACCAGAAACACTGGTACAAACCTTTGGAATGAGGCCAACGGATGCCTCTCTCCTCATATCAGTGGTGTTTGCGGGCATCGAGGATATGGCCAATACGATAACAACAATCGCACATGATATCAAACCTCATCTGCCGCATCCTACCAACCCAAATCTGATTGCACCTCTTTATATTACACTCACGGCTTTTACCGCCTTTATCATGACGTTACGGGTGTTTTCAAGGCGTATAGTAGCTAATGGTATCGCGTCGTTTGATTGGCTCGCACTAGTTGGTTTCGTAAGTCTTCTAGCCCGAAACCCCCTAGCATCAAATTGTATATATATATTTCATATTGAAGTTTCGATATTTCGAAAGAAATGCATCGATATCTGTCAAGGCCACCGACGTATTATCAAGTCCGCTCATATACAAATAATATTCACAGTTGATGACGACAGCATGGGGGGCATTGGCAATCTACCATTCAAACATCAGTAAGATATGGAACTCACAGCATTACCGGCAGCTATAGCTGTAGCTGTAAATATAGTTTTAAAGTTGGCTAACATTAATTTACGCCAGGCGGTCATTACACAGCTATTTATGACAGAAAGTTTGCTTCGATAAAGCATAGCTCCGAGGTATATAGAATGATCATCTACAACTAAGCGGCGGATCTTGAGCAAGGTATCATACCTGCTAACTGTCACCTTTCCCATTCCAAAGGCGTATTCGGCCCTGGTAATTATGTACCCCTGGACAACAATGGTCATCAAACTATCTCTCGTCCTCTTCTATCACCGCGTGACAAACCTTAATTTTGTACGAAGGACCGCCTATGCTACGGCAATTCTCATCAGCGGAACTACCGTGTTATCTACTGCTCTTTATGCTAATGCGTATCCACACATCGATTATTGGAACTACCCGTTCGATTCTGCCAGGGTGGATCAACGCGATGCGCAGACTGTGATTGCCTGCATCTTTATCCTCTCTGATTTAATCATCTGGATATTGCCAATGCCGCTAGTGCTCCGGCTAAAATTGTATCCACGGGAAAAGGTTCTGGCCTTGTATACCTTTTCAGGAGGTGGTGTGTAAGTATTTTATCTTCAGATATATATATCCTATCAACTCTGATCTCGTAAACCGTGGTTCATGCTACCGCGAAGATCAATTCAGTTCGCTAAAATATAGTTCTTAGGGTCTTTATTGCAAGCGGCTTCCGACTTCAGGCTATTAGGGGGTCTTATACTGATGATTCGAAGAGTGATAATGCTTTCCTTATCAATGCATGGACAATGTAAGGATCCCTAGACAGTAAACCAAAATGGTCTGGATGGCTAATTTATTCCCTGGTAGCGTGGAGCTCAACCTTGCGCTAATTTTTGCTTCGATACCATCGGTTCGAGCTTTAGCAATACATTATAGTTCTAGGATTTCGGGCAGCGTCCGATCGCCCTCATCTGCATTGGACCCAACTGCTACAACGAAACCTCCTACTGAAAAGGATGGAACTGGAACCCAAAGCCCAACGCTGAATCACAATCTGCGAGAGTATGACGTAAGTCATATCAAGTGAAATAACCCAAAAGGTGGCGAAAGAAACTAATGCTATCACAGCCCGAGAAGCATGTCTAGGCTACGTTTGCAAATTGGATCCGGTAATCCTACAAGGGGTATCGGATACGAGCAGACTTTTTGGGCAACAAAGCCTAAAGAGAAAACTAGTGATTGATTCGATTTTGGTTATCGGTCATCGGTTGCAAAAGAAAACCGTTATAGGTCCAAATTAGGTCATAAGTGACTACCAAGCCAGGGCGTTGGGACTTGATTGTCGTGGTCCAATATCGGTATCGATATCTTGTACGCGGACGTATCAACGAACCGAGTTGGTACCAACGCTCGTAAACGAAATGCATTGCATTGCAAAGTCCATGTAGATTACGATGCTCTGGGAAAGTCTATACTTGCTTGCTTATCTTCTTGAAATGCTTAGAGTGAGGTATGTATGTCCGCGTACCGACTTAAGCATACACTTGTGGCTAAATATATCTATACTTTATACCTTATACTTAAGTACTTAGTATTGTCTCGTCGCTAGACTCCTCAACTGTGACTTAGTAGGTAAGTATTTATATACTAGGGGTTTATTTATATGATATGGGAGTGTGTAGTACTAATTAGTGGTTAGTCTGGTGGAGCTCTATGTGCAACATTAGTGGTCATGATCGCCCCTTTCCATCTAAAGTTAGTTCTGGTTCGCAGGACATGACCAATTGATCTCGGCTCCTGCATACCTACACTATAACTAAATCCTGGAAGTATATAAGTACTTCTTTAAGTAGTACCTATTGGGTAGCTAAGTAGGTAGTCTTGTATTAAAACGCTTCGGCTAAGTAGGTACTGGTATGTCTAGGATATATTGAATAGTACTCATGGTAAAAGGAGGTATGCATTGGTTACTGTGTAGGAGTAGCTGCTTAAGTTTTTCTTTTCTCTCTCTATGTCCTCCACCTTATGTTTACCCAGCTAGTCCAGGTTTTGCCTCGGCGTCTCTCTCTTCCTTGACATTGCATTGACATTGCATTGACATCCCACATCTTTCTGCTTCGCCTGGCAACCGTCTCAAAGCCCCTCCTCTCCATCACTCTCAGTGACCGAGTCCTGGATCAAGGACCTGTCGCTCTGCGGTCCCTGTTGCCGCCACCGTCAGGGCAACTCGCGCTTCGCGTCCATGTCATTTACCTACTTCACTCTTAATTAACATATCTTTCCCTCTTTCCATACTCCATGCACCTTCTCTCTTACTCCGCATCTTCTTAGGTACTTTCTACCATATACGAGTACATACACCGCCATATAAAATTAAAAATCTCCATATACTTACTCCATATAACGAACCTCTCTACAAATTACAGAGCGATGCAAACAAGACGGCGCCCAAAGACTTCTCGAACCCACCCCCAAGCAGAAACTATCCATCTTCCAAGGGTTAGAGCGAGACGACATACATCACCATTCTCCATTGGACGACTTTTGAACTTCTTTCCATCTCGATCCAGATCATCCAATCTTGAACCTTGATACACCACTGGCCACCTCATCGGAAGCCCGATTTAATATCCCCTTCACGCACACCCTCGGGTGGGTTGTATGCTGTTTTACATCCGATCCACCGTATACAAAACCAGCACTTAGCGCTTCGCCCGATTCACCCCCCGGAAAATAAAATACTGTCAATTACACAGGTGTACAATATCGACAAAATTGTGACTGAATGTATGTACGTACCGCGAATCCCGGGGATGTTCGCATCCGCCCCCGTGACCAATTTGAATAACCGAGTTATCAACCCGTTAGGATGGAACGTTCAACAGATGCATGTCTGCCGTTTTCTGAAGGACATAGTTCCGTTCTGTCCCGTGACCAGGCTGGTAGCGGCCCAGAGTCTGAGAAGTACTGGTCCCAGCCGACCGACCGGTCTGAAAATGAGAGCCTCCCACCCGTTCTCCCAAAAGGCCCTTCAAGCTTTCATCTTACACCTGCTTTCATCCACGCCTTTTCTGGTGCTACAGCCGGGTTCGCCTCGGGCATCGTGACATGCCCTCTTGACGTCATCAAGACCAAACTTCAGGCCCAAGGGGGTTTTGCACCTGTCCCCGCTCCTGCAGGCGGTAGAGCAGCGGGTGCTTTAAACCTCCACACAGCTCCTTCGGCAAATTACAGGGGTTTGGTGGGGACGGCAAGGATCATTTGGAGAGAAGATGGATTCATTGGGTTCTATAGAGGTCTAGGGCCTATCATTCTGGGCTACCTCCCAACTTGGGCTGTATATTTCACTGTCTATGAGAAAGCCAAGAAGGTCCTCAAAGTAGAAGGTATTGTTCGAAAATTCATTAATATCATTCGTACTTATGGGGGTTTAAAAATCTAACATGAATACAGAGAGCAAAAGCCCCTGGCTCACGCACATAGTGTCTGCAATGATTGCTGGAGGTTGCTCTACCATCTGCACAAATCCAATATGGGTTATAAAGACCCGCCTTATGTCACAGGCTCATCAAAATACCACGACGCACCAAGCTCCCTGGCAATACAAATCTACTCTAGATGCTGCGAAAACTATGTACAAAGTCGAAGGCATTAGAGCATTTTATTCAGGCCTAGCGCCAGCCCTGCTCGGATTGAGTCACGTCGCCGTCCAGTTTCCCCTGTATGAAGAATTCAAAAGAATGTTCCGAGAGTCCGAAGCTTGGAATAGTGAGAAGGGCGAGTTTTATAATCTAACCGGGATCCTTGCTGCAAGTATTCTTAGCAAGATCTGTGCTAGTTCCGCCACCTACCCTCACGAAGTTATCCGAACTCGCATGCAAACTCAGCGTCGCGTTAACGGCGAGGGCAAGTTGTCTAGAGAACCGTTTGTCCCACGGTATCAGGGAGTTGTACATGCGGTCAAAACGGTCTATAGGGAAGAAGGTTGGAGGGCCTTTTATGCTGGAATGGGTACCAACATGGTTCGGGCTGTTCCTGCCTCCGCTATGACCTTACTAACCTACGAATTCATGGTAAAGGAAATGTTGTTTGGGCCTTCGGAACGGAGTGGCAGACGAAGCGAAGATAAGGCGTAAATTTGGGCTTAATTTCGCTCCCCTGTAGCCTTCGTAGGAAACTTCAAGCCGTGGGTTTATTTGCACGATTCATGTACATTTGTCGGTGGAAGCCTTAACGTTGTGGTCCCTCTCTCACACACACATTTTTACATCTTTCTTCTTTCGCTTAGGGTGATTAAGCAGGTTGCTGAAGTGGTTATGTTAGCATTGATTCTGGAAGCTCCTAGTTGATAATAGTAAATAGCTAAGATGGCCATGGGATAATTTCTGAGGAATCTCGTGCCCTTCGATATATAAGAATCCTCATTACGTTTGCAACTCACACCTGTGTGCCATACATCTTGAACGGCCATCGCTTGGCGTGCGACTTGACATCCCCCTCAGAAAACCAACCATCCCTAAATATTACTTTAGACGCCAAACCACAACATCTAGCTGGGACTTCAATTATCACCTCCAAGCAACCATGGCGTCGAACACCGGGAGGGGAATGGCATCCCTCTACGCGGACCTCCTAGAACCGAAACCCATCAAATCTGACCAGCATTCCACGATATCCAAATCGCCTGTACTGTTTGCTCCCGGCGCCACCCCGTCATCCTCAAATGACACAGCAAGCGGCAGCGACCAACTTGCATCTGCGAAGAAGCAGGTATCTTCAGCTGGTATTCATACATAACATCCGTTCACTTGGTTTCACTATACAAATACCCCTTTCCCAGCTCCGCAATGTGCGACTCATCACTGATGGGCGCGGGACTCATGGGGTAGCTGGAAGTGCTTCCCGGTTCATTTCCTTATTTATTTATCTATTTGTTTTTTGAATTTTATTTCCCCTTTGAAATCTTCCTTCGATGCGATAAATGGCTAAGACTTTGTTGTCACCACCTTCTTCCTCATGAGGTTTCTGAGCAATAGCTTTAAGATTCCAACCGATACCACGTAGGCCCCAGCCGAACCAACAGAAGACCGTCAAAAGAGCTGGAATAAACACATTCGCGAAGCAACCAAAATCCGACGCGCCGAATGACCACGGCCTGGAATCGGCCACGACCTCGAGCACGGCGGCAGTAGCTACACGCGCACCCATAGTCAAAAGCACCCTTGAGGATTGGGCAACAAATGACGACGACGACGACGATGATGTTAATGGGTTTTACGCAACACGACAGAGGGGTGGTAGAAAGAGAAGAAAGAAGAATAAGGATAAAGACCTTGAAAAAACAGCACAAAGTTGGGATGATATCTACGACCCTTCGAGACCGAACCAATACGAAGAATATAAAGATAGCGAGGAGAAGGATCAGGAAATGCGAGACTGGCGTGATAGGCTTTATGGCAGAAGACAGGCTTTTAGCTCAGATGAATCCGATGATGAGCGAGCACGGTTTTCAATGAAAGGTATGGGCGCCTTCCGTCATTCCCAGCAGTTGATCCGTTATCTAACATGGTGTGCCTCCAGGTTTTGCGCCCCCGGCAAGTTTCGGGTTCGCTCCTCCCCCCAATCTAGACCAACCATCTGAGCCTCAGCCTCAGCACGAACCGGCCCCTATGCTAGATGCCGCTACCGGCGATGAGGTTTGGATGATGAGGGCAAGAATGTCACAAGCTGCATCTGCGCCGACTGGTACCATATCGGGTGTTCCACAAGATCGCGAGCCGCCGCCGCCGCCGCCGCCGCCGCCAGAAGAATCCGGGGACCTACCGTCAGTATCTCCAGCAATCGGGTCCTCAAACATACATAGCGTTACGATATCACGTGCTCCGGTCATTTATAGTCTGCCACCTGCACCACCGGATCTTAGCCAGGATGGTGATTTTGATCCGTCCGAGGCATTCGAGGATGATAATGAAGATATCCCTTCTGAGTCGGCACAAGACTCAGATATTCCCAGATCTAATCGGCCGGGCCAGAAGGGGTTCGCGGAAAGGTTGATGTCGAAGTATGGGTGGACAAAGGGTACCGGTCTTGGTGCTAATTCTTCAGGAATGGTCCACGCTCTTCAAGTTAAAGCGAACAAAGGCAAAGACTCAAAGGGAGTCGGAAAAATCCTCGACAAGAACAAGAAACGGGGTGACGATGTGGGTAAATTTGGTAAGATGAGTGAGGTTGTGGTCTTGCACAAGATGGTCGACGGGCTTGAGGGTGAAGACCCAGCCGTCCTTATGCAAGAGATAGGAGATGAATGCTCCGAGAAGGTAGGCAATAATCAGCCGTTATGTAAAATAGCGTATGTTTGATTATTTGACTAACATATTTCATATTGTAGTATGGACGAATCGAGAGGGTTCACATTATTCACAAGCAATCGGAGGACGCACCCTCCAAAGTATTTGTACAATTTACAAGCCAACTATCGGCCCTCAGAGTAAGTCCCAATGTTTTTTTTTTACGAGTCCCCTGGGAAGGAAGATTAATACTAAACCCAACCTGCGGTGATTAGGCCGTAAACGCTTTGGAAGGACGAATGTTCAACGGAAATACTATCGAGGCAAGATTTTTCGATGTGGACGAGTTTGAAGCCTGGCTTCGCAACTAAATAAAATTTGCCTTATCTTCCCTCGAATACATGAGTACTAAGTGCTTAGCTAGCGCTAGATCACTATGCAGAATACATGCACATGCATACCTAAATGCCCTGAGTATAGCGATCGGAAGGCAACGTCTTGATATAAATCTCTAAGAAATGAGTTCCCCACAAATGTATACGGTGAGCCGCAGGAAGCTGGGCCCCAGTAGGCATGTGCACACGTTCGGCTTGAATGGATGAATGAATGAATGAATGAATAAACGATACGATACGATACGATACGATACGATACGATACGATACGATACGATATGAGATGAGATGAGACGTAGTATAGTATATGTTAATTTAAATTTAATGTCTGCGAGCACTTACCTTAATTCTCAGTCGGCGGATACTTAGTTAGGCGAGGTTGGGCTTAACTTAAGCTTTCACCCAAAACACCCAACCCAGATTCCATCCACTCACCACCAATCAACCCCGCCAGCGGTATCGAATCCTGGACGGCAGGCCGAAGAACACGAACCCGAGCCCAATTACATATTCAACCTAGATAGCACACCGCTGTATAATCATCCTTACTGGCTCAACCATTCCCTTCCCCCTTTCGTCTGTTCAGATATCTAGTTAAAACTCGGTTGGACATCCTGCCAGGTTCTACCCCGCGCTTCCATACTGCGGGAGTGACGACACAATATCAATATACTAGCAAGAATAGATCCAATGCTTCCAGCACAGAGGAACAAGGTCGATATCAGCGTATGTGTCTATGTCACCAACCCGCTTTGTGCCATACTTTGTCACAGTATACCTGTTTCTATCGGTTATGGCCTCTCGCTAACCGCCTTCGTACCATCCAGTCTCTTTCTGAGGAAGAGCAGAAGCTTTTCCGCCTCTACGGTAAACTTCCTTCCAAGAAAGATGTATTAAGCAACAGACTCAAGGTATTCATTAAAAACATCTTCATAAAATACATTTGGTTGCTAACTTTATTGCCTGCAGGAACGTAAATATTTTGATTCGGGGGATTATGCGCTCTCGAAAGCCGGACGAGCGTCCGATGTAGGCGTCACCCAGATTGGATCAAAGCACCCTCTTCCTGAGAATATTCCACACGCACACAATACAACAGGCTCGTCTGCCGTCACACCATCGGGCTCCATCAGCAGTGGGAACTCTGGAGCGCCAGTTCGAGAAGGTCTCCTCCAAAAGAAATCAACGAGCCCAGAACCGGAAGGCGAAGTGGCGGTCCAGGAACACGGAGAAGATGGCGAAACTCCTGCTGTGGAGCCAAAGGAGGTGGAAGACCCCAAGGATAGCAAGATTCCACTGAAATGGCGTTCACAGAGTTAGAATCTCTGTTGGGTTCGCATTTTTTTGACGGTTCCAACCGTCCCCTCGTTGAGCAACCACATTTCCTCTTCTATCTCTCATACTTCCATGATACTTATTGTGTAAAGGGGCATATACTCCCAACAACCGACCAATGGCTTTGTGTCTTTGGAGAAAACGAATTATTCCAACTGGCGACAGGTCCTTAACTTGCCTGACATATGTTTCATCAAGTGTTTATACTGCTGTTTTTGTATCTATTCCAAGGCTTGTTGGTTTGCTTTTTTTGTTGCTATCTCCACCCGCCCATTCGCCGGAGGAGGCTCTTGGACTCTGCTATACAATCGTTTGCGTGTCCTTAGGTATGATATGCTGGCTCGTCCCTTTGTTTATCTCTTCAAGTTCTATAACTATAACTACGTTTTCCCATTGGTGAACTTCGTGATGGGTTTTCTCAAATGGGTTTAACTACGACTTCTCACTGGATTCGTGCCTACAGGTACTCGGCATTGCTACTATTGTTGCTTCTGTATTTCATTCTGCAACTTGTTATTATTATCATTATTATTATTATTATTATTATTATTATTATTATTATTATTATTATTACTGTTACTATTACTACTATTGTTTTTTTGGTTTTTTTTTTGGTCTTTTGTTTTACTTAACTCGACTTGACTTGATAAATTCCCTCTTGAAATATTCCCTTGACCTTGACCTTGCGCATATTCTCAAAAATAGGTCCAACTCAATCCTATATTCTAAAAGCCGCGGATTGGCCGGGTTCGATTCCTTGGTTTGGTTTCTTCATCTATGGAGACTAAAATAGTTTGGCTGTATGGTTGTTAGCAATATATACTGATTGTCTTCTTGATTTACTTGATGGAGTATCTATTGTATTTGCCTCGCAATTGATATCGAATACCTGTTCTAATCCGCTGTTTCTATGTGTACTTAGTTATCTAAGTAGGTAGGTATCTATGGAAGTATGGTAATATGGGAATACTCCTAGTTTCTCCCTTCCTGACCCCCCCTTCCTGGCTCCCCCCCCCTCTTTTCTAATTCCGCGTTATGAGAAAATGGAAGTCTATCGAGTATTCTTTGAGTAGTAAATTATCTTATAGAGATAGAAACATATCTGGCCAATATAAAGCCGGTTCTGGAATTGAATGATGTGGACAAAGTACTTCTGAATAACGGGTATGACATCTCGTTTAGCTCTGGTTACCACCCATTTAGGAGTATTTTGGGAATATATCATCCACCCAAGCTAAATTGTCGACCCCATCGATCATCTTCCGAACATCTCATGGTCGATTCCGCCGATAGCTGAGCGATCCAGCACCAACAGGTTCCCAACCCATGCTGGAACCTTGATCTAGTCGCAGCAATGCATGAACTCTCCCTTTTCTCCCATGTTCCGAATTCGAGGGTTGCCCACGTCACACGCGCCTTGAAGACAGTCACGGGCATGTCTGGCGCCCCATTACTCGAGCATCATCTTATCTACAAACCTAAACGAAACCGGCAGACTATCGGGGGCCCGGTCAGCGGGAACAATAGCGCTGGTCCTGCAAATACTGCAGCTACTGGCGACTTTTACTATCTCCAACTCGTTGCTGATATTCTCAAGAACGAAAGCCAAAATGATACTCTCGTCGCAGAGCAGCCGGGGGTTCTCGCGCCTGGCCAATCACACGGCGATGCTATGGAGGTTGACTCAATAAATGCGGCGGTGGAGCAAAGCGTAAAGTTCACAAAAACTGAAAAAGCTCCATATGATATTCGAAAGCAAAAGTGGACAATACGTTTCTCGGACCTCCCAGAAGTAAATGGCAAGAGACCAGTGACATCACGCATGGTTCACAATGCAGGAGTTCATGAGGGTGACGCCCTGTCATTCGTCGATAGCCTAGGCTATACGTATGTATACTCAATCTTTCGCTAGATAATTTGGGGTGTTAAGTGTGTGTGAGTGAGTGGAGAAAATGGCTAACTCCAGAGGTCGGTGGTAAATTATCCAGACCTGTATCCGAGTACGTCCTCTCCGGGGATTACTTTGTTTATCATAATGTCTACGTTACTATAACAAGGATACTGCTACCGCCACAGTCGTTTTCACCATTACCTACGCATACTCTTCGTCAATTAGATCCTGCGGATTCGTTCTTGCTCCAAGCGTCTATAAAGGTTTCGAGTGCTAATGAGCAGGAGACCATGAATAAGGGGGTCGAGGAGCTAAAGACGATAAGGGCTGAACTTAAAGGAGTGATTGAGCTAGAGCCTGGGGATCGGTTAAGTCTTGATACTAGAGTCCGGTGAAGTGACAGCATCAGCTTGACCATAGTGGAAACTCTGATTGCACATATACGCATCTTCGTACTTATAGGCTCGGGTAGGGTTGTAAACGGAGAAAATACCCAGTCTTGAAACTAAAAGCCATACAGTACACTTAAATTTTTGTATATACATTAATCCTTACCTAATCGCAGAAAGAAAAGGAGAGAGAAAACATGAAAACAATAATGCCAATGACGATCAGATATCAGAAATTGAGAAATGGAAATACGAAGAGCGAGCCCATTGGTATCACTATAGAAATGGGACTCTTCGACGAGGTTTTTGTGCCTCCGTTAGTTAAAGTCCACCCCTATAAAAACCCACAATCTACCAAAACGCCAGAAAGGTCAAAATAAAATGTGCAGCATGAGGCGAATGGAAGTCTGGACAAATCCACAAAAGAACTAACGCGCCAAAGGCTAGTCACTGCCACACGGTCTTAAAGAGGCTTCTGATTATTTCTCGTATCGTTTTCGTGTTTCACCGTCACTCTCGTCCGAGTCGCCACCAATGCTGTACCGCCTTTCCCCAGCAGCCTCCCTGTCGAAAACAGGGGAGGCAACGTGAAGGTCGTCTAGTTCGCTTTCTTCGAAATCACCATCTTCGATGTCAGCCGTCCTCCGAGAACGCTTCCCCTGGCTGAGACCTGTATAAGCAATACCGTTGGTATGGCCATCGCCCATCGCCCTTCTTTGCCTCCATACCCAATAACCCCAAACTCCAGCCGCAACAATAACAATGACGAGGACTATCTCTCCTGACCGATAATACGCTTTCCATCGCTCCTTTTCAAGTTTCTCTTGCTCAGCTTTTTCCTCCTCGTCGGACAGAGTAGCATTCGCAGGAATGGAGCCTGAACCAGCACTACTGCTCTGCTTTCCACTCGGCTTCATCGGAATGTGACCAAGGCCATCCTTGCTGACACCGATGAAACGGTCGAGCATGTCTAGCGATTGCATGGGAACGTCGAAGGGAACCATGTGAGATGAATTGTAAACGAGGACGTAAGTCAGGTTTCGGGCGGTCTGATAGTAACCCGCAGGGTTCCCTTCGTAAACCCACTCAGACCGCGGTGCCCAAACACCTGGGCTAGTTTCGAACCCGGTAGCTCCATTCCACGTCATATTTTTTATCAAGTTTTCTGTCCCGATATGATTGCAGATTAAATCCTGATCTCCACTAAAGAGCATAATTTTCATCTCTTTTAGAAGATCTGGTAGTAGCTCTACGGATGATTTAGAGTTTCGCGCTCTGAATGATCCGCTAACAGCACCAGAGCATTCTTCCCACCCCGACATTTTGTCAGAATTGACGTGTAGTGCCTTAACGACATCTGGTTGACGAAGGTAAGGCGTTACCCATTTTAGATCTGGTGGCCATGCCATGCCGCATGAGGGATAATTTTCCTTCAGCCTAACGTCGTACATGTTGTAGCACTGCTTTCTACCATCCTTCTCGTCATCAATGCTTAATCTGAGGATTAGTTGGAGAATTTCTTCACATGAGGTATCTTCGATCTGGTTTCCGAATTGCTGTAAGTGCGCTAAACACGTTGCTTGCTGTGCTTCCAGTCTTGTCGCGACATCTGATCCACGCTTGACAAGTCCGGCAGAGTAGGCATATTCGAGATATGCCGGGTATTGGGACTTAGGATCGACCCAGCCGTTGCCAATGAGTAAACCAGCAAGATTCCATTTTTGAGGGTTAACTCTATTTCTATCAACGATAGCTTTTGCGATATAAGGTATATACTGGCCGGCATATGATTCGCCGCCGAACCAAATCTAGTAAAAAAAAAAGATGTTAAAGGTAGTTCCCAGGTTCGCACTCAAAGGGCTCTTACCTCGTCTTTCTCGTAGTGGGGGAAGATCTCAAAAAACTTTTCCAGAAATATAACGAAATGCTTAGCCATCTCCGGAAGCTCATGCAGAAAACCATTGCCATTAACGTAGCTAAACCCTGTCCCGACGGGGTTATCGACGAACAGGAGGTTTGCAAATTCATGCCAACTGCCTTCATTATAAGAAAGTTTACCATCTTTCACCCTGTAAGGCCCGACTTCCATGAGTGCGCCATCCATTGAAGAACAGCCAGGTCCACCATTGAGCCAGATGACGGTTCGTTGTCTCGCCTCGATGTGCCGGTTGGTAACATGCCAGAAAAAAAGGTTACCATTTGTAGCCTGATCAACTTCTATGTGCCTAAAATCCGGAAGATTAATTAGAGCTCAGATATCAGATTGATTTGTCAAAATACAGCACAAACATACCCAGCATGCATCCTAATCATAGTATCCTCGGGCTCACCCGGCAGGGACCTGACGAAGTAGTCCTTTGCCGCTTTTTGTGTAGAGCCGGAAGCCGGCAGAAGGAGTAATAGCAGACTAGTAGCTTTCAGAATGGACCTCCGGTGGGAGGATTGACGAGGCATTGCTGGCGGTGTTGAGTACCTGGTGAGGCACGTTTGGGCGACGGCGCGGAAGGTTAGAAAATGAAGAGGCTAGATCGAAGGTGTACGTATTCGCCCTAATGGCCCCCTTGAGCTTACTCCAACACGCTGCAGAACACACGAGATCTCGGTCGACGAAGGGAAGGAGTAAACAGGTTAGGGTTGACAAGCTGGGAGCAAAACTGCCTAGGAGTTAATACGCAGTGAGTGCCAAAGAAAAGGAACAGAAAAATTATGTGGTCCTGGCCATAAATAACGAAAATGGGGCGCGGTGGACTCGAGACCTCCGTAGATTCCAGGAGTAGGTCGGATTTGAACACATTTGCTGATTGATGCAGTTAATGCAGCTTAGCTTGCGTATCCTCGTTTAACAAACCGGGGTACTAACCCCATTCGGGCGCGGGTGGAGTGCATCCGCGACTCGACGAGGTTCCAGATTTGATTAAATTTCATTCATTCATTCATCGACTAGAAATACAGGGAGGAACGAGGGAGCAGAGAAACCCAAAATCCTACAAAATGCTGGAAAAAGGAGGGGTGAAGAAAGAAAGAACCCCGAATCACAAAACGGATGCTTGAAAAACAGATTGGTTCTAATATAAATTCTTGGAGCTAGATGAATCCGTAGTGTATAGCTTATGAGAAACAATTTCTGAGGAGGGTACAAGACGGAGGATAGAGCGAGTACCAGCTGCCTCCATGGACCCCTAATTCCAAAGGATGGCCGGGCGTGCATATGATTGTCGGTGAATATTGCTTTCCTTGATATCAATCATCTCTTCTTGCCTCCTTGAGGAGGTCGAGGTTTGGCTTCTTCGTCCTTGACTGGATGAAGCATGACCTTATTCGGATAGCCTTGAGTATTGCCCTGATAACCCTTCGACCAATCGTAGCTAACAGCATAGGCAAATATTCTACCATTGTGATTAAACGCAGTTGAAGATATGGTACCTCCGACAGCAGGATATCTAGTTAGTGAAAAAAGGTTAGCTCCCGATGACCTGGACTAATCTCGAGTAAAGAACCTACCCTTTGAGTCGATGCTTCGCATCCTTGTCCCAGAAATGAAATGTACCATCTGAACCTGCGGTAGAAAAGGTACCGTGGGTCGGATGGAATGAAATTGCATTGACAGAATAGACGTTTGTTATGTCCCGTTGATTTGGTGGGTTCTCGCGATGGCATTTAAATGAGAAATTCAAACTATTGTCTTTTTCTTCAACGTACTGGATCGCACATCTTCCCTCAATGCTTCCAATGGCAAACCCGCTGGAATTGGGGAAACAGGATACTACTCTTGTTTGCCATTTTAAAGGGCTCTGGAGGGTCTTGTAAATGGTTCCAGGGTTCGAAAGGTTAAAGATATCGATATAGCGATCTGCAGTTCCGACAACCATCAGGTTAAGGGCGGTATCTAATGTGTAGCAACGGTCCTGAAGGTTTACTGTCACAACGGGGTTCTGAGAACGTAAATCCCAATACTTGATGGTTTTGTCCCATGACCCAGTCACAAGTATCGGGCCAGCAGCGCCGGGTATATCGATGACCTTGACGCACCTAACGGGGGCATCGTGAGCAGCAACTTGGGTACTCTGGCCCGTAGATGCGTCAAACATTCGACCCGCTTTGTCGGCACCGCCGGAGAATATTTTGGATCCATCCTACAGTTTCGCAATCCAGAGGCTGTTAGCAATTAACTAGATGATTAATAACAATTTAGGCTCAAGAACTGCAACTTGCCTTAGACCAACAGACCGATAGGACGGGCCCTTCGTGCTCATACATTGCCTTCCCAGCCGAACTCCCATTCTGTTGTATTTCGTAAATTTGGACCTTTTTGTTCCAGGACGCGACGGCTAGCATATCGGCATTCGGCGAGAAGGCTATTTCTTGAATGCTGTCATCGGGAGGAGATACCAGCTCTAGATCCCCTTTCAAGTCGCCCTGGGTACTGCTCGCTGGGGCGGCAGCAGCCGTGGTGGTTGTCGCCGCACTCCCAAATATGCTCGCCATGTCTGACCCGGCAGAACTGCGTTTGTGAAGAGATTTGAGAAGCACGTTGGCGACGGTTGAGGCTGTGATATAGCGTCGGAGATCGAAGTATGGACGTCGAAGAGAGATGGGGAGAGAAAAGGAGAGATAGACCGCGCTTTAAGTTTATAGGTGACTGGGAGTTAAGGGTGAAGGGTGAAGTGTGAATCAGAGGGAAGAAGGATCCTGAAAGGTGGTGTGGTTGGTCGTCGCAGTCACGGTGCAAGCCAAAAGGCAAGTTGCGATGCAAAGCGACGCGCTTGGGATTACAATTGCGGTTGGGTGATTCTCAGCAGCCAATAAAAGCCAAACGTCCTCGCTCGACTACTACGTACTTACTTACTGTATTACTTACCAAATACCTAATTCAATCGTCGAAACTTCATATAAACCGTGTTATAAAGGGGAACTCTTGATTGCTTGGAATCTTCCGCGATCAATATCAATATCACTCCTCGAGCAGGTATGTGAGAAGCGGATTGCAATTGCTGGTAGTGTAGGGAGCAGGTGGCTACATCCAGTTGATATTTTATATATCAACCGAACAGGATCCAGCGAGCTATCCTTTCATATATTATCCTTATGGCTTATTCAGCCTTTTCTTTTCCGGTTTAGATGCTAATTTGGGCAACGACAGTCGTTACCATTCGACAGCTGTGCCAACTAAACCTGCGCCCGTAATGAGATGAAAAGCAGTCGACAAAATGAAGACCATATCTTTGTTTCCTCGCCATCGCCCCCCGGCGGCTTACGGCCATCGACCGATTTAACCAGAGGGACCACATATCTCCCTTCGTCTACTTCCTCCTCACCGCCGTCAATACCACTGGAGCCTTCTGCTCCCCAGCCCAAGAGATTTGTTCGATTCGACGTTGACGACGAACTGGCAGGCTCTGTTGGTTTTGCCAGTCGGGACAATGACGAAAGGTGGACATACGATGAGGACTTCTTGAATTCATCTGACGACGATGATTTTGCACACGCAGTGGAAGGAGGGACGGCGCCTCTCCTAACGAATATCGCGGCTCCATCCGTAGTATTTGCTGGCCTCGATAACGACAACTTTGAGGATCCTGCCTCAAGAAGTGGAATGAAAATGGCTTTTATGAACATGGCCAACTCGATTATGTGAGCCCAGGAAGAACGACTACCGTGCCGTGAACTATGAGAAAAGTACTAATAGATCGTAATAGAGGGGCAGGAATTATCGGTATGTAAAATCCGAGTTGCTCCGAGCTTTAGGCATCATCTTTCTCATTATTGTCGATTTCAGGTCAACCATATGCGTTCAAACAGGCAGGGCTCGCAACAGGCGTAATTCTTCTCATAGTTCTAACGCTTTTAGTAAGTATTCAATTTACACGGTTGTGATCTTACTTGCCCTATATCTAACTATTTCTCTGTTGGTTTATCTCCAAAGGTTGATTGGACGATCAATTTAATAGTTATAAATTCCAAGCTCTCTGGTGCAAACTCATTTCAGTCCACAGTGAGCGCGTGCTTTGGAAAGTGGGGCCTAATATCTATATCTGTAAGACCTACCTAAAATGATACTACCCCATCGATTCCTTTTGCTAATACTCCCCACAGTTAGCCCAGTGGGCCTTGTAAGTTCGAATAAGCTACTCACTCTAAATACGCTGACTTATTTCTTTAACCCTTCTCAACAGCGCCTTTGGTGGGATGATCGCTTTTTGCATCATTATCGGCGATACTATTCCCCACGTTCTGGCAGCACTATTTCCTCGCCTAAAAGATATGTCTATTCTATGGCTCCTAACGAATCGAAGAGCCGTGATTGTTCTATGTGTCGTCGGGATATCATATCCGTTGAGTCTATACCGAGACATTGCAAAGGTGAGGCCAATGCCTTTTTTTCCGAGATCTCTCGATGGATAGCTGATCAGGGTTGGACCTCACTTCACAGCTCGCAAAGGCTTCAGCCTTAGCCCTTGTGAGCATGCTTGTCATCGTCGTGACGGTTATTACACAGGGGTTCTTTGTCGCAAACGAGCTGAGAGGAACCCTTTCAGGGCCATTACTCACTCTAAACTCTGGAGTGTTCCAGGCAATCGGTGTTATTAGTTTTGGTGAGAATCTGAAGTTCCTTTATCACGTATAGCTCGAATCCTAGCCTAGGCCTTGGAACAACTGGCTCGAGCCCAACGAAACTCCACCTCTAACAAGATATATTATGCCATGCTCCCTGCCTGCGCAGCCTTTGTCTGCCGTAAGTCACCACCTTGGTATCACTTTTCAGGTGGAGAGACTAATCCACAGAGTTTCTAGATCATAACTCCCTTCTAATTTATGGTTCCCTACGAAAGCCCACCCTTGATCGCTTCGCTCGAGTGACGCACTACTCGACTGGCATTTCGATGGTTGCCTGTATGGGAATGGCCTTCGCTGGGTTTTTGACGTTCGGGGACAAAACCATGGGCAACGTCCTAAACAATTTCCCAAACTCTAACTTGATGGTGAATATCGCGCGATTGTGAGTTTTGGAAGTATTGATCATCACCTTGAATAAACCACGAACTTACGATTTCGTTTCCAAATAGCTGCTTCGGATTGAATATGTTGACAACCCTACCTCTTGAGGCTTTCGTGTGTAGGGAAGTGAGTTATTTGGGTGGCTAAACATCACATCAAGTATTTTTTACTAATAACTCTCTTAGGTGATGATCGGCTACTGGTATCCAGGATCCCCTTTTGAAATGAAGCGTCATGTCATATTTACGACGTAAGTCTAAGCTCCCAGATATAAGGAAATGAAGTTCACCTAAGGAAATAAGAATCTAACGTTTGGGGGGTTCCCCCCCCCTTTTGGCTAGGGGCTTGATTATTTCGGCTTTGTTGATATCCCTTTTTACTTGTGATCTCGGCGCTGTTTTCGAGTTGATCGGCGCAACTTCAGCCTGTGCATTGGCATATATTCTCCCGCCACTTTGTTATATCAAACTCTCGACCCGCAGCTGGAGGACAGTTTTAGCATGGGGTTGTGTAGGGTTTGGGGCTTTGGTATTAGTGATTAGCCTTGTCCAGGCTGTCGTCAAAATCCTTGAAGGAAATGAAAAGGCGATGACCTGTGAGTGGTGATCATATACTCATATGATGGGGATAATAATGGCGGCCAAAAAACAGGCAACGGGTTCGTTTGGGCCTGAAGTAGTTGAGTTTAAACCAAAAAGTTATTGAGTTTTTACTTTCTTGACGACCCAAGTAGATATTTTCTTGGATTTAGAGAATAGCAGTTTATTGCTATTTACTACTGCTTGTGATCGAGGTATTGATGTAGGATATCGTATTGTATTGTTCTCCACCTGCCTCGATCAAGCCGGATAAGTACTTGCCGAGTACGTAAGTGTATGTATATACTTCGCAGCTTGGCTATCTAGTGTACCTTACATTACATTCCATTACTCTACTTTACGCGTTCGACTAGATACCACCAAGAACCTAGGAAGTACTTAGGCTATAGCCAGTAGATGTAGCTATGGTGAAGTCGGAGTATATATATAGCCTTACTCATACCGTACTTGACTGTAAATCGGGAGGTGCGGGCAAGCGGGACTAAGAATCCAACCTAATTAAAATTCTGCATTGGCAACAATCGCAGGCGCACGCTATCAGTGCCCCCGCCACCAAAACAACAACCACCACCACCACCGCCATTACCTTCACCACAAACCTCCCCATCCACCCGTTCCCACCTCGGACATCACCTCGTCTCAGCTCACACGACCAGTTGCTTTTGTCAGAAACACATTTAGATACGATCGGGCAGCTCATAAAAGGGTGAGAACAACCGCTACCGTATAATACCACCAGAAACCCAGTTCCTGAATTTAGACGCCTGCCAGCCTACCTGCTCGCTCTCCGATTCAACCCCGCTTATCAATATCATCGTCAACTCCCGCTATAAACCCTCCAAATCCTTCACACTCTTGCTCAAAACTCTTACCTAGGTACTCCTCAGCCAACAGTAGCAGCAGGTAGCTAGAACCAGGGATAGCCAATAGGGAAGCCGTTAATCATAAAAAACGAGAACCTCTGACGACCCTGCACACAGCTCGCTACCTCCATCTCCCTTTTTGCTTCTTTGCAATTTTTTATCCTTGGTTCCCTCGTTCTCTAAAAAAAAAACCATCCACAACCCTGTGTTTCATAACAGATAGGAAAATTCCAACGGGAGAAAACAGTATACGCAAAAAATAAATAAAACAAAAAATAATAAAAATAAAAATAAAGCAGGAAAAAGGAAAAAGAGGGAATCAACAGAAAACATAGCTTGCTTGCTCACCCGATTGCTCTCTCAAACCAACTAGCTCCCGGATCGACTACATCCACATATACCGAGTAGCTACCCTGGATAAAGGGTCCCTGCTACGAATTCCTACCCCGCCTGCAATTCTATTTACCTCCAACGCCACCTCCACTAAACGTATCCTACTTTAATACCTGAACAGTTACCATGGGTCAGACCTTATCAGAACCGGTCGTCGAGAAGGTACGGTCTCTACGTTACTGCATCCTCACCTTCCTGGCATCCTTACCTTCCTGGCATGTTCAGTTCTCATTTGCAGTATGCCTAACAAAATCTCCATTACATAGTTATCAGAGCATGGGGAGGATGACAGGCTCTACTTTGGACTCTCCTCGATGCAAGGATGGCGTATAAGTATGGAAGATGCACACGCTGCCATTCTTGACCTCCAACCCGATGACAAAACTGAAAAGACAACCCCCCAAAGTCGTGTGAGCTTCTTCGGAGTTTATGATGGTCACGGCGGTGATAATGTGGCTTTGTTTAGTGGCCAGAATGTCCATAAAATAATAGCCAAACAGTCCGACTTCCCGACCGGAAACTTTGAAAAGGCAATGAAGGACGGGTTTCTTGCTTCCGACAGGGCTATCTTACAAGGCAAGAGCTATATTCCAAGACACACCCCGGGTATCTGCTTATCTAACATCGCAAACAAAAAACTGTAGATCCGAAATATGCCGAAGAGATCTCGGGTTGTACCGCTTCCACAGCCATCGTTACAGGCGATAAGATATTCGTCGTGAGTTCCTAAATCATATTGCCATATCACGTCCAAAACTTGGGCTCATCGGTGTCCCTACACAGGCAAATGCTGGCGATTCTCGTACCGTTTTAGGTGTCAAGGGCAGAGCTAAACCTCTTTCCTTTGATCATAAGCCCCAAAACGAAGGTTAGCTAAACGGTCTTGACAACATCCCTTCTTCGTTGATTAGATTAGCCAACACAAACCGCCTTCTTCTGGGGAACTGCCACTAACAAATGGTTTTTTTTTTTTAACGACAGGCGAGAAAGCCCGCATAACAGCGGCTGGAGGCTTCGTCGACTTTGGCCGGGTTAATGGAAATTTAGCATTGTCCAGAGCTATCGGAGACTTTGAATTTAAGAAAAGTGCCGACCTTCCACCAGAGCAGCAAATTGTGACTTCGTTCCCAGACGTTGTCATCCACGATTTCACAGATGATGATGAATTTATGGTTATCGCTTGTGACGGTAAGCTACTCTTACCCCTATAGCAATAAAACGACGAACTTTGGTTAACCTATATGGTAACTCGGTAGGAATATGGGATTGCCAGTCCTCACAGGCTGTTATTGAGTTTGTGCGACGAGGAATTGTGGAAAAGCAGGAACTACAAAAAATTTGCGAGAATATGATGGACAACTGTCTAGCTCCGTCAAGCGAGAATGGCGGTGTAGGGTGCGACAATATGACAATCGCCATAGTCGCATTCCTAAGGGGCAAAACGAAGGATGAATGGTATGATATGGTTGCCAAGAGAGTAGCCGACGGAGACGGCCCCTGTGCGCCGCCAGAGTATGGCAAGTCCCTCTTTGTGGAGCGCTGCATTCGCGGCATTATATCTTAACCGAATCTAACCTGCTAACTACTCTTTGGCACCATCATATAGCTCAACCTAAAACCCATGGATTCCGTCCTCAAAGCTATTATGCCAATTTCGAAGAAGAGGAAGACGGGACAATTAAGACATACGGCATCACAGCCCGCGAGGGGGGTAGGATAATCATGCTTGGCGATGGTTCTGAAGGTCTCGCCGACGCTAACGACACAGAGATGTTTGACTATGACGAAGAGAAGGATACGGAGGCTTTGGACAAAGACGCCACACTTAAAGACGACCGGAGCGCCGACAACGAAAGATATGATTCCTCGAAAACTACTACGACTACAGATGAAAGCTCCTCGAAATCTTCAGAAGGAACGGAAAAGAAATAGTACAGTCGTGGTGCCAATCGCAGCGAAATCTAGATTTCGTCGCCCAATATACCTTGTCTCTCTTCTAAGTCCTGTCAGCGCAACCCCTTGTGATAAATCACTCGCATATTGTCGTTCGTGCAGGAAACCTTCAGTACATACACTCTTATCTATCCCTCCAGTAAAAAATCGTTGCAATTCTAGTCATTCTTCCGCTTTACTTCAGACCGGTTTCGTGTGCATGTGGGCTAGGAGCTAAACCCTCCCCATTCAAGAGACCCCCTGTCCCTCCAAGAATACCCAGCTGCTCGGTTTAAATTTATGTTCCTAATTTCTTTCTTTCTTTTTTATCTTATCTGCTTTGGTTCTGGTCTCTAGAGGCCTGTATACAATTTTTATGATAACTCTAACTTATACTGTGGTTTGCTCAGATCCACGTCACGAAGTAGGCGGCATTAGAATCAGGTCGTATCCTTTTAGATCTTGGCTGCCTCACACGAAGCTGAGAATACCAGAACTTTGAATTTTCAGTTCTAATCCATTCACTAAATTTAAAGCTACCTATGCTCAGTGGTTTGAAAGGATTGGGAGTATAGACGCACTTAGGTTGTAGCTTTAAAATACTTGTTGAATAAAGCGAAAGGCAAAAAAATAATGGTCAGGTCGCGCAAGTCCAAGCAAACAAGGGGGAATGAAAGCACCATAACTCCTATCCTCTCCGTGGTATACCGAATATATATAGAGAGAGAACTAAATATTCTCAAATAGATGCAACTTAGAGTATTAAGGGATATTGCCGGATTAAAACAGAAAAATAGGAACAAAGTATGACGAACGCGCAGTGTTTATGCGCATCTTTTGGAAATCCGAAAAACTTTGGGTACTGACAGACACAGCCCTAAGAGGATTAGAGCCACTACCCAGGGAAGGTAACCGAAGAATTGTACGCGAATATTTCACCGGATGTCAGCTAAGTGAGTCTCTGCCATTCTTGGCCCGGAGGGAATGGGCTTTCTGATGGGCTTCCCTGGTTTAACTTTCGGGGCACCATGTTGGATACGAGGTTCTTTCATGAGATTAGGATCGAGTTTTGCGGGGGTACGATTCGGCAAGGCTTTGGTTTCTCCAGTTCTCGACGAAATCGGGACAGCTACACTGCAAGTCCTCCAGAGATGCTCAGATGAATCACTGAGGTAGGTTATATCCTCTATTCCCGTATTAGTGCCTATTCGTCTCAAAATGTGGAGGAAATACCTTACTTGTCTTGCCGAAGAAATTGGACCTGCCGCGATTCTTTTTCGACATTATAACCTGTTCAAAGAGCATTACCTTTGGATCATCCGCACGTAAGCTTTCTCGTTCTTCAATGAATTCGTTGAAGGCCTGCGTTTCGTTCAAAAAGGACACATATTCGCCTGCATCCCCAGGTAAACTCCGAATGAAACCGTCAATATTGAACTTAAAGATTTTACCCCCCTTCTTCGGATCTCCAGAAGACGGTTGCATAAATCTACGGTACGTATAGAGCAAGCTAGCGAAACAACGTAGGAAAGCCGCTCGTACTTGCTCGGGATGGAAGGCCGCCGGGCATGGAAGGAACAGCGAGCTGGAGCATCTGTTGTGAGCAATAACATTACAGGCTAGGCCGGTTAGTTGGTGGGGTTGTTTTTTTTTTTTTTTTTTGGATGACCAGATAGGAAAACTAACCCGTGCAGTGGTACAGACCCTCATCCGACTTTTCCTCACATACCGAACAGGAAGAATCGAAGTCCACCGATTGCCAATGTAGACAATGCCCTTCCACCCATTTGGTGGTAGCTGTATCACGAACAGGTTGTACGAGCATCTGAGGTATGATAGTTGATGCTGCAAGAGTTGATGGAGTGTAAACTGAAGGGGGGTATTGGTTATATGTGGATCCAGTTTCGACTAACGATGATGTTGACGGAGATGGTGAATGGTTTGTAAATGGCACGCTCGGGCGGCGTAGGTTTGGCACCTGTCTATCTACCCCGAACGAAGAACTTCTCCGTTGCGCTAACGTTTCAAAATTGCCAGACCGCTTCCCGCGAAGGGTGGCAGTTAAGGTGTTTCCAGACTCGGCTCTGGAGGATGATGACCCCAAGCCCGACCTCGGGGAATTTGGGGAAGGAGGGTTCCCGCCTTTGATAGTCCCGCTAGTAGTTGGACGGAGTTCTTGTGGGCGACCCAGTGTTCGGGCTTGGAGAAAAACGTTGAAAATTGGGCGTCGATAGCTACCAGGGGATGCGGCTACGTCGCCAAAAGAGTTTGAGGGAAGCGAAACTAGCCTGGCAAGCATGGATGGGGAAGGGATCGAGGAGAATATACTCGCGTTCTCAGCAGCGAACGAGTTATATGGAAATGTCTCCGCCGCATAAATAGGGGGGCCGATTTCAACTCCAAAGCGGTTATGGTGAGGGGCTGCAAGCTGCAGTAGAGCCATAAGTTTCCTACGCTGCTGTTTGGGGAGTCTCGTCGGTTCTGCGTAAGATAGAATAGAGTTGTCGTCTAAGTCGCAAACGACACACCCATCTTCTGGGAACTCGAGCTTCTCGTAGCGCTTTTCTACACCAACGATATAGGGGCAAGGTGCCTGGATCGTGTTTATTTTCCATTCAGGGCAAGTTCAAATACTCAAGGGCAGGTGGGTTAGAAACGAACCTCAATCGCAGACAGTAACCTCGCAGGCAGGATTGGTATATAAATCCCCGCCCATGTAAACGGATATAGCAGGTTTAATAAAGTGCTGGACGCCAGCGTCAGCATAGTTGTACTCGATGAGAGCAGAATGATTCTGGACTCCGCTAGACAATACTATTTCAGTAGTTAGCAAAGCTTTATATGTGGCTTATCTTTGGTAACCTACTTCGAAAAGCGTGATGATATTTTCAAGTGTCAAAGATCTAAACAACGGATAGAGGTCAACGTTCCTAGATCCTGGTACTTCGTTCAAGGCCTCCTTCCGCGCGTATAGATGTAGCTCCCTGATTGCAAGCTCAACTTGAGTTTTGGAATTGACCGGCATCATCGCTTCGTCACACAGATTGACAACATATCTAGGCTTGGGGTTAGCTGAATTGTCGTGAAAATTTAGACCAAAAAGTACCTCTCAAGCGGCTGCCACATCCCAACCCTCGGCGAGGGTGGGGGTACTTGGGCAACCCAGCCATCAACCATAGGCACAACAACAGCCTTGAGCCATTCCTTGTAAAAAGATGTCAGTGCAGGATCTTTCCCAAGCACCCCATATGCCCGAGGTATCCAAAGCCCACTTTCCCCATCAGTCAGTCCTTCGATTTTAGAAGCGGCACCATGTCGGACAGGGCGAAGGAGATCCGCCATCAACCCAATCTTTTCCTCGGTTGCATTAATCTCGTCATCGAGCGCTTCTCTAGCCTTCAAGTCGGAGACGACTGATGGCAGCTGAGCTAAAAGCCTAGATAGTTTTGCCCTTTCGCTTGCAAGCCTGAAATCGTCTTCAATGTCAACCGTCTGCGACTGTTTGGATGTTTTACAAGCGAGCGACTAACCTCTCTCCTAGACTGCTGGCCAATTCCCTCTCCTCGGGGCTCATGTTATCTCGTCGCCATTCTTCGCACTGGCGTTCAACATCTTCCGCTGCCTTTTGGTTCAAGGGGATCCATATCAAAACGCAAATTCCGTAAAGCCTTGAATTATCACCACCGGTCATACACTAGATAATTCTTAGTTAACAGGTGATTGAAGAGGGGGAGAGTTGACGGGGTATTGTATTTACAAAACCATGCCATGTAGACCGAGGCCGCTCATCGGCCGATACTATGTTGATATCATTTGGGAAGGCAAACCTGGATACTTGGGTTAGATCTAGCCACCCAACCCGTGTATGATTTAGGATATTGAAACTTGCATCGGAACGAAATCAGGGAACGAAATCCGTTGTTCCGTCGACTCGCTTGACTTTGGAGGGTATCTATCGAGAAGGACCGGTTCGAACTTCCGCTTGAGTGGATGCATTTTAGGGTCCATGGCAAGGGGCTCCGGAACTTGAATCACAGAATTGTAATTTGATAATCGTTTCGAAGTCCGTATGGATGCTAATTTAGATCGGTTATTTGTATTAAGACTTGTTCCAACCCCAGTTCGAATACTGATATGCGACTCACCTGCCCGGTTTACTACTGAAGGGGCCCTTCGCATAGAATTGAGGTCCCGCAAAGATATACGCCGCCGTAAAGAACCGCTTTTCGTTAGACCAGAAGAACCGTTGTTCCCATCCATAACTTTCTGAATCCGTGGATTCACCGGGGGCGGTTTCTTGGGCTGGTGTTGGACTTCCCCAGCTGAAAAGGAGAGATCCTCCAGGAAGTTCTCTCGTTCAGTCGCGAATTTCCGGAGGGCAGTATCGAAATCGAAGTCACCGATTCCTAGGTGGGAAAGATGCCCGAAAGCATCCCCATGGCTATTGGTGGTCTGTCGGGGCTGCCCATTGGAATTAGCAGCAATGATAGTGGCATTGCTGCTCTGGCTTGAGCGTTTTGTATCCGCGAAGCTTGGGCTGGCGGAATTTGTCGAAAGTGTCGACATTCTGGAACCTAGACTATCACCGGTGGCAGCTTCTGCGATAGTAGATGTTCTGGTGCTGTCCAGGAAACCACCTGCTTGCACCCCTGAGGAGACATTTTCGATCCTATCGGAGCTTCTTTTGTCTACCTGGGAGCGAAACCCCAACGAATCGTCCCGAGCAGGATATACTTGATCCTCAGGCTCTCCAGCTTCGGACAAGTCTTCAGCGATAAGGCTTCCTCGGACTGGCAGTTGCGTTGTTTGTATAGACTTTGGTGGTTGGGAAGTCCAATAAGAGTTGGTATCCATTCCAGCGATCCAGAAGTACTCCGCCAATGGGGCGGAAGTCGCGTCGCTGGAAGACATGGTGATTGGATTTCGACGGTAGAGCGGCGTGGTGAGCCTGGAGAGAATCTGACGGGGAATTTAGTACGGCTTCGATTTTCAGTGCATTGGTCAATTGATAGAGACTAGGGGGGCGAGGTTTCGCGAAGGTATCCTTTTTTTATTTTTTTATTTTTTTTTTAAAGAGGCCTCTACCAATGTGAAACGATCACATTGGCAGGTGATCTAGAAAGGGTGTGAGTGCTCATCGCTTGTAAAGGAGGAACAATAGAGGGAAAGGGAAAAAAAAAAAAAAGGGAGAGAGGGAGAGGGAGAGGGAGAGAGGATGGAAGGATGGTGAACGAATAGCAGGTGAATGTGAGAGAGATAGAGTGACAGTGACAGGAACTTTCACTCCACCGCGACGAGGTATTCAGATAAAATAAAATAAAATAAAATAAAATAGCATAAAATAAAATAAGTTGTGGGCTTATATGTAGATGTACCCAGCATAGCAGTGGTGTTAGTACAGATACTGACGGTATCCGATATATCGATTGCCCGGTATTGGGTCACGGGGCATAATGATATATATCCTGAAGCTGAACATCCGTATGCGAAAGAACAGGGAAATATGCATCTACGCACTCTTGTACATGAGCAAGTTCGCATACGTGTATGAGAGAAAGCATTTTTTGTCAAGTTAACATTAACTTGAAAGTCACTTGAAACATCGTGACGGAGTGAAGCTTCACGACCACCAAACTTCAGAGCTGACTTTTAAACACACCTATATACCTCTTGCTTGCCTACCTTGCAATTGCAGAATCGAATCGAATCCTGATGTCAAGACCAAGATCAGGCTTGAGCCGGCATGCGGGCGGAGACTTGCTTGGGGGGAGCTTCTTAACTACTGGTCATTTAGCGAAAATTGAGGGGCCAATTTTTATATCAATATCTCCTCAAGTTAAGCTGGTTAAAGCACACGAGCACGGGCACGAGCACGGGCACGAGCATAAATAGCCGTACAGGGAAGGCCAAGTCAGTACATAATATTAATAATAATACTTAATGCAGACACGTCTTTATCATTATCACCGATAGACCTACCGAAGTACATAAGTACCACCCCAGTGCAGGTCAGGAATATATATACTTTGCCTTCGTTCGAAGTAATCCAATTATATCTTATCATAACCTCCCTCGAAATAACATGCAACAACGGGACGACGTCATTTGGGTTCTATCTCGTCCAGGCGTTAGGATCTAAGTATTGTACATACTCCGTACGAGCAACGGAGAAAAGAAGGGGGGGGGAAAACACCCTCGTGGCTGAAGGAAGAAAGGAAGGTTGTCGTTTCGGGAAACCTTCGAGAATGCCGAGCTGGAAAAACCCCCGTGCATGGTTTTTGCAGTCGGTGTTTGAGGTTAATCCCAAACCAGCCCAGGAACATCGTGGATGCCTTCACTCCAGACGGTTGTTTCAGCTATGCGCATAATCTCACCAGTTCAAATGGCAAATATCGGCTTGCTTCTGCAAGCACGTACCAAATTCAGATTCCTGTGTCCGAGAATTCCGGGAGAGAGATAGAAGCGGACTGGCCTAGGTTCACATGGACCGTACTTCTGTCGAAAAGTATGTGCCCATAAGGTAGCAGGTACAATTTGGATCACATACATCAGGCCTGACTCTGCAGATGTATGCAGGTGGTGGGTATTAGCCAACCAAGTTCTCAGCATGTGAGGGACCAGGGAAGTACTGCCAGCTGATTGTTCTTATTTTTATTCTTATTCTTTTTTGGATTTTTTGGATTCTTTGGATTTTTAGATTTAGTCCTTTGAGGGGGGAAGCACTGAGGTCTTGGGAGACTAAATTTGAGACACCTGTTCGAGGGCGTCCATCCAAGCCTGCCCCGGTCTCAGTCAACCAAGTACAATTTAGAGACATGGAAAGACCTGGAGGAAAAAGTAAATCCGCTGGGAAAGGGACGGACGAGGCGGCGCTGGGTCGAAAAAAAAAAAATTAAAAGAAAAAAATTAAAAGAAAAAAAAAAAGAAACAAGAAGAACAAGAAGAACAAGAAGCGAAGATATTTCAAGACCCCTTTAATCACTCCTCCTCCAGTCCTGGCATCCACAAAAATTCCATCGTCAAGATTTCTGTTCTTTTCAATCATACCAAGGTTCCTGCCTTTCTTTCTTTCCTTTTTCAATCTCACATATTCTGATTCCTCACTCCGTTTGACTGCCTTTCTTCGTCTCATCTATCTTCTTGTCCATCTTTGTCGTTTCTTTTTCGCCCATATCGGTCTCCTGCTGGATTCAATCGACACACGACCCCTTCCTCCCCTGGCATATAACCGCAACCACAGACATTCCCTCTGCATTTTTCCCTACCACATCCTCGCCTTCTCGTCCTGGCCTTTGCTGGTATCTTTTAACCTACTTTAATCTTTAATATCCTCGCCATTCTTGCTTTTGCCCCCGTACCCCCCAGTTCGAGAATTCGCCATTCCTTAAGTCCTTTGCTGTACAAAACTCAGCTCCCGCCCCCCTGAGCCATCAACCCATCAACCCACCACCACCACCGCCAACCTTCCCTTCAAAACGACCATCAATTCAACATTCATTAAACCTAGCCATCGACATCGGATTTGCTGTGCCCAATGCCAACATTATAATCGTATCAATAAGTTCACTTCGCACATTCGCTCTGGTTTGTTCTGGATGGGTTCGATTTGTAATCGATTATCAGATTAACATTTCCTTATATCTACTTCTTCATCATCATCATCTTCTTCTTCTTCTTTTTCCCCTTTATTTTCTTTATTTTCTATATTTCCTTTTATCTTTATCAAAAATATACACACCTTCTTATAACTTCAGTTGCACTCTCCTGCCACCCCCTTTCCTCCTCTCTTTTCCTTTCTTTTTCTATATAACAACATCCATTCAATCGATAGGGGTGTCGGCTCAAAACGCAATCCAACATAGATTACAGTTCATCTCCTTTATTGGTAGATTCGGGCTTCACCATTTGGCTTCTCAGGTTCCCGTTATCCCTTTGATGGAACAGCACCACGCAAATTCTACACCCGTTCATCAACTTCCTTCCACAGCGTCGGCGAACACAGAAAGTGGTAAATCCGGTACCATCAGGAGACGTTCTTCGACTGCGATAAGTGTTAAATCTCAACCCGCCAAAAGACCTCTCATACAACACGAAGACTGCGTCCAATCGACAAGGGTAAAGCGTGTAAAAAAATCACTGGAAATGGAAGAGTTCAAGCTCGACGGCTCCGAAAACGCCAACCCACAGCCGACGAGCAAAACACCGACAACGTCGACCCCTGTCGTTTCAGGCCCAGCGACGCATGAGTCCTCTGCCCAACCATCGTGTAGCTCAGACGCAGAGACGACAGTCCCTGCTACATCCAAGATAATGCGGGCCCGTTCAATGTCCGCCCCAGCTGTTGGGCAGCATCAGCTGACAGCAGCCGCAACAACGATCTGTTGCCGGAAAAATATTGCGTCCCACAAGTCGAAGAAGGCTCTTAACGAGCCTCCGGTAAATCTTATTACTTTGAAGGAATTAGATTTGAAAGAAATACTCAACAACCCCCGCCTCCGACACGACATCTACTTCGACGCAGCCCTCCATTTCCGACCAAACTTAGACGGCCAGCGAGGGCAGAAGAAGAAAGCACAGGCGGATAACTATTGGGATAGCATCGTGCGTGAGTGTGAAAATTTGAGGAGGAATCAGATCGACCTGCAAAGAGGCGTCACAAACCGATTGCAACCCAAAAGATTGATGCTACTCCTCGACACAATGCGCGATATTTTGCTAAGTCTTGTCCCTTCTCGGGATCAAAAAACGGTGGAGCAAGTCTTTGATCAACAATTAATGATCCAACAACTCGAGTATGGCCTCCTCAATTTCGAAAACTTAGCAACATGGCTTGCTAGTCTTCTTAAGGCACATTGCGCCCCCATGAGAGATGCGTGGGTAGATGATATGGTTAGCAAGATAAAAGATGGTGTTACGCGCGATAGTCCACGATTATTAGTCGACGGCCTTCGATCGGTTTTCGGAATACTCGAGGCCATGAAACTTGTAAGCTTGGTCTTTTCTTTCTATTACCCTAATCCCGATCATTTTCTAATCCGCGTTTCCCCCTTCTTCTTCATAGGACGTTGCCAATCACCAAATAAGAACGCTCAGACCATATCTCGTCAGCACTGCAGCCGAATTCGAGAGAGAACACTTCCAAAAAAGGATCCAAAAAGGGACACTCTGTATTTCGGAAACCCAGGATTGGTACCATCAATTGGCTGCAAAACGCAAATCCCCTAACGAGACTCCTGATTACCTCTCGATACTCACAATTGGCGTACTTGAACGACTAAGCCCTTCAAAACCACACATAAAACCGCCCGCTACATTCACATTCGACCTGGAAAGACTAGAAGCAATCAGATTCGACGTAAGAGAGGATGTGAATATGAAAACCTGCCTTCTTCTGTTCCGCAGCCTCGTTTCTGGTTTAAATAAGTCACTAGAGGTGGATAGAGATGCCTACGTAGCACTCACCACCGCAATACAGGCTATCAACGGAGATGAAGAGGTTGCTGAACGCTGGCAGCGTAACTCCTCCGCTCTAGCCTTACAAATCGCGCAGTCCGCAACTGCATTTGCTTCCGGGAAACCAATTTCGAAATCGTTCCCAGATGCAAAAATCGTCAAATTTGCTGAGAATTGGCTTGGACAACATCTACGATCACAGTCGCCTCTTTATCAATCCTTCGAGCAAAAGATAATCGAAGCGGTTGCACTAAAGACACAGGTGATACTCAAAGCATGGGCACACCACAAAGCACCAAACTTTGAACAGGTCCCTGACACTGTTATGGGACTGCCTGCCGATTTTGCATCAATCCCACAAAGGCTTGCCAAGATCCTTAATCTTCACTGGCGGGTTTTTGAGAGGCTATACATATCAGCAGCAAATACCCCTGTTTCGGGCCATAAGGGTGACATTGCCTTATCCGTAGACCAACCTGAAAGCACATCCTCCGATACCTCCGATACCGTTACCCTCAGCAAAAAAAACTATCCCACGGATTATCGGACGTAGCATTTCAACATCTAGAACGAAAGGGCCTGTTGTAAACTGATAACGACTTTTTCTCGCAGCCCATTCCATCACAACCGCATACACCATCGTCCCTTGCCACCGGGGCAAACTCCTTCCAACCTTCTAGCTTGAGCTTGCATTTTCATCTTCCATCCGCTTTAGTACATATAATCTTGTTCCCGAGCATGTCAGCACTCGATAGACTAGTCCATACTCTTTTTTGAATCCCTTTCAATTGCTATTTTTGCTTTTCCGCATCTTGACGCGATTTCGTATCAGCAGGCGTTGTTTCCTTTGCCAGACCGCCTCATCACCTGTATCTGGAATATTTTGCATCGCGTCTTCTGTTGTCTGTCCTGCATCTTAGCGCTGTCGATTTTGTTTCCTACCTTTTATTTTGATTACTTATATTTATTTTTCTTGTTTTAATCTTCAAGCTGCAGTTACCAAGATTTAATCAATATTCCTATGGCTCCTTTGAACATGTCTTTCTGGTGTACTAGTTAAAGGTACTTAAGTAATGAGTAGTACCTACTAAGTAAGTAAGTACCTGGGTATTTAGCAATCGTGTGCTGTGGAATTGAAGAGACTACACAGCTTGGTGACGAGACTGTAAGCAGAAATAGCCCTTTGCACAAGTTATTTAGTGCCGAGACTGGAAATGACCAACACAATCTTGCCGGCAAGCACATTCAAGGAAATTTGCAACAACAACAACACATAGTCTCGTAACCAAACAACACAAACACGTCAACAATATGACAGCCTTCCTTCGGGCAACCCTCATGGAGCCAGATGATATTTTTTTTAAGAAAAAGTAAAATAAATTAGATCTTCATGAGAATACTGAACCGCATCATCATCATCATCATCATCATCATCATCGACATTATAACGCCACTATACCTTTGCTATTAGGTATACTAAGGCGCCAGCCCAATACAAGCGCCAAATCTTCTCTCCAACACCACCTCCATCCACTACCAAACAAGATGATAACTTGTCCACTATTCTATCTCCTCAATACTTTGAGGGTTGTTACTATCCTCTCTCTAGCCTGTTGTGCTGCAGGCCTATTCGCATGTGTAGTTATCGGTCTTCGCGACAATCGGGTAAGAACAACATTGCATCCCTTCATGGAAAGCGGTTACTAAATTACAGATCGGGTAAAATAGCTTTCGTTCTTCGTCACGGCAAACATTCTCATTCTATGGGTGATGTCTCTATTCCTTATTGTCATTGAGTTTGAGTTTTTTCGATCTTACTGGAGACAAAGATGGCCATGCTTCGGGCCTCAAGCCTCTTTGGTAACACCCAGCATCTGCCAACTTGCAATTGCCTTCCAAATCTTCGGTGCCTTAAGCGGACCAATGTCCAAGTCTATCATAGAAGAAAGGTTCAGTGCTTTCAACCTCGCAGCCGCCATAATCGCTACAGTTACAGGTTCTGCAAACATCCTGGCGGTCAGTAATGGGTGCTAACGGCTAATAGCCGACCAACCGATAAGATCACGGGTTTACTAACGAGGCTACCAGAGCATTTCCCTCCGCCGAAAATATCGCGACATACCAATTAAGGACATCCGTAAAAAGGGGTTATATCTTGCTAGAATGGGCTTCGATCTCTCTAGGAACAATGGTCGCCCAGAAAACCTGAAGTTCCAACGAATGGTATCCCTAAACGACCTCGAACGTCAACAATCGCTAGAGAGATACCCTCAAGGCCATGAAGAAGAGCCACATTCTACAGGGCAGGTTTAAAACAGGCAAGTAGAGGTTGAACCCAGCACGTATTCTATTCCGACATACTATCGTACCACTACAGGCCCACACATTCGCCAACCAGAGCCAGCCAAACTTGAAGCCCAGTCCAAGAAATGGAGCGAAATGCTAGGGATCCCATTGAGGAGTTGTGTTCGAGGGTGATGGAAAGAAATCTACGCAGGGGGTATATAGGGTATAACGATATGTGCCAAGAGTTTGATCTAAGAATTGTCTACATAAAAGGGTTTATCTTCTTATTTGCAATCATGTAAAGTAGAACCCTCAAATAGAGTATTGAAAGGACAAGAACCATACTTAGAATCCTAATTGCTGCCGTCGGGTTAAAGCAGGTGCAGTCTAGGGAATGTACATGTACTTTAGGTGTATCCTTGGGCCTTGGTATCTGAATTCACGTTGCGTCAATCGAACACGAGGTACGAGAGCAATATCCATCAGAATTTTTGATGCTTCAAATCAAGACGTAGGCTTCCCAGAGAGGGTATTTATTTTGGCATGTTGCTCTGCTTGAGATAACAACGAGACTTTTTGACCTCGAACGGACATGGGGACAAGATGGACCGACGAGGCTTCGAAAGCGCCGCACACAGCGGGTGAGGAAGGCTAAGAGAAACGACCGAAATAGTCGATCGCAGGGCAAGGAGATAACTTTTGAATATATAGGTAATTAATTAAAATACATTACAAACACGAACCGGAAGAGTGCTGCAAAAAGCATTGTTGTTGTCGTTGCCGTACTGTTAACATTGATTGATTGCTTGATTGATTGATTGATTGATTGCAGGTTGTGGATGAATTCGAAAGAAATTTCTCGGGTTGAAAGCGACTTAAGTACTCGCCAAGCTCACAAGCCACATACGCGGAAACAAACAGCGCCACCGAAACGATGAGGCGGGACCAGGCGGGAAACAGAAACAAAACGTGTTTCTACCTACACAGCCCCTTTCGCTGTCAATTGGTGCTAACCACCGCTTCAGCCATCCTAAACGAAACGAACTCTGCAGCAAGTTGCGGAGTGTTGTTTCGACAAGGGGCTCTGTCGGGCTATTGCATGCTGGCAACACAACGAACAAGCTGGGACCCTGTTCTCATGAAGCCCGATGAAGCTCGGGAAGTCTCATGTTCGAAAACAGTAACGTCAGTTGTTTCGACATGCACATTGCTCTCTCTGTACAGCCTCGTAGGAATACCGGATGTTCCTATGATCTATGTGCATAAATATGCTGCCTTCCCATCCTACATAGTCCCTTTCCTCTTCTTCTCTCCTTGTGTCCTCACCAAACAGCTACATTTGCCATCATCTTCGGGTCCAGATACCCTCTTCCATTCTTTCTACCATCTTTCTTTCTTCCCTTTTATATATACTTTATATCTTTATCTTCAGTTCATCTCGTCGCTGGTGCGTCGAATAGTCCTTAACGACTACGCTGTTTCCTCTTGTCCCGAGCCCGGACTCGTCAATTGAGTAATAGTAATCACCCTCCTCAATATACCCAAGCACCTATACACACGGCCAGACCGTCATCCGTTGAGCGGACCTCTTGAAGAAGAATTTTTTAAACAAAAACCAAGCGACTACAACCATTTCTGTATCAAGAAAGTCAAATTAATCCAAAATGTTCAAGTCAATCTTTGCCGCTTCCATTCTCATCGCTGGCGTATTCGGTACCCAGCACGGTTATCCTGATGCAGCCTACTCAGAGGTTGTCGCTCCAGTTTCAACTTCATGCACAAAAAATGCGGGAGGTATACAAACCCCTGCTCCGGTCCACGTCGCCCCACCCGCCCCAGTCCACGAGGGTGCCACTCCAATGGTACATAAAGTTATAGTTGGGGGCGATGCCGGCTTGGTTTACACTCCCGAATTCCTTCATGCCGCTGTGGGCGATATTGTCGAGTTCCACTTTATGAAACAAAATCACTCCATCACTCAATCCACATTTGCAAAGCCATGTGTTCGAAAACCGGACGGTATCGACTCTGGTTTACTACCTAATCCCAACAATACAATCGTCCCAGCTCCAGTATTTAAGTATACCGTGGATACCACAGAAGCTACATGTACGTTCTTCCCTATTCCTGATAATCCCTACATGGACACAGACTAATTTCGTAAATAGGGTGGTATTGTAAACAAAGAACTGGTACTCATTGCGGAAAGGGTATGACATTTGCTATCAACCCTACAGCAGAAAAGACCTTTGAAAAGTTCAAATCCATGGCTATTGCCCAGAACGGAACTGTCGCTACAGTCCCTCCAGCTGCTCCAACAGAAGCCCCTTCTCCCGTCAATACAGTTACTTTAGTAGCAGGAAGCCCCAGCGAAACCCAAGCTGCTCCATCCGGTGTTGCTACCATGGTTGATGGCAATGGTGGCGCTAACGGTGGATCTTGCCAATGCCAATGCTTCTGTGGTGTCGCCGCTTACCCATCGGGATACGGTGTCAATAATTTCGGTGGTATGCCCGGTGCTCTGCCGGCCCCTTGGGCAACAAGCTCTAGTGCTGCCGCCGCCGCCGCCGTCACAACCGCCGCTGGTGGATACTACAAAAGCTAAATATGCTAGAGCCCTTTTTCAGTGGTTAGAGTAGATATTTCCTTTCAGTCCAGGGTTTTAGTAGATAATCAGATACCTCTTTTTCACTTCGCTTAATATCAATGTCATGGAGTTCTTGAGTTTTGTCTTCTAGCTTACAATTATTCAATACAATGACGACTTTCCCCACAAGTTCAACTGAATTCAGACCCTTTTGTAGAAAAAGAACAGACCTAGTCCATGCTACCATTGCGGGTGGGGTAGGGTCGATGATACAAGAACGAGGTGAGAGGACTCTCCATGCACGAAGTTTCAAATGCCTTGATTTCTAAACGAGAAGATATGTTTGATCTTCTTTCAAGATGGCTGGAACTTCTGCACCTCAGCCAACCAACTCAGAACGACAAAAAAAAGTTTTTTCATCTTTGTATTTTTTTCTGTCTAACCAACAAGAAGCGACGCAGACGGGGTAAGGTTAGCTTCTTTTAGGGTCAGGCTTGAATCAAGGGGTTCATCTAGTCTGTAGGTTTTCCTTGGAGGGAAGGTTGTTGTAAAGGTACTAATAGTTATCCCAGTTTCCTGAGCTACCGATGACGCAACTTCAAACAATGATGTTTCCGCGGGAAACGTCTTTGTAATCGGGGGCCGGCCAGATACTTGAAAGCGTAGGCGAGCTTCCGCATGGACCGCTTTGCTTGCCGAAGGAGTACTGGCTACTTCGGGAATACTAGCCTGGGCTGTCGAAATACCCTCCCGCTCTGCCTTCGCTTTCGCAGCGGCTTCGCGGCGGGCTTGCTGTGTCGCAGCAATTTCAGCTTTGATTTTAGCCTTTGCCTTTGCATCGTCTAGCTTTTCTTGTTTCCGTCGCTCGATATCCTTTAGTTGTTCTTTTTTACGGAGCTCTTCTTTGATTCTCTCGGAGTCTTGGTCCTTCTTCCTCCTAATAGCCTATGAATCGATGTCACGAGTCAGCCTAGACAGTAATTGTGAGTATATAAAATAATGGCAACTTACTTCATTTCGTTTAGCATCTGCCACACTTTCGGCAGCTTGTACCTTCCTCTTTTCCGCCAGTCTTTGCTTCAATTCTTGGAGTTTGGCATTCTTTTCATCTTCCGTGAGGGGTTTCATCTCCTCCACACTTTCGTCGAAATTTTGATGTTCGCTATCCGCATTAGAATGTCAGAAAGGAGGATCGGCATGCGCATTGGACGTGTACTCAGCCTCACGTTCGTTCAGCGTGAAATTGCACAGCATCCCAGTTTCGCAATAATTTGCCGCAATCGTTGCATTTGTAGCTTTTGGCTTCGATGCCAGCGGTGGTTTTGCTGTCTTCAGCGTCGGCCTCCGAAGTCGAAGCGACTGGCGCTCCAGTGCTACTTTCTTTCTCAAGATCTTCGATCTGGGTGTCTTCGTGGGATCCGAGCCACGTAATCGCATCTTGCACTTTAAAGTAGAGAGAATTTTAACTCTGAAGAAAGTCTATTTCGAGTTTGCAGCTGGGGAACATACATCCACCTGAATATTTCAAAGCCAGATCCACTCGTCGGGGATCAAATCTGTGTCAACAAAACGTTGGTGAGCAGCCATAGAAAAACGAGGGGTGGGGTCTGCATACCCCATTTCAATTAGCACATCGCGATCGGTTTGGCCCATATTATCGAAACTGAATTGGTACTTTACTGAATCAAGGTTTTTTGGCGGTGGTTTCCTTACAGTGGGGGTGAGGTACAGTGCTGTGTTTGTAGCTTTCAGCAAGATAAAGTCGGTACTACTTAAGTGCTTGTGGTATAGCTATGGGCGCGGGGTAGCTTGACTACCTAGGTACTACCCAGTATCTCAGCCATTTCGCTCAGAACCTAGAACAGGATCGCTAAACAACACGTGAGAACGCGAGCGAACACCCTCACAGTTAACCAACTTACGGAGATATCTAGGGGCTATAGTATGCATGCTAGTCTCATGTGCAGGATGTATCCGATAACACCGGATTGTTAACACCGATGTCACACAGGACATATATTGCAACGCAAAATATCCAACATGGAAACCCAAACAAAACTTTACACAAGGGTTCGGCCAAATTCCTTGTACATAACTAGGCCAGATACTTACTTAAGTCCTTAGGTAAGTAGATAAGTAATTACGAAAGAATGTAGATGAGAATCGAATGGATACATACATATTCAAAATACATAATTTTCAGTTAAATTTTCAGAGGAATTTGCCTGTGCGTTCATACGGGATGATATTATACGGAGACTAATTTCAGTCGAATACAGTACTACCTAACAAAAAGGGAAAGGAAAATTAAGTATATAACCCCTCAATTAAAATTAACAATCTAGATGCAATTTCAAATCTGGATACCTACCTACTTAAGTGAATAAAAGCAAATGGGTACTTAGGTATTTACATACACTTGAATAGGGTTGCCCACACATAAATACTTTCCAAAGTCGGTACCTTTTGGGTGCTTACATAGCTGCACTATAGCTACCGCCGCCATTATAATACAACGAATAACAGGAAATTTGGGACTCCTACCCCTACCTACAATGAATTTGTTCTTCTTTTTCCTCGTGCTGGTATCACCGGCCTCCTCCATACCTTTGTCCTCCGTTCGTAGCAGCGCTCTTGCAAGCACTTTACCCTTCCCAGGTGATAAATTCATCCGTACCCTTTTAAGAAGCCACGCACCCAAATTTGCCACGGGTATTCCTCTTGCGGTATCACCCCCAATAACCCAGAGAAATCTTGCGCTATTCCGCACCGCTGCACTCAATCTCAATATCACCCACCCAGTCACATTCCTAGATGATTCTCGCAAATTCCACTACCCGGTTTTTGAAACAACAAAGTGCCAGCTTGGAAAAGATACCGACAATGTAACACCCTTTCTAGATTCTACCACTCTCGGCACCTACTTCAAGGATATATTCCAAATGATCCCATCTTGGACAAATGGGGATACCGTATTGTCTCGATTCGATCTATTCCACGGCCACCTTTTCGCGAACCCTTCCACCGGTGCTGTCGGTGTAGTATTCCATTCAAAAGAATACCCTGCCGAAAACACTGAGACATTCCCTTTTAATCTGGGCTACTGTCAAATCAACTCAAACGTCACCTTCGTCCAAAAGATAATGCGTAAAAGAAATATCATTTGGATTATTGACGATCGCGACCGCACGTCACTCTGGCGGGTTGATATGGGCGTTCGGACTGGTGATAGTGCCATAGACACTATATTAGGTGGCGAACCCTTTTATACCCTTTACGAGGGTAGCCTAGGAAACGTTGTTGCAGATCTTTATTACTTGAACGGGCTAGAATTAAGTGTAAGTTTATACTAGGGACACTGGCCTTGGAAACCCAGTTAAAAATTTGTATCTCATATGCATAGCATCGTAGCTAGTCAGCTTGGTCAAGGAGCAGACGTTTTTCTTTGCCACATGGGCTGTTAGCTGTTCTTTTATCCCAGCCGTATCTGTGTTTGAAAACAGGCTATTAAATAAAAAGCATAGAGAATCCATTAACCCCAGCCAAGTTAAACCATCGGTGTCGAAGTTTTCGAATCCAAAACCACAATGCCCATGAGTTTCCCTCCATCTCGTAATCGGTGAGCAGGTGGGACTGCATTCTCCCTTGAAAGCGAGGTCAGGCATTTGGGGAAAGGAATACCACTCACAGCACATCCGAGCTTCTGTTCCGCCGGATGGTAGTAAAAGAGTCGGTCAATGCCAAAAAAAGTAATTCAAAGGTCTAGCGAATCCAAACCAGTTCAAATTAGCAATTATGCTAGAGGAGGGGGGGGCTTGAGCAGGGTTGAGACCAGTTTGAGGCTGAAATCCGTAACAGACATTGTGGGAGTAGTTGCACGGTTGTATCCTCTGCTCCAAGAGTCCTACGACTGATAGACTATTCGGATACGCGAAAATCGAAGTAAAACACCGCATCTTCAACAAAGTAAAAACACTTCTATCGAGCGTCTTTATGGAATAACCATTATAAAATCACATTTTAATTGATCCGCCAAGACTACTGAGATATATATCGGCTTTATTCGAATCAAGAATCATAAGGCCTTATAAGGCTATGGCCGATAGAGGCGGTATATGGACACGGATTTGAGTTAGAGGAACGATAGTTAGCAGATCGATGTATATGGTTTAATACCTGGTAAAGGGACACCTCCAGAGACCTCTTCAGCAGTCCCATAGAAACCAAATTTTACTGATATCGGAGCTTAAGGAGCATGTTGATACCGTAAAGGCTAACCGCTCCTGTAGCTGTAAGGGGTGCCAAAAATTAAATAATACATAGATACAACTATTTTTAAGCTTGATTATGCACGAGGTGGTGAGTTAAAGAGTATTTGACATTAGCAATACAAGATAAAAGATACCGACATGCAGGGCTTGCACTGGGTAATTTGCTCATTGGAATAAATCTCACGTTCACAGCGCAGGCACCAGGATACCTAGGCACCCTACAAGGATGTAATATATTTATTCCAAACATGTAAGCCTTTGACGGTCAAGGAACAAAAGGTTCCAGCGCCACTAAAGATAAGGCAAGAATAAAGACCAGCTAGTACTAGCTAAAACTCTTGGGTTAGCGGATGCCGATAACAACGGTTTCGTAGATAATTGCCGCTTGTGATCCATCTTTTATGTCTGTCTTTTGTTCCTTTTGTTTCCGCAGCTAAGGCCTGTTGAGCGGCGCAATACTCAATGAGCCAACCGTAGGCCGCGCAACGAGACAGATGCCCTCACCGTTGCCCCAGAGCCGACATCAAAGCTTTCCTCTTTGATAAGACTAGGGGCATTTAGTACATCCAAGAATGGTATTTCGACAAAGCCGGTTTCATTATTTTTGTTCAATAGCGCAATCTTGAAATTGGACGGATTCGCTAGCAGGTCCACAGTTACCGGAATCTGGAAGGCCTGGTCAAAGGAGGGGTTAAATATGTCGGTACCAGGGCTATATGATTTGGCCGCTGTTCGGAACTCCTTGGCACCCCACGTCACCTTAATGCTAGGATTGAGTTCGTCGCGTTGGCCCTGGAGCCCCAATGCGCTAGCAATGAGCACAGTGGCAAGGCCAACGACCTGGCCTTCGTCCGCATCGCTGTGGGTGGATGTTAACACACCAGCATCGTCCACGAAATTGAAGAACTTGGCGTGCACTGTGATCTTGGCGTCGGTGGGAACCCCGTCATGGACAATATCCAGCTCTTGTGAGCCACCGCCCAGAAGGATGTCCTTCACAGTGGTGGTGGCGATGCCGACGTCGTCGTCACCCACGAGATCATCATCTTGTACGTCGATGATGACCTGTTGGTCGTGATCCGCAACGAGAAAGTCATGTGTCTCATTCCATTCCGGGTTATGGTCGTTCTTTTTGGTGGAGGTGCGCCACTCTTCTCCAGCACCAACCCTGACCTTGCAGTAGCAATCAGGAATGTCCTTGATGATCTTGTCTAAGAATCGCTTTGCCCCGCTTTTCTTTGGTCCATTAATGTTAACCGCCCTCCCTATGGTCAGGCGCAAAGCACCGATATGCGGTAGGTATGTCTTGAAGTAGTCATTGTTACTGTCTAGTTTGACGAGATAGCGGTTGGGAAGGACAGCCATGGATGATATTATGTTAAGAATGACTTTACGGACGGCTTTGTCCACCAGGAAGCAATCGGCTATATTGGCTGCGTTGGTGAAGTCGAGCTTTAGCTCAGGGGGGTTTATGAAGGCCACTTGAGCAGCTCCGATCTTATACGGCGTAAGCATATTTTGGCTTTGTATATTAATATGAAATGAACAGGGGAAAGCTTACCAGAGGAATGACATTTGTCAATGGAGCAAGTAAAATTGAAAGCCTGCCTTTCAGATGAATATGTTCAATTCCCTTGCCATTGCATGTTAGCGTTATAGACTCAAAAGCAGTTATAGCTACCTCGCTATTAGCATGGACATACAAACTTAGGAACCATATTCCCAACTATATCGATATCACTTTTCCCCTCCCAGATGACATCCATGTCGAGTTTAATGCCATTATGATCGGTCTTGTGGACATCCACCTCAGATATCCTCAACGGAACAGGGCCCAAGTCGAGCTTCGCGAATCGAAGTGTAGCTAGAGGGCCTGGAAGCATAGCAGAGAACATAGGCTCCACTATGTCTTTCACCATCCTACAGCCAGCAACATTGATGTTAGGCCATAACTGCTCCACGATGTCGTTCAGGAAATCAGCAGATTCAGTCCCCCCCGAAGCAGTCAATTTGTTAAGCAGCCCTGCCATTTTTGTAAAGCTTTTCCTGTGTAGATAGACGGTGTGTGAAATCGGATCAAAACGCTGTCGAGGTCAATTCTGAATTGGAGCTGGCATTGATGTTTGAATAAATGTAAGAATGCGGGGTTTGATGTTGGATATAAATAAGAATTTGTGGCTGCAAGCCATTCGCATTGGGTATTAAAAGAAGGTGGGGTCGACGTCATGATTTTACATCATATGTACATGTACTGCCTAAGCTACCCAAGATGCCCAATATGTGGGGCCACGACAGGAACAGATGATGGCATGGGTGGAAGTTCCTGATACCAACACAATTAAATTAGAGGAATGCTATTGCCAGCCTCCTCTTTTCTACTAGGACTGGCCTCCTACATTAATTTTTTTTATATATTTTTTGTAAGAAATCATATAGAGACTAGTCGAGGTATCAAAGTAATATACAAATGTCACAAAATAAGAGTAGTATACTAATGTATATACAGATTTATCAGCAAAACCTGGAAGCCTTTGGGAAAGTACTATATAAATAGTAGAAAAATAATAAAATTCAATTTTACCTCTTGTCACAGCCCAACCATATCAATTAACCTGATTAGGAGATATGTTTTAATCCAACAAACATACTTCTTATTTTTGTTTTTCTTTATTTTACAAACTTTATTTTAATTATAATTATTCAGAATTTTTAGTATAAAAATTTATATACTTGTTTTTTATTTTATATATAAATATATTATAAAATAATACATTCCTATTTATCCAACAAATAAAAATATTTAGTACTGGCTGATTATATAATATTTAACACTAAATTTTGTTTTATTAAACATATCAATTAGTTGATAATTAATATAATTAATAAATTAATTAAATATTTATTATTATAACAAAGCAATTTCAGCATAATGAACTTCAAGCAGAAATCCAGACAGTTGGAGGAGCCCTCAGAATAACCATAAAAAATATTTAAACAATATTATAATTAAAAGAAAAACTATATAACATAATATAAATTATAGATTTAAAATAAAAAAATATTTAAATCCAAATTTTAAAACTTATAAATTAAAATAATAATTATTATATTAATAAATGTAATATAAAACCTATTTAAATCTTTATCTTACACAAACTTCCTAACTTATACAAAAATAACTTCTATCTAATTTAATACCTTATATATCTAAATATTTAATTTAAACTTAATTTCTATTTAATTTAATAAACTATATAATTTTAACTCTTATTTAATTTAATACTCTATATATCCGAATATCCAATTTAAATTTAACTCTTATTTAATTTACTTTATTTTTTTTATTAATTATTTATTTAAATTATTATATTTATTATCATATATTTAAAAATTAAATAATAATTTAAGTATTAATTTATATTCATATTAATATATTATTTTTATTTTATAACATTTATATATTACTTTAATATTTTAACTAATCTTTATACAATTTCTTATATTTTATTACTTTATAATTTTATTAATTTAATATTTAAATATCAACACCAACTTTATTTAAAAACAAATCCCTTAAAGAAAAAAATATTAAAAAAGAAACCATAATTATTACTTTATTAGAATTTTCTATTAAATAAATTAAAATTATGATAATAATTTTTAAATATTTCAAAAATAATATATTTATAATAGTTTTAACAATTACTCTAAATATTAAATTTCCAAATTTCAACTTTTTTAATAATATTAAATTTTATAAATTACAAAATTTCTTAATTTAATTTAATAATAAATATAAAAAAAAAATTATAAAAATTATTATATTTAAAAAAAATATATATATATATAATTAATTTTCTTAAGAAAAATTTAATAAAATTAAATTTTAATAAATAACGTGTTTCACCCACTTTGCGCGCACGCACAGTTATGCCGCACCCTTTTTAAATAATTTCTTTAATTTTTGTTTTAATTTAAATAAATCTAAAAAAATACAATTAGATTGGTCTTCTAATTTTCTATAATATATACAAATTTAGAAATAATCTATAATATATTTAATTTTTAATTAATTTTTAAAAGTTAGTTATTTACTATAAGTTTTTATATTATTAAATATATATAAAAAAAACTCTACTTTGTTGTATTTTATAAAATTTATATATGTTTTAATATAAAATAAATTTATTAAAATTATTTAAAAATTATTAAAAACTAATTAAAACTAAAAAAATTATAACTATTTAAAATTTTTAAAAATATATTGTTTTTATATAAAATTTCAAATTTTAAATATTAATAATTTATTTAATATTTTATATTTTTTAAAGATTTTTAAATAGTTTTAATAAAATTTTTGTATATTAAAATATTTCATTATTTTAGAATTGATTAATATTATAAATTATTATAATTTTTTGTTATATAAAATAACATATTTTTAAAAACTTTAAAATCTTATAACTTCTTTAATTTTAATCAATTTTTTAATAATTTTTTAAAATAATTTTTAATAAATTTATTCTATATTAAAATATATATAAGTTTTATAAAATATAACAAAGTAAAATTATTTTTATATATATTTGATAATATAAATTTTTTATAATAAATAACTAACTTTTAAAAATTAATTAAAAATCAAATATATTATATAATTTTTCTAAAATTAAGTATATTATAAATAAATATAATTAAATTTTTATTATTATTTTCTTAAATTTTTTAATTAAATTAAAATTAAATATTATTTAAAAAGGTAGCAGCATAACTAGGTGTGCGCGCAAAGTGGG